CAACATTCAGCAAGCTGAGCCGGAGGCCGGAAATAATATGCAAGTGATACAATATCGACATAAGATAGACTATGCACGTAGTGCCTGTAGGTAGGCAAGACGGAACGTTCACAGTTGACAACCTTTCTGATTGCCAGCCCCTACATACGGTGGAAGTTCGTCAACCAGGCCACAGTCAAAGCAGAGCCTGAACACAGCAACTGACCTGCTTATAGGCTGGATATTCCAGAGTAGAGCTAAATTTCACTGTGTATCTTGCAGTGGTTTTGGGAAATCGAGATGTGTTGCCGCCCCCTTTCAATGGCGACTATCTTCAATAACATGAAGGATAGGACTTATCCAATCGGACAACTGCACTAATCCTGCAAGTTGCAGAGAATGAAGAGGGATATTTGAAATAAGAATTACCAGCAAGTATTATGAGGTTCACGGAGTACCTCCAACTCTTTAGCCGAACTCTTACAGGGCTGAGGGCCGCCAGATGAACGTACATGTTTGGCCAACATGAGGTTCGCCGACCACTTGTATCGCCGAGTGAACCTGTCTTCGTTTTCGGATCACCTGGAACGTGTGATTTTTATTGGGACATTGAGGAAAAACCGTTTTGATTCCACAGTTATGGCAGTCGGGAGACATAAATAATACCCTTCTCAGGAAGCGCCGTGCAAAGGATCTTTTAACGTACGTATCCCTTCGAGTGCTACAACACGCCATAGACACCTCGTGAGGAGCAGAGTCAATTAGCGCAGCTGGTAGTTTATTATAAGCTACTTACTAAAATTTAACTCAAGTGCTTTTAGAGAAACACTGGGACAGGGCTTGGCTGGCCTGTTGGGGCACTTGATGAGATATTCAATCTTGATTGCTCGGCCTTTTTACTTTCTGACTAGTTGGGCTGTCCTCTATAACTAATAATAGCATCCATATAGTCTCGCTATTGAGTGTAACTGCCCGCAGGTCTTCTGCCTCGATATGAAGAGCTTCTTGTTCGTACAATTCTGTGCTTGAAAAAGCTGAATCTCCGTTCGATTGCTGATTTTTAGCCGCACAAACAGAAAAGATGAGATGAGAACCCCATGGAGCTCATTCAAGGGGCTGTGTATTGCTTCATTATGTAGGGTATATAAAGGAGTTGATTCAACGACGCGGTGCCTCCCCAGTTCGACGGTCACATCGCATAAGACGGCTTTTTTTGACGGCGAACCAAGGTGGCGTGGCAAAGATTGTAAGGTGCTCCGGAGGCATCCATTGGGTTATCGAAGAGTTTATGAAGAACATGATGACGCTCTTGTTTGGAAATCTCCAAATAGGTTGTAGCAGGTCGATGCTAATGAGAACACAATCTATGGTTTGCGTCCCCCATTGTAGGATGATTTAGCCTTGGACACAAGTCCACACTGAAATCTAATGTTTCCATCACTATTCTTCCTCGTGTTGTACAACGATTCCGTAACTCTTAGTGTCGGTAAAATTACCCTTCTTTCCTCTTAGCCCAAGCTGGAGAATTTCGCCGGTGCTGACTATGTGTGGATGTGCTATGGATATCTCACTCAAGTGGTTGCTCGGACTGGCGTCTTTCACCGAGGATTCAAGCCCGTTCGCCGACTCCGAGAATAATGCCGAGAAAGCATCCGTCTGCCGAAGTATTACCGGACACAGAGACCCGAGTCAACCTCGTCAGTGAAGGTTCGGTTTGGTGAATTACTGTATACCGTTTTAAATTTTGCCATCATTTGTAATTATGCAAGTTGTACTGTTTACCAACCAAAGCTTGGTGTGACTAGAAACGCTTTAGTCAAAATCAAAGAAATACATAAAGAGTTTAGAATCTTGACATCTCAGTGACTGGCATCCACATCTTCTACCGCACACTCACAAGAATCACAACCTCGTAGTCATGGATTACCCATTCGAAGTTTCTGTGAAGCCGGGAACGGACATTTGGAGAAAGCCTCCTACATATTCGTTGGAGAATGGTACAAGTGTCAAGTCCCATCGCCAGATTCAAAATTAACAAATTGCAGCCCCAATTTACCGAAAACAGGACCTGCCTTTCGTCTCCCTGCTTTCCGCTTCGATCACATTCTCTGCTCGTTACACATGCCAGTATGATCAAGCTGGTCTCGCAGTCATACTTCGACACGAAGGTTCGCTGTTGACGAAATGGATCAAACTGGGTATTGAGTACTTCGACAACGAACCACGACTAAGCGTATCTTGCTGCGACAACTGGGCTGATTGGTGCGTCGCATCATTGCCGGCATCGGCATGGGATGATGTCACACTTGGTGAAAAGAGTTTGACTTTCACTTTGGAGAAAAAAGAGGGCGCTCTGTGGGTGTTCTTTGTCACTGAAGAAGGGAATAGAATTTCTCTTAGGGAGATTACTTGGGTTTATGGCCTGGAAGATTTGCAGAATTGGACGGCTGAGGTTGGCGCGATGGCTGCCAGGCCCAACACGGATGCCCAGTCGGATTTGGAGGTCATTTTTCACGCACTTGAGATTACTATAGACGGCAAGTAATTGCCTGGATTAGAACCTTTGCTTGAAGATGAAGCAACAACACGAATTAGGTAGCGATATGCAAGGAAGTTACGGGGCAAGCTCACGCGCATTAACCACTGTGTATTCCTTTGAAAACACGTATTTAAGCCCGTCAAACCAGATGTCTGCAGATGTCTGATTGGCTTGTCTGTTTGGAAATTTTGGGGGTTCTAAAGCATACTGATTGCCTTAATTCCTGAATGGTTGGTGACACTAAAATACATGGTCGTCAAACGCACGTTCAAAGGGATGTGTCGCAACGGTATGATTCGATCGAGACGGCTGGCCGGCCCGAGCATTGACTCGGCCCGCAGGATACCCTGACTCGGCCCACGTCAACGAGTGTCAATCACTTACATAGTACAGAAAACGATGTAAGCCTCTGGGCCTCTCGCTGGCTGGGGCTAACCCAACTGGTATTAGCACCTCAAGAACGGTCGGCCGTGCTGTCATTAGCTGACGGATAGTCTTCGGTGTTCCGCTTCGCTTCCTCCAGAGCACCCCTGGAGTCAAGACACCTCGTGTGGGGTCCTATGACAAGCAAACATCCTCACCACCAGAGGAGGTCGCTTATGATGGTCGTAGGTGGTCATGACAGGAATTACCTCGGAAGTGATCTTTCCCTGCATAGCAAGTTTCCAGTAGTAGGTATTATCGCCGAAGTGGCTTCTGTGTTGCGGACAAGGGGAATCTACTTAGACGAGAACTGCGTGAAGCAACATTTAAAACCTTCCATTGCACAGTGATGATGGCCAGCAGCTTCTGTTATCTATAACCGCAAAAGATCATTTGCTCACTGCTACCACTACCAGAATGACTACTTCTGACTCTACGCAAACACACCGGCTGTCGCGCCTGGCCAGAGAAGACGAGACTGGTCGTCCTGCTCACTTGGACACTGAATCCCCCCAACCAACTCCTCCTAGCGGCGTCTATGCAAAGGTCCTCACTGGAAGCTTTTCTTTTCTGGTCGCTGGTGTAAACGATGGCAGCGTCGGAGCCTTAATACCGTATATCATCCGCGAATATCACATTGATACCGCGGTTGTATCTAGCATGTAAGCAAACTGTGTCGCCTCACATCTTGCGATTGTCATCTGACTATGCTAAAAGCTACGGTGCAACGTTCTTGGGCTGGCTCTGCGCTGCGCTGATCAATACTCATCTGTGTCAATTCATGGATCTGGGCGCGATCATGGCGTTTGGGGCGTCTAGTCAGCTTGTGGGACACGCTCTCCGCACGTTCAAGCCGCCGTTCCCTCTTCTGGTTGTCAGCTTCGTGTTTACAGCACTTGGTCAAGCTCTCAACGACACTCACGCCAATACCTTGGCAGCTAAAACGAAAGGGGCGCACCGTTGGCTGGCCTTTGTGCATGCGTCGTATATGGGCGGCTGTCTCATCGGGCCGTTTGTTGCTACGGCAGTTGCGTCTTCTGGCACTGTACCAAGATGGTACTTGTTCTACTTGTTTCCCGTTGGGCTGAGCATTGCAAATCTGGTGCTTATTACTTGGGCCTTCCGCGATGTTCTGTCACTGAAGCGTAGGCTTCCCATCGCCGCACCAACTGATGGGGAGAATCCAACCACGGACATGGATGCATCTCGGAACAAGGGCGCCGTGACTTTGATCAAGTCAACCCTAAGCCTTCCCGGCTTATGGCTTCTGAGTATCTTTTATTTCTTCTATGTTGGTTCACAAATCACAATCAATGGCTGGATTGTGGAGTATCTTGTTGAGGTACGACACGGAGATCTGGCGCACATGGGATTCATCCCCGCTGCGTTCAACGGCGGTTGCATGATCGGAAGATTGACATTGGCTGAACCAACGTATCGATTGGGTGAGCGCAAAATGGTCTTTATATATTGCCTTCTCGCCTTAGGTCTTGAGCTTGTTTTCTGGCTGTAAGTGCATCCAACTGGACTTGGCTTTTTGTTATCGCTGACGCCAGTAGTGTCCCCAACATTGCTGTGGCCGCAGTAGCAGTTTGCCTCTTAGGTTTTATTACTGGGCCTTTGTTTGCGACGGTGAGCAACACATACCACACTTGCATGCCTGCTGGAAGTCTGTGTTCGCTAACAGATGTATTATAGGGTATATCAGTTGGCACAAAGCTATTTCCCAGAGAAATTCACGCGACAGCGTTGGGATATATTTTCGTTTTCGCGCAAATGGGTGGAGCATTCTTTCCGATCCTGACTGGCGTTGTGGCTTCTCGTGCTGGCGTACAGGTCCTCCAGCCCTTCGTCGTCGGCATTCTAGGAGGCGTGACTATTAGTTGGCTGCTGGTTCCGCGATCGAAGCCGGCATAAAGGGCACATGCGGCGGAGTCAGCGACATCAAAAGATCAAGTAACAAAAACATCAACCGAAGTTGTCGGATACACAGCATGTAGAATCTGGCAGTGCTTCTAGTTTACGTGTAGAGAACAGTAGAACTTCATTGATAAAGTATCTATTCCTCCCTTTTCGGACGCTGCGGTATTCCGTACCAGCAAACCAGCATCACCGCCATCAAAAACATGACGATAGGATGCAGCACGAATGTTCCGGAAAGCTGGGCTAGAAGGCCAGTGAAGAAAGGCGCCACCGCACCTCCCAAACTTCCAAAAGCGCTAATCGTCACCATCCCTCTTAAAGCCTCCCTTCTCGTCATGTTTCGCATGAAGACAGCTGCGGCACAGGGATAGACAGGCCCCAACATTAGGCCAACCACCGATACTGCAACTGCGTTCCCGATAACATTAGGGACAAGCCATACAAGAAGTTGCAAAGCAAAAGCAATAACAGTAAACCCATAAACGAAACTCTTTTCACCCCAACGCTGCGCTGGCGCTGACAAGACGAATCGTCCAACCGTAATGCCAGCCCAGAACCCAGCTGTGACGTTACCAACCTTCGCGGGATCCCCATCTCTAGCCTCAATCAGGAACGAGATCACCCATCCGGAAATAGATACCTCGGCGCCTTGATATGCAAAGATGAAGATTGCCCCTGATAGAACCAAGCGCATGCGAAGAGTGGCTAGGATACTAGAAAGAACGGACGCAGAGGTTGCCGTCATTTCGTTTTCTCGTGCGCCTGGATCGAGTTCCCGCTCGTAGTCCCGAAATACCCATACAGAGGATAGAAGTGTGCACAAACTGATACCCAGAGGAACCAAGTAAAATGTGCTCCAGGTCGCGTTCGCGGCCCCAACAATGGCCGTGGCAATAAGAGGGCTGATGGTCCCGCCAATACCGTAAAAACCGTGCAGAATACCCAAAATCAACGTGCCGTTTCGAAGGCCGCCACAAAAGATGTTTCCCAAGGCCATGTTGATAGCAGCCCCAAAACCAACGAAAAAGAACGAGATGGGGATGAAGGGATAAGGGGCGGCGGCAGCAGCGGGAATGGAGCCGCAAATCAGTGACACATTGCCCACAAACAAAACTGTGGCACGGCCAAACTTGACTCGGAATGAATCGAGGACAAAAGCAGCAACTATGAAACCAAGTGCTTGCCCCACGAAGATGAGCGAAACCACGGCATACCCTATGCCATAGTGCCTACGAGATTCGTTAGCGGTCAGCGTTTCCTCTACTGTTGCACCTCAATGCCACAGCCAGAATATTGTCTTACTCCTCCACGTAAGGGATTATGGCACCGGCACCGGCATCGCTGAAACCGTTTAAAAAGCTGGACAGGCATACGGCAGAAAGCCTGGACCTATTGATGCTCGAGTGCCAAGCACTCTGAGTCCGTTCTGTAGCCTCCGTGACAGCATGGTTGCCGGGATTCGTGTCGGTGGTGTGGTTGCGTCTATCCGCCTCGGAGGCCGGTTTTGTTGCAATTGATTCGATTCGAGCCATCTCAATGGCTTCACCATGAGCTGATCTCGTTGTGGCGAACTCGGGAGTTGGCATTTCGACAGAGTTGAATGCTAGTAGAGAAATACGGGATGCTGAAATTTCTCCCCTTAACCTCTGTCCATAGGAGATGATGTGCCGATGGTAAGGTTGACAATGCTAGTATCCAAAGCATACAAGAGATAATTACAGATCAGTGATCAGCCTGTCACCAACAGGGTTTAGCTCCCGATTCATGGCCTTGCCGCGCATGCGGCGGAGACTCCGCGTTTGTCCAAAGTCCTTGATTCAGGTTTGGTTAAAAGTAGTTCCCGGAGCTGATTTCTGACCGTAAGAAGCAATACTCTCAACATCGACTTGACACAGCCCGTCTATATCGGGAAATTAAGCTGGGTGGCAAGGGGGGGAAAATGGTGAAAAACCGCGATCATACGGAAAATTCCGTCCCGGCTGTGGACTGTGCAGGTTTTGCGGAGTTACAGGCCAGGGTGACTCCTGTATTGGTTTGGGCAAATTTCGGTCCTGAATTCCCCGTTGGCTGATACCTCATCGTCGTGGCGAGTAGTATGTGAGTTCATACTCTCACCAACTTTTAGGGCGACCTTCCGGCTGACCTTTAATGAACAGTAGTAAGTGAAAGCGCAGATGACAGCATAATCCTTCCCAGCCTGCTCCGAACTTCTGTTCGGCGTCAGGTGGCGCCTGGGTGCGTGGATCATCGTTGCTGCCGGTGTCGGATTTCATGAAATCCTTCTAGTGACAGGCATCGATGAGGATTGAGGAGATGATGATCAGTTTTAAATCGCGTCCAGTCCACGAGAGATGTTCATTGGCCGATCGTTGACCTCGCTGCGGCGATTCTCATATATTTCGATTGAAGATACATAAATCTGTCAGCTTGACGCTACATTCTGTCAACGCTCCCCGATTTAGGCACTGGAGGCGCATACTCATCAGAGACGACGATGGAGCAGAAAACACCACTTACAGGCCAAGGATTGGAGCTTCTCTTTAACACGAGACCATCATTCGTTGAACACACAATAGCAGTACTGGTGCCTACTAGGCCCGATGCCGTCGCACCTGATGGAGGCTATCTTACATGAGCACATGTTGGAGCTGGATGGCTCGTAATACGTACGACCTCGGGTTTTGTGAACTCATTCGGCAGTTTTCAAAGCCATTATGGAAACGCATTGCCAAATTCACACTCTGAGATTTCATAGATCGGGTCCGTTCAGACCTGGCTGCTATTCTTTACTGGAGTCCTTTCTGGCAGAATGCTCGACGCCGGTTTCATGTTCTTTCGCTCAACCTTCTTCGCTGACGCCGTGCTTTAGATCATGGGTATTTTGACTCTCAGCGTTTCCACCCAGAATTATCAGCTACTTTTCACCCAGGGAATTCTAACAAGACTTGGTGGAGGTGCTTTCACACCCGGCCTGTCTGTGGTTACGACCTACTTTGCAAAGCGACGCGGTTTTTCCGTAGGCTCGGCAACCACGGAAATTCAGCCGGAGACATAATCTACCCGACATTTGCTTCCGTCGTCAGTTCCATTACTCCCTAAAGTCGGCTTTGGGCGGACTTTCAGAATTCTTGGATTTCTCAACTTGCTATGCGCACTGGCCGCACTACGTGTGATGCGCCCCAGGCTACGCCCTTGTAAGACTGGCGCACTCCTTGACTTTTCTGTACTCAGGGAGCCAGCTTTCTTATCTTACGTTGTGGGCGTTTTCTTGTTCATATGGGCGCACAACTTCATCTTCTACTACGTTAATCCATGCGCCCATCTGGCTGTAATATCTGCTGACAAAGTGACCCAGATAACATCGTACGGCATGGTTTAAATCAAACTATCCTATTCAGAAGCCGCCGTCTTGGTCATGATCACAAATGGCTCAGGAATGCCTGCTCGTGAGAACCTCTCTAACTGCTTGCTCCAAGTCGCCCTTCTCAAGCCTCAACTTCTCATCCCATAATCCCCATGGTCTTGAATCTCCCAGAGCTTGTTTACCAAAGGCCGCACCTCCAACTAGATCCGTGGCACCCATCAAGTCTCCCTCAGCTATTCTCTTATTGCCTTGGTCGATCAGGTCCTCAGATGTAGTATGCTTCACTGTCCATTTCTGGCCGTCAATCTTCTCCACTACGTCAAGGAGATCTTTCTGACTTGTATGGAAGGAAGATATGTAGACGTATTGGTTCTTAGTCCCATCAGCGTGTTGTAGTATCGCCAGGGTTGCTTTTGCGATGGTCGGTAGGGTCGTAGCTGTACAGACGGCAGTTCCACCGTCGATGAGTGTAACCGTTTTGGACTTGATGTCGAAGCCGAATAGGCCAAGGCGCATACCCCAGTCAAAGAAAGCGCCTGGAATAAGAGCCGACCAAGAGATGGAAGACTCCTTGGATCGCAGATAGTCGACCGTAGCCACCTTGGGCGGTAAGGCGGGATGCAGGGCGGTGAACTTTTCATCGCGCGACGGAGGCCCAAATTCGCTAGGCAAGAATCTCTTCACGCCCGCAGCTATGGCCGCATCAACCAGATTCTGTTGACCACCCGTAGCAAAGACGGCAACCATGCTAATCACCACATCCTGACCTTCCATGGCATGTTTGAGTTCGTTGACGTCGGAATAATCCGCCCTGATGATAGGCACACCTTCGGGGAAGGTTGATTTCGATTCCTTGCGGGTCAGGATGCTGACATTGTACGGAGCATCCATGAACAGTTTCAAAACATGGGCACCGAGGTTTCCGCTCGCCTTTGAAAAAGAATTTGTTAGTAAACTTATTAGAGACCTAGAGGCGACAGGAGACATACGCCAATGAGAAGAACATTTTTGAAAGAAGAGTTCATTTTGAAAATAGGTGAAGTAATGAACCAATGGCAATTGAAGGGTTGGTAGGACGTTATTGGCGTGTAGAGAGCACGGGTCGAACATGTAGCGTAACATGATGCCTTATATAATCTACTTATCTCTGTAGGCTCCCAAAAGGCTCATGGGTACCCGAGCGTGTAAAGAAAGTAGTGAGGTTGGCAAAGACCCACCCAGGTTTTCAGATTAGTATACATACTTACACACCATTCCATACCAAGCGATGATATTCGGTTGACCAATTGCTGGGGAGTAGTGTGTACATTAATTATATAATTCGTTCGTAGTCGGGCTGCATTACGGAGTGCTAATTCGGAACTAGTTTCTATGATGTTTAAACTCACAAGTCAGTTGTCTAAACACCTGGAGCTCTTAAGGTCGTATCAAGCCAGTCACGGCAGTCAAACTTGCGTTCAAAGGCGTAAGGATTAGTATTCTTTCAGTTATCACAATAACTATAGAGCGGCCGTTGTAGCACTATTGTAGCCCAACCCTTAAGGTACTTAGGAAAGGACCAGTGACCACAAGAAGCAATACATGCATACAAGCGTATTTCATACACATACATACAATGTATATTACGTCTGGTGGTGAAACTGAAAGGGCTACTAAATCTGACTATCTGTACACTGCTAAGTGTATGTCTTTGCCCCCCTAAATCCCAAAAGTGACGTCCCCATTTCCTGCTTACTCTACCGCATCTGCCTTCTCGCTGCGGATTCACCTGAAGCTTTTGTCACGAATGGAGTTCTGAGCTGCAGAACAGCGAATTGAAACGAAGTGAATCTCACATCAGTAGAAAAGCTAGATGTAGGAGCAACCCCGGAGATATTCCTATATAGAGGGAAAATCTCATTGAGTCAGCCACCCTGACTAGTGCCTGCTGAATGGAAGAAAAACACAACAGGCTGGACCAGCGAACAGAAGGACCTATTTCCCCTCACGTAATCGATTGGGCCGTAACATTTAGCTCCGTCCGGCCCTCCCGAGCCCTCTAGAAGCAGAAGGTCGGAGCTTCCAGTATGTGCCAAAATGTTAGCGGGATAGATAAGGGGCCTTTAGGGAATACTTGAGGCATTTGTATCGCATTTGTGATGCGTTCTTATCTTGGCTGCTGGATCAGTAATCCTGAGAAGGGGCAGACATGAAAATCAAAACGATTGATTTGCCAAGAGTTTACTAGTCTGAGTTACTTTTCTAGGCCAAGGGCAAAACTCTCTTCCGCTACGTGAGCACTTCCATGCAAACGGAGCGCCGCAGCTATTGCTTGAGCTTCGGCAGCGCATCAAACGCAGATTACAAATGGCCAAGTCCAGTATTCCGAAATCGAGCACAAGTTGAGAGCCAACTGGTGTTGAAATCGTTGCATTCGCGTCACGAGCCCCAACTTCCCAAGCAAATGAAGTAAATGTCATGTGGTTGGCCATAGTATGACTTTAAAAGCGCGCCTTCTGCGATACTGGCATTCTTTATCTGGGCCAATATATATTCTAGCCCGGCCTCAACATCGAGTGCGACTTCTACTAATGCAACATCCTATGCAATACAATGCGGCCACCTACGCTTATTGTTCTGGCTCGTCAAACCCAGCGAGTACACATTTAATATTCAATATTCTGAAAGAATAAAACTCTATCCTGATAAGCTTCCTGACGTACTTGGTAGCGTGAATGGCCTCACTCTCAAGGTCGGACGAGTGCGATTTCTACCGCTACACCGAATGCCACAGAGAGCCTTTTGACGTCAAACAGACCGTGACAACCTCTGTTCAACCGACTACAGAAGTAGCAGTTGAAGTCATTTTATTATCACTTGAGATGCTATCTGCGTCCCAGCATTCATCCTGGCTGCCACCATATGATTCACGTTAGGCAATATGCGTACGGTACTATACAGTAAAGAGCGCCTAGAATGCTGCTCAACCTCGCGGTAGCGTCAAACAAATCAGGGGTATGGGAGGGCAACCGGCCTTCCACTGCATTATGGCAAAGTCGGGATGACGCCGGGTTCGCCGCCTGGATATCCAAAGGCAACCCACCCAGGATGACGGAAAAGATGGCAACACGCGCAGAACTGACGCGATCCAAGGCCGGTGGCCGAGACGGTGATTGCGGCGAACCCCGCGTTGACCACGCCGGGGGCTCAGACCCCAAACACGGAGCTCGCAAGGATATGGTCGCAACTCGCCGTCACTTCCCCGCTTCTCAGCACGGCAAGCCGGGACGGCCGGTTAATAGAGTTTGCCGCTCTGATTTCCACTGCCCGGCAAATGTATTCCACTCGTGCTGTGGCTAGATAAGGACCTGGCTACTGATCGAACCACCCCACATATCGTGAATCTCTACCTCATCTTATCTTCCCTCGTAATGTATCCGTCCTTGCTAACATTGAGCAATCTTCCAGTGTCACTGCCTGCGCTGTTGGGCTGTGTCGCATTTGCAGGATGCGTTGTATACATCATCTATCAGAGATACTTCCATCCACTCGCCGACTTCCCGGGTCCGTTCTGGGCATCGGTCACAGACCTGTGGCAGGTCATCCAGTTTTTGTCCCTCAAACAGCCATACAACCTGACAGAGCTCCACGAGAAGTACGGCGAGTTTGTCCGCTACGGTCCAGATAATCTAAGCATCACCGCCGAGGAGGTCGTTCCCCTTGTATATCAAAAGGGCGGGAGACGCATGCCCAAGACGGAGTATTACGATGCCTTTGGCTCAAATATCCCAAATGTCTTCGGAATGAGAGATGTTGAGGTAGGACGCTAGCGCAAATCACGCTCTGAAAATGATGTTGAAAATGCCACAGCTTCACTCCATCCGCCGACGACATATGTCGAACAGCTTTTCGCTGTCAAGCGTGAAGGGAATGGAACACCATCTCGATGAAAACATCAAGCTACTCCGCGAGAAGATCACAAAATTCGCCAACGATGGGGAGTCTTTTGACCTGAAGAAGCTGCTTCACTACTACACCATCGATGTCCTCGGCGAACTAGCGTTCAGTCGTTCTTTCGGCGTCCAGATTTCCGACGACGAGTCTCTTGTCCCTCCCGTAGTCCCCCATACTCTGCTCGGCTCGATGACAGGTTCCTGGCCAGCGATGACCCAGACTCTGAAGAAGTGGCTACCTAGGATCCCACATCCGGGCTTGCGGGCCTTGTTTGAGGGGCGGGCGAAGTGTGCACGTCTGGCGGTTGAATGCGTTCGGCGGAGGCTTGGGGAGCTGGAAAAGCAGGAGGGCGAGAGCGCAAAGGATGGGAGGACGGATCTGTTGACGAATTTGATCTTGGCCAAGCACCCTGATAGCGGGGAGAAGCTAGCCCGGATCGATCTTGAGGCTGAAGCGTTTGGGTTCATGTGAGTAGAACTTTTAGCGGTGTTGCTGTGTTGTTTTCTATGGGGATTGGCGTGCTTACTGACTGGGTTTTGCAGTATCGCGGGAACGCACACAACGAGTGCTACGACGACGCTTCTGTTTTGGAACTTGCTTCACAACCTCGAGTCTCTGAGCAAATGCGTGAGAGAGATTGACCAACATCTGACACCGCTCGACGACGAAAAGACCGCGTATTCGGTAACCGAAGTAGAGAATTCGTTGCCTTTTCTTAGAACATGTGTCAGGGAGAACTTTCGTCAAACTCCGGTTTTCACCATGCCGCTTCCAAGACGTGTGACGGCTCCGGAGGGTATCGTCGTCGCTGGGCGTCATATCAAACAAGGGGTAGGCAGACTTCTATCAACGGAAGGTCTTGATGGCTTGCTTCGTCCTTGTGTCTGTGAAAACATAAGCTGACTCCCTAAATCCAGACGTCCGTTGCCGTTTGCAACCACGCGTTCCACCACAATCCTAGAGTCTGGGGCGATGATCATGGCAACTTTGACCCGAGTCGCTGGGAAAATGAAGAAACAGCGGAGCGAGCGCGTTACTTGATGCACTTTGGTCTAGGGGGTCGCCAGTGTATTGGCAAGGCATTGGCACAGACGAACATTTACAAACTCGCCAGTACGCTATTGGGCGAGTTCGACTTCCAACTTGCCGATGCTCAAGAGAGAGACGAAGTCAAGAAGGGTAGTTTTACTGGAAAGCTACCCCCAATGGCTGCAGTGGGAGGCAGTGATTTGGACGGACCATTGATGGTTACTGCTAGTACCAGACTTTCTAAAGATGACTGACGCCCGGAGCGGAGCGATTTCACTTATACACACATTTGACACACGAGAATGTTGGAAGTAGCTTGTCAAATACTCTCGTTCTGACTTATTCACTATCCATATCAACCAACTTATACCCAAAACCCATCTGGACGGTATTACCCACCCCTCTCCAAAGAATTGAAGCCCGTTATGTCCATCTCATGAAGTCTATGTACATCATCCACGGCTAATAAGGCCGTTCCTTTGAGCAGAGCAGCTGCTTAACCAACGTACTTGACAGTGACGGAGCTGCCGCTGACGGAGGCCGAAGCAAGGATGGTAGAGCCGCGGTTGGGGGAGATATCAATGATATCGGCACCGGCGGGAGTAGTAGAGCCGGAAGATCCAGAAGCGGAAGCACCAGTGAAGGTGACGGTGCCGAAGTCAGCAAGAGTGACCTGGCTGCCGTTCTCCTGGAAAGCCTCAACGATCCACTCGGCGTTGGTCTCGCAGAGAGAAGAGGGGGTGCTGGTGAAGGAGTGGGTGACCTTCTTGCCGGTGGTCAGGTTCTCCAGGGTAGCAACACCCTTGGTCTTTGAGGAGGCATCGACGGTCATGCGGATGGAGTCGCCGACGCTGACGCCGAAGTTGTTGAAGTTGTAAGCGTAGTCGGGGATCCACTCGTACCAGGCGTCAAAGGTGCCGTCGGCGTAGAAGGAGATACCGGTCTGGAGGATGGCGGTCTGGCAGGTGTCGCCGTCAATACCGACCCAAGCGGAGGCGGCGGAGCCGCTGGAACCGCTGACGTCGGGGACGACGATGGTGCCGGTGACGTGGTTGTAGCCGGTGCCAATCTTGACGGCGCCGGCCCAGTTGGACGAGTACTCGACGTTCTTGTCGGTGGATGCGGTGGAGGTGGAGTCAAGGGAGAAGACATCGGACTCAAGGCGCTGGTTGGGCTTGGAGCTGAACCTGGACCGGCGGTCGGAGCGGGGGACGAGCGGGGAGTAGTTGCGCTGGACGAGCTTGGTGCCCGGGGCGGCGGAGACAAGGCCGGCGGTGGCGGCGGCGAGGAAGAGAGAGAACTTCATCTTGATAGGATGGGGAACGAGACGGGGCGGGACCGGAGACGAAAGCTGGGTACTTGAGGCTCTTGCTTGGCTGCTGCTGCTGCTGCTGATCAAAAAAGCTTGGCTATCTTGGCGATCGATCTAGTCTTTTATAACCATTTCACGATGCGCTGGTCTTGGCGTCTCGGACGACAAGTTATGGCATGGCCGTGATGTCCCCATTGCCGCTATTCTCCTTATCGCAGGTGAGAAGACATCGCGATGCCGGTTTGCCGGAGGTCGTTCATGCCACAGCATGAGCATTTCCAACGAGGTCTCCATCGACGAAGAAGCTCCTGCCTGTTTAGGAAGTATCGTGAGTCCCCCTGGTGTTGAGGTCGCATCAAGTTTCAATCGCAATCGGCAGCGGGGCGGCAACACGGCAAGTTCGGCACCTCGAGGACCCACTTCGGCTCCGGGGATGCCAAGACGGGAGTTGGTGATTGGCGGGGGAGACAACACGATATCCTCCTTTCATTAACGCACTCTCCACACCATTATCAGCTCCCGAGCAGCTGCAGCAAATGGAGGGATTACCACTTTCCTTTTTCGATCGGTCTTTTGCAATGGCGCCATAACTTATAAGCATAAAGTGCCGAGTAGGTTTCCCGAAAGTGGGACTCGGCCGACGGATAAGACTGGCGCTAGACGCCGATTGGAGTAAGGTTGTCATGAGGCCGGGATGTGCTGGCGGTTAGGGATTGGAAGTTGGCAGGAATCTTTGTCCTGAGCACGCGGGCAAGAGCACAATTAGAGCATAGTCCGGTTTGTTTTTGAATACGAGTATCACGAGAGATCATTGCAATATGCCATGGAATGGCGCGATGTCTCTACGACCACAGCGTGAGGCCGTTGCTGGTCAAAGTTCTCGCATTGTTACCGGCTCAACGGCTTTCTTATCGTAACTCCCAAGTTCGTTGATGTCTTAATCTCGGCATTCCTCTGCTTTTTATCATTGTTCTAGATCTAGGCCCAGGTCCTGGATGATGATATCCGCTGCCTTTTCTCCAAGCATCAATGCTGTGTTGTAAAGGTTCGCGGCAACCTGTTTGGGCGGAGTACTCAAGTCAGCGATCTTAAAGCCCGAAAGTCCGTACACGTTCAGCCTGGGGTCGACTTTGAAGTTTAGTAAATATTTCAACCCTTTTCAGTGCGAGTTCACATACCAACACCGGTCGCTTCCAGCGGCGCCATCTTGCATGTACCAAGAGGATGTCTCGAGGTGCCGATATTTTCTCGGATGTACTGCACAATGACTGCATTGTCTTCGGTTGAATAACGGATCTCGTCTGTTATGGGGCCATCTGCAACTTCGACAATAGAAGCATTGGAGCCTTCCGGGAACTTTGGATGCCCTGACGCGAGTTCACCTCTGAAGATTTCCATCCGGCGTGACATGGTTCTCTGCGTTTTGTAGCCCCAGATGTGGCTCTTCAAATCGATGTCGTCTTCGTCAAGTAGCCACCCTGGATCAAAGTCATAATGATCATCGATGCTAGGCCCGGTGATGTGAACGTGTCCCCTAGCGTACGGATACGTGACCCACGGCGCTGTGGTGACGTATTCGGCATCATCTGGTAACGCAGCTGGGTCGCCAAAGAAGGCGTTGAAGAGACCCCAGACCATGAGAGGTCGGTTAGGGACATCCTTAAAGTCTCTGTCCCAAACAGCTTGAAATTCTGGGCCAAGGGCTGCAACATCTGCAGGGGAAGGGCGCAATTTGCTCGAGACATCGTGACCGTTCCATCCGAGTTGCGGGTCATCTGCGGCGATCATGGCCGGGACGTCCCGGCCCCTGTCATTGCGGGCGATTCCGTTGATGGTTTCATTTTGAGTAAGAGAGGTGCGGTAGACGTAGCCTACGAAATGGTGATCTTTGGACTATTAGTGCAGGTATTTTTGTGGCTTCGGGAAGTGTATACTAACCCTGAAAGTCGTTTCCTACACCCGGAAGAGATTCAACAACGGGTACTTCAGCTTTCTCAAGTACCGCGGGATCCCCGACTCCGGATCGTTCGAGAAGAAGTGGGGTACCGAAAGAGCCGCTTGAGGCGACGACAAGCTTCTTCGCCGTAATACTTCTGGTGCTGTTATCCTGAACCCCCTTTGCAAAATTGGGGTTCGGTCGGAATTCGACGCCGGTAGCGCGCTTAGTCTCGTCAAATAAGACGCGAAGGACCTGTGTCTCAACCAGAACGTGGAGATTGGGATATTCACCGCTTTGTAGTGCAGGATGGAGATAACGATGGCCGACGTCCTGTCGACGCCCGTCTTCCGGAGAGACGTAGCGGTACCACGGGCCTGAACCATTGTTGGAGTGCAAGCTTTGAAGGTCTACGATCTCATCGAATCCAGTACTGACGGCGCCCTTGATGAAACCTTCTTCGGCGCGTGGTGCTTGGTGTGTTCCTTTAGAGATGTGAATTGGGCCTTCGTAGCCGTGCGTTGATATGTTTGTAGTCGCGCCGTGATACGTCTCTGTCTTGATGGTGCGTTAGGCTTCTCTTGAACCTGAAGCAAAGGCCAAACCTTGGTTTTCTGGACCTACCTTTGCTAAGTACGGTAATACGTCCTCTGCAGTCCACCCGGAGGTATTCCAGGCATCGAAATCATCCCACTGGCCGCGTGTGTAAACCATCCAGTTAATAGATGATCCACCGCCCAGGATACCGCCAGTCTCGACGACAGGCTCTCGATCTGCGAGTTGGGGAGACTTGTTTGCTTTCCAAAACAAGGCCGTGTCAGACCCAGGCAGGGTGTTCCTCTCAAAGAGTGCCGGGTAAATGACATTGGTCACGTTGAAGCTGTCTTGGCCCTGTTCGATGACCAGGATAGAAAGGGCAGGATCCGCCTCGGCGAGGCGAGTCGCAATGATGCTTCCAGCCGTACCGCCTGCAATACCGTTAGAGTTCTGAAAGTCGATAACTATTATTTGTTCAATACCTACCTCCGGCTATGATCACATCCACTTCGGTCAGATTGCTCGGAAGTTCCGTATACACTGCAATGGCAGTATTGGCGGCTATTAAAGCCCCGACCATAGCTGTTGTGAAAGTTCCTAACCCCATGTTGACCGATTGTTGCAAGCAGTCGTACGCCCGCCGGCAGGAACGAGGTTGATGGAAAGAGCCAGACCTTTATTTAGGCCTTTTATCGCCGCTGTCGGCCACTCGCGGTGCCCAATCTCACAGTTGGAGGCAAGAGATCTGCAAGATGGCTGAGTACGTGATGAATTCGTTGATCTTTTACTGGCTATATGCACTGTCACCACCGGACTTCCAGAGACATCAGTCGGGGTTGCTTCCGATGTTGCATTACCAGTTGGCGAATTGACTTGGCACTTGCAAAGTGAGCCTGAAGTTCTACTTTCTCTGAGACTTGAGTGGGATTAAGCTGCCGCTTGTCCCTCGGAAGCCTGGTCTGTGAGGGGAAATATGCTGCAAGCTGTTGATCACCCGGTCAGCGTCGCAACAAGGCCCGCTAAAAACGAGAAAACATGCCGATAATGGACAACGTTAGTGAGGACTAGATTGTGACAGAGTCGTATGATTCGCTTGTTCGCATTCTACTTCACTTGCTGGTGTGATACCTCGTCGAAGGGAACTCTGATCTTCAATCACTGCGAGTTGACGCCTTGAGAAACCCTGTATGCTGAGAAATGTTCCTTACGATCCGCTCATATCCCACGCTTGATGCTGCTAGCGGCGCTCGCGGCGAAGGCGTGATCCACCTTTCGGCGTCGGTGCCGGTCAGGTCCGGCCCGGTGTGGGGACTGGGTGTCTAGTGTGCTGTGTCGGGGGCCGCCAGTGGCATCAGACATCCACAGATGCATAAGCGCTCCATGAATATTCGTAAGTTAGATCCGTAAACTTTATGTTTAGGATTAATTATCAACCTCTTTCGGCGAGCTCGCTCTCATTACACCTTCATCGCCACTTTCTCATCTGGCCCTTTCGTGTCGAAGTTTTCAGGCATAGGTACCGCCTCAATGACCCCTTCATCCTCCTCAGGCCGAACATAATCCCTCGGCTCAGCCCACTTCTCTTCCATGATTGGAGGCGGCCAGATCTTGCATGTGATCCAGAAACTGAACCCCGACAAGGCCAGACCGACCCAGTATGCAAAGAAATAAAACCTCGAAATGCCGACGGGTGCTGACACGCCCATGTTGTTGAGGAACCCGTAGAAGTTCGGGATGATGCCGATGATGTACGCCACGTACGCCCTCACGTTCCATCCGTGGGTGTAGTAGTACGCGCCGGTCTTCATCGAGGTGAAGGCGTCCGGGATGTGGATGCGGCCGCGGCCGATGATGTAGTAATTGACCAACAGCACACCGGTGATGGCGGACAGGAAGGTCTGGTAGGATGAGAGGAATGACACAAATACCGAAGCGGAACCCTTTTTCGACATTAGTCACCGGCTATTTTTCACATATGACTTCGACTTACCAGAAGGAACCAGGGGTTGATGGCGAACGACAGCACAGCGCAGACGAAGAATCCCCTCCTGACGGTAAGATACTTCGGAAACAAAGCGGCGATATCGTTACCAGCAGGCAGCGAGTTCTCAAAGATGGACGAGAAGATGCAGCAGTAAGCAAAGCAACCAGCGATGAAGAAGCATCCCGCCCGGTTCGCAGCCGTGTACTCCGCCGTCTGAAGCATATCCAACATTGTCACCGGATTCCAGACCAACTCGCCAAAGATCAGCTCACTCGACGCACACACCAGGTTTCCCACAGCAGCGACGATCAAGTTGGAGACCGGAAACCCAAAGATGTTGCCGAGGATAACGTCGTTCTTCTTCTTGGCGTAGCGCTGGAAATCCGCCGCGTTGCTGGCGAAGGTGGCGCAGTTGGCCGCGCCGAGCATGAAGAACTGCACGATCAGCCAGGCTCTCTTGGATCCCGTGGCTGTTCCTCCTCGTCGGACGACGGGGCCGAGACCGCCTGCTTTCGTGGACGTCCATGCCAGCATCGCAATGGCGGAGATGACGAAGACGACGAGCTTGGCGTAGACGAGTCCCTTCATCTTCGGGACGGGGATGACCAGGAACGCGCAGGTGATGAGCCAGAAGATGACGAACCCGATCATGCCCGCCGTCGTCAGGGCGCTGCCTTCGCCCATGGTGTTGGGGATATTGGCGATGCCGGGGATGATGGCGTGGAGCATCACATAGATACACTGGCCTCCTTGCACGGCGTTGACGCCGTTCCAGACGATGGCCATGACGGCACGGTTGAACGTGGGCCACCACGCGCCGTAAACACCGAAAGCCGTCCTGCAGAAGACGGGAAAGCCGACGTGATAGGTGGCTCCCGGGCGACCGTTGAGGGTGATGATAATGGCGATCAGACACTGGCCTCCGAATGCGCAGCCGAGGGACTCCCACATGGAGAGGCCGAGGGCCTGGGCTGTCGAGGAGGCGTACCAGTTGGAGACGGTGGCGACGGCGGAGAACCAGAAGGTAAAGTAAGTCCATTGCGTCCAGGTGCGGTCGGCGAGCTTGAGGGGGCGGATGTCATCGTTGTTGAGGAGGGCGTCGCGGCCGTGGATTTCGGGGGTGCCGGCCGCCGTGGGCACGCGGAGGCGGTTGAGGAGGCCCATTTTCGGAGCCGTCTTTTCTCGGGTGACTTGGATTGAACTTGGTGCGTTTGATGTGGAAGTCGATGTCAAGCCTGAGGGAGTTTGCCCACCCGCCCGCGAAGAATGATGAATAGAACAGCACCAGACAGCGGACAGGATGAGATGACCAACGTTGACAACGACTTATATCAAATCACATCCTTTGCAAAAATAATCATATCAGAGGCTCTTCGTCAGCGATAGTGATAAACCAAGATACCGGAACAGCCCAAAAGGATGTGGGATGTGGGGGAGATAAGAGATGCAGGGATGCGAGTCCGCGATCTGCGCGACTCGTGGCGCCGGGCCTCTCCGCGAGTGCGACTTGAGCATGTTGCTCGTGATCACTGGTGTAACTGGACACCAGCCAAAGTTTGTGTAATACTCTATGTGACTTCAAATCGCGTAGGGAACAACAGTGTTGATGAACTCGGGGAGGTTGCCAAGTATTTCAAAGAGCAGGTCAAGCTTTGTTAGTCGGCCGCGGAGACAGAGCAGCCACCCCGGAAAAGACCCCTGACCCTCCGAAAACCGGGGTGAACCCCGTACCCCACACGGCCGCTGTCGGCCTAGACCTCCGACCGATAAGGGGGACCCGACGGCCGCCAACGAACCGCGTCGCACACCATTATCAACCGCTATCGTGCAATCTCAGCTGCAGCTTAGGCGAGGTCCGACGATGTCCGGTGGACCACGGACAACGACTCTCATTGATCGGCATCTCGAGCGAGCTTCAAGGAATCAAAACTCGTCGCCAAGTTGAGTCAGGTACCGGAGCGGCGGAATTAACAGGAATACGGAATTCATCTGCAGCTATTTATCCGTGCGACTGAGCCCCCTCGACATCGATCTCATAGATCTGAACGCAAAACTAGCAACATCACTTCGGATTTCTACTGTCTAAAAAAAAGAAGAGAACAAAACAGCAAGGATGTCGACAACAGTAACAGAAACGGCTCCGGAGAGCTACAAGCTCGAGCTGATGTCGGCCTACGGCCCCGTCTACCGCGACGTCCTCCGCGCCCCGCCCCGCGACTGCGACGCCTCCGAGGTCCCCGTCATCGACCTCTCCGGCATCCGCGGCGCCGAAGCGGACCGCCGCGCCCTGGCCGCCACCATCCGCGACGCGGCCGAGAACACGGGTTTCTTCTACATCAAGAACCACGGCATCCCCCGCGAAACCATCGACGCCGCCTTCAAGCAGGCGCAGGCCTTCTTCTCCCAGCCCGCCGAGGACAAGGCCCTGGTCTCGCAGAAGAAGTCCAAATTCTTCAACGGCTGGACCGAGAAGCGAGCCGCGCAGATCTCGCCGACGGAGACCAAGGACCACCGCGAGGGGTTCAGCTTCCGGTACGACCCGGCCCACGACCCCGAGGCCAAGGACCCGGGCGCGGTGCCGGAGGAGGTGAAGCCGTGGATGAAGCACGAGGACTTCGTGTGGGAGGGCACGCGGCACCTGCCGGGTTTCAAGGACGACATGGTGACGTACTGGCAGAGCTGTCTCACGCTGGCGAGGAGCATGATCCGCATCTTCGCGTTGGCTCTGGATGTTCCCGAGGACTACTTCGACGATGTGATCACGTACCCTGGGAGCGACAGCGTGTGCAACTTCTACCCCAAGAACACGGAGCCGCAGGATGCCGTTATCGACGTCGGCCTTGGCGCGCACACCGATCTGCAGTGCTTCACGCTGTTGTGGCAAGACAGCGTCGGCGGGCTGCAGGTTTTGACCAAGAACGGTCAGTGGATCAAGGTGCCGCCTGTCCCTGATACCTTCGTCATCAACATCGGAGACTTCTTGCAGAGGTTGTCAAACGACCGATTCAAGTCCACGGTGCACCGCGTCTTCAACTACGCCCCGCAGGATCGGTACTCGATGCCGTTCTTCTTTGGCTTCAATCACAACGAGCAGTGTGCAGTCCTCTCCACTTGCGCGGACGAAAAGAACCCGCCCAAGTATGAGCCCATCTCCTGTGGCGAGGTAAGTCGAAGTCTCGACGAGCCGCAGATGACTACTAACATTGATACAGTGGTGCCGTTTGAGATTTGAGAGGACTTTTGAGTTCTCTAGGAAAAAGAATCAAGGAAAAAGTGAGGATGTCGCCCCTTACTGATCGATACAGACTCTGCGTGGGGTTAAGGAGATCGGAAGCCTTTAAGGTAGCGCTGAAAATCATCTTGCTTGTGTTGCGCCTCTGAAATGGTCTGTAAATATCTATAAAAAAGATGCGCTCCCCCTGGTATCCGTACACATTTACTATACAATTCCCGCCTGATTGACCCATGAGCGGTCCTCTAATACTACGTTATGGATGTCACGTGGACCACAGCGTCAATATACGTCCGATTCTCGACCGAGCATGCCACCCCGGGTTTCAGCTTGAACATGCCGTTCGGCCCAATCGAGAATGGGTCAGTCTTGTCCAGCTTGACATTGACTTTGCCAACGGCCAGCGAACAGATCCGCACTTTGTCATCTTCGTCAGCCCATTGGTGGGAGCCGCCCGGTTTGATGACAACGACGTTGAAGGAGATGTCTTCCGAGACGGCGACAACCTGATTCGACGTCAGGTATGCATTCGAAAATGCAACATCTATGGAAATGTCAGTGAAGGCTGCAATGCAGAAGAACCATTAATGACTTACTCGTTGGAGTCTGGCTGCGCTCATCGCGCACACGTCCTGGGGCTATCTCCCAATCTTCCATCTCCAGAATGTCTGCTGGCATTGTCTGTTCAGCTGTGGCCGAGACAGCAGAGACAGGGGCTGGCTTAGAAGCGGATGTGACTGCGGCCTTCGTGGTCGAGGAGTACCTAGTGACTCGCCGTGGGGGACTGCTCGGTGCGGGTGCGTCGATGGCTTCCCTGGCGGTAGGAACGGCGGGCGTGACAGCACGCGACGAGGCGGCGGAGGATGAGTCGTCTGGGCGGCCAAGAGTAGAAGGAAATGGAAATTTGGCATTTTTCGGTATGGGGTCGTACGCTTTTGACGGCACCACTGGCGGCACAGCCGGGGGCGGGACAGGCGTCTCGACCCTGGCTGGAAGTGTGTTAGGTTGATGTCGCCTCGGAATAGATCCGTTATCAACCTTGTAGAATTCGCAAGTAGTCTTGAACCGCTTGAAGCTGCAATTCCACTGGCAAGAAGCGCAAGACTCGCTGGCAGTCTCTTTCAGCCACGACGGCGCACTTTGCGATAAGACGATGCAAGGATGTAGAGTGGCGTTGATGAAATTTGGGGACTCGGCGCATGTTGAGCAAGGAAGGGGGGCCGGGTCGCCGGTCAGGAACACCAAAAGAGACAGTGCTGCCAAAGGCGCAAGGTTACCAACTCCCGAATAATTCTTCTTCCAGTCATCGGGAAATTCACGTTTCATCGGCAACTTGAGGAGTGCTTTGATATCCGGCCTCTCTGATGGAATCCCATACGTAGTCGAGAGATGTGAGGAGACGTATTGGTGAAGAGAGGTGTACCCTGGAGGTGGCCCAGAAGTATTAGAACCACGGGTGACGGGCGATTGTCCCGCTGGCGAGGTATTCTGTGACCGGGCCGCAAGTATAGGAGCAACGGGTAACTTGTTGAATGGGGAGGGGGAGGGTTTGGTGGGCTTGTACACCGTTGTCTCTGGCTGGGCCATCGGTGGCTCGTCGCCTCGCAGTGGATTCCTCGACACAATGACGCCTGAGCACCTGACTTGACCTGGCATTGAAAAGGAGCCGACTTCGGAAAGAGTTCCGTCAAGATTGTCGTTGAACATTGCGTTTTTGTGCCTAGACTGTAAGCATTGTCAGTTCGACGCTCTGTTAATGAAGGGTTGGAGCAGGGAAACCTACCGTGAAATGCTTCCCAACACCAATGATTGACTTGAAAATGTTGCGGCAACTTCGCACAGGGCATATCCAGGGATAGGCTGGGTCATCCCATAGTTGGTACCCTGTGGGCAGCAGGGCACCGCATGTAGGTTCAATCAACCCGCTTGGCCCTTTCCATTGACTATATAGCCGATCTGAGTCTTTCGTGGTGAGGAGCTCTGTGGGTTTTCCTAGGACCTATACCGAGGTATCAGTAACAACATCCACAAGACCGTTGAGATGACGGATTGCATCCACATTTTGTCTGGACCGACGAGTATCCTGTGCGACATCGATATCTGGTCCAGGGACGTCGTCATCCTCGGTCGTAAGATCTCCATCAAGGTCCCCATCATTGTAGTCCTCTTCGTCGGATGACTCTGCTACTTGTACTGTCCTCTGAATAGGAATAATGCCGGGCTTGACGACGGGATTTGGGGCGTCGGCACCCTGAGTTGCCGGAGGAACTTGCGAACTGCGAGTTGATCTTCTCGCACCATCAGACGGCCCAGCTGAGGCTGACAAAGGGCTTGATCCTCCGTTGGTAACTTCAGTCAGGCGACGCTTAACGTCACCGCCCTGCACTGTTCCCATTGAGCGCTTTCTTGAGGGTTGGGAGGAGGAAGAAGACACATCTTCCGAAGAGAGACCTGCGATTGCGTGAGTAGATATTCCCTAAACGTGATTGCCAGGCACAACGAGATGCCCCAGCAAGATACGTGGAGATCCTGTGTTGTACTCACCTCCGCCTAGCCAGTCTCTGGGCGTCTCTGCACCTTCTAAGCCTCCCAAACCTGAGCTGGTCATCCACGACTGCTGCAATGCCTGGATCTTGGCGCTCCTGGCGAGCGATGACTTTGGTGCCATCTCGGTCTCCAGAACCGGGCTTTCTTGGGCCTCCTGGGCCTCCTGGTTGGTTTTCTGTGGGAGAATGTCGCTCACAATTCGAATAGGTTCCGGGCTTTCGAGGATGGGGTTGTTGGCGGTAGAATCCGATGGTGAGAAGGGGTGATTCGAAGCGGACTCCGACAAGGAAGGTATCGTCGCCGCAGTGGATGGTTTTGAGTTGAGCAAGGAAGTAGCCCACGATGGCGCCTGCAGGAAAGAACTCGGCCTGACGCTGACTTTGGCGCCGGTGCGCTTCATCTTGCGACCCTCTCCCGTGCTGGATACCGAGCCTCCTGAGGGTGAGACATGGCGGTTGCCCGTGGTTGAGCCCAGCGGTGTCGGGGTCTGGGTCTGGGAAGCCGGAGGCGCCGTACGACCCGTGGGTGAAATGCCTTGAGTAGGGATTGGAACTGGTGTAACGCGAGGATTGGAGGCCATCATCGGGGTTCTTTGTCGTCGAGGGTTGCGCAGGTGTCACCTCCACAAGCAAGGCATGCAGCGCTGAGGTTTCGAGGTCGGTGCGGAGAAGCTGACGCCCGGTTTTGTCGACTGATTGGCGTAATTGGAGAGTTCGAAACGTTTTATATGAGATTCATGAGGTCGTTAATTGAGAAGTGAGTTCCTCCTGCCTCGTGAGTGTTGCTTTTTAGGTGGAAATGCGAATGTTCGTGAGGCAAGAATGAATGAAGATGGGAGAGACCTGGAACTGCCAGCTGAAGCACGGGGGACGCGACGCGACTAAAGTGGCATGGACTCCTGGTTGTACCTTCCCACCTAAATTTCGCGGGGAAGTACCAAGGGAAAGTCCGACCCCACATGGAATTTGTCCACGCTCATGGAAAAAGCAACCACTTGGCCAGGTTTGGATAATTGATTCACGCCCCTTTTTCCAAATGCCATGCCATGCCGCAAACATGATATCTAAGATGTGAAGATTTGCGTTGTCAACACTGCGTTGATCCGGGTTTGACATCTCTGCACCGCACGCCAGTAGAGAAAGGTCAATAGTGACAGGCAAAGGTCTCTTGTGGATGGCCAGTTTGATTTGTACATGATATTCTACACTCTAGAAGCCCAAGACGCCTTGATCTCAAGCCATGATACGCTCCCCTCCCCTCATCTCACCAGCAGCAGCGATGCCCTCTCTCGTCCGCATCATTACCGCTTCTGCTTCGCCTTGCTCGCCTTCGCAGCCTTCTTTGCCGCCTTGTTCTTCGCCTTGACGTTCTTGGCCCTGTCGGCCGCGTTCCTCTGCTCCTGAAGCCTCTTGGAGGCCGCGATAGTCCACTCGTCAATCTCCATGTCCGCGTACCTGGCCTCGGCGGCCTTCTGTCCGGCAATCGTCCGCTCCTTGGCGTATCTCTTGTGCGCGAACCTCTTCCTCCGGCTCATGCCCGGCACACGCAGCTTCACCAGGCGTCCGATGCGCCAGTTGTCCTCGCGGTACGAGTAGTCGTCACGCAGCCTCAGCACGCGCGGGTGCTGCGAGACGCCCTTGCGGCTGGGCGACGTGCGGATCACCTCCGTCGGGATGCCCGAGGCGGAGATGGCGGGGACCTCGACAGGCTTGGAGATGGGGTGCGCCGACATGTTGAGCTTGCGCTTGCGCTCGGCGTGCCTCGGGTACGGGAGGACGTCGTCCTTGTTGAAGACGACGCCGATGTACTTTCGGTCCGGGTGGCGGGCGGGGTCGCGGTAGTACTTGACGTAGCCGGTCGCCATGGCGTGGATCGTGTGGTCGCGGCCCATGATGCAGTTCTCGCCTGGCCACCAGAGGCTGCCTTTTTGCTTGTAGATGATGTTGCCGGGAATGACATATTGGTCTGCGGGTGGGTTAGGCATGTTAGCATCCAACCCTGTCTCTCTCTGCGTTGTTCTCGCTCGCACCACGCTCAATTGAGCTGCCACGACGTCCGAGTTGACCACGTACCACCCGTGCGCTTCGCTCCCAGCTTCTTCGGTATCGTCCTCTTGGGCTGCAGCTTGTAGGCACCCTGCGACTTGACGGAGGCGTATCGTCGTCCGCCAACGAGGGCATTCGCGGCGGCCACCACGCCGGGCTGCGCAGTCGGGACGGCTGGCCGGAGGAGGCCGGCGGCAGCGGCCCTCAAGGGCTGCTGCAGTTGGATCAGACGCATACGGTGTGCTTCGGGGACGAGCTGCCCATTCGATCGGGATGGATTGCTCGGAGTTTGCCCTGGGCGATCGCGTTTTCGATGGAGCTCGCTGTTGGAGTTTGGTGCACAAGGGAGATGACCTGAGGATATTTTTCCGGCTGAGTCAGCGGTGCGCGATAACGATAAGGAGCAATGGAGTGGTGCGGTGCATCTGGCTTTAGGACAGCTGGGCGCATGCAGGAACAGAGCAGGCGAACAAGGACGAAATAATCTCCCTAAAGCCACTCCAAACTATTCAAATCGACCGATAGTTGCTTTCCTTTCAATTGCCCAAGATGCGCTTCTTCGCCTCTCTCCCGATCGTTGTCCTCTCCCTCGTCGGCTCGACGCAGGCCCAGTTCGGGTTCTTCGAGCAGATGTTCGGCGGCCAGCAGCAGCAACAGCAGCCCCAGAACGTCCCGAGCGATCCTTCGCAGTACCAGCAACGATACGATGGATGTAAGTCGGCGTCTGGCGAGTGTTTTGCAATGCGATTCGAAATTCTAACGCCGTGCAGCCTACTGCGAACACTTCCTCTGTCCTGATACCCTCGCTTGCGTCCACTTCCCACACCACTGCCCCTGCCCCTGGCCCGCGAACCAAGACAAGTTTGAGCTCGGCGAAGGCAGCCGTATCTGCGTGTCGAGGGGCGGATTCGCTGCCGGCGAGGCGGCGAGGAAGGTCGAGCTGGCTCGCAAGGGCCTGTTGTAAGGAGTATCGTGGGAGGAGCTGACAAAAGAGACCACGTAGTTGTGGACACGAAGCATCGCAGGCGCAGGATACCAACGTCCCAAGAGACGACAAACACATTGTATTTCACACAAAGGGAACGGAGTTATTAGGCAATGGAGACTCTATTGAATATGCCATTTGCTGGCGGAAGCAAAAAGCCTACCTGCTCGTGCTGAAATGCTCCTGTCCGGCGGCGGTAATGATGACGCCTGACCGGGACGCGGAGCGCGCTACTGCTGCTGCTGCTGCTGCTGCTGCTGCTGCTGCTGCTGCAATGACGGCGAATCGCGACGACTACTGACACGAAGGCCCCGGAACGCCGCAAAAACCATCCGTGATAACCACCTAGAACTCCTTCGTGTGCCACCACGCCGTTGCCGGATGCTGATCTCAACCTCGACCCCAAAACAGCCAAATAATCCGTGAAAATGCTCGTAAAACGTCTCCCGTAAAGTGTCCCTCCGCTGTGGCGCGGCATACCCGAAGCGACGGGCAAGACGGCCGAATCTCGATTCATGAGCTCGTGGCTCAGGCCTGGCCGTTGGTGGCCTGACTGGGTCGTGGAAGAGGAGGGACAGCAGGCGGGTTGGCGCTGCTGTCGTCGTCGTCGTCCTCGAGTACTTCCTCGGGGTGGCCCAACAAGTGGGCCACATCCTTCATTTCGTAGTGCTTCTTGCGCAACTGCTCGAAACGTCGGTGCTTCTCCCTCTCCTCGGGCGAGAGGCCGGCCAGGTCGTCATCGTCGCCGCCGTGAGAACTCGCGGTTTCGTCGACGTGGACGGCCTTGAGGGCCTTTTCTTTTGACGACTCGCTCTCCGGGATCGCCTCTTCCGGCTCGCCAAGCGACATGACAGGGATATCATCTTCCACGCGAGGACCAACACGAGCCGTGCGAGGCTTCCTCTCAACCGAGGGGTCCGCCATCTCTTCGTCGTCGGAGGGGTCTTCGGCGGGGTCATAGTGCTTGGCGTAGGGAGTCTTGGGCTCGTCGATCTTCATAGTCGAGGTGCGCTCCTGCTCGGTGAGGTAGAGGTTGGCCTCGTCCCACTTGAGGCGCTGAGACGACTCCAGATCCTGCTCGTCGTCGTCACCCTGGGCCTCGGGGGTGCGGCTGGACTGACGGCGAGAGGCCGAGGGGCGGGCGGCGGAAGAGGAGCGGCGATGGCCGGCGTTAAACTGGGTGTTGACGATGGTGAGCTCCTTCTCGGTGAGGGGATGCTCTTCGCTGGGCGAGACGGGAGGGGATTTCTGGAACGAGTTCTTGAGGATTCCTGTGGCAATGATTGTCAGCTTTTGGGACCGGTCGGGTCGGACATCCAAGGCAGCTTACCTCTGGGTCGCTTCGCAGTAGGTCCCGGAGGAGAATGCGACGGAGGGCTGCGGTCGACGATGGCTGCCATTTTGAATGAGATCGCGCAGGCCTAGCTAAGGCGGGTCGGACGGGTTAGGTCGAGATGATTTGGTGGTGTTGGTAGACTGAGGAGGCGTAGAGCGTGATGTGAACCTCGTGAGGAATGGCGGGTGAAGTGTCGGTCAAGTCCAGTCTGGGGTAGAATGGAGGGAAGAAGGGATGAGGTAAGAAGGTAGTCAGAGTTGTGGGAAGGTAGAATAAAGTAAAATGCAGCCAGGTGAGGTACGAGGGAAAAAATAGCGGGGTTCAGAAACCTGGTGACGAAAGGTTGGTGATTTTGCCTGGGGGCCTTGTGCTTCGGATTGGGGGGTGGTGCAGGTGGTTCGTGACTTGCAGCAGTGTCTCCAGGTCTTGAACCCACTAACAGCAGCAAGGTCTGGTGCGGATGTGGTGCGGTCGATGGTGTGGGTGCGTCGGACCAGGGGTTTGAGGGAGAGGGAACCAGAGAAAAAAAGGGCTCGTGATGTTTGTGAAACAGGAGGGAAGAGGACGAAGGATACGCCCGGAAGTACCCTGATGCACTGATACAGGACGTGGAATGAGATGGAGAGACGAAAGGTTGTCGAGGAGAAGTGGCGTGTTGGAGGGATGATTCAGAGTTGGGAGAGAGCAGAAGGCAGAATGTCGAATAAGACGAGAGGAATGTAGCGATAGCGGTGTGTGTGAGAGTGGCAGGTGAGGCCTTTTCATGTCTTATACAAACAAGCTGTTCACATAGATGGACATGCACCAGCTGATACTACGGTAAGTCCTCTCAATCATTTGCAGATACCTTTCTGATATGTCGATTTCTTGTTTTCCACCTGGCAATGAGAGATCCAGCAGGGAAGTATCTTGATACGGTCTCCAGCGCTGATGCTGATGGTGGTGTGTCTGGACGGGGATTGCATTGCTGGTTTCACTGCAAAGTCGCTCGCTCACCATGGGCACCTCAGAACCCCCAATATCAACGTCGGGTGTCACTGCAGCATTAGTCTTCTTAGGTTCTCACTGTACTGCGTAAGATAGGTTAAGGCAACGATGAAGGCGAGCAAGGCACAGCCAGGTAGTCGCAGTAGTACTTCGCAGTAAGGCAGGGCATGTAAGACAACTCGTCGACCATCTCAGCATCTCACCTGAGGTACCTCACAACGTCCACGTATCTCGGTACTTGTTCCGTATACATCGTCCAGGAAGAGGTTGGGCTGTTCAGGCTGCAGCTGTGGCCGCTATGCCTTCAAAACCGCGACTGGTGGAATCATCTGGACGCCTCGATGCTGGCGACGATGGAAGTATCTAGTACTTAATAAATGTTAGCGACTCACAGCTCGGATTGGCTGAGGCCAGCTGGTGTGGACCCTGGAACCAAAATCCACCTCTGTCATTGGGACCCGACACTCTCATTCTCATTCTTCTGCTGGCGCCTGTCGCACAGAATCGCGATCGCCCGCAGCGCAGCGCAGCAGTCAGCATCTCAAAAAGTCTCTCATGGCAATTCATTCTCCGGAAACGAGGCGATGATCGCTTTTTGGTCGCTGCTGCCGCTGCCGCTGCCGCGATGCCTTGTGCACTGCCCGGAAAGTGTCCTATTTCGAGATCCGTCGTCTTTTGCATCCGACACATGCTCACCTCACTTTGAGAGCCATCGCAATCAACCCTGAACGTCCCTGCGCCACTGGCTCAATTCACTTCCGACTCTTTCCCTCGCCTCCGGAATCACATCCAGCCCAGTCCCAAAGCATCCCCGGCTTGAGCTTCATTCGGCCCGCTCCTGACTTGAGTCCGTTCAACATGCACCTCGAATCCAGCGGCGCTATTGCGCTTTGGAAAGCGCTAGGGAACACACCACACCCCTCACTCGAGTCACCAATTCTCGTCGTCCGCTCATCCCCTCACGATCCTCTCTCACTCAGACACCTCCAACCTCTCATTATTCTCTGCCCCCCATCGTGACGACGTCATTCGACATGCATCACCCCTCTCTCGTCACTACCACCGCCCACTCTCCGTACCACGTTCCGCCCAGACTCTTCGGATTCCCCCTCACTTTTACGCTTTCTTCCACCAAACTGCGGCTGTCATCTCAAAAGTGACCTCATCCAACATACACGGACACACACGAACCAACTTAGTTCGTCCCCGGCTTTCATGCACTCCAGCTTCTGCTAGCCTGCACCATGCCAGAATGTCGTCTCGGTAGGGGCGTTCCTCACAGTAGACCAAAGGTAATCGAGTAATAGCGACTTCTATCAAGTTATCAACGGCCCCGGCTTAGGCCCACAAACACCCGTCACATCGTCAGGCCAATACAGAATCCGGGGTACATCAACGCCCGCCGTCAGCAGGTATCCGTACTTACATCAACCTTGAATGCTGGGTTTCTTCTCATGGTGCATTTGAGCTATTTACAAAACAGATCACCATCTTCGAGTCAGCAAATCACCAGCCTTCCTCTCATCTTTCCTCTTCATGAATTGAATTCGGCCGATCCGTCACGGATGCTACCCAGCCACCAGACTTCTGTGGCTGCCGAAGCGCACACCGGCACATTTACCTTTTCTCCTGCCCGTCCTTTCCGCCTTCGGTCTCCGTCCCAAGTGTCCGACGTCTCGGAACCAAGATGTTTGCTTTGACCTCCGCCCATCATCACATGATCCAGCAACGGCCCGATCGGCCGCACGCCGTTCTCTTTCCTCATCCGGCCCACCCTTCCTTCTGCCGCGTGTTCTCCGTTGAGCCGCCCGCTTGGGTTCCACCTAGCCTTTTTGTTTGGAATCTTCTTGAAACATTTCGCGAGTTACGAGTAAACAAACATCCCGATGCGGGTCCAAAACAAGACCGTTGCGCATGAGTTGTTTATTCTGTGGTCCACATCTGGCGGGCTAATTAGGACGGGAACATGAGTCTGAGTGGAGTGCTTGTGCAAGGTCTGTCTAGCCATCTTCACGATGCGGCCGTTGTTGTTTTGGTTGCTCTGTGAGTCATTTCACCAAAACACTCCAGTACTGGGCAAGTACTTACCCAAGAAGTATTCAATTTCTTCCAACGATCTTTGCCATCTTCCTCCAGCTCCGACAAGTGATCGCCAACACCATAGAGATAGTGAACTCAGGCTTCGGAACAAGCAGTGAAGGTGAGGACAAGATGAGCAGCTCCTGATTCAGAAGGTGATATCAAAGTTGTGACGAGCCGGTTGATCGCCAAATAACATGCTTTGCGGAACAAGTGCTCCGTTCAAGTTACTGGCAACGTCTGGGAAGTATTGCGCTGATATGAGATGTCCTTATGATCGTGCCTGAAAGCATGCCATGCTTTACCGAGTCTCTGCCAATATGCCGTCTATGCGTCTATTACCCCGTCTAACGCCAAATATGCCGCACTCAGTCTCCTCGTCCAAGACCAATCTACAGAGGAAGAAGGCCTCTGCCAGTTGCGGACTCCAAGAGGTTCGTTGACCTCAAATGTCCCGATACTGACGTACAAATTCATGCAATTCTACAAGAGACTCATGGCCGACCTTTTGCATATACGCAGAGCTCTTGTCGCCAGCAGTGGCCACTTTGATCAGCTTCTTGGCCGCCCAGCACAGCTCGGTATTGTACCTGACCATGCCGCTCCTCTCGAATACGCCAGGGTCCATCCGGCCACGCGTCGTCTCCCACATAAACTCCCATCGAGAAATCGCCCGCATGAGATTCTGGGAACTTGGACCAAGGACACCCATCAGGTTGGAAGTCAGCACCATTGCGTTGATAGCTGCAGGTCGTCAGCTTGCTGTAATCACGGGGAGAAGTGAACTTGTCCCTACATACCGAATATCAGAATCTGCAAATCTGTCGGGTTGACGTCCTGGAAAGGGAAGCTTCCCATGCCATTCCAACTGTCACCCATCAGGGCGTCCATGCACTGCTTGATTGATACTATCCTTCTTGCCGGATTAAGTCCGTGATTTTGAGCCAGTTCGAAATACTCCTGAGAGTCTTTGGCGTCCCACAGCTCCAGTGGGCAGGGGAGGTCGCAGGTCATCTCTGCGGGGGTGATCATGGCTGGCACGTTGAACATGCCGGTCTGCTGCCAATCGGAGAGAGCCATCCATGTTGCCAGACTATCCAGTCAGCTCACAGAACAACACGGGCGGGTGGGATTGAGGTTACGTACCGTATACGAGACTCGTTCCTCACGAAGTCCTCGAACTGAAAGACCGGCGCGTGCCTCGTCTGAGCCAATCCAAGACACCTAACAGCGGTGACTAACACGGGGAATCGCTTCATGCGGTTCTTCCGCCTCGTCGCCATGTCGTTCCTGAAGAACTGCATGCTGTGGATCATGACCGCTGCTTGCAGGCTCTCCTCGAGCTCGTGTGTGAACTCGGGCGTTGAACCGTGTGGTAGCTGCAAGTGGAGCCTACGGAAGATGTACTCCTCGATGAGACTCAGATACCCCCGAGCAGCGAGTGCGTCGTCGCTCGGCGGTGATCTCAAGGCGCCCGCGATAGCTACGGAGAGCAGCAGCGTCTTGGTCGTGCGATCTGTGCCGAAGTCTGGCCGGTGTACGATGGAAAAGTCGATATGGCTTACACGGAAGTACGTTGCTGCGAACATGCACAGGTTTTGAGGCGAGAAGACCGCCGTGGCGGTGGCTAGGTCGAAAGACCCGTCGTACCAGGGGTCGCATACCTTGAGCGCGTTGTGAAGCTCTTGGAGTTCGGCGATGATGGCACTAGCCCGCCCTTCGAACGACACTGGGTCAAAGGGGGATGTTGGTGGGTTTCCAGGGCTCGTAGTGGTCGTGGGCAGCGTTGTTGTGGATGTTGGCAAGGTCGTTGGGTCTACATGAGGTATTGATGTGTTTAGTACAGGGCCCGAGTTCATCGAGTATATGTCAGCTAGCGAGTAAACGTAGTCGAAGGAATCGATCGTGAAGTTGGACGTAAAAGGAAAGGGTAGAAAGCCAGCAAAGTCCTGGTCGATGGGTACACCGGGAGGAAACGGCGTGGACGGGACGGACTTGGTACCCGAATCGACGCCATCCCCTTCTGTCCTCGCAGCCGCGTCGCTCGCGAGAAACTCGAGGATGTTTTCGGAGTTGGGGTTTGTGAGACCCAAGAGGAAACCAACGGTGATCTTTGTGCGGTCTTTGTCGTTGTTATTTGAGCGAGTCCCCGCGGCAGTGGTCTCCAGCGTTGAAGTTGAGGAGTCGGAAGCAGTCGAGGGTCCGTCTTCTAGTCTGTGATATGTGCAGGGAAGTTTGCGTAACACACAGCGCTCACAAGGGTCCGAGGTGTCGCATGACTGTTTGCTGTGAAAGCAGGCATCGCATGCACGTGGCTTTTGACCGCGCTTGAGGATTGGAAGTGCTTCGTGGTCTTTCTTGTTCGGGCAGTGAATGGTGTGTTTTCGACAGACGTCGCTGGTATTTATAAGTCGTCTTGCTTTCCAAGTCTCTGGGTGAGATATGCGTACCGTCTGGCAAAAGTCTTCTCGCAATAGGGGCACTTGTGACTTGCACCCTGAATGTCTGAGTGGCGTCAGTGATGAAGCTTAGATCAGATGAACTCATTCGTTCGCCTGGTCCGAAGTTCCAGTGATTGAACTTGATCAACAGGACAAGGGATGAAGGCTCTCCACAAAACCCTGAAGCCGACCAAGCCTCATCTGGCGAAGCGGCCGGTACCAGCTTCAGGGGAATGTCTTCTTCTTTGGGAATGTCATCGCGCCTCGAAGATGAGCACCCAATCAATGGAACGGGAGTTCATTTATCAAGCTAGGAATCGATAGCATTGAAATAAGGTTTCCTAACTTACGAGTGGATTCATGCCGCCGCAAATGAGCACTTCGTTGATACTGCTTACCGCAGGTCCCGCAGGTGTACCCGCGGGCCCCGGCCAAAGACCCCGACATGTCGGGCCGTGACGAGCTCCCCGGAGGCCTTCCGATTCTTCTGACCGGGAGATTAGTTCGAGAATGGTAAATCCTCCAGAATCATCGCGGTGTTTGTTGGTGGGTTTGACGAAAAGGGTGTGAAAGGCGAAGGCTGGGCGGGCGAGAGGTGAAGGAGGTGGGTTTTATCCGGAATGTCGGGCAGCCCAGACGGCCGTGATTGGAAGGGGTCTCCACGTCAGCGCGCATCTGGCAGCGGGCGAATCCCACCCGGCCATCGTTGGCTGCGACGCCGGTGGGTTTTCACCTAAAACTTGACGATCCACTCTCGGCCGGATACTGGGGCTAAACCGCATTTGGAACTGTAAGAGCGTCGTGTAAGACGGTGGTCGGAGACGTCGGGACCGGCATCGAGGGCCGCTTTGCGTTCCGAAAGGACTTCGTACCCTTATTATGATTTATTGTGATTTTCTCTGTCTTCTTGTTCTTCTTTCGGTTTGAGAATACTGTGTCATTTGGTTCCAACATCCGCTCGCGTCCTTTCCAGCGAACGAAGTGGCTATCTGTGAGGAAAGTCTACGAAGCGTCTTCTGGCACCTTTCTTCAGTTTTTTCTTGATTTTTCTGCTTAATACGCCTTCACTTACTTCGTTCATTTCAGTTTCGTTGGACACTTTCCCCCTGAATACTCGCGCCTTGAGGATAGGTAGCCAAGGCTCGCGATGCAGGCAGCGACCTTATCCAGGGGTACGCCGAAAGGAGACCGCTGACATTATTAGAAGACCCACGCTGACTTATAATAGCCATCCTCAGCCAAGGCATTCGAACTTCAGCGGTGAGGGTTGGCCTTCCTGCTATTTCAACATCACCATGCATGGCCCTCCCCCGAGAGACTCGACGCAACAATGCCGACGCAGCACCAAGATCTGCCCCGCCGTTCAAGAAGACACCTGGGTCCACTGCTTTATCCAAATACCAGCAGCCCAGTAATGCTGTCCAGCATGTCCTGTAAACTCCTTCCATCCTCCTTCTGACACGCGTTCCGAGTTCCCAGCGGCTGACTTCAATGCCCTGCAGCACCTCACTGGATGCGATCGTGAACTGGGCTCGACAGGGTTCCTTATGGCCTCTCACCTTTGGTCTCGCTTGTTGCGGTATCGAGATGATGCATGTGTCCATGCCACGCTACGACCAAGATCGTCTGGGAATCATCTTTCGAGCCTCGCCGAGACAAGCCGATGTAATGATCGTAGCTGGGACGGTCACCAATAAGATGGCTTCCGCAGTCAGACAATGTTACGACCAGATGCCGGAGCCTAGATGGGTTATCAGCATGGGGTCTTGTGCAAACGGCGGCGGATACTACCACTATAGTTACTCAGTGGTGAGAGGAGTCGATCGGATCGTCCCTGTGGACATCTACGTGCCGGGTTGCCCGCCCACGGCAGAGGCGCTGATGTATGGCATTTTCATGTTGCAGGCCAAGATGAGGAAAACCAAGATCACCAGGATGTGGTACCGGAAATGATTCCATTCCTCTTGTTTCGTATTCATGTAGTCAGCACATATACAAGATTGCTCACATTGGAGTTCCTCCGTGATGACTTGTAGGACTCTGTCGAGCTATTAGCTGAGAGATTTAGCTGAGAGATGTCATCATCGGTTGTGTTATCTTGTTAATATGTTGTAAGCGGAGGAAAGGTTATCCTTGGAAAGACAAGTTCAATTCAGAGCTTTTCTAAGACCGTCGTTCCATACAAACGATTCCGCTTGAGTTCTCCTTTCGTTCTTGTCTCCAACCTCCAGACCTGTGCAGCAACATCATCTGCGGCCTAGCACTGCGGATACCTGACGCCGTTCCCGATATCTTGGATTGAAGCATACACAATTTCTTCATATGATGTCCGCTTCAGGAGCGACTGTCTACTCAACACCCTTGTAATACCGACGTTCCAAGCAATATGCCATGCTGGATTTTGACAAGCCTTTCCGATCAACGATTCCGGCCACATGTAGTTTGGACTGTCATTACCAGAACTTTTCTTAGTATTAGCCGAACCTTTTCGGCAAATTTGACGATAGTCTTAGCCATCTTCCACGCATGTACATTCGATTCAGATAGGATCGACTCAAAGACACTTATTTGGTTTATGCTACAAAGACTTCAGAAGGTGACGGGTGCGCAATAATCATGATTCCATGGAGCCCTCTTGCTACTTTTGCTTGAACACACTAGTGTCTAAATTAATCATTCTGAACTGTCAGCGTTCTCGTGAATCCGAAAAGCTAGCGTGGTTTTCTAATGGTCTCCGCAGCGTCTTCTTTTGCCGCGTACCTTAGCGAGTTCGATGTCATTTCAACCCTCCGGAAGGATCACGGGAGTGTCCCCCACATTTCCGGCCGGCGCCAAGCCAGGATCGGACACGGCACCGGCTTCCTCAAAGCGAGCAGCCGTGACCGAATCCCTGACTCGCTCCGCAATCACTGCATGGAATCGTTGATTGGGCGCTATTAAAGGGTGTACTATCCGGGAATAAAAGCGACGCGTAAAGCCCCGCAAAAAGGGGATGCCAAAAACTTTGTACATCAGAGACTTCGTCCTAGAAAGACATCACAATGATAAACGAATCAATGTCTTGCTATTCAACCGTCGAGTAGAGAATATCGTCGTTAACTTGATTCGATTTTTCGCTTTTTAACGTCTTCATCGACGCCAAAGAGAGTCACTAGAGTCAACTGGCTCGGCTTTACCGAACCACAATGACAGCTCTCGGCACTCCGACGGAGAATACGCCAACGAAGCCGGCGGATGCTACAGGCGAGAACACCAAACACGATGAAAAGGATTACGAGGCAAGCAAAGAAGACTCAGCAGAGTCAGAATCAGAGGATGAGATAGGCCCTCTGCAAAAGATCCTCGACAAACGCCAAGTATTTATTTTGTTCACAGTGTATGGCACCACCGAACATCATCGCGTGGCATTTTGGCTTACTTGAAGCAGACTCTGGATATTCAACTTCGCTTTGGCATTTTCGTCTGGCATCTTCAAGGTTCTGACTCCTTATGTCACAAGCGATTTCAGCAAACATGCCCTCACGGCAACGACATCAGTAGTGGCGAACATCACCAGCGGCATTGTCAAGCTGCCGTACGCTAAGCTTCTGGATGTCTGGGGAAGACCCCACTGTATGGCAGCCATGGTTGTCTTCACAACAGTCAGCTCGGCCATGATGGCCGCTTGCCAGAACGTCGAAACTTACTGTGCGGCTCAAGTCCTCTACTACATCGGCTTTTTCGGTATCCAGTTCAGCTTCATCATCCTCATTGCCGACGCAATCGCTCTCCGTTACCGAGCTCTTGTCATGGGATTCATTGCCACTCCAACGATTCTGGCGATTTGGGCTTGTGGTCCAGCAGCGGAAAGTGTTCTGTCCAACATCGGTTTCAGATGGGGCTTTGGGATATGGGCCATTCTTGTTCCTATCTTCTCCGTTCCTCTGTTATTTCTGATGTTCAAGTATGATAAACAGGCTCGGGAGGCCGGTTTCATCCCACCGCGCAGCAACAACCGGACGATTCGAGATGGAGTCATGCACTATTGCAAAGAATTCGACGTAATCGGACTTCTGCTGCTCGCCTCCGGTCTATGCTTCTTGCTATTGTCGATTAGCATATACTCCTACCAGTCTGAGGGCTGGAAGTCTCCGATGATCATCAGCTTCATTGTAGTCGGCGGCCTTCTACTTATCACGTTCCTTCTATACGAGAAGTACCTCGCCCCAGCCACGTTTCTTCCTTGGCAGCTTATCAAAAACCGAACTGTCGTGTTCACTAATCTCATGGCGCTGGCCTTGTATGGTTCAGAGGGACTTGCTTCGGCGTACATTTACTCGATGCTCGTCGTGGCTTTCAACCAGTCAGTGACGAATGCAACCTACATCACCAACGTCGAGATGGTCGGCTCTTCTGTCGCGAACGTTCTGCTCGGTGCTGCACTGAGATACGTGAATGGCCGTATCAAATACTATGCCCTCTTTATTGGAGTACCCCTTTTCATACTCGGCGAAGGACTGATGATCAGCCTGCATATCCCGGATCCATCAGTCGGCCTCATGATCCTCTGTCAGATCCTTCTCTCTGTGGGAAGCGGCATCATGTACCCGATCGAACAGCTGTCGCTTATGGCTGTGTCACACGCTCATACTCCAGCTTTGCTTGCAGTTGAGACAACAATCGTAGCATGCGGCAAGGGGGCTGGCGGTGCTATTGCGACGGCCATATGGACTGGATTATTCCGGAAGAAGTTGGCGGAGTACTTACCCACGTCGGAGCTGATCAATCTCGACGACATCTATGGCAGTTTAGAGGTCCAGTCGTCATACACTATTGGGACATCTGAGAGAACGGCCATCAACCGCGCATATGGAGAGACGCAACGTGTCATTTTCATAACAGCAACATCTATTCTGGCCGTGGCTCTGATTTCGGTGCTATTTTGGAGGGACATCGATGTTAAGAAAGCAAAGGGCTGCAGAAAAAGTGTTGGCAACTAGTTGATAGGAGCACGATGAACCCACAAGTCGGGAGATGTCTAGAATATAGTGATCAAAAATCATAGCGACTTTCAAAGGGGCGGTGCGGGACGGTGCGGGACGACGCGATTATAGCGATCTAAGTCATAAGAACGCCACGCCCTAGGGCGAATAATGTCGAGAATAATGACTCATGATAAGTGAGGCCCAGGATTAGAGAAATATCAGCGGCCACCGCCATGGAACGCACCTGGCGGTCTAGACCCGGACACTTTCCTTGTCAAGAGTCCGAGGACTGTCGGCGAACCAGGTCTTCCGCGAAGCCGATGCTTCTTGTCGAGCCCGAGGCCGATGCAAGTTATTCATTCTCAAGGTCTCCCAGTAAAACGCAACGATTATGACAAAAGTTGTTCTTTTAGATGATTGCTTCTGTTTATCCCATTCATTATGCAGTTCAATGCCCCCTAGTATACGACACCAGACATGTACATCCCATCGAGTGTTACAAAACGCCAGCTAGGCCGAGCCCACAGTAGCACCCAGTTTTCTTTCGATTTTGTGATTATTCTTCGGGGTTTGAGACTAATCAAGAAACTCGTTCCTAGTGACCGAACTGACGTGTTGTGGAACTCGGCGAGACGATGGTTTCATGGGTTTGATGATGTTGCACCATATAAAACAGCCATTCCTGTCCATGAACTTGGATACGAAAGTTCCAACTGCAGAGCATATGAAATCTTGAATCTTAGACACCAAAAACATCATGGAGTTCGCGCTGGATTTCAGACTGTCGTCCGCGACAGGGCTGGCATTGGCTTTTGTTGTTCTGGTGAGGATCTCTTCCCAAGTCCCCGAGTAAGAGTGTAGAAAGACTGACCAAACCAGCTTTCGACGTACGGCATCGCGACCGTTATTTACAATCTCTTTCTTCACCCTCTCCGGCGATTTCCGGGCCCAAAGCTATGGGCTGCGACTCCTATACCCCTATCTCTCAACATCATGCGGGGGCAGCCTCACCTCGCCATCTTGGAGCTGCACAAACGCTATGGCGACGTCGTCCGCACCGGTCCTAATGAGTTATCCTTTTCTCACAACGAGGCATGGAAAGAGGTGTGTGGGCATCTGAAGCGCGGCCAGGACGAAAACGAGAAGGACCCCAGAACCTCCAGCGACGAATTAGACAAGAGCATTCTCTCTGCGCGCCGTGACAGACACGGCCAGTTTCGGCGGCTTTTGTCGGGCGGCTTCTCAGCCCGGGCCATGGCTGAACAGCAACCACTGATCAACAAGTACATCAACCTCTTCATCAGTCGACTACGCGAGCATGGTCAAGGCGGAACGAAGGTGATGGACGCATCCAAGTGGTTTGAGTGGACGACCTTCGACATCATCGGCGACTTGTCCTTTGCCGAGCCGTTCGGATGCCTGCAGAACTCGAAGTCGCATCCGTGGGTCGACAGTCTGAACGATTCTGTGGGTTTATTCCCAGTCGTGCAGGTCATCAGCGGACTGCCTTTTTCTTCCATCCTGAAACCTCTCTACTTTTGGCTCATGACGCCCAAGGGTGTTGCTGAAAAGCGCGGCTTCAGCCGATCTTTCGCAGAGGAAACTCTGAAGAAAAGAATCGCACTTGGATCAGATAGACCAGACTTCGTCGATGCGATGCTGAAAGCTGACAAGGAAGCTGTGAGTGGCCCTGCCTTTTTGATCTTCGAGCTTTCTTCTGACAAACAATGCACAGAAATTGACCGACGACGAGCTGAGAGACAACAGTGTCATTCTGACGACTGCTGGTTCGGAGACCACCGCAACGACACTTGCCGCGGTCACTTACTTTCTTGGAACCCATCCAGAAGTCCTGGCCAAATTGAGCGCAGAAGTCCGATCTGCTTTTCAACACGAGGATGATATTGATATCAACAGTGTCCAGAACCTTCGGTACATGCTTGCAGTCCTTAAGGAAACCATGCGAATGTATCCCGCTGTTGCCCTTTCCCAATCTCGGCATGCACCGCCTGGCGGAGTGCAGATAGCCGGGGAGTTCGTGGCCGGAGGTGTAAGTTTTGCTTGTCACGGTCTTAAGTGCTTTTTGCTAATTACATTTTTCTGCAGACAATTCTGGGCATCTGGCAGTATTCCATTTATCACAACCCGGCCAAGTTTCTGCTCCCTGACTCCTTCATACCGGACCGGTGGCTGGACGACAAACGGTTCGATTACGATGAGAAAGCTCTGCACCAGCCATTCTCGTACGGACCGCGCAACTGCATCGGAATGAAGTGTGTATCTCTGGTTTTCAAGCCCCTCAATCTTTCGTTCTTGTGCGATGTGTTGCTAATACTTTTTGACTTACCAGTCTGGCGTATGCTGAAATGAGGATCATTCTCGCTCGCATCATCTGGAACTTTGATATCGAGCTGGCGCCGGAGAGTCGATCTTGGACTGAGAACCAGAAGGTTTACTTTTTCTGGCAAAAGCCCCCTCTTTGGACCTACTTCAAACCAAGGAACATGCAAGAGGAGCCCGAGTACTTGGCCCAGTAGGTTTGTCGGTGTGAAAGACGACACATCTGGTATTTCTGGGCATTCCATATGTCGTACATGATACAAGCAACGCTGCAGTCTTTTTATAGATTAGGAAGCTTGTCGTCGCTCAGGTATCCTTGTCGTCATCTTTGCGGCGTGGATGAATCGTTCATGCGTTTCGTCACGAACACTTGAGGCTGGAAAGGAGCAGGAACGTCATGATGCCAGGTCTTTGACTGATTGAACATGGACTTTTTCACAGCAATGTGTCAGACACAGGAAGAGTCAGCAGCATGCGGTATGTCTATAGAGAAATAATTGGAAGCGTCAACGCGTGTTTATTGAACGGAAATAAAAACTGGAGTCTTCTCACGGTACTTTGACTTAGTGAGACGTCAGCTTCGTCTTCATGCTCGGTTGTGAGGTGCCTCTAGCAAGTGACGACCCACGTTACTTGAGTTTCATCCGTATTGTCGCTGTTTCCTTCCCAGAGTCACCAACAAGAGGCAAACCGAGATATGCTCTTTCCAAGAAACCAAGTGAGTGCACTTTCCTCACTTACATGGGGGGATAGAGTAAGATCCCAGGAAGCGTGAGTGCCGTTACCTCATTCTCGATGCAGAACTACCTTACTCAATTGTTAACGTTATAATTCCTCTGACTATCTTAGGTAGGTATGTCATACATTCATGCTTCCTCACACCAACAGGAAGGAACAGCTTGTCGCAGTTGTCATGGACGCTGCACGTAGTTGGGGGTAGCTTCCTCGTATTTAGTGTTCGATCTCAATACCAACTTCCTGTTTTGTTTGAAGCACCTGCGCTTTTGGCACTTGCCACTTGCTCGGAGCTGAGGATTCCACAGAAGAGGTCATCACAATGACGGATGAAGAAAAAGAAGAAGGCAGTCGGGCCCTCCACCCATCCCCTCTTGACACAGCGTTGCCTTAAGATCCCCCCCAACATCCAACCCTTCTCCTTTCTCTCTCTTCCAACACCTCCAACCTCACACCATCACTTTCACCGACGTCCTGACCTAAAGACCGCGAACCACCTGCATCAGAATATCTTTCTGTTCATCTTTACTCGTCTTGCTACTGGCATTCTAACTCTTCTCGCCTCGTCACCACCACTCTTGCAGCACCTGATCCTCACAGGACGTCATGGCCAGCCGCAACGACAAAGCCACCCAGGGCGATGTTGCTGAACCACCAAAGAACGACACTGTTGAACCACCCAACGGCGATCAACGCTCGAATAATCATTCCTCGGACTCTCGTCTCTCGGACGCCGAGACTAACAGCACCTCCGATTCCAATGCCCTCGCCATTGATGGCCACAAGTCAAACCCCGACGCCATTGATGGTCACAAGCCAAACCCCGACGCCATTGATGGCCACAAGTCAATTGCCGACCACCCAGCCATCCCAGCCGGGACAATGGCAAAGTTCCCATCACAATTCTACGCCAGGAAAGAACACGTCAAGATCAACAGAAAGAACCATGTTCAATTCCTTCTTTGCCCTTCTTTCAGAAGGGACGATCCCGAACTTTTCAACGTATTTCACGAAAGGATGAAGCATGCAGAGAAATCGAAAGGGTCGTTTCGATTCTCCATCGCGGACGGACCTATCTACAGCGACCCCGTCCTGGCCAAAGCCGATGGCGTAAGCCGAGTAGGGCATCTCAGGAGCAAGGGCGGGAACACTTTCAATATCACTTTGCCTCCTCTCGGATCCCTTCCTGAGTCCGAGATAAAGCTAGGGTCGGTAATGAGCACATTGACCAACGGCGTCAGAAACCTCGGTTTCAAGATCGACATCGACGGCAAAACGGAAACATTCGAATGGAGACAGACGAGAGGCAGAGAGGTCAAACTGACTCATCGCGTTCATGAGGGTTGGAAACTGGTTCGGACATCGCGCTTCAAACCCGAAATGGGAGGCGAGCGGAAAAAGCGAGTCTACGGCTTTTCCAGCGACGGAGCTGAGATTTTGGCCATTCTGTCAAAGAAGAAGTACGTGAAGGACAAGGAGAGCAAGGAAGAGAAGACGGACAGGGCGGCCTGGAAGGAGAAGAAGGCAAAGGAGGGGCCCAGAATCAAGCACGGCCGCTACATGTTCACCTTCATGGGCAAAGGTCTCACAGGCACTCTGGGACAGAGATGGGAGACCATGGCGGTCATTTCAGGTCACATTTTGTGGCTTGCACATCGTGATGAACCCTCAAAGGCTCTTTTAGTGGCGGGGGCCGTGGTTGCAATCATAGTTGTTGTCTAGGCAGCATTCCACCTGAATCCCTATGGAAAAGTTAACTACTTCGCGTTTTCTCCTTTCAGTTACTACTTTTCTACTGGATCTTACGTGACGTTCCCAAGATTGTGTTGCTTCCAAGTCAACTACCTCGAATATCACGTCGCCTTTGCCTGTCAGCACAAAGCTTCCCTCTTCCGCAGCATTTGAGCTATATCTGACATCCTTCTATTCTCAGCCATCTCCAGCGGTGTCTCGTTTGCTTCGTTCCTTGAGTCCAATCTTGCTCCACGCTGGATGAGCAGCTCTGCCGCGCTGAAGTTGTCAACCTCCACGGCTTTATGCAACGCCGTGAGCTGCCCGGAGCCTCTGTTCGTCTTCACCTCTGGATCGGCGCCATGGTCGAGTAGAAGATTTATCAGCCGCTGGTTGCGACAGGCCACTGCCCAAAAGAGCGGGCTTTTCCCCTCGATATTCTGGTGGCTGGGGTTTGTTCCAGCTTCGAGAGCCAGTTTCGAGGCGTCTGTAAACTCTGGGGCGCAATGCGGAATAAGGAAGTTATCGTCTATGACACGTCAGTGTGAGTCTCTTCGAGAAGTCCGCCACCTTCACGAAGGAAATGGACGCATACTTATTGGTGGGAACAGAGCGTTTGGGTCACCGCCGTTTTGGAGGACAACTTTCAATGTCTCCGTGCCCTGGTGTAGCGGACAGCACATTAATGGCGTGAAGCGACTTTCGTTGGCTATGACATCCAGAATGATCCTATTATACGGAATGCTTCGTCTCAGGAACTCTTTTGCCGTGCTTGGGATGATCGCGTTGGGATCTGCACCGTGTTGGAAAAGTACCGACGCACACGCAGCGTGGTTCATTGCGGCGGCGACATGGATGGGGAGGCATCCTGCAATTATATTAGCTTTCCATGTGCCACGATACCTTTAGCAGGTGAATCGAGCATAGACATACCGTATTCTGACATGTTTGCGTCAAATCCCTCTTGGAGCAGTAGACTGAGATATCTGGGGTCATTCCTCTCAACGGCCTGGTGAACCAAGAACGGTCCATCTTCCAAGTCCTTGAGTCGATCTGCTAGTGCTCTCAAAGTTGGCCTTAGAGATGACAGGTCATCGATGGTGTCCAGAAGCTCAAAGAAGTTGGTCATCAGGGGCTTCAGAGAACACCCATGGCCGATAACCAGCGCCGCCACGCCCCAAGACTGTTCCTTGATACAGACAGCGAGCGGCGTCATTCGATCCACGTCGCGAGCATCGGCTAGCGCGCCGTGCTCTAGAAGAATGGTTGTGACGCCGGTGGAATCGTACAGAGCACACCGATGAAGAATCGTTCTGCTCGAAAGGCTCTTGTCGAAGTCCAAAACCGCAGATTCAAGCAGCTCCGAGATTCGGTCAGCATCGTCAACTGCCAGTATGGCGGAGATCTCTCTGTTGAATTGAAGCAATTAGCATCCCGCGACCATGTGAAACGCGCCGACTTCAGTTGTCGTGCTGAGAACCAGGCACACTCACCGATCGTCTAGCTCGAAAGGCCCTGTTGCGGCATTTCCACTACCAGCAGCCTGCACATGGACCCATCGGTCCAGCATCTCTTCCCTGGTATCACCAGCGACTGTGGTAGCGGCGATGACGGTTTCCAAGTCATCCTCCAACGTCTTTCGCAGAGCACGACTGGAATCTTGGTGTCGAAAGTCTCGACGAAGCTTCTCAAACCCACTCGCCATCTCTCTGATGATCTCATTCTGGCCCTTGCCGGAGACAAATCTACCGTGGCTTTAGTTCGCAGCAACAATCCGTCGTGGGCCCCTCGCGGTACTTACCCATTCAAAACCATCACGGCGACGCTCAGAGACGCCATGGCATCCGTCAAGCGCGCCTTCATCGACATCACATCATCCCTCTTCCAGTTCCACAGCAGCCTGACCATGACGCTTTGGCTCCTGATCCCGCCGCTGGCCATGGGCCGCAGGAGCTCCTGCAGCGGCTCAATTGCATCTTCGCAGTTGATGACGCATTGCTTCACGGTGTCGATCAGCGGCTTCGCGGCGTCCGTGACACGCGCATCTTGGAAAAGCGCCTTGGTGGAATCGAGGACGGAGAGAAGCGTTTCGACGTTGGCATTGAGGCTGTTGACCTCGACCGGCGCATTCTGGATGTTGGAGACGATGGTGATGAGTTTGTTGGCGGCCGCCGCCGCGACGGAGATTGTACCGATGATGCCGAGCGGGTCGGGCATTACGTTCCGGGGCACGTCGCCGGCGGTTGGTGAAGTTTCGGGGTGACGGTCGGAGTTGAGTCCTGGCACATGAGACCCTTGACGATTAGGTGACGCTTACAACAGAACCAACGCCAGAATAGATTGCTTTGAAAGATGAAAGGTCTCTGTTTCAAGGGATTCCTGGGTTATTCATGGACATTGTCCACTCCAGACAACGTTAAGGCAACCGCTGCTTATGCGTGGTGGCATTTTCAGCTGGTCTGCTCCGCTGCGGATTGTGATTCGGGGAATCAGATTCCAGCAGGCTGTGCTGCAGGAGACGATTGCCCACGGTCGACTGTTCAAGTTTGAGCGAATAGAGAGTAAGCAGATCTCAACTGTTGGGCGGTGAGATCGGCTTGGGTTCAATCTTACTCAAGTAGTCTCTATTTACAACTGTCGTGTTCATAGAGCACACAAACAGCCTGGAAACTTACATGCTTCCATAGCAAGAAGCAACCCCAGGTCTGATGGATCACCGCCTGTAAGTCTACATAGGTCGAAACCAACCCAGGAGCCGCTTTGCCCTCTTGTTATGCCAAAAAGCTTTCAAGATTGGCAAAAAGTGACCAGCCTGGGGGTCGAACCCAGAATCTCCTGATAACACAACGAGTCGTAGTCAGACGCCTTGCCATTGGGCCAACCGGCCAATTATATCGATTTGGTGCAAAATCTTGACTATGACTCGTGAGCGGGGTAGCGGGGTAGCGGGGTCAATTCGCTGCTCCGTCACGCGGGTTTGCAAGCTTGCATCACGAGCGTCAGGATTAGTCGCATCAGGGTCTTTTTTGGCGCAGGGATTCTTTTTTCTGAAAAGGTAGTTTCATTCCCGCCGTTTCAGGCAAAAAGTTGTTGATACCTGGTACCATCTTTACTTCTAAATCGTCATGAACTTTCATAAGGCTTGGTGCCATACGTGAAGCAACATTATCTCATTCAATCATGCATAAACTCTTAGAATCCAACGCGCTCCAACACGAAACCAAACTTGAAGTCTCCAACGTGGACCTTGAGGTCTTCACGGACATTGGGACCGCAAGCAGCGGAGCCGACACCAGCGACACGAGCATCAAGACGCAGGAGCGTAGCATCCTCCTCAAAGAGGTCGCACGGGTGGGCCGCGTTCTGCACTGTCTCAGCCTTGTAGTGGCTGACCTGGAAGCTGAACTGGCGCCACTCCTCCTCGGACCAGACGGCCGCATCAGCCGGGGTGGCCCGGATACCGCGTCCGTAGTCCTCGGTAAGCTTGACGTAGCGCGTTTCCAAGTGGTTGCCGCCCTCTTGGGGTACGTCGTAGTGTTGGTGCAGTTCCGGCACGGTGGCGTTGTACACGCCGAGGCGCTGGCTGGACTTCTTGTCCGGGTAGGACTCGCCGGGGCCGAGGGCAAGGTACTTGACGTTCTTGAGGGCCTTGGGCAGACGGAGGTTGAGACCGACGCGGGGAATGTGCGTGGGCTTGATGCCTCTCGACTTAAGATCGACGGCGACGGTGAGACGGCCGGCAGCGTCGATGGTGTAGGTGGTGACAGTGTTCCAGCCCCAGTCCAGAACGCGAGGACTGAGATAAGTAGTGGCAACAATCTCGACCTTGTCGCCAGACTCGTTGATCTTGAGAGACCGGAGTGTGCTGTCGAACTTGTTGACGCCGTAGCGGACCCAGTAGGGCACATCGTTGGGCTTGTCGTTGTCGGTCGGGGCTCTCCAGAAGTTGGGAGAGATGGCGGCATTGGTAGAGGCGTCCTTCTCAAGCAGAGGCACACCCGCGGCAGTCCAGGAGGTGAGGTAGCCACGAGCAGTGTCGAAGGTGAACTCGAAGTCGGAACCGGAGATCGTAGCGGTGGAGCGGACCTGCTTAACCTGCAGCTTGGAGCTAAGGGTAGAGTGGGCCAGCTTGGGGACTGCCGCGACACCAGACAGCTTGTGCTGGATCCAGGCAATCTCGTGAGCGGGCTCAGCCCAGTTTGTAGAGTCCTTGAGACGGAAGGTAACGGTGATGTATGTCTCCTTGTCGGACTTGATATTGGCAAGAGTTGTGGGCAGGTCGACCTTGACGGTCTCACCCGCCGCGATCTTAGGGATCTCGAGGTTACCCGCGGCGAGAAGAGCAGAGCTGCAATACATGTGATTAGTTTGTTTGTCTCTGGTAGATGTGGACAACGATGTAGACTTACTTCTCATCCAGCTCCTCGACCTTGTAAGTAGCCGACAGGTGTTCGACACCAGCGAAGTCGTACTTGTTCCAAATGACAAGCTTGTTGTCCTCGATGGACAAGGCAAGAGGCTGGTAGGCCTTCTTCAGCTCGATCAGACCAGGAGTAGGGTCATGGGTGCTATGAAGAAGACCGTCCATGACGAAGGTGCCGTCATGAGGGCGTTCGCCAAAGTCGCCTCCGTAGGCGTAGTACTTCTTGCCATCGGGATCTTCCTTCCAAATACCGTGGTTCGCCCACTCCCAGATGTAGCCACCCTGAAGACGAGGGAACTTCTCAAACACCTCAATGTAATCGTCCAGGCCACCAGGACCATTGCCCATAGCATGGCCGTACTCGCACAAAATGACGGGCTTGTCGAAGCTGCCGTCCTCCTTGACTTGCTCGGTGGTGACGAGGCGCGTCAGGCGGTCGATGGGAGGGTACATGTAGGAGAACATGTCTGCGGTCTCTGCGTTGACATCTCCCTCGTAGTGGATGGGACGGCCGGGATCAAACTTCTTAGCATAGTGGTACATGGCCTTGTGGTTCTCGCCATAAAAGGCCTCGTTACCGAGAGACCACATAATGATACTGGTGTGGTTCTTATCGCGCTGAACCAGCTGGACCATACGGTCCAGGTAGGCCTCGCGCCAAACAGGGTTTTCACTAGTGTACTTGCCAGCCTTGGGGAAGGTGACGGCTTTCCGCTCCTCGTAGTCTGCCTCTTCTTGAACGTCCTGCGGACGGGCGACGCAGTCGTAGAAGCCGTGGCACTCGAGGTCGGCCTCGTCCATGACCCACAGACCGAGCTCATCGGCAAGCTCGAAGAGCTTGGGGTGGGGTGGGTAGTGAGAGTTTCTCAGAGAGTTGATGTTGTGGGTCTTCATGAGAAGCAGGTCTCTCTTGATGAAGTCCAGAGGGACGGCACGGCCGAAGTGGGGATGGTGCTCGTGACGGTTGGTACCACGGATGCGGATGGGCACACCGTTAACGGAGATCAGACCGTTCTTGAGCTCAACCTTGCGGAAGCCAATGTTCTGGAAGACGGTATGGGAGCCGAAGGTGATCTCGGCGCGGTAGAGGTAAGGTGTCTCGGCTGTCCACTTCTTGGGGTTCGTGACCGGGATGCTGAGCTCGACCTTGGAGTCGTTGGCGCTGACTTCGGCCTCCTTGGTAGCAATGACTGCACCGCCGTTCTTGCCCAGCTCGCTCAGAGTGAGCTTGACTGTGCCCTTCTCGGCAGCCTTAACATCGACGGTTGCGAGGAGAGTGGCGTTCTCGTACTTCTCGTCCAGATCTGTGCGGAGGAAGAAGTCCTCAATTCTGGTAGACTCGGGAACAGCCAGAAGGGTAACGTCGCGGAAGATACCTGCGTAAACCAATTAGACAGCATGTTCAACACAGACGCAAGCGCAAAAGTGCATGACTTACCGGACAACCACCACTGGTCCTGATCTTCAATGTAGGTAGCGTCGGACCATTGGTAAACTCTTACAAACACCTCGTTCGGGCCATCCTTCTTCAGAATGCTTGTGACGTCGAACTCGGAAGCATTGCGCGAGCCCTGAGCGAAGCCAATGAGAACGCCGTTGACCCAGAGGTGGTAGGCGCTGTCAACACCATCGAATCTCAGACGAAGCTGCGACTTCTCGTCCCATGTTGAGGGCACGAAGAAGGTGCGTCTGTATGTGCCCGTCGGGTTCTCGGTAGGGACGTACGGAGGGTCGACGGGGATGGGGAACTGTGTGTTGGTGTACCACGGGTAGTCGTGGCCCTGGAGCTGCCAGTGTCCGGGGACGTTGGTAGTCTCCCACTTGTCGTCCTTGTCTTCCGGCAGCGGAGCCTCGCCGGGAGTGCTCGCGTAGTGGAAGTCCCAGACGCCATTGAGCAACAGCGATGTCTCGGGGATGAAGTACGCGCGGGGAGGAAGGGTGTTGCGTCGGAACACCTCAGGGTTCTCGTAATCGTGAACACCCTCCTTGGCTTGGAGGGGCAAACTCTGAGGAGCCATCGTGACGAGTCAAAAGGACGACGATGGGGAAAATGACAGTTTGGGGAAGGGTTAGAGAGGGAAGAAGACGGAGCAGATGAGCGCCGGGCTGTCCAAGGTCCTCCGGTTATTTATTCGTGCTCAATGCTCCACGGGAAGTAACGTGTCTGGCGCGAAACGGGGAACAGGCCGTCTTCTCATCTGCAAGCTGCCTCTCGTGAAGCTGTTGTGTCCCGCCATAGGTATGACGAGCGAACGTGGGGCAGTCAACAGACAAACCCTTTGCCTCGGGGTAGCTCCGAGTCAGGTGGTGTCGGTGTAAAAGGACGACCCCAAAATCCTTGCGGTTTTACCCCTCGTCGGAGCATCTCCGCACCAACGTTCCGTAAACGGCATAGGTTCCCCGGACCGGGAGCATGTTGATTGGGTCCGGGGAACTCGGGGCCGGCCCCGCACTACCTTGGGGGTCAAAGCCGGTGCAACGTCTGCCACCCCAAGCATCCTCTTCCCTGCTTCCTTCTGGCAGGCCCTGTTCCCTGGTGTGTCCTTCGAACGGACGGAAAGTTCTCTCGCCTTTTACCCCAGATCGAATTCTGTCTAGGTCCCCCGGCTAATGTGGGCTGAAAACTGCAAGCGCTCCCGTTGTGTTGGTCTGATGCTCGGCCATGACTGTGTCACCCCAGGTTTTCGACGCCTTCAACTCGTTCATCTCAATGATATGATGGCCCGAATGCGGGGAGAGCTCGAGTCTTGACGGGCCGGGGTACAGCGACCAGCATTTAAGAGGGCCGCGTTATCGCCCTCTCCATCTTTTGTCTCCATCGACGGACTCCATCCCAGACTCGATCTCTCCACGTCTCTCCACTGTTCCTGACCACTTGGTCCACTTGGTTTGAGCCCGTGTTCTTGGTATCTTGCAGGTCAATCCACCATGTCCGCCGAGAAGTCCGACCTGGCGACCGGCGATCACTTCGCCGAGAAGCCCGGCGGGACAGGTGCTTCACCGGAGGTCCACGTCGACGCTGCGGTTCAGATTGCACACGAGACCCAGGAGGGGCAGTACTCGCCGTGGACGAAGTCGATGTTCCGCCTGTATGGCGTTCTTTGCATTGGTACTGAAGAACATCTGAAAGCTGAGGAGCCAGTCGATGTGCTAATGACAGCCTAGCCTACCTCGGCGGTGCCCTCAACGGTTACGATGGCTCTCTCGTGAGTTCGGTCCGGTCAAACATGAAGTCACAAAGGCTAAAGCCATACACAGATGGGAGGACTCAACGGAATGAAGTCGTACATGGACTATTTCAATAAGTGAGAGGTTCTTTGACATGTCTTGACCCAGCAACTAAAACAGCCCACAGAGAGACGGTCGACGAGAGCACTGGTATCATTTTCGCCATGTAAGTGAAGCCAAGGACAGATCCAGTTGGATGCCGGAAGATACTAAAACTGCCAAACCAGGTACAACATCGGTAGTGTTGCCGCTGTCTTCTTCACCGGACCCACAAACGATTATCTCGGGCGTCGTTGGGGCATGTTCATCGGCAGCCTGATTGTCATCATCGGCACCTGCGTCCAAGCCCCTACGAAAACGTAAGGAGCCTCATGGTTGTGGCTGTCTCGGGTTATTGACAGTACCTAGGTCCGGTCAGTTCCTTGCAGGCCGTTTTGTCCTCGGATTTGGTGTCAGTTTCGTATGCGTGTCCGCGCCGACATATGTAAGTATCGAGATCAAATGTTCCATGCTGGAGCGTGAGTTCTGACCAAGATCAGGTCTCCGAGATGGCCCATCCGGCTTGGCGAGGAACCATTACCGGCGTGTACAATTGTACTTGTCAGTGAATAGATACGGTACTGCATTGTTGAGTGATCCATGTCTAACTTTAAACTCAGGGTACGTGGGGAGTATCATAGCTTCTTGGGTTGTTTACGGATGCGCCTACATCGAGCATGACGGTGGTTGGCGCATCCCAATCTGGATTCAGATGGTAAGTGGACCTAGAACATTCTCACGCGCCACTCATTGACAACAACAGGTCACCTCGGGAATCATCTGTATTGCCGTCTTCTTCATTCCGGAATCCCCTCGATGGCTGATGGCAAACGATAAGTACGAGCAAGCCGCCCAGATTCTGGCGACTTACCACGGCGAGGGATCCATCGACCACCCTATCGTACAGCTTCAGCTTAAGGAAATGGCACAGCAAATCCGAACCGACGCATCGGATAAGAAATGGTGGGACTACCGAGAGTTGTGGAACACTCACTCTGCTCGTCGCAGACTCATTTGTGTCTTGGGAATGGCTGTTTTCGGTCAAGTTTCCGGCAATTCTCTCAGCTCTTATTATATGACGGGTCAGTTAAAACATCTTAAACCCCACTCTGTGAGTTGCTACTGACGGAGACGACATAAGCGCTGCTGAAAAATGCCGGCATCACCGACCAGAAGAGGGTATTGGCATTGAACGCTGTGAACCCGATCCTCTCCTTCGGAGCTGCGCTGGCAGGAGCTCGTATGACTGACGTGATCGGTCGCCGGCCTCTTTTGATATACTCCATCATCTTTTGCTCGTTTTGCTTCGCCATCATTACCGGCACTTCCAAGCTGGCCACAGAAGGTGCCGGTAATGACGCAGCTGCGAACGCCACCATTGCGTTCATCTTTATCTTCGGCATCGTTTTCAGCTTCGGTTGGACACCTCTGCAGAGCATGTACATCGCCGAGACCCTCGACACTGCTACCCGTGCCAAGGGAACTGCGGTCGGCAACTTCGCCAGTGCCGTTGCAAGCACGATCATTCAGTACTCCAGCGGACCGGCCTTCCTCAATATCGAGTACTACTTCTACATCGTCTTCATTTTCTGGGACCTTTTTGAGGCTGTCTTTATCGTACGTAATTCTCCTTGCCGATGCCGATGTCTGTCTTACTAACTCTCACTTAAAGTACTTCTTTTTCCCCGAAACCAAGGATCGTACTTTGGAAGAGTTGGAGGAGGTTTTCAGCGCCCCAAACCCTGTCAAGAAGAGTCTGGAGAAGCGTTCCGCGCAGACTGTGTTGAACACCATGAACGTGGACGAGAAATTGGCCGGCGTCTGATACGCGACTCCGGGCCGGGTTTGACGGTAAATGTGGGGCGATGGCGGCACGGACTCCGGTCTGATGCCCGGTTTCACCTGCAGTATCTCATCCTCCATCTGCCTATTTGATCAGCGAGCAAAGATAGCAATTTTTATTCTCTATTGAGGGCCTCTATTGAAACGCCTCATGACTTGAACCTATAATAAGTCCAGGGTGGAATCTCAGCCGAGGTTTACTTTGCACTTCGTGTTGGTGCTGCCATCCCGGCGAACATGATTGGGGTATCCTTGCCCAACTTCTGATTGGGGCGGCACGGCTCTTCTGCAGGAGTGACACCAGAATCATTCTAGCAGCGCCATTGTGACCAACTTAAGCAACATTGCCAGACAATTTTCCAAGCTTTTCAAACTTCCAATCGGTAGGAGCCATTTGATCATTTATAACGGCAATTCCGCCAAGCGCTGACATCCATCACATGTGTTTCCCCAATGCGTGTTGCCGTGAACGGACACATCTCCGACCATTTCCCCAGCGACAGCACCATGATCCATCCCTCAAGCATCTCCACTGCCTCTCAGAGGCGGGGGGAATGGCGGAGTGAGGCAGCATGTAGTTAGTTTTCCGCAAGTTTTCCTTCCTGGGCCAAGCCTGTCCAGATTCTCCAATTCTCCCATCCCACCCCCTTCTCCACAGCACGTCTCCCCGCACCACACGTGGGTTTGCATATGTACCCAATGCATCTCCTTTCCTTCTGCCAGGATTCTCTGTCCGCCCCCTTGTGCATCCATTCTTTTTTTTTCCCACTGCCCACAAAGTCAGTGGCTTCTGCACTCGGTCCGCTTCGGATCGAAGCTCCTCGCAGCGGAACTGGCTGCTACGCCATGCCTCTCAGAGCTCGCGACTGATGCAATGGAGACGTTAGACAACGAGTCAATTACTGAGCCGTCCAGGAAGAGACTGAGGACGAGCCACGCAGTGAGTTGATCACATCATATTGTTCACTTCGTGTCCCTTGGCCGCGGTGTTATAGTCCAGCTTGGTTGGCTCAGCCTGAAGAGAGGGTTGGCGTCTAGGTCTAGACCACCGAAGACCTTTTCGCGATATGCCTCGTTGTCTCTCAACCCATGATGCAACGCTCACAGCCACCTTGCTGTTCTGACTTCCATGATCCGTACCATGGCCGTTCATAGAAAAAATCATCCCATTTACCTTCGATGGCACTTTACGGCAACTTATCCAAGTGAGCATAAGCTGACGGACCTTACGCCCTGCAGTGTGACACATGCCGCGCCAGAAAGATCAGGTACGTCCAGCCGAGACCAAAAACCAGGTCCAGGTCGTCCCAAACTCTCGGGTCAACATCAAGATTAACGAAAAGCTTTGTCCAGATGTAACGGCAACACGCCATGCGCGTCCTGCTCTGCGTCGCAGCAAGAATGCACTTATGGATCCGAGGCGAACTCGTAAGTCCCGCCCGGTCATCGGCGCCGTGTTCCCCGGCGAATCAAACATGCCCGGGGGACTCGGACGGAGAAGAAACCAATGCCTGACCGTTCATGTGCTGCATGTCATCAGACGCGGGAAAAGCGATCTCATCCTCGAGAGCGTGCTGAGGGTGGAGAAGTTCCTCCATGAGATGAAAGCAACCATCGTCAGTCCCGCCGCCTCGTTCCACTTTTCACCGAACCCGGCTCACGATGGGGGGTTCAAGGGAGTGCCTCCTTTCACCGAAACCCGCCCGGCCGTTGTCTCACCGGCCCTCCGCTCGGCATCGCGAGGATCCTTCTCCGGCTCGCCCCTGAATGAGATCCACCACCCGCAACGCACCCCCATATCCGAGCCCCAGTACCAGAACAACTATGAGAATGCCGTACTCGACTCCATGCACACAAGCACGACTGAGTCGATCCTACAATGGCCTCACTTCGAAGCCTTTCCGAGCATGAAGGATGGGTATGTCTCCATCTTCCATCTCGAACAGTCCAGGCCGGCGGTCAAAACGCGTTCCACAACCATGTACCCGTACGTGACTACTGAGGACATCGACGGTATCATTGACTCTTTTGAGCACACGGTCAACTTCTGGTATCCCACAATGTCCCGTAGCCAGCTTTCCCAAGTGCGGGATCTAATCGTGGATGGTATCACGGAGGAAGATAGCATTCTCGCCTGCTTGGCGTTGTTGACGATGGCCCTAGGCTGCGCCGGTCAAGTCACCGCTGGACTGACGACAGGGCATGCTTTGACTGACGAGGATCGGAAGCGAAGGACAGCAAGGAGGGCCATGGGTGATATGTACTTTGACAGCGTGCTGAAGAAGCTACATGTCGTGCATACTAATGTTGGTAGCACCGCCACACATTGCTTGTTCTTCACGGCGTAAGCATCCGGTTTCCCATGGCCTTGTACCAGGCACTGATGAAATTTGCAGCATGTACTTCGCCTTTCTGCGACGGCCGTTGCAAGCGTGGGAATACATCAACGCGGCCTCCGCAAAATGCCTCCTGCTTCTGGCGTACCCCCCTGAATCTGAGTCGGGCGAGGACCAAGAACGAATACGAAGGATCTTTTGGTCTTGCTATATCCTAGAAAGGTTTCAATTCTCCTCTTGCTTCTAGAGACGACGTTATCACTAACATCAAGTCCAGCGATTACCTTGCCGAACTCAATGGCCTCCCTCAGTCGGGTGTTGCCCGTATCGAGTCTTCTACCCCTCTGCCAGGAGAGTTCAACACCCATCGAGACCCTCAAGTTGAAGAGCAGTCTTCGCTGTACTTCTTAGCCTGCATCTCGATGCGTCGCCTTCTCAACCGCGTTCATCAACTTCTGTATGCCCGTGGTACCGGTGCAGCGCTTGATCACGCACGTTTCCCTTACGTCGTCGCCGAGTTAAACCACCAACTCGACGAATGGCGGGAGGTTCTTCCGCCTGCGTTCGCCTTCCGCGTCGGCTTCGACGACATTGGCGGCCAGAGTACCGCCACAGAGCACGGCGGGTTCCTGCGCCAGAGGTATCTCACCTGCCGAAGTGTCATCTATCGGCCCTACCTAATGTGGATGTTGAGCGGCATGGCTGGTGGAAACGGTGCAAGCTCTGAGCTGCTCGTCAGCCAGGATGCGTTGAAGAATTGCAAGGCTTGCTTAGACGCATGTCTGCTGCATATACTCAACTTGAGAGGCTTTGGACAGACGGTTCTAGTCGATACCTGGATCTGCTCGCTCTCGTAAGTTAACTATGCCCAGAGAAAAGAGAAATCACTGAACTAATATTACTGTTCCAGGATGGCTGGTGCGATGCTCGTTTTGCTTGCAGCTTGTCGTATTTCGTCCCTGAAAGACATGATTGGGCCTGAAGTGCTCGGAGCAGGTGATCATCTGAAGCAGCTTTTGCAAAGCTGGCAGTCTGTTATGGGAGATCCCCCATCTCCAAGTGTGGATCAGAGCATCAGGATGATTAAGGACTTGGATCGGTTCATCCAGGAGGTCTACCGAGCAGGAGACTCCTACTCTATGAGGAGGCGATGAGTGACAGAACGTAACTTCTTTCATCAAGAAAAGTCCAGGATATACGCAAAAAGGGTCGCAGAACAGGAGCGTGACGGAGCTTTCAGGTCAGAGTGATGAAATCTCAATGGTTTTGGCGGGCCGTTGTCGACGCTAACATTGTTTGAGGTCGTGTCAATCGGTAGTCTTAGACTTCAATGGGCTGACGAACTGAAATACAACGTCCTCAACTGTGTCTACGCAAATCACCAGACTCCACGTTCGCGGAACATGAAGCAACCCTTGAGATATGTGCTCCCATCAAAAAGATTAAGAATATCGCGGGTTGGAAAATACTTCTTTCTGGTAACAATCTTCAATTTGAGGCTACTGGCCTCTGTGTTCCTTTTGGCTTGTGTCGCCTGAAAGTAAAGCATTACACGGTGTTTTTTTGAGTATGCCCGGAACAGATTTCGATAACAGAGGTTATTAACCGCAATTCCCATACGGAGCCAAGTATCATCCAGTTCATGCGTGCGAGTAATTGGAGCTGTATCAAGTGACCTTTGTTTCATCCCATGGCTGGACCCTGTCGATCTCACATTGAAATACGAATGTTTCCCGACTTAAGGCTAAGGACTACCGCGATCAAGTTGCTGACGGGGACACAGCAGAAGCGCCGTCAATCCAAATTGATGAGAAACCAGGAGGTCTCAGCTGCCATGTTTGAGATCACTCTATTACATCATGACGACTTCCTACATTTCTCTCAGGTGAAAAGGCAATGAAAATCCATAATGATTCTTCCTTTCATTTCCAGAATATCTCCGCGTCACTGCACGGGCCAGGTACACGTTTCTTTGTAACGCGCCAAAGACCCCTGCTTCGAGGTCGATACCGCCCCAGTGTGCCAAATTACTCATCATTTCGGTTTAATGATTTGGCGCGACTTTTGAAAAGGGGGCAGAAACATGGAATTCATGTCCGACGACACACGTTATTCCAAGCTTTTGCAAGCAATCTATCTATCCGGACTCCATTTGACCGTGTGTCATTCCGGATAGTCTGTACTACACTGCATGTACGGATGCGACGTCCCTGAACCATCAAGACATTCAACTTGCTTCTCCACTCGGTAGAGTAAAGAAGCACCACGACTGCGGATCTTGTTGCTTTTTTGTCGGCACGTCGACTCCACATAACCTGTTGAGCAGGGCTTTTGCTTGAGTGAGTGCGAGGAAATCCGTGCGACACGCTCCGCGTCCGAGGTCATAGCTAGCTTGACCTTCGTCTCACGACCTGTACCACGGCCTGAGTTCATGTCACTCATCTGCGCCGAGTGCATTGGGTGACGGAGAAGATCCGGTTTCACATCCAGCGCAGCCGACCGACGATTCAATCTCTCGACGAGTTCGACGCACCAGCTACGACTAGCCACCATGGAGTCTCAGCAACCCCCAGCAGGTACTGCTGCTGCTGCTGCCTCTCCGTCTCATCGCAAGGGACACAAGCCCTCATCCTCGCTGGGCTCTCTGTACGAAGTCCTGGCCGACCTCGACGAGAATCAACTACAGTATCTCATCCAGGAGATGAACCATACTGGCCACCAGAATGTCCCCGTATCCAAGGCAGTGACGGCATTCGAGACCAAGAACCCGACGGACTCACTCACCACATTGAGGTCTAGCATGCTGCCACCAGCACCTGGTCAGTCGGCGCCAGACGTCTTTGCCCCAGGACTGCAGCGGCAGTTATCCAAATCTCAACAAGGGAAGCTGCGTTTGCAGACGGCTTTTCAGCGAACACCGTCGTTACGCCAGAGACAGCGTCAAGACAGCCCCAGCACACATCAGCCCTTACACAGCTCACCCCTCAAGGACCTTGAGCCGCAGCCTGTCAACTCTCAGCCTACGCAGCCGGTGGAACACCACCCTGTTCAACACCCTGCTCAGCAATCTCGTCCCGAGAAAGAGATTGATAAACGGGCATCCGATTTCTCCTTATTTGATTTCGGATTTGCCGGGAATGAGTCCCGGGAGCCGGCGACACAGCCGGAAAAGGAGGAGCAGCAGGCTCAACTTCAGCCGGAACACAAGACGAATGTCGACACCCAGCCGCCGGTCGGTTCCTCATTCAACTTTGGATTCTCTGGCAGCAAAGTCGAACCGAGGGAAAGAAGCGAAGAACGTCGGCCAGGAGAGCCGGAGGCGCCGCGGGGGAGGAAGGAGATTACCGTTGAGACCAGCAACCTGCCGGCGCCCACCGGTAGAAGCAGGACAAAGTCTGTCGCTTACAAACGGATTCCGCGACCCGATTTCAATCTGCCTTCTGGCATCACGGTCACAGACCTCCTGGAGCTCCTCGAATTGGAGTATCAATCCGCGAATCCGCAACAGCCTTCGAGGACCCCCAGCTTCTCATCTTCGCCGTCGTCCACGCATCTTTCTCCGGCATCGCTCCCCCTACCGCGTGCTAATGCGGCCAGGCGGGCCAACATTCAGACTCCAAGCTGGCCCGCGTCTCGACCTCTTCGCAGGCATTCTTCCAGGTTGGACATGATGCTAGATGCCGAGCGCAATGTTTCTGGCGCTGAGGAGATTGGTCTCGGTATGCTTGAGCCCCGGCCGCTCAGGTCGTCCTCCGTCGGGACAAGATCGGCCTCTCTGGGCAATTCCGCGGCTAGCACTCCGATCATGTCGATGGACTCTTTCTGCTTCGACGGGCCTGTCAGGGCGGATACGACTCCTCCTGTCATGGAGGGAATCTTTGACGTCTTGGAGAATCAGTAGAATGCATATTCAAGTGGGAAGTAATCTTGTACATATTCTCCTTCGCCCGTATGCACTTTCGCAACTAGAGGCGAGAAGCGGGTTGTATTTTCTGTATTTTGTATTAATACTTGGAGGATAAGATACCACAGCTAGCAATAGGGGCAGATAGGTTTGGTCAGAATCTTGGAAACGAGAATCTACTACACATATACAGCGCACCACCAAGGCCGCCTGAACTTGGGCTATTAAAGTTAACATTGCCGTCGATACGTACTCGAGCTCTTAGTTGGAGCTTTGTGCTTGGACAACTGATACTGATTCTGGGGCAATGGATGCAGGATACGTTTGCAAATCGTTCTGCGAGAAGTGTTACTACCATATCCATGGTTCCTTGGCCCCGCGGCGTGGTCCTCGTCTCAGTCTGTCTTAACATGAAAGCCCAGAGCTACTTCTCGTCATACATCGACACAATATTCTGTGACCTTCCAATGCTTTTTGCGGTATGCATACTTCGATGCGTTCAGAGATCAATCTTGACCGCCACCACGTTACTCGAGTAGAATCCCGTCACGAATAGCCACGCCTTCCTCTTGGAATCCTCCTTAGCCGGGTCAATGGCTACAAGAACTGCTGCAGCAGCCGACCGAATTCTGGTTCCGTCATCTTGAAACAGTGACCGTTTCTCCCAGCATTCGGCCTTATCGGCCGCACCACAGTTCGCTATGGGCTTCGCAAACCAGACAACCGAGCCGATACTCGCAGTCGGATCATGGGCCTGCTTCAAGAAGTCGACCGCCTTGATGATGCCTGGGGCGACGAACCCGCTGGCATCTTGGGTCTCTGAGCGATACGGGTCCTGGAAGTAGCTTGGGTTGTCGATGGGAGAGTCGAACGGGATAGAATCCACGATGCCAATGGTGGCATTCTTGGGATCCGAAGGCAACTGTCCAATATGCATCACGCCCTCGACGCAGTTGTCGATGAGAATGTGTCCGGGCTTGTAGTGACCCAAGCCGTTGTTGTTGCGCATTCGGTCGATGGCTACATCCGCAGCGACCCCATCAGTAGGCTTCAAGGCGGAGAGCTCATCAACGCGAACGTGGATGGTATCAGTCCAAGTCGCACCAGGCCAGAGGTCCTCGGCGTGACGCAGGGCTCCTTCGCGGTAGAAGTGGTCATTGGTGACGTAGAAGGAGTGTGGGTCTTTGATGAAGATGTCGTTGGGAGTCCTGATGAGCGGGTGCTGCACGGATCGCACATGCTTGATCGTGGAGGTGCCTAAAGTGTGGTAGAAGATTTCAATCTGGGATTGAGCTTTCTGTGCGACGTTTTGGTCTCCCTGACCACCCGCTTTGGCGGCAATGAACTCGGGGTGAGGAACGTGGTTGACGGCAAAGATGTAAACTGCGTCTGCCTTCTCGGGATCGGTGATAACATCGATGCCGTGTGTGACGAAAGTGCTATCGAAGTTCTCAAACTTCAGTCTCTTCGTAGTCATATCCTGTTGATAGTTAGATTGGCTGCTCTCAAGCTTCTTCCATAATCCAGTCTTACCTTAGGGTCAATGACGTGAATAGACCCCTTCGACTTGCTTCCCTTGACCGGATCTTGGAATTGCGCGAGTGGCGGGAACCACACCTTGCGAGTCTCGGCATCATCCTCACATGCGGTGAAGAGAAGCCCGCTCGCCTCGTGATGATGGATATCCTCGCAATGAGTCGTGTCGCCAATAACCGTGAAATCTCCGCCCAGAACGACGGTGTTTTCGATGGTCCGTGACACGCCGACGACCGTGGCCGTCCGCTTAACGACCGGTCCGTATGTGTAGCCACCAAAGATGGCTAAGCCAGCCACAACGACTGACATCAACGCCGCCATGGTGAATTTCAGTGGTGGACAAGCGATGTTTGAGTGTCTCAAAACTTGTTCTTTGATGGGCAGCCGACAGCGAACATGTATCTGTCAGAGCTTGAGCTCAAGTCTTTCGCTTCCGAGATGATCCGTCAACTCGCAAGTTCCAGCTTGATTTCAATGAATCTGTGAAGCTTCTCTACGAAGCTCGGAATCAACGGGACGGGGCGTCGAGCTGAGATGAGGGGGAAGCGCCGGAGTTTGGGGGTTGCGGGGAGCTGTTCGGGTGTGACCTCGGCTCCGCAAAACACAGTTCAGGGTCGCCGCTGCGGAGGATCTCAAACAATTTACGTCATGCGCGGAGAAGTGCTGACATGCAGCGCAGCGGGCTTCATCAGGGGGTTTGACGAATGATGGCCTTGGTTTTCGCGTGAATCCTGGTCCGGACTTTCTCACAATCTCCCTACTCCTTGAAAACATCCTGGCGAAGAGAGAGGTGAGGGCGACGCCGTCGGGCGGAGTTCATCCCGACGGCCCAAGAACCAACCGTCCACCGTAAGCTGCACTGTAAATGATCGATTGACACATGAATGCTGAGCCAGATCTTACTTCATCTTTCAGTTGGATAATCGGCGCGATGCAAGCCTTTGGCTTCCTGTCAAAAGAATGCTCATCATCAAATTTCTCATGTACTTCTGACATATTCTCAAACAACTGACCTTCCTCATCGCATTTTCAAGCAGGTCACAGTATTCACTATGAAAAGATCGAATTTGAATGAATTAGCCGCTGAGCTCACAACAACTCATCCATGGATCAGCTCGAATGAAGCTCGTGGCAACCAAAAGGCTGGAACCTTTCAAAAGATAATTCGCTGTGGTCTTTTCTCTCGTTGAACATCCAAACAACCGTTTTGAAGGTCGAATTTTGTGGTTTCATGATCAACTGACAGTAAGGTGAGGTCGCCTGAATAGTTGCAAGACTTCGAACTGAACGTAGTTGGAGTAGCAGTCACTCATGTCACCTATCATATATACCGATTTTGATCTGAGCCTTGACAAGTACGTGTTACACCGCTTTAAGCTTCACTGATCTACCGAGGTGTTGTGAGAAGAGTTGCGGCAATGCCTCTGAGCCGCAACTGAGATGCCCGGGTACAGGACCCTTCAACCCCAGACATAAGTTCCAACAGAGAGGCGCCGGCCCTGATGATAGGGCGCTTCCTGCAATTTTACTTGACAATGTCAGGGATCATCCCCTGTATGCGTGGTGAAAATGCAACTATGATAAGTCCTAGGTCATTGCCCCATATCTTCCGTTGTCGTCAACTTCATCCCCGGATCAAAGGAAGCTCGTGATCTGAATTGAACAACAGACTTGTTTCTCTCAGAGGCTGACAGATGAAATTGAAGCATGAGCCATCACAATCTTGAAACCCCTGACATGTGCTAAGCAGGCTCCAGCACTTGAGCTTACCCATTTTCGGCGACGTGAAAACAACCTCGGCACTCGGGCCAGAACTGCCGATCCCCGACGCCAGCCGGACTCCTGAGCTCTTTCAGCTGCCCCGGAGACGCGCATCTGACCAGGCAGCTCGCGTTGCTTCCACCTTCTAGAAACGATACAAGAGTTCTCCCAAAGCCGTTGTGATCTCACCTGTCATCTCATATTCAGCTCAACCCGTTCCCACACCGAGTTTGACAACGACAGAATGGTCACTGTAGCGAAGAATGCGCCACGTGGTGCGACCGGCGCCCCGCGCCAGTCGTTGACCGTCATCGACAACCGCACCGGCAAGTCTTACGAGTTTCCCATCAAGAACAACTCGGTTATGGCGACGGACATCAAAAAGATCAAGTCGGCTCGTGGTAATGACCGCCCGGAAGATGAGACCGACCAGGGTCTTCGCGTCTACGACCCGGCCTACATGAACACGGCCGTTGTCCAGAGCAACATCACATACATCAACGGCCAGGACGGCATCCTGCGATACCGTGGATATCCCATTCAACAGCTGGTCAACAAGTCGCATTTCTTGGAGAGTGCGTTCTTGCTCATCTATGGCGAGCTTCCGACCTCGACACAGTACAGCAAGTGGCAGGATGAGATCATGCACCACACCTACATTCACAGCGACATCGAGGGCATGTTCAAGTCATTCCGTTACGACACTCACCCCATGGCCATGTTGCAGTCTTCGTTTTCTGCCTTGGGTGCGTTCGCGCCCGAGTCAAACCCCAGCTTGCAAGGGCAGAAGCTGTACACCAACGCGGCTTCGGGTGACGTGGAGGCTCTCAAGATGCTCGACAAGCAGATCCTGCGTATCATCGGCAAGGCCCCTACCCTCGCGGCCGCGTCGTACCGCATGCGCCAGGGCAGACCGTTTAACCGTCCGGCCCAGGGACTCAGCTACACCGGCAACTTCCTCTATCTCCTCGACCATCTCAGCGGCCACGAGTACCAGCCTCACCCGGTACTCGAGAAAGCTCTCGACGCGCTCTTCATCATCCACGCCGACCACGAGGTCAACTGTTCCACGGCCACGGTTCTCCAAGTCGGCTCGAGTCTGGTCGACCCTTACAGTGTCGTGTCCGCCGGATGCGCCGCTCTTTACGGACCCAGCCACGGCGGCGCCAGCGAGAGTGCCATCAGGATGTTGATGGAGATTGGCAGCCCCGAGAATGTGCCCGCATTCATGGAGAAGGTTGAGAAGAGAGAGAGGGTCCTGGTTGGATTCGGTCACCGCGTCTACAAGAATGTCGACCCCCGCTCAACTGCGATCCGCCAGCTGGCCGAGGAGGTCTTCGCCGTGACGGGCCGCAACCAGCTTCTTGACACGGCGCTGACGCTGGCCAAGTACGCGCGCGAGAGCGAGTTCATGAAGAAGAGAAACCTGTACCCCAACGTCGACTTCTACTCCGGTCTCATTTACCAGGCCATGGGCTTCCCTCTGGACTTCTACCCCGTCCTGTTCGCCGTGCCCCGCTGCGTTGGATGGTTGGCGCACTGGAGACAGCAGATGCTGCAGAAGGGTGGTGTCAAGATCTGGCGCCCGAGGCAGCTCTACATTGGCGAGGGAGAGCGGAACTACGTCGACTCCAAGGACAGGGAGGAGAAGGCGAACAAGTCTGTTTTCGATGAGCCGGTCCAGGTCAGCCACGGCGGAGACAGCAAGAGGAATGAGCTCGCAACTTATAAAGATGAGATGGGCCAGGCATGGAAGGGTCGGGCGAAGCTTTGAATTACGGTTTTCGACGGCGTACGGCTACTAGAATCTTTTGCGGAGGCTCTGGTTGTATATTAGACAGCATGTTAGAATTAGGACGCGCATTTCACCGTTCAGAGTTTGAAATTTTGAGATTCTGAAAATTGCTATGATATTCAAAGTTCGAACAATTTGATGACTACTATAAATCAAAATCACACTCTAATACAATTTTACCGCTAGTCATACAATGAAATTCATACACGTTATCCCACGTCGCCCTTAGGCGTCCCATTGCACACGCATTGTCGTCGGGACAGGCCACAACGAGCTCTGATCAGCAGTCATGAGCGCCCTCAGACCAATCCAGGGCTGCTGGTGGTATGCGTTTCCATTCTGTCCCTCAACAGGCAGGCCAACTTGTCCGTTCCAGGCACCGGCGGGGAAGTTCTTGAGCTCACCCCTGCCACCTGGAGAGCGGCGTAGGTTCTTGAGACCGACAATCTGCTTGAACAGACTTGTCTGCCCGACCCTAGACATCTCCTTGCCCGCACACCAGTGCGGGCCGAGGCCGAAGTGGACGTAGGAGTCCAGCGGGCGGTCGAGACGCACCTCGTTGGGGTCCTCGAAGATGGCGGGGTCGCGGCTGGCCGTGGCGAAGTTGCACATGATCTTGTGGCCCTTGGGGATCTTGACCTCCCGCTTGGTACCCTCGATATCGGGGTTAGTAACGGGACTGCGGCCCAAGGGGTCGGCTGGGTTGACCAGGCAGGGAGAGTAGTCGGTGATGATTTGGTCGGAGGCCGCTTCTCTGTAGACGGCGACGGTTCCGTATAGACGACATCCCTCGAGCATGCTGCTTATCGTTAGAAATGACATGTCAAAGAGTTGCGCGAGATATAACTTACTACTTCATCAACGTCTGGTCCGCCTCCTCCGTGTTCTCGTGGGCAAGGCGGTACAGCTCCGGCAAGTGCTTCTTGCCGGCCTCCGTAAGATAGTAATCGATGCAAAGTGAAGTCACCTGAGACTGGTTCGTGACGTTTGCAGCAATCGTGGGCATAATGGTTCCCCACACGACGCTCTCAATGTCGGTCGCGTCCTGCAGCATGCGCTCAATCAGATGGTTGCCAAAAGTGGGCAATGAAGCCTCTCCCTCGCGGATCTTGGCGACAATGTCCGTAATCAAGCCAGCCTTCTTGATCGTCTGCGCAACAAGCACCATGACTTTACCCAGATCCTGGGCAAGCTCGCGAGCGATGGTGCGAAGCTTGTGGCTGCTGCCAATGTCGGCATCCATGAAGACCGACTGGAAGAGGGCGCCGAGGACCATATACAGCTCCTGGTCCGTGTAGACACCCCAAGGTGACTCCTCGTTCTTGATAGGCAGGCAGAACAGAGCGGCGTTGAAGCGGGTGTTTGTCGGGTTGATAACGTCGCGAACAATGTCGACTTCCCTCTTGTTGCCGGGGATGGGGAAGCTGCTCATCTCGATCATCTTTGGCGTCTGGTGGCTGAACCACTTCCAGATCTCCTTCTCCCACGGGCCTGAGACGAGAGACTTGCGCACGAGGGTGCGGTTCATGGCGTTTACCTTGGCATCTCCCGACAAGCAGAAGTCCTTGCCGTAGTCCTTGCCGTTGCCGGGTTGTGCGACCAGGTGGCGGATGGCCTTTCCAGTGACGACCTTGAAGTCCTGCTGGTTGTAGAGTACATCGCTGACAGCCTTGTGGGAGAGAATGGGAATAGTAGGCGTCATGGCCTTGGGCTCATCCCAGGTGTAAAGGTAGGCTCGGTCGATGCTTTCAAGAATCTTCTTGTTCTCAGAGGGGATGACGAAGGGGAAATGGGCGTAGATGCTGTTGTGCTGGAAGGAGTTGGGGAAAGCACGGAAAACAAGCTTGTACAGGACGTGACTCTGGTCCACGTTGAGATCGTAGCTGGCTTGGTCGAATCTGCAATTATTAGCGCATGCATGCTTCGGGGGCGAATTGGACACTTACCCCCAGTTGGTGTAGTTCTTCGGGGTATAGTCAATGGTGAAGAAGCGGTCGCCGCGAACCAAAGCAACCGCGTCGGACAGAATGGCTCTGGTCATGGTGAAGTTACCACAGAGACCGCTACCTGGAGCCATGGGAGGCTTGGCCTTCTCGGCCATCAGGCCAGGGTACATCTCAACGGCATCGGGGGTGCCGTAAAGGTATCTGAGCTTTGCGACGACCTCCTCATCGGGGTTGATATCCTCGAATGTCTTGTGTCTAGTGAGACCGAAGTGTTCACGTAACTCGTTAAGCGTGGCGCAGTTCCAGTTTCGAGCGCTCACGATACCCATCAGTTCGATGGGCCGCATCACCTCCGGAATTCTGTTTGCGCCGTACGAGCCGGCGACGTCCTCGACTGACTCCTTGAAAATCTTGGCCAGGTCTTCCTCACGGAGCGTACCGTCAGCGTTGCGCGGCAGATCCATGAAGCCACGCTTGGCGGGGTCATTGGGGATCTCCTGTTCCCAGTCCCTCATGGCATGGCCGAACTCCTTCAGAGTCATGTCCGTGGGGTCCTTTCCGAGAACCTTCTTCATCACGTCCTTGGTCCACTGCTCATCCTTGGGAGAGATGGTGTTGTGCCACCTGTAGATGAGGTTAAACTCAACAGACACCTGGTTGCCGGTGCCCTCCGGAGTCTGCTGGCTGAGAATGCTCTTGCCCTCGTTTGTGCGGGGATCCAGAGCCCAGCTAGAGTCGGTTCTGTTCATGCCCAGGATGGTTCGGACGTAGTCGCGAAGAATGATGCTGACGTAGAGACCGGTCGTGATCAGACGGGCAGTTTGGAACAAGTCGTTGTCGTACTTCTTCCATGCATCCGAACCCGGCTCGCTACCTGACGGTTTTGTGAAACGGTTGTTCTCATTAATCCTACTAAAGTTAGCATGGCGAGCAAAATCACTCTTGTCGGTTCACTCACATTGCCAAGTTCGTAGCAGTGTAGTTGTGAAAACGGTTGAACATGATCAGCAAAACACCGACACCAGGTGGGAAGCCCAACACCCTCTTGGAAGAGAAGGTGTCGGGCTTGAGAAGACCGTTGTTTCCGGTCCTCATGGCGTCTTGCTCTTCTTGATTACGGCCGTACAGAGGTGCAAGATCCAGATATGAGGAGGTCTTGTTGACACCGCTGAGGCCATCCTATTATTTCGTTAACTTCGTTTTCTCAGGAGCAAGAAAGGTCAGTCTTACGGTCTGGAAGATGTCATGTGTGATAATTGTGGCAAGATAGAACATGAAGCTGGAGATCTTGTTCGGGTGAGGCTTGAACTCGTCGCCGCGCGCAAACAGCATATCGAAAATCATTTCGGGCTCAGGCTGGTTGGGCGTTTGATAGCTCTTGGCCGGTGCCGAGCGGGCGTATGCTGTGTTTGCAGCTCCCATCATGGGGCTGTGGATTGCGTTGCCCGAGCCATCGGCTGAGCGGTACTTGTGGTTCTCGCCGAGGGTGGTCATGGGCGGGTGGTCGATACCGTTCCAAAGTTGGTGAATCAAGCCGTTCGCTAGCCTTTTGCCCTTGACGCTGTTCTGCGGCAGTTTGGCGAAAAGCTGGATAAGATTCTCCAATAGCAACTCGTTATCGTTGATTTGGCCTTCGACGGCTGATGTGAAAAAGTTGATGAGCGTGTCGAAGTCCTCAAAGCCTAGCTTCTTGACATCTTGGAGCAGGTTGCCGGGCTCGCTCTGGTCAGAATTGGAGCTAGTAAGTGGTTCGGGATGGGCAGGGACGGGGGAGATAGCCTTAGAGACCAGCTGGCGAGCTGAAGCCAACCTCTCTGCCAGAGGCGGCTGGTTCCTTGGGAACTGTTCTTCTAAAGCTGACGGAGACATGATTGGGTATATGGTATATGCCAGATCGATTGGAACTGGGTGAGAGAGCGTATCGATATATCAAACAAGAGAGAAAGGTAAGAAGCCGAATCCTGTGAAGGGAGGAGGGCCGCATCCTCTATATACAACTTCATGTTGGGGCTGAATACGCGGCGACGGGGACAGCCGGTGCGATCCATGGCGAACCTGGGATAGAAACGCACCCTACCCTCCCTCCGTGAGTACAGAGTAGTGAGGCGCCGATGGAAATTGAGAAGCAGTGACTAGCCTCGGTGCTAGCTGGCGTTGAGGATCAGGCTCTACGAGGTAAGGTAGCTCCAACAAGATTGGTGCTGAGGTCAGATGTGTGAAGGTCCACAAGGGTGTCATGGATGCACGTTTTTGCTAGGCAATGGGGCTAGATGATGATCCGTTTGCGATTAGTCTAGCCGGGGGCCTCTCTAGGCTTCCCGCCATTAGCCTTGTCTCTTCGTAAGGCGTGGTTTCCGAGGCACGTCCATCGTTGGCCAATCCTGACCGGATGAAGCAGACCGAAGATTGATGAAGAGACGCAAGTTGGTAAAACGTAGGCAGCCATTGGACGGGGTGCGAAGCGAGGGGACCAACTGGCCCCCTGTCTATTGTGCGTGGCCCAGCCAATAATGGCTGGCATCGCGCTTGCATCTCCTGCATCGTGGGGGCCGCCAGGGCGCAGCTGAAGGGTACCCTGCGTGCCTGGTCGTCTGCCTATTTTGCGCTGGGGTCGAAGGAAACGAAGCAGACGGATGAGCACTGCGATAATCGAGTTCCCTGTGCCAAGTTGAATGGGACGAAAACGGACAACACCGAGGCACCGGAGAACCACTTGGGGGGCGGCTGAAGACATCGAATTCCAGCTCGCCCTCAACGCGATGCAACGGCAGCCAATCGTTGGCGCCTCATCGTACTTGGCTCTGGTTGCCTTTAACTCACTCGTCACATCCCTGTGCTCCGTACTCTGACTCTCATCGGCGGTGCGATGACTGTCTCATACGGGGATTTCGGTGAGTGTCTCGCGCTTCGCGAGGAACTGTGGGGAAATGAAGGCGCATTTGCGCGGGATGAGTCGATCTCCCCTGGCCTCAGCACATGTGACTGTTGTGTTCGTTGAAGGCTGTGAGGTTTGTGACTTCATTCTTTGACGTTGTCGTAACCACGTTCGGTGGAAGATGGCGCTGCAATGTCGCCTCTAGGCGTACGCCATTCCCGTAAGGCAAGGCGTTGTATCGTATCGTCCCTTCGAACCCCAGTGAGCCCAACACAAGAAGTTACCAGACGAGGGTTAGCACTTCGGTTCGGGTTAGCGGGCGTCGGGCCGTTGTCGAAATCTGTAGATGGTGTCCGTAAACGGGGGCCGCCGACTTACAGGGCGTCCCGGGAATAGCTCTAGCCAGCCTGATGTTGATTTTTCTCATCAGTTCTCAACAGAGCTCAGAGTCCGAGTTCTGCGCTGTCATGAGGTCTCACTGAGGCCCTGCCGGTGTGATGCGGAGTGCAACTCTGCGCCAACATGCATATACTGCGCAGCGGCGCCAACATGTAAGGAATGGCTTGACGTTGAGGCCGGCCGGTGATGTCCGTCGTCGTCGTGATGTCAGCATCTTGGCTGTCAGCACTTTGTGCACGCAGCACACCCCTCGATTTGAAGCTGGGTGTAGTGTGTACGAATACAGATATCTGTAGGTAATTAGCTGGCTGCAGAACAGGCAACCCTTTCTTTTCTCCCCCTCGTGGGGGCCCGCAAACAAATCGAATCCTCCGGCCGTCGTCGCCGAGTCCATTGACCGGTTGCGTTGCCGTGCCGCTGGGCTGTGCTGAGGTCGGGGGTCGCGTTCATATTCCATCCCGTCATCGCTTACAGGTCACTGTGTTGCGATTACACGAGCCGAGGTTTTTGCCTGCAAGTCAGCCTCCACCGGGTAGGACCGTTGCCTGCCGCCTCCGCCTCCCCCATCCGACCTCACCAACAACTCAACTCGCCTCAATTTGTATTTTCACGTGTGTAATTTGCTGAGATGAGTGGTATGGTGCATTTTCCAAAAGATGTTGGCAAGCGGAGCGAAGTTCCGTCTCTTTGGATTGCGGGGTCCGAGACACCACTGATCAAGACTGGCTTACAGCGCCCAGAGTCTTCCGGTGAACTTCAGTGGCATCAATATCAGGTTCTCCGCCTTTTCCGAAATGTAAAACGATACGCCAATTCTCGTAAGTCGTAAGCAGTGAAGCGTTGCGCCGATGCAGCTGACGGCTCCGTGACGACACAAGAAGATTGAAGACGGAGAATCAGTCGCTCATGGCACTGACAGGTGGTTTGTGTGAGGTCATTCGCTACATGGAACTTCTACAGCCGGACTCATGCACCGCTACTGACACCGGTGAACCATGTCACGGCTGACGGCCGCTAAACTAACAGTTTTGGGCTGTAGGGCTGAGATGTTGGCTCTCTATCGGTGCGGTGCTGGTGTTTCTAGTCTCGTCTGGTGCGATCCTCAACCCCCGCGGTCAGCTTACTGCACAAGCGTGGAAGCCCCGCGGCGGCTTGAGCGCGTATTTTTGAGGTCATTGGCCAATCCTGGTGGTACGGTCTAGTAATCTGGAATCTTTCCCTCTCATGGATAATGAACAAGATGTGCCGGATTGAGGCTGAAGAAGTCTTTGCCTAGAAACGCATGTTCAGGGCATCGGCAATCAAGAACCTGGCGAATGAACGACAGGCGATCGTTAAAGATGAGATGAGAGGCTGTTGTGGCTTGCCCGGCCTTGATACATACTTACTCAGGCGAGTACGATAAGAGTCGTTTACAGATGGCGTGCACAACGTCGAAATGTAAGAGTCTATCGAATGCGCACTGGTGCTCCGACTGAAGACTTCCTCCCAGCTAGCATACCCTTTCAAGCGAGATAGGTTGATGAGATGACGCATGGTTCCCGACTGCTAAAATAAGCATTTGTGATGCGTGTCTTGGCGCTCGAGCGTTTAAAACGTGAAAATGACGTGGTGAGAAGCGTTTGTAAGCATCCTCGAACAAGAGACGTCTGGTCTGCGTCGGGAAGAAGTGCTTCGCCATAGTGATTGTCGCCGGACTCCTCCACTGCAACTGCAGCAGCATCGAAGGGCGAGGGGCAGCGAAGTGAATCAACTCTCTGCTTCCCTCACGCGAAACAGTTCGTTTTGTGGTTCTCTTTGTAACGTGATTCAATGGAGAAAACAGCATCCGCGGAGCTGTTTCGCTGAAGGACTGGACTGAAGCGCTGAGCCACTTGTCTGAGTTGAAATATGCGCAAGGGGCTTGACGCCGAGCCGAAGATTGAGACGAGACGCGTGGTCATGGCCAAACAGAGTTTGGAAATAGATGAGCAAGGTACTGTAACTGTAGCAGAGTCAATCGCATCCTGTATGAGGAGTGGCAATTATTCATCCACTACAAGCAGCAAGGTCAGTAAATCGGGATGGATTGAATCGGTTAAGAGCACACCTGTGACTCTTGAGAAAATAAGGCAAAGTGCTCCTGTCGTGTGAGCGCTAAGGAGTTAAGATTGGGATTCCTCAAGCAGCGCTAGTGACAGAAGCACACTCGACGCTCCAGGATCCAGACAGGTGCCATGAACCGCAGATTGTGGGAGAAAACAACAGTAGCCGCAGCCAGCGTAGTGAGATGAAGATTGAGTTTGCCATGTCGTTGCAGCGAGATGATGAGTTGATTATTTTGGGCAGTGATTGGGTGATTTTGGGGTGAGCTGGTCAAAATACAGTTTTAAAAGTCGCCGTGACAGGCGCCTCCCTGGCGGGTCCCGAGCTTCAGGGTCGCAGTGCTAAGATGCTGGCTCATTGTAGGTACTCCGTGTCTTGGAGAAGTCGAGTTTCGAAGAAGCACGTCACCCATTCATCGGCTAACGAAGCCTAGGAGAAGGAAACTTGGAGATGATGTGAGGAGGAGGAGAGGTAACCACAGAGGAGCCAGCATTGAATGTCACAAGAGCAATCTGGAATCGGGCAATCAGCAATCTGAGGGAAGGAGGAATCGAGACCGAGGCGTACCTTCCATTGCGGATACACTGCAAGGTACCTACCTTAACCAGCGGAGTCGTCATCTGGGGAAGGAAAGAAGGACCCTACAAATGTGGGAAACGGGAAGGACCCTACCTGTGACCTAGGGACCTGCTTCCTTCCAGTGTTACAAATCGAAGGTAAGATGAGGGAAGGAAGGAAGGAATTAGGCAAGAGGTAATTCGCCTTAAGGTGGAAGGTGCCAGGTAGGTAGGGGGTAGGTACCAGGGAGGAAGGAAAGAAGGAAAGAAGGAAGGAATCGTTCTTTCCGCGATTGAGGTGTCGCATTCAGCATCAGCAGTTGCACTCGTGCTTTTCGGTCCTGGCTGCTGTTTCTCGCATCTTGACGCCTTGCATCTCCGCAGATGTTCGTGTTCCGTCTCATCTGATTTCAGTAATTCTCTGCAAAAAGTCGCGTATTCGTGTCTCGACCCGACATCCTTCGTATTCTCTCACCTTTTTCTCCCCTCGCGTGCCCTGCTCACCTCAACTCACCTGGGCTGGTTGGAGAACCAGACAAACAATCTCCCGACACCTCACTTCTTTTATTCCATCCAGTCATCCACCATCCCGCCCATCTCTTACGCTGCTTTGCGTAAGGTATCTCGGGTGACACGACACCTCCCATACGGACTACGACCTGCAAGTCGCAAACACCTTGGTCACGTCGTCCGTCTCCTTGCTTTCCTCCAACCCCTCCCTACTTCTTATCGGCAAAACCATCAGCACAAAAGAAACACAACACACGCCAATCGCCGACGGAGTACGAAAAACGCCTCCTCCTGAAGAGGTTCCTTGCATCGCACCAAACGCTTCTTGGCACCTTGCCCCCTTTCCCGCTCTGAAACTAGCGCCAGGTCGACAATCCGCTGCGCCAGCTAGCAACGGCCGACGCTGGCAATTTCCACCCTCAAATCAAACCCTCCTCCCTCCCTCCGTCGCGCGCCGACAGATCTCGTCCTCGACAATCTCGACATTCCTTCCAACTGTTTGCTTTGCTTTGCTTTGGTCAAGCCGGCTTGCGCGCTCGCGTAACGTGCTCTTGCTTCGTCGTCCTCGGCTACCCGCCGCCCTCTGCGCTGTCGACGGTTACTCCCGTCCGCTGTCTACCCACAAACCACGCCCATTGTCCTACCGCGCGCGACGCTCGATAGCCTCCCTGTCCACATCGTCGACGACGACTTTGGCTGGTACGAAGAAAAGAAAGAACGGGAAGAGAACAAAACGAACACGACGATCGACTTCGATTGACGACCGTCCGACACGACTACATCCACCCTCGACGGGCATGCCTTGGACATCATCATCATCATGATCGCTCTCGCCATTCGCTCCATTCGCGGAGCCGTCGCTCGCTTCTCGCCAAACTCCTACTCCTATGCACCCTTGACCAGCGCCAACTCCGAGCCTTCATCGCCTGGCGGATCCAACAACCTGCCACCGCAGTCTCAGTCTTTCCTCGCTCGGTTGACGGCTATCCTCTTCTTCCTCCTACCCTCGTTCGTCCAGCGCCGACTTCGACCGAACGACTTCAAACACCGACGCTTATACCCGACATCATGGCTTGATGGATTGCGCGGCGTCGCCTCCCTCATCGTCTACTTCTGCCACTTCACAGAGAAGCATGTAGGATGGTACTCCCAAACCTACGGCATTAGGGAGGACGACGACCATGCCGCTTCCTCGCCCTTGCAGCTGCCCTTCCTGCGTGTCATTTTCTGTGGCAGGCCCATGGTCCACATCTTCTTCGTCATCTCCGGCTTTGTCCTGTCCCTCAAGGCCCTGAAGCAAGCGAGGAAACACGACTACGACGGTCTGCATCGCACACTTTCCAGCAGTGTCTTCCGCCGCGGATTCCGCCTGTTTCTCCCCACCACCGCGTCCACTTTCATCATCATGATCATGGTCCGCTTGGGCTGGACCGGAAAGCCACTTCCCACACTATGGGAGCAGCTGATTGACTGGAAGAACGCCGTTTGGCAGATCACCTTCAGCTGGAAATGGGATATCACCCAGTTCCTGCCTTATGACGTCCACCTCTGGACCATCCCCATCGAATTCTCTAACTCGTTGCTGCTCTTCGTCGTATTGACCGGTTTGAGCCGCATGAAGACGTACTTGCGTCTTGCTTCAGTCGTGGCCATCATGGTCTACTCACTCCAGTGCGGCCACTGGGCCGCGTTCGAGTTCGTCGGCGGCATGGGCATCGCCGAAATCGGTCTCATTCAAGAGGCCCGTCGCGAGCGCGCTGCAGCTGTGGTCCAAGACAAGGAAGCGTCCGATATGGAGGCCTCTGTGACGACGTCATCCAAGTCTGCCTCCATCGGCAGTTTGGCCTTGAAGGCTTTTCTCCTTGGCAACCTCGTCTTTGCCCTGTTCGTCGCAGGCTGGCCCAATCACCACGCCGACGTTTCCCCAGGTATGTCGAGACTGTGGCACAACACAATGGAGCCCTTCTTTACCATGGGCGGTGACTTGGTGTCTTTCCCCTGGTACGCCCTCGGCGCGATTCAGATCGTTATTGCCCTGCAGCAGATCAAGACGCTGCAGAACCTCTTCGTGACGCCACTGGCACAGTACCTCGCCGATATCAGCTACGCCCTTTACCTCGTCCACGGACCCGTCCTGGATGTGTTCTCCCATCGCTGGATGCCGGTTATCTGGGCCATAGTCGGTGGCAGGGACTCCGCGGGCATGTTCGGGCGTCTTTTCGCGTGGTTTGTCGGAATTGTCGTACTCGGAGTGCCCACCATCATTGGCAGCGATTTATTCTGGAGGACGGTCGATGTCAGGAGTGTCCAACTTGCACGATGGATCGAGTCCCTCTGCACACGAGACGAATAGACTGGACTTGTTGCGTGAGGGTTGAATAAGGCGTTCCAGGTTGCATATTTCGGAGTTCGGGCCCTTCATGTCGATATAGACATTGTTTCCTTTGTAAACTGACAGACCTGTAGAGCCACAATTGGCATACCAACAATGAGATTTTACGTTCTGCAGTAGTCGGTTCTGATCGGCGGTAAATGGAGTCTCACATGAAATGGCAAGCAAGACTAGCTCCGGTTACAGTTGACGCGTGTTCGACGGGGAGACGGGGGGGAGACGGCAGAAGAAGGAGACGACTAGACGCACGAGAGGCGCGACACAGACGGGACGACGTTGTTTTATGAACGGCAGTGACGGACCAAGCCGCCTGGGTACTGCAAGGCAGTGCGGCACATAATAAGCAGTTCGAGTGCGACGAACGAGCCGCCGGGTCCGAGTTGGAGGCTTCATTGGCCCTTTTTCCAACTCCCGCAAACCCGCGGTCCCCCATATCCCTGCCAAGACCCGATTAAAAGCTGCAAGACAAGGGGCCGGGCAGCAAGAAGACCTCGGAAAACGATTCGACAGCAGCGAGGACGACTTGGCGTTGGTTGAATAGGTCTGGTATTTTTGGTTGATGATGACGGGCGCGCAAGGGGCCAGGTCTTGGAAGAACCACACAAAACAGCGCAGCGCACACACATGGGTCTGTCCGGCCCGGCGCAAGATTGGGCCACTAACAGAGAGGGCGACAACCAAGACACCTTGGCGATGCAAATAGGATGACGCCCAGAGAATTCGTCCTATCGTCTGTCTTGACGGGTCAGTACAACTGTTTTGCGTTCATCACACGAAGTAGGCGTTGTGCTACGAGCAGGACACTCATTGCCTGCGTTTCCGTTCGGGGCCCCTACGGAGGGTAGGGGACGGGCGGCTTTTCTGTAGCGGCAGCGACGCCGGCAATGCCAAGAAAACTGCCGGTGGGCGCTGTCTCTACAATCGGGCGTTGACCCCGGCGACAGGGGCAGAAGCATTTGCCATTTCGGGCCCGGTTTCCACAGAAAACACACGAGCGCTGCTGGGGCCCTGGAAATGAACGTTTCAATCCACCATCTGGGCAGAAAAAAGGCAAAAGAAAGACATCTCGCTTTCTTGAAGCACACGGTATGGCACAAGGAGAATTTAAGCTGTTCTCATCGGGTTTTGAGAAAGAGTTATCTCCAAACTCCGGGGAAGAAGCTAGACAAATAAGCAAGTCTGTGTAAGTCTGTCTCGCCATCTTAATAATCATGTATCCAAAACCCGAAGGAGCAGCCCACAACATGTTCGGCGATAGGCGAGCCAACTAGTGGTTAACAACCAACAAACAGACCAAACACGATTAGTTCTTCTGAGTACCTAGCCTGCAGCGTCACCTAACGCCGATGGTGTCTGACACCGTGCTTCTCCCGCTGCCAATTGCCATGATCTGGTCAAAGCCACCGACATGTACACCTCGCCCGATCGACAGTTCCAGACGTCTTATTTCCGCTTCAAACCGTTGAATGCCTTCCACAAACTCTTGGCCCACAGTGTGATTGGGCTTGAAATGATGTTGGTCAGACGGGATGGCTTTAAGCTTGCTTGCTAGCTGAAGCCTTGACGGCAGCTTTACTCGCCCCGTCAAGGGGTAAGCCCAATGACTTCCTGAGAGGCATGCTGACCGCAGGTGTAAATGACGGTGCAGTGGTTGGTGAGAACGCCATGAGTTTCTAAGCCAGTGCTCGACAACAATAGTTGTTGTTGTTGTTGGGCGCATGGTCATGTTCAACACCACGGTAACGTTTTTTTTTTTCTTGATATAAGACGTCGCTCCCTCTCCCTCTCTGAAGCCTCGATGAAAGTGGCTTTCTTTCCAGGCAGACTTGTCATCGCTCCATCTTTGTATTTTCAGTAAATTGTGCATCAACTCGACATAAGACGCCATGGCACCTCAACTGAACTGGGACACCAAAGGCAGTGACCTCGTCACAACTTACGCCGACCACATCAAGGGCAAGACGATCCTCGTAACCGGCGTATCCCCCGGCGGCCTCGGCGCCGTTTTCGCCGAGGCCGTCGCCGCCGCGGCCCCCGCAACGCTCATCCTCGCCGGCCGCAACACCGCCAAGGTCCAGCAGACGGCTGACTCCATCGCCGCGTCCCACCCCTCGGTTGCGATCAAGCCCCTCGAGCTCGACCTCGGCTCTTTCAAGGGCGTTCGCAAGGCGGCCGAGACGGTCAACGGGTGGGGAGACGTACCGCACATCGACGTGCTCGTGAACAACGCCGGCATCATGGCCGTGCCGTTCGCGCTCACGGAAGACGGGTTCGAGAACCAGTTCGGGACGAATCACCTCGGCCCGTTTCTTTTCACGAATCTGATCATCGGGAAGGTGCTTGCCGCGCCTGCGCCGAGGGTTGTGATGGTTAGTAGTGACGGGCACAGGGCTGGCCATATCCGATGGACGGACTACAACTCTCACGTACGATTCCCCGTATCGCAGCTCCAAGATCGTGATAGCCCGTTATTGACAACGGAAACAGGACGGCAAGCATTACAACAAGTGGTTCGCGTACGGACAGTCGAAGACGGCGAATTGCCTCATGGCGTTGTCCCTCGCCGAGAAGCTGGGTGAAAGGGGTCTTTTGAGTTTCAGTCTGCATCCCGGTGTCATCTGGACCAATCTCGCGGACCATATCGAGGATTTCGATTCTTTGAGTAAGCTTGAGGCGACATCTGATGGGGTTTTTTACTGACAAGTGGATAACAGAGGCACACGACATCAGTATGGGCAACAAGTACATGTGGAGCGAGTTCAAGGCCAAGACGCCTGACCAGGGCATTGCGACGCATGTCTATGCCGCTTTCGCTCCCGGTCTGGAAGGTAAGTGACTTTGAGAGTTGATTTTTACATAGCTAACCAGTGGAGGTAGACTTGAATGGCAAGTATTTCAATGACTGTCGGCTTGCGGATCAGTATAAGGAGGAGGTGTACCCGTGGGCTACAGACAAGATCGATGCCGATAGGCTTTGGAAGTTGAGTGAGAAATTGGTCGGGCAGGAGTTCAAGTTCGAGTAGCTTTATAAGGGGGCATAGTCAACGGTCTTGAGATTATGGCGCAGAAGAGTCACAGACATCAATCACATAGCCACAATCTTCTCAACACACTTGGAATATGCAGTTGTTTAAGCCAAAGAGTTTTTTTATTATTAAGCCCGCTCGATTCTTTTCATATTATGATTATATCATCCTCCCACCAGTCCTCACATCACTGCACAAGGCGTGTTGAGTTGAAGGATAGTCGTCAAGTGATGTTCCCCTCCAGAACATGCATACACTCCAGCAGATACTGCGCCGAGCAGCACCTCTTAAATCGAGTTCGGGAATTCCGCCAATAGCAGAGTCGTCAGCTTACTCCAACTTGGACTTGATCCAGTCCGCAACACGCTTGTAGGTGCCGTAGCTGGAGTACGCGGTGTAGGTGGTGGGCTGGGGAGGAGGAGGAGGAGTAGCGTTGCCGTAGCTGCCGTAGCTGGAGTACTGCTTGTAGGTGTAGTCTTCGTAGCTCGCGTAGGCGTTGACCGCGGCCGGGACGGCTGAGGGGGTGGGCTGGGCGTTGTCGGGCACCGGGGCGGCGAGGACGGCCGAGGCGGCGGTGATCATGAGGATGGCGTTGACCTTCATTTCTGCGGTGGCCGGAGGTTTTGAGGTGAGCTGGAGAGGCTGGCTTGGACTGGTGTCTTGACGACTGGCTATTGGAGTAGCGAGAGGATGAGAGGATGATGCTGGTGGTGATGAGGAGAAACTTGAAATGAGCGGGCGGATGGAGAGGTTCTTATGGAAAAGTTGACGTGAGTGACTGGACACGAGCGATGTATCTTTGGTCAAGTAAAGACGTTAACGTCCTCTTGGTCTGAGATCTTCCTCCGGGCAGGAAGGTGAGATGGAATGTTGTTCGGTGGCTGCTCACGATCTACCAGATGGCGTTTTCCTCTCTCTTCCGTCCAGGGTCCTCAAGCTAAAGCGGAACGGTGAACAAAAAATACAACGAGAAATGAGACTCGGCAAACGAGGGGGCCGTAAAGTGACGTCTGCGGAAAGCGTTGCGTTCGATGACGGGAGGCATGGAGATGGTGAGATGCGCGTTGACCGGACTGCGGATGGCGTCCTGGATTGGGCCGAATGCGGACTCTGCGGTGGGATGGGCACGGGTAAGTTTGAGATGTCTTAGAATTCATCATCAGTGATGTACATGAAGAGTGTTAGGGGCAGTTCGACGCTCTCGAGATAGCGAAAGTCTTAATTGAGGGATCGACATCGTGTTCAATGATACGATCGTGTCGACTTCGAGGTTGTCATAGGCCCGAAGGTCTGCAGCAGAGTCAGCCGGACAGGCCAAAACGCTCACGAGGACGTTCCCTGCAATTGTCGGATCTAGATGAAGGGAGGAATGTCTTTCGATGCAATGAGCTACATCGAGTGTCTTGTCACCCAGTCACAAACTCCTTGACACGGTATTTCCGGCCACGAAGTTCTGTCTGAAGCCAGCCACTATGGGCTGGTGACTTACACATGGCGTTGCAGAAGGGTAGGACGTACGATACCGTCGCTCTGGCTACGGGCTCCCTCTCTCATCCTCACGAACACTTGTACAAGGTATTAAGATTTTGACTGGGTAACAACGATGCTATTCTCGGAATGGCCTCAAGCTGTGTGAAGAGGATTGTGAGATGAGGTTGCTCAGACGGCAGCTCTCCTCCAGCTTCATCCTTGGAAGGGAAGATCAGCCCTACTAACGCGGAATTGGCTGCGGGAACATGGCGGTTGCAGTAGCGTCTACCCCCCCTGCAAGTCTTGCTTTTCCCAGTGGTAACGAAGGCGCTAAGCTTGGAGCTTGGGGGCAGCTGCGTGCTTGACAGCTGAGCTGAGATGAGATGTCTGCAGCGAGAGACACATCTTCTGCATGTCTCTGTGTCCCGCAAGTTTACCATCGAAGGACCTCGTGGCAATCGGTGTAATCGACAATTTCTTTGCCTTTCGAAGGAATTCGATCCCAGCCGGACTCTGTGGAGAGGTCTGATTCGGATCCTGGGAGACAGCCCGGCAGCCATGCGTAGAGTCTTCAAGAAACAGATACCTCAAAGAGAAAGGGATGATTACAACCAGTGACAGTCGCACGTTTGAATTGGGGGATTTATTTTGTAATTTGGCACGGACTGGACGTTCTCTTCGCAGGCCTCTTAAAAAACTCCAATCTCAAGTATTGGCCCAACAGAGAGATATATTGTCGGATGTAGCTGAAGTTTTTCAGATGGCATAGAGAGGTCATAACGATGCCCTGAATTACCCATGGTAGATAATCACAACTATCATTCTAGTATTCGAACGATTAGCTCAACTCATTGGTCGAACGATTCGCCAACCTCAGTAGTCAAAGCGCCGGTCATCAGCCATTCCACGCTTTTCTCGCGGTAGCCCACCACATTGCCCTCCTCACGGGGGATGTACTCCGGGAAGCCGTCGTAAATCTCCTTCAGTATACCCCAGCTGGTCTGGCCATTGATCCTGTACGTTTCGGTGAGATTGAAGGATGTAGTGTTGGCAGAGGCGTAGAGCAGGGGGGTCTCGGTCATGTTCACGGCAGCGTCGATGCTGGCAATAGTGCTGCCGAGGGGGTCGAAGGCGCGGGCAGCGCCGATGGCGGCCATGAAGTTGTAGGCACCGCTCATCCCGGCATATGCGCGGCCGTTGGCGGCCTCGACCAAGACGTTCTCCCACCAAAGGGACTCCTCGCCCTCATCCTGCAGGTATGGGAAGGGCCCGAGATGCAAGTGCTCGACCTGGGCGCCCATCAGGTAGCGCGTGGTGTGATACATGTGTTCACCGCACTCGAGCTGGCCGATGCGGCCGTGAGGCGTCGCGACCACCTTGATCTCGCTGATGTTGCCGTCGGTGAAGAACCATCTCTCGGAGCCGGAGGGACGCAGCTTGTGGCGGTGGTTGATGATGCTGCCGTTGGGGGCGAGCAGCGTCTGCGTCATGTAGATGTGGTCACCCAGGCGCTCGGAGTATGCCAGACCACCGTAGATCTGGGCATGGGCGATGGCGTCGACAATGCGGTTCCAGTTTGCGTCTCCAATAGTGAGGGAGTTTTCAATGTAGCTGGGGAGGTAGTCCACAGTCCAGTTATTCATGGCATTACCCTTGGGGAAGCTGAGGTCTGTTAGTACGCTATGATAGATATTTTCAAAGACGCAAGAAAACTAAGTTGTTTTACCCTGGAAACCACAGCTCGGGAAACGTGATAAGGTCAGCGCCCTCTGCTGCGGCCTTCTGGATGAGCTCGATGCCGTAATCGACCGTCTGGCCGATGTTGAGGGTGACGCCGGTCCAGTCCATGTTCATCAACGGCATGGGCCAGTTGGGAGGTGCGCTGCGGACCATGGCAACTGTGAAGTTGCCGTCAGTAGTGACGGCGCTGCTGAGACCGACGAGGGCCGCCATCACCTGGAGTTTGAGTGAAGAGATCATGATTCTTGGTTTGTCTTGCAGAAAGAGTTGAGTTGAGCCGAAAGAGATGGCCGAGTCTCTGTTGCCTGGTTTGAAGAGACCAATGTAAGAGATCTTCGAGAAATCAAGTCTTTAAGTATTCATGGACTTCTCTATTTTCCTCGCCATTATCGTTGTTATCACATCGCCATCGCTATCATCAATAACATCTCCACCATTATACAACCTCAGTTGGTGATGGACTTGATTAATCGCTCACCGCTGAACGTCATGCCAAGATAGAGCTTATAAATCGAGCTGGCATAATGCAAGACGTTGCGTAAGTTAACACATGGGCAGCTCTCCAGATCTCTGATCTCGGTATCTCGGTTTTTGGTGTTATCACAATCACAATCCCCGACGACCATGGGCATCAAACGCCGAACGCAAGATGCGAGTCGTAAATATAATGACACATTTCCCGCGTTCACTTTCCTCTTTTACTGAAGAAGGAGACGATTACCGTCACCTGTTCGACTCCCCTCGATGCAAATGAGAATATCTCGATATCTCCAACTACCACACCACGGACGTCGCATTCTGAACGTCAACCACGAGTTTGGATGTACTCAACTTGGACATGTGTTGAATCCCAGCATCAAAGAAGCATATTATATGCCATCTCGACAAATTTTCAGTACGGGCTATCACAACTTGCAAGTTAATACCTTCGTGTTCTCGATACTATCAGCCAAATCCCCTGCCCGAGTCGGACCAGTTCACCAACCGTATTGATCATCAATCTCGGTAACAAACACTCCTCTCCTTATCTGACAAGGAAAGCTTTGGGAACATTGCGATTGGTGCCCGCAGTTTTCGACGTTGACTAAGCCTATCATTCAACGGCCTATAAGTTCTTCAATACTTCATGCCATGTTCCCAGGCAGTCTTCGGGAGACAAGAGGCATTTAGTCACAGGTTCTGCTTGTCAGCCGCATGTGCTGGTAGATCCCGTGTCGCAGAACGCCGTCGAATACGGCATTCCTACCGCGATTGTCATGTCTTGATGCCAATTTTGGAGGTTGGCAGGTGTGGGTGGGAAGGCAATTTGGGTTGTGTGCGTTCCAACTGTTTGCGGAACCACGCGTGGCAACCGGGGCGATGATTTTCAACGCCCCGTCGTACGTGGTACCATGTCTCAGTGTTGAATGATCTTGTGTGTGAATTTTCCCATCCCCTCGGCGCCGGGCGGGTGAAGCATTCCTGGGGAGAGACAATCTGGTCGTTGTGGTTTCCTCTCCCTTTCCTCGATCGCGTTCTCCCGAGGATTCCAAGACCGTCGCCCCTCCCCTCTTTTGAATTTTGGAAAAGGCATCAGGTCATGTTGCAGAATACTTTCTTTTCTTCCCCTCATTCTCTCCGTTAGATCTCACGACGTCGACCCCCTTCATCGACGATGATGCAGCCAAAGGAAGAGGAATCCTACTCGAAGCCGCTCGCCGAGCGGGTCGATGAGTCTGAGGAGGACCTCGAGTCGCTTGATACGAACAGCAAAGTCTGGGAGCACAGGGAAGGGAGGAAGAAGGTCTTGGTGTATGCCGCGGCTGCTGCTATCCTGATCGTGACCAACTTCATTTCTGCTCGTGTCGGTGCTCATCTCGCCTCGGGCACGACGGACCTCGATAACGCGTGTGCTGAGCATACGACGCAATGGTCGCCGCTTCTGAAAGATGTCGACGTTCGATACGACTGGAAGCACTTCAACGGGTCGTTCTTGGAGGAAGACGTGTTTCGGAAAGAGGGCTCGCCCGAGGTTGATGCCGCGTGGGAGGCTTTGGGCGTGGATTGTAAGTTCAGTACTGTTTCAAGGGTATGAGTGACAGAGTGCTAACACAGAGATAGATCGCGCGGGAGTCATTTCGATTGAAGACGGCTTGAAAAGTGGAATGAACATGTCCTTCGTAAGGAGGTCAGAGAAGTACGGCGCTGGGTTCTATGTCAACGTCGAGGGGATGCACCACCTCCATTGCTTGGTCCGTCAAACACTGCTTGACTCCGGTAGAGTGCAGTGAAGGCTGACTTTGAGAACAGAATCTGGTGCGGAAATCACTTTACTATAACTACGACTACTACAAGCAGATGGGCATGCACGCGTTTGCCAACGACGATCACATTCTAAAGCTTCATGTTTGTAAGTCTTCCAACCCAACAAGACGCCTTGTACTAGCTCGGGGCTTTTCTAACCTCTCGAAGCACATTGTCTAGATGCGGTCCGACAGGTGCTCATGTGCAACTTCGATACGGGCGTCCTTGGCCAGGTCTGGGCCAACGACCCTCCCTCGCCGTTCCCAGACTTCCATACCACGCACAAGTGCAAGAATTACGAGGCCATCCGGCAGTGGGCTGAGGAATTGCAGGTTAGAGATGACCCTATCCTGGTGTCGTAAACTCTTGAACTGACGTGAACTTCGTCCAGGCACCTCCGGCTGGCGAGCTCCCCAAGGATTACACCTCTCCGCCAGGGCCGGGTGATATTCTCCCGCAAACTCCGTAGATAGGTACCAACGAGACGTTGCTAGAGAGTTTTGAGGAGATGGGCCTTGGAACTTGACAGAATTGAGTTGCCATGTTTGGGCTGGTCCGTGAGATGCACTTTTGAAGACGAAATAGGTGAAAAGCAGCCTCGGTGCTGTCGCCGGCCGGATCCTAGGATTGGAGCATGTTTTCAAGAATGTCTCTTCAGGGGATCCAGACGACAGAGTTTGAAATGAGAGATCTAGGACAAAACATCTGCGGAAAGAGTCAACTGACTTACACGCTTCATGTTAGAAACGATTCATGGATTTGGTGAACTGGACGTGGACTCAACCTGTTGCCTTGTGAACACACAATAATCGAAGAACTATGTGACTATAGTATTAGTGCGAGTGAAACTGAGGATGAGATGCACGAGAACGAGGACAATTCGAATTCACACAAGATTATTGCACCTCACGAGGAAATTCATCTCGAACTAGAGGAGTATCTGCCCATCTCGGGTTGGTGAAGCTATCATTCGGTGGCCGTGACGTCGACGACATCACACGATGTTTGTGCTCATGAACAGTCCTTGAAGGTTTGTGAATAGCGAGATGCCGGTGGTCAAGCCACTGAAATTATCAAGTCAAAGGACTCAAGGCCATTGAGTCGGTCACAGGCAAGCTAAGCATTGAGAGACCTCGTTCCAAACTTCCTCGGATGATCATCGTTTCATCGACCGTGATATCCTCACTAGGATAATTGAATCAGTTTCTCCCATTCAAACAATGATCGAAAATGTTTGATAGACGCAAACCAAAATTGGCAAGCGACCTCAAGCCTCCTTCTAATCGTGCACAGATCGATCTACATCAATCTCAAAGCAAGGGATGAATCTCGACACGGGCTAGCCACGTGTCAACCTCTGAGCAAGCTCACAGACACAATAAACCGAGTTCCCCTCGGACAATGCATTCAATGCAAACGTCCAAAGGTCACACTAGCCGACAGGTTTGCGGTACTACTGTAGGCCTCCATCAGTCTGCAAGGGAGCGTCGGTCGGGCATGGGAATCCGCACACGCAGAGATTTATTTGCTCCTCAGAGGGGGGCAACATCCAGCTGCCGCGTCCGTCCGTCTCACCTTGGAGAAAATCGAGAGGCTGGTGGGATCCCTGCTCGGATAGAGATTTTCGATCTATCCCAACCTCCTCATTTTTTGTATGTCTTTGGAAGAGCCAGAAAATGTATCGGCCGAGATGTTCGTCTGAAACGCCCCGAGGTGAACGTCAATGCGCGCTGCGGCGTGCCCGCTAGCCCGGAAGCCTAGTGGGTCCACACCGTTCGTTCCCCGATTGTTCGGCGGGGTCGATCATCGGCGTAGCGGGCAGTAGTGAAGATTGCAGAAGAAAAATATTGTCTATGAATTGGTTCTTTCTTGCCTGGGCCAACCTCCTCCATTAATTCGTTGATAGTAGTACGTTTGGCTTTAAAGTGGTGATCTGTAATTAGCTCTTGTCTCATCGCGGGTCAGGAGTTTGGGTCTTGTGTTAACCGCCACCTCTGGTGTTGGTGACGTTGAGATGGAGATGTTCATCGTGCTGACGATGAATAGATGGAATTTTCAACTATGGTCATCAAAATGCAGCCACGTAATGCAAGCGAAGCGCTCATCAAGAGCGAGCCAAGTGCCTACCATGTTGTGAGCGTGAGCTGGATGTTTTACGGTAGTCTCTGCCGCTGGCAAGAGGCGTGACGCCAACGGCCAACTTCGACATGAGTTGCTTTTAGGGTACTGGCCCTTGCAGGTGTTACGCTGACCTGCAGCAGTCGAAACACAGAAATCAGTCCGGCCCCAAGTCATCTTGCCAGATGAAGCGGTGGCGACATGCAGACCAGCCTCTTGTGGGCTCACTGGGCTGTGTCGTGCTTCCGTACTACTGCAATATGCATATCAGTTGCATCATTGTGAACAGGAAGTGTCAGAGCCTCGCATGGCGAAGCCAGGACGGCCGGCGTTAGCTGAAGATGCTTTCGGGCACACAATGACAGAGTTAGTGGTGTTGGATTTGACGACGTGGCACGAGGTATCGCTGTCCGTGTCGGTGGACGCATGAAGTGTGTTGGCGAGCGCAACCACCTCAGCCAAGATGTCCAATTGGGATGTGGAGGCAGATAAAGAAGTGGCAGGAGAATCTGCGGGAAGTCAAAGACCGAATTACGATCCGAGTCGAGTTGGGTATGGTTGTTTCGCATCAGTACAAGTGAGGCAGAGTTGGCAACGCAACGTTGGCTGGTCCCAGTTCTATGGGCCATGCATATCTGACAGTCGAAGCCTGAACTCCAGGAAAGTCAAATTATTGAAGCATGCTGATCATGGACCAACAATCTCTCAAGTACCTCAGCATTGGTGCTAGATCGTCATGGCTCTCGCCATTGTGGTTGGTGAGGGGCGACTTTGGCCTCGACAAACGGCCAGCAGCAAGCCAACGAATGGCAACGCCGAGGTGAAGGCCGTGGCCCGGTGTTGAGGCCTAGAGGTCGCAAGAAGAGGAGAGGATCATCCGGGATGAGCGAGAGGTCGATAAAGGCTGGCGTCACCTCGTCGACGCAGGACCAATGATGACATTATACTTTGAGGATGGTTGTGGTTGAAGACGGCGCGGAGGCCCGGAATCCAACAGACCCGGCCGGCGGGAGGCGAGAGGCCATCGACCAGACCAGTTGGCCATGCGCGATGAAGAGAGGCCGCGATGGAAGACCTGGCGTGCCGTTCTCCTGGTGCCTGTCAAACGACCCAGTCGAATTCCAGCATCAGCTTGGACGGACGTGAGGACGTGTAAGGTCGGGCCATGGCTATGACACTTGTCCTGGAGGAGCTCGAGCGGGGAAGTGGAGGGCGAAGTACCGATACGAGGGCGAGGGCGAGGGTGAGAGGGCAGCTCATTTCACCTGCATCTTACCGGGCCGGGCTGTCTTGGAGTCTGAGGTGAGGGCGGCTGAGCCAACAGGCCAGTCTATGAATGGAATGAGGGGCGGATAGTTGAGAGAAACGTTGGATGCTGATGCCTCGACCTCTTTGTAAAATCCATGGTTGTGGTGAACTAATGTTTGAAGGGATGACCATGGAAACAGGAACTGGCAGCTGTAAAGCTTTGATACGCATTGAGATGTGTTGGCAGTCGTTTGGAGGTGACAATGCAAGTGAACAGGTAGACAATGTCACTGTCACTGTCACTGTCCGTGGTCGATGGACGGCAGTGGTTGCAGCTTGTCGGCAGGTGCCATTTTCGCGTCGCGCTTGCCGACGGATGCGAGGGGGTAAAGTGGACTTTATCAACGCGTAAGGAAGGTACGGATATGGATGGGCATGGGTGTGCGCATCTGTATCTGTAGGGCAGGCACAGACCGGGTGATCTGACGGTCTTTTCCATTTAAAAATGAGAGAAGTTCGCGGTGAGAAACGAGCAGGAAGGGAGACGTGATTTCCCTCGCGCCATTCGCCAGTCGTGTCGCATATACCCACTTAAACACGTCGCGTCTGATTGGACGTCTGATTGCAGGTCGCGGAAGAGGGAAAGAAGCTGCAGTAGCACCGCCCTCGCGCCTGCCAATCAGAAGCGGAAAGCGGCCGTCGCATGAAGGTCGTTTTCCGTGGAAGGGAAGGAACCATTGAATCTGCGGTCTGCGGTCTGCCTTCCAAGTTCAGACTTGGTTTTGGATGGCATTCGATGTCTCTCACTTGCATTCGAGTGTCGGCAATTGATTTCCATTGGTTCCTGTCACGAAAATGGCACGTTTTACCACGTCTGCGGCCTGCCATCGCCTGCCATTGCTGGTGGACGGTTGCTGATTGCCTGTGTCGTGCTTGCTCAATTTCGCAACTGCAGCCAGCCAGCAAGACCCGACCTGAACCATCATCTCCTTCCTCTTCCTCTATATCCGTACTCATCATGAATTCATTGTAATCAACATGTATCTACGGTAATGCCAAACAGAACCGTCTGAGGCCTGAGCGAGCCCTGCCAGTGATTGCCCTTGCCTTCGGAAGGACTCCCTGTCATTCGTCCTACGGTACTTTAGCATCCCAGCTGGAGTAGACCAGGGGCTCGCTTTACCCAGTTCCCTGCACCCGCGTCCTTCCTTCTCCACTCCGCTGATGGTGTTTTCCCTCGTCTCGTTTTTAGAGCAAGGTACCCGTCATCCCGTCTTTTCAACGCCCACCGCGTTTGTACTCTTCTCCTCCTGTTGACAACCCCATCCATCCAAGCCGCGGCGCCTAACGAGACACTCGGACGAGACACGCTTCCAGCTCACCACACGCCGGCTCTCTCTTTTTTGCTGCCTCTGCCTAGCACTGCTTTAGCCTCTCACCCAACACCAACACCAACGCCAGCACCAGGGCCTCGCATTAATCGACCAACACCGCCTGCTACCCATCCAAGACGATCCCCCTCACCATTCACTCCCGTCGCCCTCAATCACTGGCCGAATCAAGCCCGCCCCGACCCTTCCTGGACCTGGACCTACCGATACCTACTGAAGTACATCCATCTCCGGTTCTGTGCGCGCGCGAAAGAGAACGAGACATTCATGAGCTGCTGATCCCTGCTCCCTACCTTATCGACTCGGTCTTCGCGACCTCTCACACTCTTTTCTCCCTCCATCCCCCCCACGCCAGCTGTCCGACTCGCTCTCCGTCACTCTCAGTCTCTCGCTCTCTCATCCACTTCCTGCAACAGGACCCATCCAACTCCTCGATTCCTCTGCGTGGACGAGAACAACAAACAAACAAATACGCTCCTTACCCCATCACGCCTGACATCGCCTTCCGATCCCAAGGAACGTCAACCAACGTCTGTCTGGCACCGACTTGCTTCGCCGGGGAATTAGATAGGTGCTGAGGGGACACCCGACTGCAGCAAGCTCAAGGTCCCCCGTTCGACACCCCCGTTGTCCCCGTTCCCCACGAATCGAGTATCGACGTCGATCAGAAGACGAGTCTAGAATTGGGTATCGACAACACTCAAAGTCGCCGCCTGGTCGCTGACGCACCACAACACCACGCAATCCGCCTCGCTGTTGTGCGTCGCCTACCTTACCTCGCACATCCACTTCGCCGCGCCAAAACAACACCGTCCACGATCCACACAATGGCTACCATTTCCCGTCAACCATTCGCACCTCTCGACGGAGCGAGACTGCAGAACCTGACGAGCATCAAGAATAGACAGAATGGTATGTTTGATCCGTCACGACCAAACACATCATTCCTCTCCTCCCTGCCGCTGCCACTGCCATGTCATATTCTTGTTCTGCCGCCCCCGCAACTCTCCTCTCAGCATATGGCCCTGTGAGATGATCCGTCAGACCGCTTGAAAATGCGCCCAATGTGCCAGCCTAAACAACATCTTGAGATTCACACAAAATTACCGCTATGCAATTTTCTTAGACTGACTGTGCGACTAGCTATTTCTCCCTCTTCTGGCGCGAAGCGCAAAGCCGCCGATGTCGACACCGACGACTTCGAAAATGTCGACCCAGGCAGCCTCTCTAAGCGGTCCAAGGGCTTGGACAGTTTCTTCCCCTCCAAGGACTCCCTCAAGCCGTCCTCTTTCGTCCTGACCAAGGCCACGCCTCTCGCCGAGAGCCCCTCACTGATGAGCACCAAGCCGACTCTTCCTCGACCTCGCAGCCTCCTCCAACCCAAGTCACCCGCTGCCAGGCTCAACACCGGCATCACCAAGTCTTCCCCGCTCTCCGCACCCGCCGGCCGCTCGCCCACCCGTGGCAAGCGCTCCGGTCTTCTGTCCACCCGTCGTCGCACTGCCGGCCCCTACACTCGTGTAGACCCGCCTCTGTTCAGCCTGTCGTCAGCCGCCGCCCCCTTCAGCCTCGATGCCGCTCTCAAGGGTACCATTCCCAGCTATGCCGCCCGTTCGTCAGTCGCATCGTCTTCGCGCGCTGCTACCAAGGAGCTGCACGAGCCTGACCTGAAGGCCTCGTGGTTCTTCGACATCCACGAAGACACACCCGAGCAGGAGATGACCAACATGCTGCAGCATGGCACCTGTGTTCTCGATATCAGTTCCGATGAAGAGAGCGAGCGCAAGCTCAGCCGGGACCGTGCCGAAGGCCGTGACAAAGAGAACGTGCCACCTGTCGACGACGTCAGCCAGACCTCGTCTAGACGTACCGCGCATCGCGCAACCGAGGACGACATGATCTTTGAGAAGGAGAGGACAGCGCTGGGCGAGATGGACGCTAGCGAGTTCTACGCTCTGGGTTGCGACGAATCATCAGTCATCATCATCCCCGCCGATGAAGAAGACGAGGAAGAGCAGCGCGAGCACGCTCCAATTCCAGAGATGGACGAGCCAGTACCAGAGCCCAAGATCGAGTCTTGCGAGCCTTCTGTCGAATCCAATGACGTCGACGAGCTCATGGGCAAGTCCGCCGAACCAGCAGCGAAAGCAGCCCTGCTGGAGCCTATAGAAGGCACCGGGGAGAGCTTCGAGTTGTGGGAGAGCGGAAGCGCAAAAGACGAGACAGAAGCGGTTGCTGTTGTGGACAGCTGATATTTCATTTCGGTTTGCTTGGCTTGACTGGCTTTTTCTGCTTCGCTTCCAACTATTCACCATCATTTTTAATTACGGGTCCACGATTCATGCGGCGTTGGCTAGGTTTTTAAGGGAGGGACACTCGGCTGGGACTGGATGGACGACGACGAAGCGAGGGAACCCGGGAACACTTTTGCGTAGGATTCAAGGGGCTTGGGACTGTGTACAAAGGAGGAAATGGAGCAATGCTGTCTTTTACTGTTCAAATCATTGATATCCTCATCAATAGAGCGTTGATGCTTGACTTGGGTTCTGGTGGCTGTTGTTGGTGGTGGTGGTGAGATCCTGTGAGGGAATTTACCATGTATGGCGCCACGACATGATGGTCCAGCTTCCCATATAAGCACATGGCTCTTCTTCTCCCATTACACGAAAGATGCCTAGCGTGGACGACTGCCGCAAGTCGACGACTACCGGTGTACTGCATTTGAGCTGACGATGGATGCGCCAGAAGACGCTCCAGCTCCACGTGACGCGCACCTTCCAAGGGCACCCGGGCGGGGCTTCGCAGCTCCGTCCGTCGCGAATGCTCTACAGTCCACGTCCTCCAACGGTTATTTTTCCCTAGGTTGCAACTACTTCTGCCTACCTCTATGCCAATCCTTACTGCTATTCGCTCTCGTATCGGCCTTGATATCCGTTGTTACCCCTGAAGTATTCGACCAGGACTCATAACCGTGGAGTGGTGTACTGACACCTCTCTGACAGCTGCAGTGACCGTTTTGCACTGCAGCGCCTACCGGAGTTGACAACACCTCAACTTATTTCATCAACTCCGAATCCACACTGATTCCTGGTGTGCTACCTTACCTTTTATTGCAACCCATTTTATCCACTACGCCAATGGCCTCGATTAATGACTTGGCTACAGCGGCCATAGCTTCATCGGTCACCATGAGCCCCGGAGACGGCGCAGCTCCAACGACCCCTCCCGCCGGCGTTGTCCGCGGTGCCTTAATCGCCTTTGAAGGACTCGACCGGAGCGGCAAGACGACGCAGGTCAAGCTCTTGGAGCAGCGGTTTGTCGAGCTGGGGAAGAAGGTCAAGCTCATGCGCTTCCCGGGTGAGTGGTCTGCAAACAGCAGTATTTGGACTTGACTGACCAGAAGACTGCGGCGGTGTGTAGATAGAACGACGCCTATCGGACAGATGATCGATGCCTACCTCAAGAGCTCAGTTGAGATGGAAGATCACGTTATTCATCTACTGTTCAGCGCCAACAGATGGGAGGCGGTGTAAGCATCATCTTACTCTCTCCTCTTTCATTCACTCTCATCACCATGAGCAAGGGCATATTCTGACACACCAAAACAGGAAAAATATCCAAGCCCTCCTCGCATCAGGCACAACAGTCATCTGCGACCGGTACTACCACTCCGGCATCGTCTACAGCGCCGCCAAGCAGAACCCCTCGCTCAACCTTCAGTGGGCGCGCGCCCCCGAGCTGGGACTGCCGCGGCCGGACCTGGTCCTCTTCCTCGATCTCGAGGAGTCCGACGCCAAGGAACGCGGTGGTTGGGGTGGCGAGGTGTACGAGAAGGCCGAGTTCCAGCGGCGGGTGCGGGAGCTGTTCTGGGGCCTGAGCCGTGGACAGATCGGAGCAGACGGTGTGCTGGGCGAGCAGGGTCGCGAGGACGCCGAGTTCAAGCAGGAGAAGGAGGATTTGGTCGTCGTCGATGCGGGTGCGAGCGTTGAAGAGGTTGCTGAGGAGATTTGGAGGAAGGTGGAGCCTAGGGTCGAGGGCGTTGAGAAGGGTGAAGCGGGGGATTCCGTGAGGACCGTCTCGTGAGTTTCGAGGGCTAACTCATGACGGAACTGAGCTTTCAAGAGTGGTGACGGTCTGCCAGATGGTGCGACGTAAAATTTGGGCCGAGCTTCTGCGACGGCCAGTCAATGGTGCAAAGTCGACGGGGAATGGAATCGGGACAGTGATAGAGAAAAGACGGAACCACGCAAAAGAACCAAAAGGTTAAGACGCAGGAAAGAATGAGCACTCAATCTTCACGATCTTGCGTCGACAAACGGCGGAGAATGAACTGAGGCGACGGCCCAACCCCCACTCTTGCAGGACGCTAGTTAGGCTACGAATCAGCCGGTATCGTCAACTAATCACCGAGCGGGGCTCAACCCCGTCACTCCCCTTGGTGTAGTTGGTTCATCACGTTCGACTGTAATGGTTTCATTGTCATCGAAAGGTCTCTAGTTCGATTCTGGAAGGGGAGAACCAATATTTTTGCCTTTTTAACAATCATCCATGTGATTGGCATTTTCTTGGCTTGCCGATGCCGGACGATTCTTTTTGGACTTAAGTGCTCTACGCCGTATCCTTCATTCGTCATCCGCATATTATTTTGTGAGGAACGCTCTGTTTTGCAAAGGGAAATACAAGATGGACGTCCCAGCTGCCGCGAATGCGCTTGGCACACTCGGTGCAGTAAGATCCCGTTGCCCCTGAACTCGCCGAAGAAAGGCCCAAACTCAAAACATCGCAGGTCTGCTGGTCAATCCAGCTCATCCCCCAGATCGTCATCAACTACCGCCGCCACAATGCGACTGGATTGCAGCCGTCCATGATGATGCTGTGGGCCTGGGCCGGAGTGCCGCTGGGCGTCTACAACATTGTCGAAGACTTCAACATCGCCCTGCAAATCCAGCCTCAGATCCTGACGTTCCTGAGCCTCGCCACCTGGATCCAGTGCTATTACTACGAACGAGTAGGCTATCTTTGTTGTCCTTACTTTCGCTCCAATACTGAACGTCGCGAACCATAGAACTGGTCTGTCATTCGCTCTCTTGCGGTCGTCACGCCCATAGCAGCGGTCATGGCTGGCATCCAAGTCGGCCTCGTCTTCGCCCTTCGCATACCCAAATCGCGCGGTATTGAGTGGCCGATGATCATCATGGCGGTCCTCTCCGCCGCCCTGCTAGCCGCCGGCGTGCTGCGGCATTATTGGGACATATACGTCCACCGTACCGTCCGCGGCATCTCCTTCATCTTCGTCGCCATCGATGCCGCCGGCGATGTGTTTTCGCTCGCGTCCCTCTTCTTCCAGCCCTCGGTCGACATCCTGGGTATCATAATTTACGCTACCGAGTTCGTGCTCTGGTGTGGTGTTTTCGCGTGTGGTGGGTACTACAACTTTCTGCCGTGGTTCCGGAAGAAGCTCGCCGCGAGGGAGGAGGCTTCGCGAAATGGCTCTTCGGGGGAGACACCGGGTAATGGCATAGCTTTGCATGATCTGCCTTCTTCGACATCCGTCTTTCGCACAGCATCTGTTGAGGACACGGGGTTGCGTTCGAGGCATGCCGCGTCTCAACAGAGCCAGGGGATCGCCATCTGATAGCTTATGTGCGCGTGCGTGTATGAGGAGGAGCCATAGGTAAATTCAGTACAACGAAGCAAGCTCCGCAGTGTCTACTTCAACCTATATGATACAACGCGTCGCCATTCTGCCAGCATGCCAACACGTAAAGAAAGTCCGCCATAGACAAATTTGGCAAGTATGAAGCCGTCATCTCCGCCAAGTCCTACCCAAGAAAAGAAAATGAAAAGAGAACTCCTTTCCCGACGCTTTGCCCTCCGCTGCCCCACGATATCTCCGTCACACTCTTCTTCTAATCCCGCTTACAGCAACAACACGGCAGCGAAGACGGCAGCGAAGCTGACCGTCACGGTGCCGGCTCCGGCCTTGGCAGGGCTTGACGTGCGGGGCATCGTGCCGTTGCTCTGCATGCCGCCGCCCATGCCGTTGGCGTTGTTGCACTTTCCGGGGGAGAAGTTGTCCTTGGCGTCGCTCAGGGACTTGGCGAAGGAACCGGCGAGCTGGGCGGCGACTTGTTGGACGCTCTGGGGCACCTTCTTGACGACGGCGTCGATGAGCTTCTGCGCGCTGGTGCCGGTCTGGTCGACCTGGGAGACGATGACGCCGCAGAGGTTGGCCTTCTCGAACTCGGGCTTCTTGTCGTTGAGGCCCTTGATCAGGGCGTTGCCGTCCGACTGCAGACCCGTGACGAACTGCTGGAGGTTGAGAGCCTCGTTGAGGGTGATCTCGCTCGTGCCCTCGACCTGCTGGGTGCCCTGCTGGAGGGTGTTGACGAAGCCGCCCGCCGCCGTGGCGAGGCCGTTGATGTCGCCGTTGAAGCCCTGGACGGCCGTGTTGAGCATCTTGAGCTGGTTGTCGACCTGTTGGATGACGCCCGAGATGGTGGCCAGGTCGCGCTCGACGACGGAGGGGACATCGCGCTGGACCCGTGTGGGCATCTCGGCGAAGGCGCCGGCGGCCAGGGTGAGGAGGGTGATCTCGGTGGTGAACTTCATCGTGGGCTATGTGTATCGACGGTTGTTGTTTGAAGTGGTTGTTGTAGGATTATAGGTGTGTAGGCTAGGGGGTATAAATCCGTACGTATGGTATCGTCTCTTCCGTATTTGACCAGCAATCGTGGAGGATCAAGACGCAACCCAAAAGGAAGAGGAGAGGGCTACGAATGGCTTATAGGCATGGCACAGACTGGACCCGGGACGCACGATTCTCGAGGACACAAGGAGGGGCAAAAACAACCTTCCTCGCACAGACGGCAACATTATCTGGAATCTCAGCTCATCACTTTCCCAAAAGCGTAGTCCGTCTCACAATGTATCCCACGGTTCACCCTCGTAGCCCAACGCCGCACACAGTTTGGAAGAAGAGGGGGGAGGCAGGAGGCAGGGGTGGTGGTGGGATGGAGTCAGAGGAGGGGAAAAAGTACTCTTCGACGGCGCTTCTCTTCGACCGGGGCAAGCCTCCCGTGCCGCAACCGCATTGACTCGACTTGCTGTCTCTTGCTGCCTGACGTCAATGCATGGATCAGTTAGGGAGCCTGTCACGGCTGGCGCGCAGCTCTTCAAGGCGGGACGCGAGCATCTGGCTTGCTGAGCCACTCGCATCGCACGAATAGTGAGACTCTGGTGTTGGTTCAGCCTCTGCGCAGGTTGATCGACGACTGGGTGCCATAACCCTGTTTAAGGTAGGGTGCTTATTCCACACAAGCTATGAGTAGCCCACTGATAGCCCGCTCGCTCTGCAGGCGTGGGAGGATATGCCAACATGAATAAGCGTCCACCAGCTGGGGCATGTTAATTCGATCCATTTCCTCTCGTACCTGGTGGCAACTCTTGTCATCTTGAGTTTGCGAGCTCTGGTTCTTCCCAACATGCCGGCCAAGCCTCCTCACATCGCCTGAACAACCCATCGTTTACACCGGAAACCACCACCACCACCACCACCGGCGGGATTTATTTTAAAACATCAAACGGAACCGTCCCCGAAGCTGGACCGGGGGTGATGTGAAGTTGAACGCTGCAAACCCGTCGCCCCGCCGCTGCATGATACGACGTCGCTCGCCGAAGTGAAACGTGAAACGTGCGGACAGATCCTTGCTCAACTCTCTCCCCGAGCCCAGCGGCGGATCTGACGATCCCCCACAGGCTTTGCAGCCGAACCAGCACCACGTTCGCTGTGGATTTCCTCGCTCCAAAGGTCTGCAATAGGAGAAAGACTGGAATCTTTCAGGTTGAAGCTGTCCCAGTTTGTCGTGACAGCCCCAAGTTGACTCAGGCAATCCAAGGCGAGCTACGGCTCGATAAGCCCGGAAGAAAGACCACACACTGGCGCGAGCTTCCTTCCCTTGGCAGTGTCTCTTCGACGTACGAAGGGTCTTGCCAAGGGTCCTATCAAACGGATCAAAGGCCTCGACGATCCCGGGGGCATAGCGGACGCGGGATATCGAATGCTCTTAAAACTTGAGAGCTTTTTTATTTCAGTTGATTGACGGTTGACGTGAAGTCCGGGCCTTGTGATAATCCTCGTCTTTGCAGTCTCTGTGCGATGCGTGGGCGATGGCCTCGCTGGCCAATGCTTTAACACCGATCGTGTTTAGGCGAGACTGATCTCAGGCGATGCCGGCGAAAAGGTTTCGCCGTCACAAGTTTTGGTAGGGCGGTCCCGCAACTCAAAGGCGCGACCTGAGTCGACCAGAGGAAACATCTCGCGTGAAGCCGAGGAACCACTCCCCCCATGAACTCTTGCCGAATGCGAAGGTGTTTGGTGACCACGCGGTATTGTATGGACTGGTGTTTCTCCAATGCCTCCCAAGTGCCCGGTGGGTGTGGTCAGCAACAGGTCGTGGGGGTGGCTGAGAAGGAGTTTGATTGAGAATTGATTCGTAGCCGACAGTACCAGCGTCTCAGAGTCGCAGAGATTGTCTTTGCAGCTCGGCATTCAAGTTTTCTGCGCGAGTATCAGAGTCCAGGTGAAACGGGATGGGAGGTAGGCACGGCTCAGGCCACCCACGAAGACATGAGCAGAGCCAATGTATCGTCAGAGAGCCTCAGGGTGAGGGAGGGAGGGGGACTGCAGACTTCCGACCTTCAGCCGATTCTGCCGCGCAGAAACGCCAGACGAGACTGATTGGGCCGGCCCAGCTGCACCGTCGCACGGCGCGTCAAAGTGTAGGTGCCATATCGCTTGTCGGATTGAAACTGGACGCAACCCAGCCTCGGCTCCGCGTGCTCCTCGCATCGGAGTGGCCCAAAAGGGAACCCCATCTTCGAGTCTGTCCAATGGCGAGGGTCGTTCCGGCTTCTGCTTCGTTTCTGATTTCTCAAATTCCAGTGAGATTTCCAGTCTCGGTCTTGCCGTCTTTCGTTTTTGGACGATTTGATCATGGGACGGCACTAATATGTCTTCCTGACGCAGCAGCCGTTCGTAGTTGATTGGAGGTTCTGTGAGACGCCCAAGTCCAGACGAACCCCTTCACCAGACACTCTTTGCTAGATATTTCTGACAATCATGGAGGCGAGGGTAGATGTAGGAGTTGTTGTCTCCCAGACCGCCGGCGCATGTCTCCGGAATGTTTCTAGGCCGCCCGGACCCCGGCAAAGCGACGGACTGCGCGAACTGCGCTGGGGCTATCGAAACTTGAATGTATGGGTAAGCATATTTCCGCACGTACAAAGAAAGGGTGTTTTGTGATAGACACGTCAAAGAATTTGACGCGGGTGTCATCCTTAATAATAATACTAACTTGTGTTAGATGGGTATCATGCAGAAGCCTCCAAGCCTGGTTCTTTCCCCTTAGTCATCGCCAACTTCCCGTAAAACTGTAAAACTCCTTGCTCTCTGGTATTATTTGAAGATTCGTCGTCCACCAGTTCGGACGGGAAACCTCTCGACGCCGCTGGACTGCTGTTCGTGCCACAGGCCCTGAATACCAACCCATCCACCATCGCCCGACATCTTGTACCGGCGCCACGCCTCTCGGAGGTGGTCCGGACGCAGGGGGCCTCTCTTGTCCTCTTTGGCGGCCTGGCTCGCCTCGCCGTTCTCGTCCTTGGCAGAAGGCGGTGGAGTTGGCAATTCGGCCTGCGTCTCGCCGGTGTTCGCGATCCATTCTCCTTGGACATCTCGGGCTCTCTCAATAAGTTCGCCAATGAAAAGCTTGGATACTGACTTGACAGCCAGAGCGACGTTCGGTGGGACGGACTGCGATACGGTTGCATTGACGACCTAGGGTGCGTGAGTATAATGCGTAGGAGCGGGATGACAAGATGTCAAGAAAGTCAGAACACGGGAAGAAGCTTACTCTCTTGACCACGGACTCCGTAAGCTTCGCGGCGCGCCAGAGTTCGTAGCGATCGTACTGTTCTGGGTCGAATGACTCGACTAGCATGGCACGGAGTCTGATCTCTTCTTGCTTCTGCTCTTGGGTTCTAGCCGTAGTATCCACAAGGGCCATGCGCATGTCGTTATCGTCGTCGTCGTCGTTTGCGCCCTCCTCCTGTCCTTCTGCTGCGGTGCCTGTGCCGCTGACGGTCGTGGGTGCGCGTCCGCCTACGAGCGAGGGCGTCTGTTCTCTCGTTTCCACGTTCGTCTGGTTCTTGGGCTTCCTGCCGCGCTTCTTCTTAGGAGGGGCGCTGACTTGGCTGCCACTGACCACGCTCATGGTATCGGCGGATGGTGATCGAGGGAATGGTGATCCGGCTCCGTCGGGAGGGAAGGAGGTCTGTCGAAGAGGATGCGCCGAGGCAGCGGCGGAGGTGACTGAAAGGGTTGAGGCCTTGCGGCGCTTGACAGACTGCTGGGAGCCGCCATCGGAGGCGCGCTTCTTGGTCGGAAGCTGTGCGGATGACGGGTATGGAGGAGAGAGTGCGGTCGGCGAGTATGCGTAGGGAGGAGACGCCATCGTGGCGGCGGGCGGGTGTGCTCTTCGGTCGTCGCTGGATCAAGAAGGTGAGGTTGAGCGCAACCGAGTAATTCGCGTTATAAGCTCGTTTAGTTCGAAGGAAAAAGATTCTTGCGTTCACCCGGATGAAGCGCAGAAGGGTAGTAGTTGTGGAAGTTAAGTTTGAAGTTGGGTTGGCAGTTCACGATCGGCAGGCAAGGCTGGAAGCGCGACTGACGGAAGGTGCTCTGCTGAGGAAGGAGGAAGGCTGACTAAGGCGATATCACATGACCCGATGGCTTGACCAGTTAATCTTGGCGGCCAAGCCACGATGCCGCCTTATATAATCAAGAACCCACTTTGGACCCTTGTGTCGGAAACCTGGGGTGCAATGACTGCTACCTCGCGATAAGATAACGCCGTTCGTAACCGAATTTTCTTCTCCGATTTACCTCCAGGCAATGACTCCAGCGGGTCCCTTCCCGATCCATTTCTTTGGTTTGGAGCTCCCCTCTCCATCCGGCTTCCCACTTACACATCTCATTTCTCCCCGCCGTCGCTATTTTGCCCGGCAAACAGCATCAGAATGACCCAATCCGAGGATGTTGAGCTCAAAAAGAGCAAGAAACACCGAAATAACAACCACAATGGCTCCAGCGCATCCACCGACGGAAGCGATGCCGAGACCGCGAGCCAGACCAGCAGCAAGCGGGGCACCAAGGACAAGAAGCGCAAGGCAGATGGCGAGGTCAACGGCCACACAAGGAAAGCTCGCCGCGAGAGCCTGAGCCGACCTGCGCGGGACCCTCGCGATACTACTTCTCCCAAGTCCAAGAAGAAGAAGAAGAAGTCAAAGCCCGAGGGAACCGTGACGCGCTCTCCCAGCCCGGTCATTGACTTTGACGGTCTGAGTCGCCCGAGTAAGATCACACCATCCCCAGCCCCGCGCCAGCCATTGACTGACTCCCCACTCCCATTCAGGCGTCGGAACCCGTGAGCGACTCGAAGAGAGCCCCGAACTCGCCGCCGTAAGACTTGCGAAGCTCGAGGGCGCTGTTCGCACTATTCTCGAATGTGTCGGCGAAGACCCCGCCAGGTCCGGCATCCTCGACACCCCGAGCCGTTACGCTAAGGCCATGCTCTTCTTCACCAAGGGCTACCAGGAGAATGTTCGCGACATTGTCAACAATGCTATTTTCCAAGAGGGGCACAACGAGATGGTCATCATTAAGGACATTGAGATCTTCAGTCTTTGCGAGCACCACCTGGTTCCTTTCACTGGCAAGGTGAGCACCAACGAGGTTGGCATCCAACATCCATGCACAAAGCTAACAGAGATCCCGATAGATGCACATTGCCTACATCCCGAAAAACCAAGTCATCGGCCTGTCCAAGATCCCGCGCATCGCCGAGATGTTCAGCAGACGTCTGCAGATCCAGGAGCGCCTGACCAAGGAGGTGGCCAACGCCATCATGGAGATCCTCCAGCCGCAGGGTGTCGCCGTCGTCATGGAGTCCAGCCACTTGTGCATGGTCATGCGCGGCGTGCAGAAGACAACCACCAGTACGATTACCAGCTGTGTACTGGGTGCCTTCGAGAAGAAGGAGAAGACGAGGAACGAGTTCCTCAGCCTGGTGGGGTTGAAGACATAGAGCAGGCTTCAAGACACACCGTCTTGTCTAAGACAATCCTCTTCCCAGGGAGGGGTTAGAGGAGGGGCTTGATGCCGCGTCATTTACATACTCCGGCGTTTTGGTTTATAAGGGCATCATGAAATGGTAGTAAAGACCATCTTTTCAACATTGGGTCAAGCATCGGCGATATTTTGGGGTAGATTTCATGAGAAGGGAGCTCAACGCTCGTTCTAGGTAAAACGTTTTGTCTTCTTGCTGCTCAACGGCGCGAGTACAGTTTCAACGGCGCAAACACAATTGAACATTATGTCGCGAGCCGTTTGCTCGCTCACATCCAGCCACCTACGTCCACTTCCGGCTGCCAGCATGTCGCCGTGCTTGTTTGTCTTCACGTTCAGAAGAAGCGGTGAGACCTCCCTGCGTCTCAAGTGCAGGAGGATCAGCCAAACGAAACCAATTGATGCTGTTGGGAGCCCCGGACACGGACGATGTCGCAAGTCGCAAAAAAAAGGAGGCTTGCAATGTCTCAGAGATCTATCGGCAAACACACCCAAAAAAGAATTGGTTCTCCCCTTCCAGAATCGAACTAGAGACCTTTCGATGACATTGGATAAACCATTACAGTCGAACGTGATGAACCAACTACACCAAGGGGAGTAACAGGGCTAAAGCCCCGCTTGGTGAGATGTTCGTTGAGTCGAATTGCGCACCTAAGGTGGGCATCGTCTTAGGGCTGCATGCATGCCCACCACAATGCACATAATGCAGTGAGACTAACCGCTTTAGATCCGGGAGATGACGGACCTCCATTTCAAACCGGACTCGCGCATCCAAAACTCGTGGCTTGCGACTTGCCATTGAAGGCCTCAATCAGTCCTTCAATGGAAGAATACATGCCCAGTACTGTTGTTACGACCCCACCCAGCATATAGAAGATGTTCCATGAGTTGAAGAATGGCTTCTTCATGAACCCCCTCCAATACCGCCAGAACCCGCCGTCAGCGTAGCTGTATACTCCCGTCGCAGGATCAAACCGCTCTTCTTCGGGCAACATGGCGTCTTTACGGATCCAGTAGCCCAGTCCCAGGAGCGCGGGCAGCGTATACGTGAACGACAAGATGAACAGGGCGCCGATAAATCCCGACACGAGTGAGAACTGAGGAACAGCGGCACCGACGATGAACGCGACGGTCCAGTAAACTGGGATGACCAATGCCCAGAGCATCTTCCCAGCCGAGGCCGTCAGCGGGGGAGCGCCGCACACGGGTTGGAGGAACTCGATGTAGAGGACCTTCATTCCGATGTTTCCGTACAACCCCGCGGCGATCAAGCCGGTAATGAGACTCAGCACGTTCGTCGCCGTCTGCCAGGCGTAGGGAGACAGGCCCTGCATGACGGGATTGAAACTGTACTGGCCTTGGTACGAGTACACGTACATTCCGAAGATGAGGTAAATGGAGTAGATGAAGATCTCGCCGCAGAGGAGGGCTTTCCAGAAGTCCATCGGATGGCGCATCTCGGACATGAAGGCGGCGAAGATGAGACATCCTCCGTACGAGTATACGGCCTGGTTCAGGCCGTTCAGAGAAGCCAAGAACCCTGTCCCGCCGGATGCCAGTCCTTCGGGTGGCATACCGACGAAAGTGCGGACCGGACCGGGGCCGAACGCATCGCCAAAAGAAGCCTTTGTGGCGGCAAAGTTGGGTGGGGAGTGTGCGACGACGCCCATGCTGTTCAAACAGTCAGATAACAACACAACGGTTGATGAAAAAGAAGAAGGGTACATCATGCACTTACCAGATGAAGAGGACTAGCAGGTTAATCCAGACAGACATGTTCGCAATCCACGAAAACCTCTGCAGAGTCCGGATCTGGCCGAGAACGAAGCCAGCCACCATGAAAATGATGAGGCACGCCACGAAGCAGATTCCCGCACCACCGTTCGACCCCTTGGAGATCTGCGAGATGGACTGGCCGCTTCCGAGGATCAGCACACCGACGAAGAGCATCAGCTGCAGAGCCTGGGCGAAGTTGACAAGGTGCCGCGCCCAGGTGCCGAAGACGCGGAAGTACAGGTCGCCGTAGCCTTTCAAAGGGTACCGGTCGGAGTCGAGGCCGAGAAACGACCTGTAGAGGATCCAGCCGGAGCTTGTCGTCGTCAGTAAGCTGCTTGGCCTGGCAATTGGCAGAGAAGGAGGTGTGTGCGCTTACTAGAGAGACATTACGCCGAAGACGGTGTAAAGGGCAACGCCTGGTCCGTATCCCATTTGCGCAAAGGCCCAACTACCACGAGTTAGCGACAGCATCGTCAGCCGCGAGGATCGTATACACTCACGGCGTCGACCCCGGGCCCAAGATATCCGTGGTGATGAGGTAAAAGATGGCTCCCCAACCCGCCGTCCTCATCGCCCTGCTCGCCCTCTTCCATTCTTCAGGCGTTACGGTGCCAACAACCCCCTCGTCCGCCGGAGTCAAAGTCTTGTCGCTCCCACTCTTCTCGACCCCGGCCACAGAGACGCCGCCGAGATTTCCGAGTTCGAACTTCCCATGTTCATCCCCCTTTCTAAAGCGATCCTTGACCACGCTCTTCAACGTTACCGGGCCCCGGGCCTGCACATATCTCTCGTTGGCCTCCTTCTCCTCGGCGCGGGTGATGCTCGCCCAGTACAGGTATTCCTCGAACGTGACGTTCGGGTCGTGCAAGTTAGGCGTCTCCATGATGTCGACAATTTGCCCATGTCCACTGGAGCGAGAGCTGGAGTTTTCATGCGTCGACTTTGACATCTCGCGAGGGTCGTGGTGGTGGTTGCGGTCCGTGATCGCCGCGGGCGCGACCGGGTGTGCGGGCATGCTGCTTCAAGGCGTCTCAGACTCGGGACGATTCTACGTGCGCGATGTCATTGGGGCAAAACTGGAGAGAAAACAACCGATGAAATAAACAACGCTGGATCCGAGAGCCAAAGACGGTCGATTATGGGGAGCATAGATGTCGTCTTTATGCTTTTTCTTTCTGTTCTTTCTCCTTGGCTCATCTTCGGTCTGATAACGGCTCCTTCAGCTCAACTCATCTCCCCCCGGGACGTAGCATTCCGGGATGCCCAGGCCGAATGTACCTCAAATCGATGAAGGAATGTTTCGAACCCCGCGATATCGTCCTCGACCCCAAGTGGTCGTTCAAGGGATCCCCCCCTGCCTCATCCCGTGCTAAGCTTTCGTGCACCCCTGGACTCGTTGTAACCTAGATAAGGTGCCATGCAACCCAGCCTGTCCGGTGCTTTACTATGTACTAGATACTCATCCAGCCTGTCCGGTGCGATGACGGGGAGAGTATGCTGATCTGTCTGGACGTTCTTGGACCTCACCGTCAATGATAAGAGTTAGCTTATCTGGAGCTAACCGGCTGTGTTTCCTCCTGTCGGTAGATGAAGAAAGATGTTTCGTTGTCATGCATTCTACCACGGTCGACGGACTAGAGAGCTTCACTGTATTATTGGTTGAACTTGGAATGATGGAAGGTCGGCAGATGAGGTGTAGAAGTTGAGAAGGCCTGAGAAGGCGCTCACATTGGATTCGAAGCCTTCAAACGTTGTGACGACGACAACATCTACCAAAGACCTCATTTTGGTTTTGAACGACGGGGAATCGGGTCACTACAGGCGCAATAAACATTGAATCTGCAGACGTAGGAATGTTCGTCGTACACCCCAAATTGGTCGTCATAACCTGTTCTCGCCAGTCAAATAGCTAATATGATGTCTTCACGGCACAGAACGTGTTGCATGCTTCAAAAATGAGCAGATCCAGCTGGACCCCGCATCGCATATCGAACTATCAAAAAGTTGAATCGCTTGCCACTTCAGCAAGTGGCGACCCGACTCCACCAAGACGAGGTGAGATCATCGTGAATTGCACAAAGACTGAGACGGTTGGAAAACCAATATTCAGATGCTGTCCTTTATAATTTCCCGAAACGCCCATTGCCGATGGACTCATTTCGTCATAGCGTAATACGCAAGTATTGTACATTTTGATGATATTATACATATCCGTTCCCATCTTACGACTCTTCATTGACAGTGGTGGTCTGCTTCCTCTTGATCTCCCTCTTCTTCGGCTTCAACCACTCCTCCATACCCTCGGGCCAGTAAACCCGCCGCGAGGGACCACCCATTCCAAACTCCTCGGGAGGAATGCTCTTTGCTTCAACCTCTATGGGACCAGCCTCGCCCATTTCGTCGTCGCCGTCCTCGTCCTTCACTTTCTTCTTTGACTTCTTGGGCTTCTTTGCGCTTCCGTTCTTGTTGGCTCGAACCTCATCCTCTCGTTCAAACGGTATGATGTCGTTGATCAGGTCATATCCGGGAAGCTTGAACGTGCGCATTAACTCGAAGACGGCTTGCTCCTTGTCCTTGGCCTCGATCATGAGGTCCATATCAGGAGAGCACGGAGGCAAGGTTCTCACGCGAGGTGAGTGCTTCCTGCGATCGCGAGGGCTGATGGCTCCCGGACAGGATTCGCTGTAGTGCATCTTCTGTCGGATCCCCTTGCGAGTCCAAGTCGCGCGGATGCGGTCGAACACTCCTCTGATATCCTCCGTGCCCTCGCGTAATTCTTTTGCGTCGAAAACAATGTTGTGATGATGGAAGTCGAGAACCATAGGAATGTTGAGTTCTTCGCAGATGGGCAGGAGATCGTGAACCGACCAGGACACGTCGTCGTTTTCCAGAACTAGGCGGTTCTTGACGGATGGTTTGAGCTTGGCGTAGTTGGCACGGAACCGGTCTAGGGTGGCTGCCTTATCGCCGTAGGTGCCTCCCATGTGAAGGATCATGATGGCATCTCTATTCTCTTGCTCAGGAAGACGCAGGAGTGAGAGCAGCTCATCGTGGTAATCGAGATCGCGAACCGCGTTTGTAATGACCTCTTTGCGAGGTGAGCCCAGCTGTGTAAATTGGCCAGGATGAGTGGTTAACCGATGTCCAAGCCGAGTGGCGACTTTGCCGGCTTCTGCGAGAACATCTGCGGCAAATGGCTCTAGGCGATACCCATACTCTTCATGACTGGCGAAGGGGAACATCTCTGAGCTGAGGCGCATGAACTTGATGCCGTACTTGTCGTTCCAACGGAGCATCTTGACGATATCTCTGGCATTTGCCAAACCGAGCTCCTGGACGTACTTCTGGCCCAGTGCGATATCGGCAGGTTTGGTGTCATCAGGGCGATTCTTGGTAGCATGCTCCGGTTGGCTGGGATCGGCAAGCGGATGCCGGTGTTGTATGATGGAGGCAATGCGACAGGTCCTCGAACTGAAAACCGGAGGATTCGCAGCTCGTAGGTATGTGTTTAAACAAGCCTCCAATGCCATTAGTTCAGGCCCATAACGTGATTACAGAAGACTTACATATCCTAACCGACCTGTCCACGGCAAAGGCAGATAATCACTGTTGACGGGTGGCACTCTCGCGGCCCCTCTCTCGGGAGCATCATCCTCACGATACTTGTCGTCCTCGACGTCTCCTATGGCGCCTTCGGCCTGAGGGCCTTCGATGGGTGCAACGTCCAAATCTGGCGTTCCGGACCGTTCTTCTTCGACCTCGCGTACGCGCTCTTCGGGGTTGGCGGGACCAGTTTCGATAGTAGGGCGCCAAACCTTGCCCTTTCCACTTTGCTTGTCGGCGCCGGTGACGTGGCTGGCTTCAATGGTGAGACGTTGTGTCCTGGTGGAGTTCTGAAGACGATTTTCCATCTCGCTGAGCTCCCTCATGGCGAAGCGGACGCCTGTCTGAGAATGGTCTTGCATTTTGCGACTGAGCTGGCGGCGCTTTGCAGGTGGTGCTGTCGATACGTCGGTCTGTGTGGGGCCCATGCCGGCGCCGGGATCGGTGACCTTTTTGACGTCGTGTATACGACGACTGGACCTGCGAGGAGGGGCAGGCTTTTGCTCGACGGGGTTCTTTATTTCTTGAGACGGGGACGGGGAGCCTTTGGATGGGGGCTGCCTTCTTCGTTTTGGAGCGGCCATGGCTGAGGCTGAGAAGGAGTGGAGGGAGGTAGTTATGTATGAAGGGGTGAAGCGATAGAATGACCAAGCGAGTGATGAGTTCAGGGGCGGGATGAGTGACGGCACCGGTCTGGTGGTACGGAGAAGTCGTCGAGCGCAAAGGCAGTGATTGGCCAGTGCGGAAGAAAAGCTCCTCATGCAGTCAAAGACCGGGGGCACGGCGGACGGCAGAGAACGATTCGGTTCGAGATGGGTTGAAGTCCAGTGTGTCTGGACCACCTCTGGGATGCGTATGCCTGAGCTAGGAGTGGGAGTGGGTGTTTGTGCGGTGGACACTGTCTGAGGTATCTTACGGATGTCAGTATGTAGTGGTACATGAACTTTCATGTAAAAAATGAGAAGCGAGGCAACGGTCAAGTTCGGATAGGTTGAGGCTGATTACGTACTAACCTGCTTGGGGGAGCGAAAGGTCCGGTAGGAGAAATAACAACAGAATGGGAGGTGCAAGAGGGACGACAGGATGTTGAGAGGAATACGAGAGGGAAGGATGAGAAGGGAAGAAAAGGTGCAGCTCGCTCGAGTAGGAGGGAGCTGGGATGGCGAGAAGAGTAGTGCTAAACGGATGGCATGGAAAGAAATGTCATCAAGGGCCCGGAGATGGAGATGGCTCTTTGTGGCAGTAAGGTGATGAGGTCAGTCAAATCTACCCAAAGTACTAAGAGTAGGTAGAGTAGGTAAGGTGAGTTGAGGGAAACGGAAAGTACCAGGGCGCTAACGGCTCGTCCACGGGTACTTTGTCCGTTTGCCTGCCGACTTGGACTTGGACTTGGATCTGGACGGGATGTTGGACTGATTCTTTCTTACGGGGCTAGTTGCATCTCGGTAAGGTACAGTGTAATAAGACCAAGTGGCTCAAAATCCAATGTCAGTCGGTGCCGGTGCCAGTGCCAGTGACTGTGCCTGTGCCTGTGTTCCGACCTAAGCTTCACAATGCATATTGTTTGGAGCTGATGCGATGGCGACGAGACGAGAATCACCCAGATGATGTCTTTCCACCGATCAATATCTGTAAGGTAGGTAATTGCAGCATAAGCCGACACTTCCTTACCCTACCGTCATCAGAAAAGAAAAGAGAACATGACGAATGGAAGGAAAGACGCGACGCGACCACTTGCCTCTTGCCTCTTGGGACTGATTTGATACGCACCTTCCTCTGAGACAGAAACTGAGATGGAAAGCAGTAGATTCCGGGGAGGAAGGAGCACGGTCCAGGCCAAGTGCGTCATTGAATGCGGCAGGAGGCGAGAGCTCCGACGTCACTGATGCCCGTGGACCACACCTCTTTCCACTTTCCACTTTCTTCGTTCCACAGACCGGCCACAAGAAAAGAAGAAAAGAAAGAAATAGAACGGCAGGAACACACCGAAACATTGAAAAAGGAAGAATTTTACGCCTCACTGGCGGGTCTGGACCCGATTCCGAGCCTGCCCTGAACACTGCCCGGACAACACAGCACCTGCACAGTGAGGTCCGGGTGGACCTAGGTACCCGGGGCAGATCTGACCGAGCCACTGCACCTACCCTCTTTCGGATAGCTTCAGCCTCAATGAGCTCATTCATACCTCACTATCCTCTACCTCATATTTTTACATCTTTGCACTACTTTCTAAATCTACCTTGCTGAAGCCGAGGGGACGAGGCAGCGGACATGCTATGCCCGAAATATATGTATTTTGTCTCAAAACACTCCTTAGCCAGGTGTCAACGGTGAGTATTTCCATCCCCTGGTCAGCCTCAGCGCTGGACCTTAGCTCACCAAACTCACTCAAGCATCTAAGCTAATCGAGGCTATCTTATCTTAGAACTGCAACTTCACCCAAACCTATCCTCGAATGGAAAGCCGGTAATTAAGACTTCCTCTCCACTACGAGTACCAGAGATGCATTCCATTAATACCTTCAGGTCACTTGTTTACCAAGGCCCAAATTTCAGAGACAACCGGAACATCCATCACCGATACATATCGTCCGAGACTACATGGACCCTTTTAGCTCGACGACAACGCGTCAATTGATGGTGTAGCGAGCATCTTCTCACTCGGTCAAAGACTTATCCAACGCTTCTCATCAAATCATGCACTCAATCGCCATCGGACCCCCCTGCTCTAGCTGAGCAAAACCTCCGGCACTGACGCCGCAATCTCGATGCTGCAGGTCGTGTCACCGTCACGTCACGATAATAAGGACCCGACAAGCCATTTGATGCACCACCTCACCCTTTCCCCTCCTCGTACCCTGCCACCTGGGTTGCAAAAAAAATAGCCGGTCTCCCGCGCGCGCGCGCCCACCCACCCAAATCTTCCCACACCCACCACCCACCACCACCCACCTCCACCACCCACTTCTACCCTTATTATTATTATCAAATTATACACAAAAAATCCAGGAAAATACTAAAACATTACAATATGCCTAAGAAAGCACGTCTATAAGGTATATACAAATTTCTTAAAGTAAAAAATATTAAATATAAAAAAAAAGACCTCTATACGCATTTTAGCTTCTCTAAGAGGTCTAGTTAGTATATACTATATAAGGAAGTTATAACTTCTAACTAGCGCCGCTATAATAACCCTTCCCTACCTAAAATATATAGGTATAAGAGACTCTTTAATAATACTAACCTTAATAGTATTAAGTCGCTCTATAAAGTTGAGGGATTTAAAGTAAAGCGTCTACTATAGGATATAGTCCCTACTGTTGCTAACCTTAACGTTAAGGCCTATTACTAGACTCTTTAATACGCCCTTAAGAAGAGATAGATTACTAAGCGCGTAGCTAAGTAAGTTAACTATATTAATAAATATATAGCCTAGCGCTATCTTAAGTATATAAAAAAAGCCCTAGAAGAACGCCCTACCCCCTACTAGTAGTATAATACTATTTTCTCTAATAAATACTACTTTAGCTTTACTAATAAGTAATTAGTATATATTATAAGGAAACTAAGTATATATAATAACCCTTCTAACCTCTAAGAGCGTTATAAGCCTAATAATAATAAATATAAGGCTATTTATTACTAGGCTACTATTAGCTATAGGTTTAAGAGCCCTCTAGTCTAATATAAAGTCCCTACTAATAAGAACGGTAAGATAAGCTAGGATATCTATATTAATAAGATATTAAAGCTTTATATTAAGTAATAGATTAAAGAAGCCTATATAGAGGGTAAGTACTTTATACTTAAAGAGGATAGTAATAGTAGCTATAAGCCTAGTAAAAATAGCTATATAAGGGCTTAAAAGGATTAGAATAGGCTAGAATACTACTTTAATTACCTATAAAGTCTAGATCTCTTACTTATTAAGAATATATAGTTAGTACCTAAATAATAGGTATATAATACGCCCTATTAGGACGTTAAGACCCTTAAGTTAATTATAAAGGTAGTATAAGAGTTAATTACGCTTAAATTAATTAGTAAATAGATTAAATTAATACCTAAATAGCTTTATTAAGTTATTAAGCTTAATAGAGGCATAATAGGCTTCTAAAATATAAGTTATTTTAATGTTTTCGCAATTGCGTTAAGACCGGCCATTTTTTTTGCAACCCGAGTGCCTGCAAAAAAGGCTACGCCACCTTTTCACTCGCTCTAGTCGACGGACCAGTTCGTTCTCTTCGAGTTCTACCCGACGCCTGATTGAATTTGCAATAACTTCATCACCTCGCTACACCACAAAACCCAGCTGCAACACCACCCCCAGCAGGAAAGACGAAACATCACCAGCAGGCAGCGTCCTACCATCGCACGTGTTCGCTACCGTTCTTCATTATGCTACCTACTTTACTCACAGAGTCTAGAGGTACAGTGGGTATCTTGGAATACAGTCATCGCTGAAAATCAAACAATTGGCACACTCAAACGCTCGATTGTGAATCCGGAGAGTCTGGCCGGCGGTGGTCTAGCAACCCCGGCGCCGGGTCCTCCACTCGTCCCCGGCGGTGCCGATGCTGCCCGGGCTCTCATCTCCCGCGTCTGCCAATACTGGCTCCGGCATACAGGACAGTCGTACCTTTCAATCAGGAACCACGACGATAGGCACCTGGCGTGGAAGGCGTGCTGGCATTTCTTGAGCGTCAAGATATCGTCCTCGGGACTCTCGTCTGGGGCGCTCTCCGTTCCCCATAGCTGCGATATCCTCCGCTTGAACGCCGCGAGCGTTGTTCTGACTTTACCGATGGCGTTTTGAGATCCTCCAACGTTGACTTCCCCGCCCTCTTCAGCAGCGTGCGAAGATGCTGCGTGCGTCGGTAGGTCTCCGTTGGTCGTGCTGTGATCGCTTGAGACGAACAATGGCCCAATGCAGATGGGACTACCAACAGCGACAGTCAGTAATGCAACTCAGAGTTTCTGGCGCCGTGTTTCCCCGCCTGCCATTCAGTCTTTTCTGGGGCCCTTACAGGCCTATCCTCGCTCTCCAATTCAGAAGTACTCACCATTCCAGCCCTGAGTCGTGCTGATTGAGATTCGACTCAATGTCCAACTTCTCCTGGCCGCCAGTTGTCGTGCGCTCGGAGACAGTACTCAGCTTTCGACGCGCGTCTTTGAACTGGGAAGTCCGAGGATTAAATTTACGATGGTCTTTGACTCGAGCATACGTTGCGCATATCCTGTCGCGATGGGCACGTCAGCTGCTGTCACCATTTGCTTGCGGAGAAGGCTTCAGTACGGTCTGTACAGGGGCCCCAAAATGAGGAGAAATAGGAAGAGCGTAAGCAGAATTATGCCAACTTCGTCCATCCTTCCGGCGGCGATTCAATGGGGAGCATCGCAGCGTCCCCCTTTTCGATTGATATTATGCTTCTCGACGATGGATTTGTTCCTCAAGGCAGCGAGAGCGAGGCGCTGGAGTTATTTGCTGGCAGGATCACTGAGTCGACATTTGATTGCGACCAGGGCACTTCAAAGCGGCCAGGCGGCGCGCATGACCATTTTTAACAGACTGTCTCCAAGAATTGGCAGAAGATACACATCTTGGTCAGATGACGGCTAACGTTACCTTCTGGCGGCATTGGTGTATGGCGTGGCAGATTCTACTGGTTTTCAATGGCCGGTTGGCAAGCTAAGACAATAAATCTGCAGCAAACGCAATCATCGATTCGGCCAAGGATTCACTCATCAAGTCTCTAGCAGCACGCGGACGCAACACAAACTTTTCGTGATCGGCGCCGTCGCGAACACATCATCAACAAACAGCCTAACGCCGGTGGTCTTTCACGGGCACGGCGGGGTTCTTACTTGTCATGACCAGTATCGTTCTCTCCAAGTTTCCCAGCTTGTATTAAGCGATTCCGCTCTTCTAAAGCTCGAATTCTGGGCGACAACACTCTTATCCCATATCTCAGGCCAAGAAGCTTGGCTGCAAATTCAGCGACTCAGGTGCCAATTGGAAGGCAACGCACACGATTGGACAGAAGGATTCGTCTTCTGTCGTGACGTAAACTCTGTGGGTGGTGCAGCTCTTGGTCTTCTTGGAGAGCGGGGGAACGCCCCCAAGAACCCCGGAGGTGGACCAACCACCTCAACGTCGCTGTTGGGGAGACAGGCCAGGGTGAGTCTGGATTTCTGGGCAACAGCTGAGGCGCGAGAAGAAACTGCAAAACGAAGCAGCTTATCAGCATCAGTGGATGGGCGGGGGAAATGCTGGGGTGACAAGGGCCTGGGGACGAGGGTTCTTCATGACCTCACCAGGGAGAGCCCCTCCATTGCCCCTCTGCCCCTCCAACAAGACATTGGCATCTTCAAAACGCCGAGATACCAAACGAACCCCTCCGAGGAGGAACCGAATTGACAGCCCAGAGCTCCATACTCGGGGCTCCTGTGGCTCTCCGTCTACAGAATGTCACCGGCAAGACAGGGAATGGAACACGCAGATGAGCCGGCCGACGGCGGCGGCGCTGAAGTATGGAGGAGAGGAAAGTGGACTCCCGAGGAGCGGCGGCGGCGGCGCTGGTGCCCAGCCCAAGGATCAAGTGAGTGTGACACGCTCAAGTTTCTGAAGCCAAGAAACCGCCAAGTTGCCCGGCGTCCCTTGGCCTGCTATCCAACAGTCAGTTGGCACTCCATCCGGTGTCCACCACCGCCGGGGCGGCCAAGACGTCCGCCGTCCAATGTTATCGTCAATCGTCTGTCGGTATGCTGAAAGGAGCAAGGTTGGCATGCCGGGTGAGATTGGCAGAGGACCCGACCGAAGGACCCTTCTCCGAACAATCCGCAAACATGCGGTATCATGATGCGCCATTGGTCGTCGCCGGAGCCGGTAAGGCGGGTTATCGACGGTCTTGGTCTCCTTGGGTTCATCCCGCCGAGACACTAGCCATCACCCTATCTCAGGATCCCACGATAACTTCGACACATTTCCATGAGTCTCCAAAACCGGGCCACCGACTCTCCTCCTCCAGTCTCTTCCGCCGCCGAGCATCTGGGCGTCTCAGTCGGAGTGGCTGTGTTTCTCGGCAGACCCGTTCTCCCCCGCCCGTATCGCGCCCGGCACGTCGTGTGTCGTTCGTACCGGGGCAGCATCCCGGTTCTTCCTCCCTCTCACTCCACGATGCTCGCAGCGGCAATTTGGACGCACCTCTGGGCGCCTGTTGTCGTGTGCGGGGGCCAGAAGCAACTTGGGCCGGCAATGATGAAGAAAGGCAGCGATGGCTGTTGCTCGGTCTGCAGCGCAGAGATGGTGTGACAAAACGACGAGGTCGGGCAGAGGGAGAGACGGAGCCCGCCGATCTGATTCGATTTCGGGTCTTCACGGTCGCCGTGTTGGATGAACGGATGAACGTTTGTCGGCGGTCTCGAACTCGTAAGGCGGATTCCCGTGGCATCGTTCACATCGCCGACGACGGCTTCTCTGTGAACCTCCGTCGCCACTCTCCCAGGGCCGGACAAAACACGGCGCTTTATACTCGGGCAGTGCTCTCAGAGGCCTCCTAAGCACACAAGCAGATGGTGCACGCGCGTCGTATGGTGCGTACGTCACTTGCTCGCGGCGGACACTAACTTGGGATCTTAGCATGGCCCTGGGGCTCTTGTTGTGAAAGGTTAGGTAGACTACAGGACGCAACAAGCCGGGCGCCGGCAGAGAAACACAGGAACGGCGCCAAGATCTCGGCTCCATACCCCGAGGTCCTGTGTTTCTCCTCTCGGCTCTACGAATACAAGACGCGGGAGGAACGAGTCTCGTCAGCCGGACTCCAATCCGCGCCGCCAGGAAACGGCTTCTCGGCATAGTCTTGGCCGCTGGAAATACCCTGCAGCTACCATCACCGACCAGCGGCGTATCCACATACCAGCGTTGGAGGTGAACTCGTAGTGTTTCCCCTGCGTCCGGGAATCCACGTCCCACGGGGTCAGCTCAGTCAGATTAACCCGTTTGTTTAACGAAACAAGAGTGATGTTCATCCTTCCGGGTTTCCGCTCGGCGCAGTGCATGCAGAAATAACTCCTCATACTGACTTCAGACCTGCCGCGCTACGGAACTCACGTCTTCGCGAGCGTCCAATAGCCCGAATATCATATGTACTGCATAGTACAGACATATCTCGATGCATACATGTACCCTTGAGGCACACTACTGCACGCCCCGAAGCACCCTGGTAGTCTTCTAGAAGGAGTGGTCCCCCACACATGGCGTTCTTTGGGAAGGCATATTCGAGTCCTGAATGGCCGATTCTCGGTGGAGAAAGCCCAAAGTCTCGTCCTCTATCTTTCTGGGCGCAGCCATTTTCATCACCGAAAGCATCACAACCACATCCACCCCCTCTTTCCCATGTCTCGGGGCTATCCAACATACGGAGTGCTAGGTAACTGGAAAGCAAGCATTCGGGTAGCGAATTACAATGCCCAGAATTTGCATACGGCCTCGCAGGATACCAAAATGCCCAGAATGAGGCCCGCTGCCTAGACTCTCGGCGGCCAAACATGGCAGCTAGGAGCGTAGAGTTTCCACCAAGATCTGGATTGCGTGCTCGCAAATGGTAGCTCGCGTGTCCTCGAGCAGCTTTTGGCATTAGATTCCCAGCTCCAACGCCATGGAAAGCTGGCACCGGGGTCCCCATGTTGAGAGCCCCGCGCAGAGCCGCCAAGGCTGAAGGAACACACCTAGACGAACACTCACTCGTCGAACGTCGCGGCTTCGAGAGGTGAGATATACAGGGAACAAGATGTGGGCGCCTCGTTCCCGCCCCGTTGTCTGCCTATCGTTATGAAGTCATAACGCCGAGAGAGGAGGACGCCTTTCCCGGCGGACACCTCGAATACATCTACTCAATCTCCCCCCCAAGTTTTGGCTTTATTTCCCCCCAATTCTCTCGATATCAGCAGAAATCGTCTCTTCTCCTCGGGCACTCTCCCCATCTTCTCTTCCTTCCTATGCTCGCCTGTTCTCTTAACATTAAGGGGGTAGAAGTGCTTGAACCTGGATAAGAGCACTCACACTTTTGCCCGTTCCATGCCTCATTCGTCAATAAAATAACTATATTCCCACTACTCCGATTGGATCCGACTTCAACTCTTGGCACCGTCCGGAAGCCTCTACCCAGGGACCGCTTTACACCGTTCCGCTCCGATCCTCCGCCCCCAAATCACAGTGTCCCGACTACTCTCCGGTTGACTTGAAACGATATTCAACATGGGAAAGAAGGACCCTGAAGCCGAGGCGATGGCCAACCACGTCTCTGGCCAATCCAATAAGCCCATGTCCCGTCCTGCCCATGCCCTGACTACAGACCAAGTTGTCCAGGAGCTCAGGGCCAACCCGGATGATGGTCTAACTCCAGAAGAGGCCAAGACTCGTCTTGACGAGTATGGTCGCAACGAGTTCGGTGCCGATGAAGGCGTCCAACCACTCAAGATCTTCATTGGACAAATTGCCAATGCAATGACCTTGGTAAGAACACTCACTTCCTGGACGTCCTTTTAGGAGTAAGCTGACCTTGACGTCCCAATAGGTCTTGATCCTGGCCATGGGTGCCTCCTTCGGTATCGAGTCATGGATCGAAGGTGCCGTCGTAGCAGGCGTCATCGTCCTTAATATCACCGTCGGTTTTCACCAAGAGTTCAAAGCTGCCAAGACAATGGACTCGCTCCGCTCTCTCAGTTCACCCACTGCCCAGGCGGTCCGTGAAGGCCGCAACGTCACAGTTCCTACCGTCGAGATAGTCCCCGGCGACATGGTTGAGCTGAAGACCGGTGACACCATTCCCGCCGATGTTCGCATTGTGGAGGCTGTCAACTTCGAGACCAACGAGGCCCTCCTGACTGGCGAGTCTCTTCCAGTCCGCAAGGAGGCTGCCCAGACGTTCGACGACGACACCGGCCCCGGTGACCGCCTGAACGTGGCCTACAGTTCCTCGACTGTCACCAAGGGACGCGCCCGCGGTATCGTCTTCGCTACTGGTATGTTCACGGAGATCGGCCAGATCGCTGCCGCCCTCAGAGGAAAGAACTCTCGCCGCCGCGACGTCAAGCGCAAGGAGGACGGCTCTGCCTCTTTCGCTCGCTACCTTCAAGCCTGGACCCTGACTCTCTCTGACGCTGTTGGACGCTTCCTTGGAGTGAATGTTGGAACACCACTCCAAAGGAAGCTGTCTAAGCTTGCTATCCTCCTCTTCGGTACTGCTGTTGTCTGCGCGCTGATCGTCCTGGGAGCCAACAACTTCAACACCACTCAGGAAGTCGTCATCTATGCTGTTGCTACTGGCCTTTCCATGATTCCTGCCTCTTTGGTCGTCGTCTTGACCATCACCATGGCTGCTGGTACGAAGCGCATGGTCCAGCGCCACGTCATTGTCCGCCAGCTGAAGAGTTTGGAGGCCCTCGGCGGTGTCACGAGTAAGTCAGTTTCTAGCTCGACGCAGTCACGTACTAACTTGCTTCAGACATCTGCTCCGACAAGACCGGTACTCTGACCCAAGGCAAGATGGTCGTCCGCAAGGCCTGGGTGCCTGGCAAGGGTACATTTTCCGTCAGCAACACCAAGGAGCCCTTCAACCCCACTGTCGGCGATCTTGGCCTCCAACCCGCCCAGCCCAAGGACATCGACTTCCGGGGGCAGGAGGCCGAAGGCGAACAGATCTCGAACGGCGAAGAGATGGTTCTCCAGAACAGAACACTGACTGACTACTTCAACATCGCATCGCTCGCCAACCTGGCCAACGTCCACAAGACTGCCGAGGGCGAATGGCACGCCCGTGGCGATCCCACCGAAATCGCTATTCAGGTCTTTGCCTCTCGCTTCAACTGGAACCGTCTTCGTTTCTCTGGCGAGACCAGCCGATGGAGACAAATCGCCGAGTTCCCCTTCGACTCTGACGTCAAGAAGATGTCTGTAATTTTCGAAGACACCGAAGCCGGCAACGACGGGAAGACTAGCAAGACCTGGCTCTTCACCAAGGGCGCCGTCGAGCGTGTCATCTCATCCTGCCCGACGATCCAAATGGGAGATGAAGTTATCGAACTCACCAAGGACATTGAGCAGGATATTCTTTCCAACATGGAAGCTCTCGCTCGCCTCGGTCTGCGTGTTTTGGCCTTCGCCAGCAAGTCCGACATTGGTAGTGTCGACAACCACGAGAACCTAGACCGCATGAACTTCGAGAAGGACCTGACTTTCCGTGGCCTGATCGGTCTTTACGACCCTCCTCGTCCCGAGTCCGCACCCTCCGTCAAGCAATTCCATCAAGCCGGTGTCAGCGTCCACATGCTGACTGGTGATCACCCCGAAACTGCCCGCGCTATTGCCCTCGAGGTTGGAATTCTGCCGACCCGCATGAACGAGATCTCCGCCAACGTCGCAAAGACCATGGTCATGGCTGCTCACGACTTTGATAAGCTCTCCGACGATGAAATTGACAAGCTCCCACGCCTTCCTCTGGTCGTCGCTCGTTGCGCCCCTCAGACCAAGGTCCGCATGATTGAGGCTCTTCACAGACGGCAGTGCTTCGTTGCCATGACTGGTGACGGTGTCAACGACTCTCCCAGTTTGAAGCGCGCTGATGTCGGTATTGCCATGGGTGAGAGCGGCTCTGACGTTGCTAAGGAGGCATCCGACATCATTCTCACTGACGATAACTTTGCCTCTATTCTCAACGCCGTCGAGGAGGGTCGCCGCATGTTCGACAATATCCAGAAGTTCGTTCTGCATGTGCTGGCCTGTAACGTTGCTCAGGCTTGCACCCTTCTCATTGGTTTGGCGTTCAAGGATGAGACTGGCCTTTCCGTCTTCCCCCTGGCGCCCGTCGAGGTCATGTGGATTATTATGATCACGTCTGGTCTCCCGGACATGGCTCTCGGATTCGAAGTCGCAGCGCCTGATATTATGGACCGACCTCCCCAGAACGTGAGTCCCCTGAACCATCTTCTGAAACCTTAGATGATGCTAACGCAACAAACAGATGAAAGTCGGTGTCTTCACCTGGGAACTCATGCTCGACATGCTGGTCTACGGACTCTGGACTGCTGCTCTCTGCCTTGCATCCTTCCTTCTTGTCATGTTTGGCTGGGGTAACGGCGATTTCGGCGTCAACTGCAACAACTCATACTCGGACCGCTGCGATACCGTCTACCGCGCCCGCGCTACTTGCTTCGCTTCCCTCACGTGGTTCGCCCTCTTCCTCGCCTGGGAGATGGTCAACATGCGCCGCTCGTTCTTCCGCATGCAGCCCAAGAGCACCAAGTACTTCACCCAGTGGTTCTGGGACACCTGGCGCAACAAGCTGCTCTTCTTCGCCATTATTATCGGCTTTGTCACCATCTTCCCCCTCACCTATATCCCGGTTCTCAACACAACCGTTTTCAAGCACGCGCCCATCACCTGGGAGTGGGGTATTGTTTTCGTGTGCGCCATCCTCTTCTTCGCTGGTATCGAGGCCTGGAAGTGGGCGAAGCGTATATACTTCCGCCGCCAGGCTCGCAAGCAGCACGGCGTCAACCCGGATCTCGAGAGCCGTGTCTTCGGTCACTACTACACCATCGGCGGCGTCGCGCTGGAATCATCACCCACTCTGACGATGGGCAGCCGCACCATCACAAACGAGAAGGACATGCGGGAGAAGGGTGCGAACGGGTACTCGAGTGGGTAGATGGCGATGTTGTTGTGGTATCGGACAAAAGTGTTTTAATTCCCTTGCGACTCAAGTCGATTGAATCTTAATGTGTCATGGGAAGGAAAAGGCGAGAGGAGGAAAAGAGACAAGAGCATAAGGTAACCGATGATAGTGAATACCCCGTAAGCACATTTCACACGCCTTATAGAGAGGCGGGTAACGGCAACTCAAAATGAAAGATTTCTGCATCTAATCTAATTGAATCCCTGATCATGTAATAGAGACTTTGACAGTTTCGTCAAGACACATCTTTGTTCGGCCAATGTTCGCCGAGCTGGTACTGAAGTATGAAAACAATTCCTGCCTACCTACCGACAAGCCATCCCCACCATGCGACAACCCGCGACTCCACAGAGTACCCGCCACAATTATCATGACAAGTACAGAATTTTCAACAACACATCCGATATGGTGTAGTGGCCAACATGATGCCCTCTCATTAACTTGAGAGGTTAGGCATAGCCCCGAGTTCGATTCTCGGTTTCGGAACGTTTTGATGTTTTCTTTTGCAAGTTCGGTGTTAGTTGTATGAAATACACTTGTAGAATAGCTGATCACGCTGTCATCTCACACAACCAACACAGACAGACATACTCATTACTTTTAGTGTCATAGGTAAGCTTATAGAATCAGTCTATAAATCAAAAGCCTTTCATTCTTTTACTATGAAACATTCCATCGTACGAGCCTGTTTGACCTTATCTAAACGCCAAGTGGATCACAAGCCCGCCTTCTCAACGCCTGGCCAGCTCCAGGAGAGAGTAGATGTCCCTGTACAGGCCGCATTTCCTATCCAACAACGTACCATTCACCGGGGAAGCAACGGCTGGGACATCCCCAGCATCTCCCAGAACCAAAGCATCAAGAGGTGCATCAGCAGAGCCAACGGACGCCCAACCCGGCCCGGCAGTCGGGTTCCTCACAAATCGGCCGATGGCACCCCGCAGATACTCGTAGACCGAGTAGGCTTGGGGTGTATAAGGGGTACTACTAGGATCCGTGAAGAGGAGTATCACCTCTGATCCGTGAAACTTGCCTAGCCAAGCGTACTCTTCTGGCAATAGGTTCAAGATGGACGTGTTGAAGACGTAGCGCCACGTTGAGATTCCCTTCGAGGCTGCCGTGGTCGCCAAGATGGATTGAGGCTGGGATACGTCAGCGCAAATCACGGAGAGGAAGTGGGAGCCTCTACGCAGGACCAGAAGTAGTCTGTATAGATAGCGGAAGCAATATCGAAGTCGGATGTCAGGCTCGAGCGGTAGACTGACACAATTTCGTCCCTCGTCTCCTTCGCAACGAGACCAGTCGGCAAGTAAGCGTCCAGAAATGTCGTCAAGTTAACTTGGTCGTTCACCAAACCCCGCCCCTCCTCAGCCACCGTTCCCGTCAGAATTGGCACTTTGACAACCTGTCCGCCCCTCCAAAGCTCGGCGGGATTGCTCAAGACAGTGACGTTATCGGTTTGAGGTCCGAATGAGATCTTCTTTTCCCGCATTGCATTGACGAGCTTCTCGGATGAGACATCCTTCATGCAGTCCAGGCCGGCATCGTTCGCACAGCCTACCGCGGAGGCAAGCTGCTTCCATGTCTTGTCGTCACTGGCAAACGGCAAGGCCAAGGGTCCGAAGCTCATCTGCCCGCTGGACGTGATTGCCGCCCGGAACAATAGCGGTAACTCGTTTGCGTACGACTTGAGATGTAGGTCAACCGCAAAAGAGCCCGCGGACTCGCCCCAGATTGTTACTTTGCTTGGGTCACCTCCGAAGGAGTCGATGTTTTGCTGGATCCAGTCGAGGGCCAGACGCTGGTCGTATAAGCCCAGGTTGCGCTCTGTGACTGGTATGTCGGGTGAAGACGGGAAGCCAAAGACTAAGATTCCGCATTAGCAGCTAAGCCAAGATGGTGTTATGAGTAACCCACCGTTTGTCCTGTAGTTTAGAGTGATTGCAATGATGTCTTCGTAGGCTGCGAAGGCAGAGAGATCCGATCTACCGTGACCTAGCTGCCAGCCCCCGCCCGGTATGAAGACCAGAACGGCGCGGGTGCTTTTGGGCGAGTTCGTAGCTGGTGCGAAGATGTTTATGGTGAGGCAGTCTTCACTCTCAGGGGCTTTGGGTGTATTGAAGAGAGTTTCTAGCAGTTCAGGGCGGGGACCGAGTTCTGGGGTCTCAGTTAGAGTGATGGGCGTGAGACGTGTGAACAAGAGAAAAAGTAGCTACCGTTGAGACCAAAGTTCTGTAGACACGCCGGGCCGAACTCTGTAGTATGTAAGAATTCCATCCATGGCTTCGGCGGCTCGGCACGTGAGAATCTGGTCGGCGGTGCGGCGTAGGGTATGCCAAGGAACTTGTTCACTGTTGCTGTTCCGTTGGGGAGGTTTGTCGAAATACCCTGGATGACACCGCCCGATATTGTTGCGGTCGGCTGGGTCGCGGCTGTTGAGCCAGCTGAGAGCAGGAGAAGTTTCTGGGCATGCATGATCTCAGCTGTTTTGGACGAGAGCAAGCTTTCAAGTACACCAGCAAGTTTTTGAACACATTTCAACTCGTGATATAATCTGGAAGCACCCGTTTGCCCTTTATAAAGATACAAACAAGAATCCAATGGACTTGTAGAAGTTGGAAATGATGAGAAGATGTATGCATCTTACGATATCCCTCGCCAGGAAAGTCTGCCCTGTCTGGCATCAGCTTTCGCCCGAAGATCAGTGACTTCGACTTTGAGGTGGCGCTCACCAAAGCTTCTCTCTGGACAGTTGCGATGGCTAGATATGCGCCCGGCATACCATCTCGGGCCCTCGGGTCAGAATCCTGCAGGCACCGGCCCTGTTCCCTCGCTGCGCCGCAATATGGTCGAACACGAAAAACGAGGCCAAGAAAAGAGGCTTGCGGGGCGCACGAGGAAAGCTGATGTGACTGAGATCCCCAAGCCGATGCGAGATAGGAAGGTAAGCCACGAAAAGGAATGTCACAGGGCGAAAACGTGTCAGTGGCGTGGCAGATTCCAAGGCCATGGTAAAACGGTCAAACTCCCTGTTTTCTCGCTGAAACTAAGCTGAAGTGATGTTGACTAAGACAAAAGAAACCGAGCAAAAAACATCAAGCGATAGAAACTCGAGGGAATCAGAAAAGAAAGCGTCGTCTCCTCATAATCCATAATCTCGTTAAACCGTCCCACCAAAACTATCTCGACAAGCGCAGGGAGGAGCCCTCAGACAGGCTCGGGGCTGTGTGTCACAATGATGGACGGCAGGGGCGGCTTCAAGACAGCGCTGGCCGGCGCCTCCAGCCGGCCATCCGTCGTCTCAGTCCCGTTCGTGGACCCGTAGTCGCTGATCGACCCGTTCCGTCTCACTCCCGTGTCCACAGCCAACTGTTCCCAGTCCCTGGCCCAAGCAGTACCCGGCGGAGGTGGGCAAGGCTTATTCTTGTCCGCCGGGTGGCCTTTTCCCGGAATCAGTATGTCGGGAGGCGTAATTTTGATCTTGGGTTTGACGTTCGTCTGCTCGAGCTCGGGCAAAGGGGGAAGTGGCTCCGGGATCGGGAGCATGATGCCGAGTGAGTCCGGGTGCGGGTACGGGATCATAGGGACCGGCGGCACGTTTTGGGCTAGCATCCGTTTGGGGTAGCTGGCTTTGCGGACTAGTTTGTTGCGGGCAGGCGTCGGGACGGTGTGTCTGTGGTTGGCGGGGAAGTAGTAGTATGCCGGAGGGGTCTGCGACCGGCTCGGGGGTCGGCTGGGGGGCTTCGGTTCCTCCGGCTCCTTGACTTCTTTCTCTGCATCAACGAGGACGACGGTGGTACCTCGTTTGAAGCAGGGCAATTCGAAAGGGTGTGCGGCAACCTCCAAAACGAGTATGGCGACGATGGCACTGGCGCTAGACAAAAGGTCAGATAGGCACAATCGGGAAGGATGATTAGCTGGACGTACATTCCCATGATGGAAACAGCAAGGTTCAGCTCAGTGATTGGACTCTCAACAAGGAAGCCGGGGAAGTTCGCGATTGCTACCGAGGACAAGATAACCGCCGGTATCCAGAGGAGTAGCGCCAAACGAGCGACGATGACTGTCCATGACACCAATGGTGACTGAAGAGGCTGCTTCCTGACAAAGTCGCAGTTTCGCAGGGAAACGAGGAGATGCAGCACCAGATACATAGGTGAGATCATGGACTTCCAGATCGTGTGTCAGTGAACATTCCAACGAGCCTGTGGCGGAGCAAGCACTTACAGCGAACAGAATGAAGCTCTGGGTAAGACAGTCCCGTTTCCCGGCCCTTGACGGACGGAACTGAAGAGCCGAGGTGGTCAGACCACCCCCAGATGCGACGAATAAGAGCAACATCGCAATGCTGAGAAGAATAGGTAGAGGCTTTGGTGGAGATTTAGTGGAAACGTCGCTTCCCGACACGGAAGATTTGACGTCCAACGACTCGACGACGCTGACGGCGTCCTCTTTGGGTGGAGGTGCCATGTTGCGATGGTGTTGACGATTGTTTGAGTAACGCAAGTGTCCTGTGGTTCTCAAGATTACAATCAACACCATGTTCTTGGTCGACTTCATATATCACTTGATACGAAATGGCTGGTCATTCACGATGGCTGCCAGCACTTGCCGATGTGGCAGGCGGGTGTGGAAACATTCCAGCGTGAGACATCTTTTTGGGGGGCCGGGGCCGTTTTGAGAAGCGGCCTAGGACGAGTTGAGATTTCAAACTGCAGATCAGCCAGATGCATTCCTCGCCTCGGCTGTTCTGCTAATAGTTCTGACCTGACTAGACGGCATTTGGTGGTTGGAAGCCGACGATGTCATCGTGGATGACTTGTATGCCACCGAAAACCTTCCTCTTGATGTCAAGAATCGCACAAAATAGAGCGAGAGGCTGGCAAATAATTTCACGAGGCCTTCAGCTCACTGAGCATAGAGAATCGTGCCCCCACGCGACACTTGATCGAGATGAGCCGGAAGCTAGACTGAGAACAAATAAGACATGGAGAGTGTTCAGGCCTGGCGTCAGGGGTAAGCAAAATATCGGTTTCACAACAGGCACAACGTGGCGGGGGGATTTCTCGATAACAATAAACTCCAAATCATCGTATTCAATGGATCGAGATGATCTCGATTGAAACTTGCTGTTGAACTTGAGGCCAGTTTACGGCAATGAGCGAAAGCCTTGCCATCCGCAGAGTGCCCTGGTGGCAGAATGAGAGACAATTGAGGCAAGAGGTTGGGAAGACCAACGAAAATGCAACCCGTGACAAGTGGAAGGAAATCGGCGATCAATCTGAAAGATGTATCCTCCTCTTTCTGAGCCATCTCAGATTAGCTCGCCCAGGCGGGCCTCACGGTCACCGGCCCAGTCCTCCTTCTCGTAGAAACGGAAGACGAGATCGTAATCCTCAAAATCGTGGACAATACGGTCAATGCGACGGTAGCCCCGGACAGGGTCAACGAGACGCTGAGCCGCAGTGGTCCTGGAGACATAGTCGCCCATGCCATAAGGGTTGGCGCTCTTGCCCTTGGCCTCAAACAGAGTGACGCTGAAGCGGCCGGGCTTGAAGATATCGACGACGTGCTCAATGATCTCCGCCGTGGTACGGCCACTCTGGCCTCCGGGCACGTTGGTCTCAAAAGAGGCGAACGAGCAGTTGGGCTCAGGGGTCACGTGGACGGTGAAGTAGTGGGCTGCGTTGGCACCCTTCTCGCTCTTGGTGGCATCCTCATCATCCTCAACAGCAGGAACGACGCCGTTGGCCGAGAAACCGCAAGGGCTGAAGAGGTAAGCGTCAACGCGAGCGCCAGGGTACTTGCTCGTCGGGTAGACGCTGGACAGACCGCAGCCCTCGGAGACGACGGTACCTAGGGCATGGCCCTCAGTCGTCATTGCCTCGGTGATGCCCCGATCAGCGTCGATGAGATCGGATTCGCAGACATTGCTGAACACGTCGGGCTCATCATCAGAGCTCTTCTCAGGGACCTGGGAGAGATCGCCCAAGCTTTGCTCAGCGTTGTCCCGAGCTGCCTTGGTACGCTGCAGATTATGCTTGTCACAAGCGACCGCACTCGCTTCCGACAAGTAGAACTGCTTGGCATTCTCAGGGTCGAGATCTGTCATGAGAATCTCCAACGTCTCGTCGTTGTGCTCCTCTATGCCGCTGGTGAAGCTGGCAACGCTGCCGGTGGGAATCCGGGCAGCGGTCCCGAGAGGCATTTCCTTCTCCTCCGGGGTTCGAGGAGGCGTCAGAGTCTGGTTCGGGGAGGTGATGTAGAGATACCAGTGATCCCCGTTCATCTTGCCAACCATGTAAGCGCTGCCACCCTCGAACATGTCGTCCAGGTACTTGACCTCGGACTTCCAGCTGCGGTGAGGACCTTCCTGACGGTCCGGGAACAAGAAGTTCTTGCGGCTGTAGAAGACGCGGTACGGGGTCGCGGCAGCCTTGATATCGGTAGAGTCCTTGGCATTGTGGAAGGGAAAGCCAGCATGTTCGGCGGCGATATGCAACAGTCTCTGCAAGCCCAAAAGCAGAGTAGTGGTGCCGCAAGTCTTCAGAATGAGCTTGTGGGGGAAGACGAACAAGCTGGATTCGGACAGCAGGTAGGCATCGACCGAGTCGGACTCGAGGACAGACAGGATCTTGCAGTTGACCATGTCAAGCATGGTAACCCAAGTATCGGCGGAGACGGCCTTCAATCCATTTGGCTGGGCACTCGCGGGGAGGGCCTCGGGACCAGGGGCGAACCAGACTTCGAGGAGCTTCTCAGGGCCCTCGAAGGCGTTGGTGGAGTCTAAGTCGGCGGCGACATCGTGATTGATGGTCAGATGGGGTGTAGCCTCGGACGGAGAGAAGGTGTAGTCGTTGGGGACCGAGAGGTTGACCATCTTCAGCGGGGCAGGCTGTCTGGGCGCGACCCGAGGAAGCGTTGACGAGATGGAAGTAACCGAAAGTCGGAGGAGGGCTAGAAGTCCGCGGGACACTAGCTACCACTCAAACGAACTTTGCGGCGTTCGTTTGAGAGAGTAGGCCCACAGGAGGGTGGACGATCGTTGAGGCTGGCGGAGCCAGCAGCAATGGGATGGATAGAGAGGAGTAACGTCGCTCGAAAGGACGTTAGGGAGGTCGGGCTTGGAGGGGGATGAAAATGACCCTTAGGACCGGAATTGTGGCTCTCGAGATGGGCCTCGCTCTGGCAGACACCGATACCTGTGGTGGAGTATCGGACCTAGCAGACGAGGGAATCTGCGCGATCGGGGATTGAGGTGGTGTTTATGGAGAACGAAAGATTCGTCTTCGTTCAGTCGAGGTATTTGATGCTTGGAACTGATATCAGCAGGTGTTATCTGGGCCTAGAGAGACAAGAATTAGCAAGATGCTTGGTACAGAGCAGAGAGAAGGGCGTGACAGCTACTGTGCGACTCCAAAGAAGTGCGCGCAGCTTCAAGATCTTTTTCAGGGTGTTTGGTGGGATTTGACATACTTTGCGGGCTTGGAAAGGAAGCGTAGGAGGTCGACTTGGTTCATAGACGGCCAGGAAGAAGTTGGAATAAGATGGGCGAAGGCGGCAGATGCGGGCCAACGACTTGCTTTCACCGTAATATGGTGTTAATGTTGCGGTTTGACCATCGAGATATTGGGGTCCTCGGTTAGGTGTATCGAAGGCGACCGAAGAGGTTTGCGATTGACGTGTCGCGACAGAAGCGTGTGGTAAATATGTCTCGTGACGGCGAGAAGAGTTGACGTCGTTTTGTAGATGTCAAAAATGTTCGACTGGTCGGAGAGAAGCTCTCGACAGCACGAAGCAAGAAAAGACGGCGTTGGTAGTTGGCACGACCGGATGACGGGTTGAAAGAGCAAGAGAGAATTCAAGCTTGAATTTTGAAGGTCCCGACGGGATTCTGCGCGTGTGGTTGTGGTTGTGGTCGTTGTGGTTCACGGTGGAGGACTGACGAGGAGGGGAAACCAAGGTCGCAGTGGGTTCAGAAAAAAAAAGTTGTTTCCTGCCATTGGCGCTTGTGGTGGGATGGACGGGGCCACCGGGGGGCCATGTCTCCAGCACCGTGTCCACCTAAAATTTCAGCCCAAACGTCTGGAAGGTGCGCATCAGGTACCTCAGGTCACTGCAGAATATCAGGGAAGCTAGAGGTACGTTTGTGTCTATCAAATCCAATGTCTTCATCTCCTGAACGCCGGTCCTTCTTCGCCTCTTCTCACTCACACTTGACGCGCAATGCCATTTTGAGATGCATCGGCTTCACGGACAGCTCGGCGTGCTTCTTTTCATTGGTGGGGAGCTCAACCCGGGAGGGAACGGAGGACAAGACATAACCCCGAAAGGTACGGCTAATTCAAGGTTGGCCCGTCTCAGGGCCTAGAAGGAGATGCGCTGTGAAGAATGGAGTGAGACGTCATTCTCTACCGAGCCTCCCATGTCCGTTGAAGACACAAGTCACTCAAGTGGTGTCTGACATGTACATATAGCACGGCTCTCATGGAGGGGTAAGCCAACTCAATCCAGTCATTTCCCCGACCGAGACATGTATCTATTGACAGCAAGTTCATTATTATCGTCGCTCGTTCATTTGCCCAAGAGTAAATGACACAGAATAATGAACACGGCTGTGGTATTCAATGCTTCTCCATCGTATACTTGCGGTGAAGGAGACAGGGCCACCGACTTTGTAACAAGTTACAACATTCAGCTGGGCAGAGGCAGCCCAGCCCAGCCCAGGGCACGTCAATGTCAACCAGGCACCGCCAACATCGGCGGGGCTCTTCTTGGGGAAAACATCAGGGATTCCGCCAATCCCGCGTCCTCCTCACGTGCCCCCAAGCATGCCACGCATCGAATTTTGCGCCGCCCATCGGACCGCTACCCGTATGCCGTGAAATATACCTACTAGCGGGGCGTAGTCTTGGCCATCCGCGTTTCGCATTACGGTGATTGACCGCGTCGGTCATAATGCAGTGTCAATGACAGCTGCTGATAAGCCAGCTTCTGCTGTCTGGTGCAGCTTTGTTTGAAAGGCTTGTTGGAATCCGTCCTCGGAGACACCCTCCAAGGTTGTTGAGATGACCTTGAACCCCAAAGGTGAATCACGAGGACGCGAATTGTGTATCCCGTTCGTCGCGGGTTGGTGCTTCGACGTGCTCATGACTGGCTTTGGCCCTCAACTGTTGTCGTCAACTTGGTGGTGATCTCTCTGAAGATGTGCGACAGCGAGCAGTCCTGGTACTTTTCGACGAGCGTGTCGCCGCCTGGCTGATCTTCGCCGGACATGCTTATCTCCTGACCGTTGACTTGAGTCCCCTGAGGATACCGCGGTCTCCTTCCCGACTCGACCAGTTCGCCAAATTGGGGGTCGATAGGCACCGTCCCGAGGAAAGGCACCTTGAACTCCTCGGCCATGACGGCCCCTCCTCCTGAGCTGAAAATGTTGGTGCACTCGGAACAGTGCGGGCACACGAAGCCACTCATGTTCTCGACAACGCCGAGCACCTTGAGGCCGGTCTTGACGCAGAAGTTGAGCTCCTTTTTCACGTCCGCCGTAGCCACTGCCTGAGGGGTCGTCACGACGACGGCGCCCGCGACCTGGCCGGGCCGAGCATCTCTCATCAGCGTCTCTGCGAGAGAGATATGCTCGTCACTCGTGCCGGGAGGAGTATCGATGAGCAGGTAGTCGGTCTCATCCCACAAGACGTCGGAGAGGAACTGCCTCACCATGGCCGTCTTCTTGGGCCCTCGCCAGACAACGGCATCGCCCCTTCGTGGCAGGAGAAATCCGAGACTCATGGCGCGGAAAGGGCCAATTCCCTTCTCCTCGACCGCATCGTGGACGGGGACAGGGTTCCAGCCGCCGGGCGCTTGGGTGACCTTGGAGGCTTCGATGGATAGCATGCGGGGGATGGAAGGGCCCGTCAAGTCGACATCGAGAACGCCGACCGAAAACCCTGCCAGCGAGAGAGAAAGTGCGAGCTGAGTTGTCACGGACGACTTTCCAACGCCGCCTTTACCAGACAAGACCTAGGATAGCCAGTCAGTCGACGGTTATGGTGATGAAGGTGGGATGGCGGGGTAATACCAGCACAATGTGCTTAACCTTGGAGAGCGACATGCTGGCCTCAAGGTGTCGGAAATGAGGATAAAAGGGCGGTGGGTAGTTACAATGAGCCTGAGATAGCACTCAAGCGTAATCAGAAAGAAGTCAAGTGAAATATGAGACTGAGTTTGCTGAGATCGAAATTGGGCAAGTCAAGCTCGACTCATTTCAAATCACGGAAGAAGCCTGTGATGGTCCGTCCCCACTCCGAGCTGCTTAGGTTGTCGCTGTGGTTGGTAAGCACCTTGACAGCAGCTCGCCTTTCCTTCAGTACTTAAAGTTGAAGAGGTCGATTTGGCTTGCCAAACCAAGGGCTTGGTTTGTTTATTCTTGCCACAACTTGATCATCGGAATTTGACATGTTCTAGAAGAATTCCATCCCGAGCAGCTTTTTTGTTGCATCTTTTTGCGTATGCCGTCATCGGCGTGCGCTAAAGCTAAGGTTCACAATCGTTCTCTTATCTTATCGACATTGGTCTTTACCTTATCCAATCAATCTCCACTTCGATCCAAGATCGGTTAAACATCGGGAAACCTTCAATTTTGACAGGTACCTACCTAGCTTGACAGCAATGGCTGAACTTGCACGGACGTGGACGGGAGGGATCACGATGACAGACAGCAATGACAGACAGCAGCAGGCAGCAGTTGTCTTCAGTTAGAGCTTCCATCGAGTCTCGGGGTCTTCTTGAAAAATACTCGGGCAGGGTAAGTACTTACCTAGGGAGGCGGTGAAGAAATTCCATTCAGTTACAGAAGTGTAGATCGCGGAAGCTGTGTCGTCTAAATGCTTGAGTGACAGACATGACTTTCGAGCTAGAACCTGCTCTAATGAATCTCATATGAACTCAACGCATTAATTATCTGGGGCAAGATTTCTTATGATAGTCTTCTGGAGTTCCCTTGGTCTAGAACCGTGCGATTGCTTCAGTCGCTGACATGGAGTCCGCTTAGTCACTGTGCTTAGCTCAGCAAACAGCCAGCGCCGCGCACCCCGAAGACAGCGCTCAGGCCGGTTGCATCCACTGAGAGGAGCTCCCGGGATCCGTGAGTGTGAGACAACTTGGAAGTCGCAGTGCTGCGCTGCGCGTGTTCCATTGTCTTGCCAGTGCCGGTGGGTCCGTCTCTGGTCCTGCAGGTGGTCAGGGATACGGATACTCAGTCTGAACTCCTCGTCTCGTCCATTCCATTCCGTCCATTCAAACGCCAAAACACCATTCATTCCCTTGCTGAAGAAATCTGCGTCCCTGCCGCGTTCCTCGCGCTGACACTAGCTCGCCGGTCGATTGAGACCCCTCCGTTTCCGTCACCTCTCTCGCCGGAGCTTACGTCTACGAAAACCCTCGAGCCGCGCATCGCGAAACCTCGACATGGCCAACTAAGGCCCGGACTCCGACCACGATAGCCCGCGGACGCGCGCAGTCCCTTCCATTGACCACTATCAACAACATGACCTGTAGTCCTACACTATGGATGATCCATGGGGCTCCCCGTGGGCAACTACCGACAACGTCGCCGTGCCGTCACCAAGTCCATCCAAAACCATCCTCGAACCTCCGCCCGCCGCCTTCCTCTCTACTCCGAACAACCTAGCATTGCCTTCAGCCCAATCGCCTTGGGCAGACGACGATGCGTTTGGCGATTGGGCATCGCCAGACCCTGCCAGGGGCGCCAACGCGTCGCCATGGGCTTGGGGAAACGAGGTGACACCAATTGAACAGCTCACACCCAGCTACGAGCCGAGACCGAGACGCAAGAGCAGTACCCCGAAATGGCCTCTCAGTCGCTCAGCCTCCCCAGGCCTGAAGGCTCCCACGACCCCGAACAGCATCTCTTCCGGTCGCCTGTCACCAGATCCGTGGGCAAATGCTTCCTATTTCACCAAAGATGAACCAGAGCCCCTTGCGCAACTACCCCAGATACCTGATGTGCCACCGACGGTACTCGAAAACCCCACGATCGAGCTTGAGCCGGATACGCCAAAGCAAATACGTAACACTGCACAAGAAGCTATCACGAACGAGCCCATTGCCATTCAGTTTGACGAGCCGGTACTTGAATCCACACCTAAAGCCCCTCAGACGACAGAGCCTGTCATTCCCGACCACCCTCCCGAAGAAGATGAAGAGCCCACGCATTCCTCAGTTTCTACGGCGTCAGAAGATGACGACGACGATCCACCAGACATGGGGCATGCCGATTCGCCAATTACATCGATTGAAGATAACCCGCTGCCCAAGACCTTGCAGAGGAAAGCTTCGTCCAAGGTCCAGTCGCTCGTGGACATGTACGATGGGATATCCAGAAGAACAACAATCACCCCTGAACGTCAGCTACCTCCAAGACGGAGTGCCAGCCGGGATCCGGACGCCAGCGCGGATGACGCATCGACGCACGATCGCGAGGAAACCGAAGACGCGAAAGACGAGTTGACCAAGTCACAATCCGTAGTCGATTCCGCAGAAGCTAGCACGGAGGATGGCCGCAGCGACGTTGCCAAGGAGTGGGAGGAATTTCGGAAGTCGAAGCGACCTGAACACGACCCGTTCGTGGTCGACTTGAGTAATCTCGATACCTTAATTCCCGAGCCTACGGTTGAGACACCGGAGGTTGCTGGGGAAGTCTCGGACAGAATCATAAGCGACAGCTTCACAAACATATCGGAACGCAAGACGTGGTATCGGCTTTCCCGTCACGAGTCTCTGCGGAAGTTTAATGTGGGAGATGATGAGAACTATGTCCGGATCTCCTGGGCCAATTCGACGATGAGAGACGAGACAATGAAAATCGTCCGCCGGTGGATGGAAGAGGACTCGATGGGAGGCCGCGCTTTCCGGGGTGGCCTAGCTGGAAAAGCAGGCGGCAAGTTCTTCGGTTGGGACGCGACAACAGAATCAACACCAGTCGACTTGGATAGAGTCTTTGGCCGGAGGCAGAAACCCCAAGCCTCAGTCCATCGACCCACGCATTCGATACACGCCTTGCCTTCTCTTTCGACAGCTCCTATGGCCCCTACCTCCAAGGAGAATACGCCGGCTTCAGCACAGGCAAAGGACAACTGGGGAGGACTTGCTTCGTTTGGCTGGAGCTCCGGAACTGGTGGCACCAAGGCGACACAGGATGCGAAGCCAGCGGAGCTCGCGACGTTCGCCAAACCGCTTCCCTTGGGCTTCAGAGGATTTGACAACACGCCCAAGTCCCATGCCTCATTGCCGGCTTTCACTACAAGCAAACCAATGGCGCCCCAGACTCCGACGGTAGATACATCGGCGACGAAGGAGGATGTGGACGAGGACGATGAATGGGGAGACATGGTTTCACCGACGACAGCTGAAGCGACCGACTCGATGTCTCTGCCAAAGACCAGCTGGGATTCTTTTTCTACCAACCCGCTACCCGATGCAGCAATGGCCGCAGCTTCCGAGCGACCCCTGGCCTCCAACCCCAAACCCGATGGTCTCGGTAACGGGAATAAGACAACGGAGGAGAACAAATCAGGGGCGAGGGATATTGGCAAAGTCATCAGCCCCGCCCCCGCCTCCACACCTGCTGCATTTGCAGACATGCCCCAGAGCCAAGCCGGTTCTATCAGGCCGCCGGAGTCGACGTACACTTTCAGACCGGCGTCAGCGGTCAAGCGACCACCGAACATCTCCATAGCGTCCAACTTCATCGACCCGCCAGACCCAGACCCATCTCACGATGGTAAACCCGGTGTATCTGCGGGAGGCTTGCTCGACACCCCTCTTACAACGGGTCTGGGAACCCCGTCGACAGCACAGCCGCCGCGGAACAGCACCGAAGATTCTGATCTCGTGCAGCAGATTGTGCGGAATCTACCAGACCTATCATACATGCTAAAATAGCCCGGTCATCAGGCATCCTTTCTGCTTTTATACCAAGACATAGCGACATCGGCCTTGCTTCACATAGAACCACACATACGGCATACGGCATACGGAGCCATTCATATTCCCGTTATTTCATATCATCTAGCCATGCGATGTAGCGCATCAGTTCCGGCGTTTCTTGAGGCATAAGGAAAATGGGATCGCGACAAAGTGACCCCGACATGAGGCGTGCTTTTCTGTACAATCTATAAATGGATAACTATTTCTACACAATAAACAAAACCTGTAGCATACAAGAAACACCGGTGACCAAAGATTGACACATGTCCGGGGCAAATGACGTGCGGCCAAGCCGATATGCATGGCCGAGAGAACCCACTTACGGCTCCCAGAACGGCTCCTAGGCCCGGGAAGGATGGGCACGCCCCGTCTTCAAACACGTTCAAAGCCCGAGTCGTGATCCCGATATTCATTGCCGTCTCGTCCGTCATTGCCGGCCTCAGTGCCGGGTGCGGGGGCGCGGGGGGTCATAGTGGCTGTCTTGGGTCCTTCTCGTGTCAAGACGTGGTCATTCCTTGGCCCCAACGCCGTCTTTTCTCTAACACTAGGGCAGCCCCAACTTCCAAGGGCGGCGCTTCTCCGCCCATCCCCGCGAGATCCACTGGGCAGGGTCCGAAGAAAGCTTAACGCAGAGGAGACACGGGCTTTTCGGTCGAGTTTTGGTGTTTTTCTCTCTCTTCCTGACAAAAGTCTCGCATACATTAAGGGTACAAGAGGGCTCTGGCACCCGGTCTCGACACTTTTTGATTATTCCCGTAAACGTTGCTGAAGTGGATCACTGGGTCTGAGTTGTTATATCAAATAGCATCAGTCTCGCTTGTTCGCTTCTCCATCTTTTCATTCTTTTCCCTCAGCTCTTCAACCAGGGAAGAGCGTGTGAGAGAAACAAAAACAACTATTGACGATGGCCCTCATAGAGCTTCTCATCTCGCCCTGGGCGCCGGCTTTGCTGGCCATAGGTCTGGTGGCCTACTACGTTTATCCCTACTTCGTTACGTTCGGTCACCTGCGTGACATTCCGGCACCGTTCCCCGCGCAATTTACCAACTTTTGGTTGCTTTACGTCGTTCGACGAGGAGACAGATACTCGACGGTCGACAAACTTCACAAGGAGCTGGGCCCCGTTGTGCGGATCCAGCCAAACCATGTCAGTATCGCGGACGACGATGCCATTCAGATCATCTACGGCCATGGAAACGGCTTCCTCAAGTCGTGAGTACTCTTCCGAGCACAATTCACTTGACGCTAGCTGCTAACCCCGCTACAGAAACTTCTATGATGCCTTCGTCTCCATCCAGCGAGGGCTTTTCAACACCCGAGACCGCCACGAACACTCTCGCAAGCGCAAGATTGTCTCGCACACCTTCTCCGTCAAGTCCATCGGCCAGTTTGAGCCCTACATGCACGGGAACCTTGCCCTCTTCGTCAAGAGATGGGATGAGCTTATCAAGAACAGCCCCGGCGGAAAGGGCGCTGTCATCGACTGTCTCAAGTGGTTCAACTACCTCGCTTTCGACGTCATCGGCGACCTCGCCTTCGGCGCGCCATTCGGCATGCTCGAGTCTGGAGCGGATATTGCTGAAGTTCGAGACTCGCCCAACAGCCCGCCGATTTACGCTCCCGCCATCGAGATCCTCAACCGACGCGGCGAGGTGTCCGCGACCTTGGGCATCTACCCGGAGCTGAAGCCTTGGGCCAAGTACCTCCCGGATCCCTTCTTCAGCCAGGGTCTCGAGGCAGTCCAGAACCTTGCCGGTATGGCCATCGCGCGCGTGAAGGCCCGTTTGGAAAACCCTCCCGATGTCGACCGTCTCGACCTTCTCGCGCGTCTGATGGAGGGACGAGATGACAAGGGACAGCCTCTTGGACGTGAGGAACTCACCGCCGAGGCCCTGACGCAGCTCATCGCCGGCAGCGACACGACCTCCAACTCGTCCTGTGCCCTGCTATTCCACGCGGCCAGAACCCCCGGCGTTCTCGAGAAGCTCCAGGCCGAGCTCGACGCCGCCATCCCTCAGGACTGCGATGTGCCCACCTACGAAATGGTCCGCGACCTGCCCTACCTGGGCATGGTGATCAACGAAGCCCTCCGGTTCCACTCGACGTCCGGTATCGGTCTGCCGCGCGAGATCCCACCCGAGTCCCAGGGCGTGTCGATCCACGGCCACTACTTCCCTCCCGGCTCGGTCCTCAGCGTGCCGTCGTACACCATGCACCATTCCAAGGAAATCTGGGGCCCTGACGCGGACGACTTCCGCCCGGAGAGGTGGGAGTCGCTTACGGCCAGGCAGAAGAATGCATTCATCCCGTTCAGTTATGGGCCTAGGGCTTGCGTGGGCAGGAACGTGGCGGAGATGGAGATGAAGCTCATCGTGTCTACTTGGGTGAAGCGGTACCGCGTGGAGTTGCAGCAGGATTACATGGACACCAAGGAGGGGTTCCTGAGGAAACCTCTGGGACTCGATATCAAAATCCAGAGGAGGTAGATTGGACAATTTACATCTTTTTTTTTCGAGCCCTGTCGGGTTTGTTTTTTTGTACACCTATCGAGATTTTCTGCGAACAAATTGAGGTTATTGATTCACCTCTAATGACCTCTGCATGCCTCTATGTTCGTTGACAGGTTCTCATTAACTCGACTCCGTTACGCTGCACGTGCCTTCACGGAAGTGATTTTCCTCCCATGAATGATCTGAATTCCTATAGTGACACTGCCGGTGCTTCCGGAATCATCTGAAGACGTTGTATTCGGCTGAAAATAGGTTCCCGAAAGCCTCGGATTCTTCGTTCTCACGATATGCCGGCGTCGCACTCCGAGAAGTCTTCCACACGAACGGGCAAAGTCTGTTGAGAGCAGTCGAAGGCACGCCGTAGAAGTGCGGAAAGCATGTGGCAATAACATTGCGCGTTGTTGGTAGATAGCTGGGCTCTTGGACTGTCCTTTACAGTCCTCTAACGTGAGCCGGCGAGCTTATGAAATTGGTCGCTCCCAGGGATATATGACAGCCGTGATATCTTCTAGATTCATCATAGACGACAAGGATCGACATGACGTCAAAATTCTTGAAAGTCTCCTTGCGCCCACTCAGTCGTGAACCAGTTCAAAGACTCCAGGCCCATTGGCTCCATGTTGAAGTCGAGACTGTCTAATGCGCCCTCGAACGCGTTGTTGACCTCAAGGGAGCCCGGTGCTGAAGGTTGCGGTGCCGCAACCATCTGCTCGTCCGGCTTGTCGGATTCAGGAACTTGTATGTCTTCCCAGGCACCAATCCCGAATGGCCGGTTCGTAAGTTCGTCGGCCGCAGGGGCACCGCTGTCGGGATCATCCACCAGTTGCACCTGCTTGGCGCGGCTGAGCCGAGATACCCGTTTTGGCCCTGTGCCATTTCTTTCGTCATGTGGCTCTTCGCTAACGAGCCGGCTTGGAGTAGCCTGTACTGAGAGACCATGGTCCATGAGACGTTGAAGATCGGCTTGCTGTTGACTGGTTAGCATTTTCCCGCGAGGAAGGTGGTTTCGGTAAACGTACTATAGAGACCGCTGCAGTTCCAGAACAGCAGCCTTTGGTCACCTCAAGGCAGATGGACGCCTTCTTGCGGAGGATGTCCGGGGCGAGTCCATACTCATCGGCGTTGAGATGGTAAATGTAATACAGCATGCGAATACACTGGTAAGCGCACACGGGCATATCAAGGTCTGCCACAGGGTAGTGATCGAGCTGCTTGACGGAGGTAAACATGTTGGACATTTCTAGGGCATGTTCGAAGCACTGTCGTTGGCATCCGGTGATGAATTCGGGACCGAGCCGTTCTGCAGCAGAACGAGACAAGGAGTCCCTGAGCCCGATCAAGCCTGGACGATAGAGGTCACAGTGACATTGACGCCACCAAATGTGAATCATGATGAAGACGCATAGCCGCGGGGAATACGCGCGCAGCCGCAAACTATTGTCGGACCACCTGAACGACACGGGTAAACGCTCGGCAAAATCGGACAGCTCCTTGGCGAAAGACTGCAGTTGGTCACGCATCCGAGCCAAATCGTCGTCGTTGGAACATGCCGCAGCTCTTTTCGCGAACTTTAGGATTCTGCCGCGTAGCCAGAGGATTCGTACGTGCAGCGCGAGACTACCGATGTCGTCGTTTTCGGACTCGTCGGGCTGAGGGACCAGGCTCCGCAGCGATGGCGGCGCGAGGTCGAACTCAAAGTCTCTCTCGTTGCAGGGCAGAGAGATGTGAATGAGCTCGGGCGTCCATAGAGTGAGATCCCTGTAGCCTCCGGCCATGCCTTGGTCGATCATGAATAGTGCCCACATTAGACGGCGGCGCGACTCCTGCGCGAGAAAACATAAATCGTTGTTCTCATGGTTGAGACGCAGTGCCATGGCGAACCTAGCTGCGGTGGCGGCGAGGACGAAGGCGCTTGAGAAGCGGCGTGTTAAGATGCGGTACTTGATGATGAGGGCGAGGGTCTGAACCTTGATGGTTGAAGGGTTCTCCAGACTCTTCAAGATCAAGGCTTCGGACTCATCGACGCACTTTTCGCCGTACTCCCTCGTGCCTGGACCCAGGTCGGTGAGCATGCTGGTGATGCCGATGAGGGCGAGCAGAAGTGGCCTGTCGAGGCCACCGGCATGATGGCGTTGCATGAGAGAGGCCCGATGCAGGAAGGACAACATGGGGATGTGATGAACATGACGGAAGAAGTTGTCGAGCGCACGACTTATGAGCGACTCAAACTGCGGATCTGATGCAGACCTGCGAATGATCAGTAATGGGAATCAATGATCGGTGAGAAGGAGAGGAACGTACAGTTCCTGGTTGAAGGTGCTCGGAGTATCACGATTGGAGGCGACAACGTCAGCGCCGCCAGCGTCTGAATCATGGGCAGCATCGTCTCTTGATTGAGAACGACGGGCCTGCTGGTCACGGGTAGGTACAGCTGCGGCGGATGATGTTGTCGGCGATCTGACGAGTTGGTCGAGGCGAGGAGTATGGTGGATGCTCAGACGAGCTCTCTTAGATGCTCTGTAGACGCACTCGAGGCCCTGAGCACGACAGCGAACACAGGTGGGGGTGTCGCCACTGCATCGAGCTTTGCGAGAGTGACAGCTCTCACAAGCTTGACGGACGCGACGCCTAGGCAAGGGAAACGAAGGGGCGGATGAGAGGCCATTAGGATCGGAGTTGGGGTCTTCGTAAGTGCAGGTGAAGCCTAGGCGCTCGCAGTTGCAGCAGATGTCCCGGCGGCCGTCGCAGCGGACTTTACGGGCACGACAGGTGACGCATGTCGTTGCCGAGGACCGCTTGGTGGGCTTCGGAGAGACGGACGAGGCTGAAGTTGTCACGGCGGCGGCGGTACTGGCACTGGCAGCGGAAACGGGCAAGTCTGCGGCGTTGGTGGTTGTCGCGGCGGCGGCGGCGACGGCTGTCGGTGGTCTGTCGGGTCGGAGATGGCGTCCCAGGTTGTCGTTGCTATTTTGATTGATGCTGTTTGGATTGTTGATGTTATTGTTGTTGCCGGTGCTGGTGCTGCTGTTGCCAAACAAGTCTGCCATTGTTTCCCGGACACGCCCTCGAATCCTGTCACCGGAACTCGGCGGCGCCTGCAGCAGACATAGAGAGAGATGAGGCTCGGTCTAAAGGGCTTATGGATTGCCCATTCCGGAGAAGAGTCGGCGTGGGTCTCTTTTCACAAAGGCGACTCGTCGAGTGTCTGATGAGCGTGTGACTGTGCTGTGCTGTGCGTGTGAGTGTATGTATGTACTGGGAATGGTACGAATATGCAGGAGAAATCCGGGGAACAGCAAGGTAGCAGCAGCAAAGGGACGTCTAGCAACAATTTGCACCTTGAGGCGTAAGGTAGGTACGGTAGAGAACGGAATGCAGGCACGAGATTCACCGCAGCAGCTCTCACCCGACACACTCATCAGTAAGTCATCCGGACGGATACGTAGCCGGGGACATGGACTCAGGTCTTCCAGGTTCTATTGGGCTTGAAGAATAGTGGGGGATAATAGTTGCCCCTGCCCCCAACGCAGGCTCCCCGAGAAACTCTCCGGGGAATGACGGGGATTTAGCTGCCTTATTAGCATCTGACAACTGCCACTAAGTCGGGACCTTGAGAGACGTGTTTGCTATTTAGAGAATGTCCTTCTTCAATTTCACCGTCAATTCTGATGTCCAATTCGTACGATATAAGCAGCAAGAGTTGATGTACCTATACCGGCTTCACGATGGTTCCGGAAGATCAATCACCATGCTCAACAGATCCACAGGCGAGCCACGTCAAAATCGAATGCCCGGCTTGAATGGAGCAACACCCACCGCCCAGCTCGCCGGCCTGATCCACGGCAGTCGGTGATTAGGGGCCATCAACCGTATCGCATTCAGCATCAGTAATGGCCAGGGCAGTGCTCTGATACGTACGATTCTCATGAACTCCATGAACGGATCTTCATCGTGTCTAAACGGTACTCATTCAATCTCAGTCAACCAAGAACGAGGTCACGCGACATCAGGAACACTTGCGAGAGTCAAGAGAGCAATGTGCTGTGGCTGTCGGTGACCTCGACCGATAGCCGCCGCCGATAACCGGAGACGTATGATGAGTGAGGTATTACAGAGTACTGTCAAGAGACTTCGCATCTGGGAAACATTTCCATTCCTTTGCAAGGCAGAATTCAACAGCGAACGACGACGACGAAATGTCGACGTCTTTCAGCTGATGAAAGAGAGCATGGGACGTTGGAGCCAACCGACTTGAGCACCAGACGAGTCAACACCGACAGCCGAGAGGCCTCATGAAAGTCACAAGCTTCGTCGCAACCTGCCCGGCGGGATCTCACTTTCCGCATTGTTCGCAACGGAAAGCTCTGCGTGCTTATGCGCTATTCGTCAATTGCTTCCTCAAGCACGTATCCTCTACTTCAGTTATTGGACGCAAGGCTTGTTGAGATGTCGTGATCTGGATGACGCAAGGGAACGCACCAATGAAGACGGTCAGTTGAATTATCATGGCTGTCCCTGCGAACAGTAGATTGATCTGCACTGATGTGCGGTACGGATATGATGAGAAGAGTTACCTACTCGTTGCTGAGTTTTGGCTGTTCACCGAGAAAACTTCTCGGTGAGTGCCAAGGTGAGTGGTGGGCGGTGAGCGGTGAGCATTCAGCCGTCAAGGTGTCGTTGCTGACCTGAGCGGCTGAACCGGGGGCTCCTTATCGAAAAATTGTACCCCACCACAACCCCGCGATAGAGAAATTTCCCATTCCGTTCAAAATCATTCGCCGCCATCCCCTCCTTACTGCCCACGCTCCGACAGAAAGAAGTCTTTTCCACCGAATCGCTTGCATACCCGGATCGAGCAGGATTCCTCATCTGCAATCATGTCCACAGAAGCAGCGCCTGCGCCGGCGGTCGCAAGCCCCTCGGCACCCGAAGAGCGCAAGCCCATCCACACCCTCGTCCTCGATACCGGCCCGTTGATCAAGAACGACCCTCCCGTCAGCACGCTGCTCGCTCAGGCCGATGAGCTGTTTATGCTGCCCTCCATCATCGACGAAATTCGTGATGTTAACACCCGCACCCGAGTCCAGACCACCCTCATGCCCTTCGTCAAGTTGCGAAGTCCTCGCCCCGAGAGCATCAAGTTCGTCACAAACTTTGCGCGCCGTACCGGAGACCTCGAGGTTCTCAGCAGACCCGATTTGCACTTGCTTGCTCTGACCTATGAGCTTGAGGTCGACAGAAATGGAGGCGACTCCAGGCTCAGGAAAGACCCCAACCAGCGTGTGCCCAACACCCAGCCGACTACCAGCGACGCTGTCGAACCCAAGGCGGATCAAGGGGAGGCTACTGCAGATGCGAATAAGAATCCCGAGCAAGCAGCAAACGACGAGGCAACAGGAACTAGCGAGCAGCCCGGAACAACGGAAGCGCAGCCTGCTGATGTCGACGCGACGACAATTGCGCAAGAGATGGACAAGTTGGACGTGGAAGACAAATCGAACGAAGAACCCTCTGTGAATGTTGTCGATGACGCTGCCGAGACACCCGACACAGCTGCGGCAAATGATGATGGGTCAGACTCCGAGGACGGCTGGATCACACCGTCCAACGTCAAGAAGCACAAAGAGAAGGACAGCAAGAAGCTCCAGCCGACGGCACCAGCGGTCGACATCAAGGTCGGCATTCTCACTTCCGATTACGCCATGCAGAACGTCGCCCTGAGAATTGGGCTGAACCTTCTGTCGCCGGCCATGTCGCGCATCACGCAGCTCAAGACCTGGGTCTTGCGTTGCCACGGCTGCTTCCAGGTCTGCAAGCAGATGGACAAGCAATTCTGCCCCAGCTGCGGGCAAGCGACCCTCACCCGGACCTCGTGCACGACCGAGGAAGACGGCACATTCAAGATTCACCTGAAGCGCAACTTTCAGTGGAACAATAGGGGCAATGTCTTCAGCATCCCCAAGCCCGTTGCCGGCACGGCCAGTGGCAAGCTCCAGAAGCACGCGGGCGGCAAGAACAACTGGGGCACCAACTTGATCTTTGCGGAGGACCAGAAGGAGTACGAGAAGGCCGTCGGAGACAACCGTCGGGCTCGTCGGAGGGATCTCATGGACGAGGACTACCTTCCCAGCATTCTGACGGGTGAACGTACAAGCGGCAACGGCAAGGTGCGTCTGGGTCCTGGAAGGAACATCAACGGACGCAAGAGAAGATGAGACACATGACTTGGCTGCGAGGTAGCCGACTGGATGTTTATACGTGCATGATACCATGATGATAGACCCGACAGGATGGACACAAGGGACCCTTCAGAGGGCGGTGGGAATAAAAGTAAACGTTGAATTTCGAGTCGCGTCGTCCTGCTTTTTTGGAATCGCAGAGCCGTCTACCGCAAACACAGACCATAATTGACTCCAAAGTTCCCTGTGAACACAAGCCCTCCCCCAACGCCTTTTTTATGTGCCAGAGCAGTGGCTCGCAGAACATCTGCTGACCATGCTGCTCTATTCCCATGCCGCGCAGTGCTGATGCTCTCTCCTGCCAGTCGAACAAGCCGTCACCGTCATGATGCTCTGGTCGGTACGGTTGTCTATCGGCCGGGTATATGATGGTGGTAAGATGACGATCGTGTGGGAGTAGAACTACTCGGTCTCTGTAGAAAAATCGTTAGACGCCTGTGCATCATAACACGGTCTCATTCCAAAACTTACTCTGCTGGGTGAGAAGCAGGTTGAAGCGGCGCTTGAGCGTCACGCGCTGGCGCGACCACTTGTCGTCGGGGGAGAAGCGAGCAGGGTGGGCGGACTTGGTGACCTTGCCGTCGACGACCTTCTTCAGGGTGTAGAGGCGGTTGCCCGCCTCGTCGAGAGTGTACATCAAATGCATCTTGAAGTCGGTGGTGGGTTGCGCGGGTGGGAGTTGTCGGCGGAAGAAAGTGGTCGGCTTGGTTGAGCTTGGATTGTATGGGTGCGACGGCAGGCCTAAGAGAACTTTTTTTTTCCCTTCGCGATTTGACACCACGTGACTTTCGGTCAATATCCAATCAACTTGGCGAATTGGACCCTCACCGAGGATTGAGAAGGTGGGGCCGATGGATCCACTAATTCTGCGGAGCTGGCACCCCGTCACCCCGTGCACCTTATTTCCAACACAATGATTTACTGTTCCTCTCTCTCGAACCCAAAACATGTCGCCGCGCTCGTAGATCAGCACCCTCTCAAATTACTAGCAGGGTGTCTTGGAAAGTCCAGTTCTATTGAGGTATCGGATAGCGCGGACAGCCTTCTCAACCACATGAGCATCAGGCAAGTCCGCTTGCAGCACTGTTGATTCCCTGTCATTTCCCGTCGTCTTCGAAGACTTTTTCTTGATTATCTCTTGCTTGTTAGATTTGTATTTCACGGCTTGGAGATACAGCTGGGAAATGTTGTCTAGTAAGATATCCCAGTGATTCTGCTATCTGGTCCTCGCTGAAGGTACCTTGCCATACACTCCTTCGCCTGTCAGATTCTCGAAGGTACGATAGATACAGCTTATGTGAGACACCTGAACCTTTCTTTACTTTTCTTGTTCCATTCCAACATGAATCCCCCTTCACAATCACTGGTGATGATGTCCCATCTGCTGCTTCATCTCCTGCTCCTTGAAGGGCTTGATGCTATGTCCGTGTGGGAATGACGGCCCTGTGGTACTAGGGTTAGCCTGCGAGGCCTGCTTTTGGTTTTGATGAGCTTACCAAACTTGGGGTGTACAATATAGTTGTCTTGGTAAACGTCCACGGTGTTGTCTCGTGAGTACTCCATCACTCTTTCGAAGTCGACACACTGATGCGGCGCGGTCTGGTTGACGATCGGCTGGGCGTCTTTGTCGGTCCACATATGCGTGATGATGGACACATCGCCGCGGCATGATGCTCCCATTCTGAGGACCTCGAGGCAGTGCTGGTTGTGTTCTCTGTTGATGGCGACTTCCTCCTTGGTTGCATTAGGGTAGTAGTACTCTGGTGACAAGGTCTGGTAGAGGCGTTTCTGGACGCTCTCATTAGCTAGTGCTACAGTGCTCTCATATGAAGACGAAGCTTACAATGCAATGAAGCTCGTGGAAGACGCTGAGCATGCCGAGATACCCGCCGTCCGGAAGCTTCACTGCCTCATGCTCTCGGCCCCAACGATGAACCCACTCGTCGGAAACTCTGATGTTGTTGTCTTGGTCACAAATATTAGTGCGACGACGTCTTATGTGGATGTGGAATACCGACACTGCAACAGATCTCGCCATGCTTGATCAACTTCTGGTCTCGGCTCCCCCGTGTATTTACCGTGAGGGGGGCCTTGTATGGGAAATATTTCAAGATGAATTTCGTCTCCGATGCCATTCGGAGGTGCTGACTCTCAGGTTAGTGCCCGTTTCATTACATATGTTCATTGTCGACACCCACAATCAACCAAGCTGAATACCCCAGAGCCCGTTCTGCTTCGAACCATCGAAATAAGGAAGACTGCTGAGTAGACTGTGATCAACGCAGCATGGAGACTCCAGGCACCAAGCCTGCGCCACTTGGAAGACTGCGGTGGCTGGGCTGAGGCGAGCTGGACTTCGACATCATCCAAACTGGATGCCGACCTTTCGTCTGAGTATACAGGAGTGTAATCCTTTTCTTGACGGCCCATGTTGACTAAAGATATCGAAGAGTATCGTCAAAGGTTCGCGGTAGGGACAGAATCGGATGGTGAACGTGGAATGAGAGGGGACGGTGACACCCACTTCAGGTAAACTTTTCTCTGCCCGGTCTTCGGGCAAAAGAGCAAAGACAAGATAAAAGCGTAACAGTACGTATCGGTAGGTTGATGGTAGCACGTCACAGGATCATGCTGAGGGTCGTAAAGGATTCGAGGGGTTTTCGATCGCTTCAAATCCCACCCCCGAGCGGAGTCGAGCCGGGAAACCACCGGATGATTATGATAGAAAGTTGCCATGGTCTGAGTTGTTCATCCTTCTGGCCAAATCTGGAAGGTCTTGTTGATTGAGTCGATCTTATCTGGTATGGCGTTTTTGGCGCTGCTTATGATGGAGCTGGCTGGACTATGATTGCAACGAACGAAAAGCCGCATCGACGCACCTGAATCCTTCAACGGTCAGACCGAACCAAGCCAGTCTTTATTCATCGACCGGCAGATATAAGCCCCGGTACGTATTGCCTCCTCTCCCCACAGTGCTTCATACCGCCAACCTCCCCCGTGGAGCACTTGGCTAAAACAAGCATTCCGCCTCTCACAAGAGCCGTGAGGAATGTCCATGTAAAACGAAAGATTCTTCCCAGTAAGGTTTAGACCCTTACAACGTTGTGGCACAGGTTACCGACGCCCGGCTTTTCGGATACCCAATCTTCAATACTACCTTACCACCCCTCATGAGATTTTGGGGCGGGATCGTCGAGTTGTTTATCACTTTCGTAATCGCGCATGTCTTGACTGAAATATCGGCAGCCAATGTGATCTCCTCGTTTTGTCTCTTGACAATCACCAGCGTTTCTCAGAGTTTGCTTGGTGTATGCGGAATCCTCTCAGCTGCGGGGCGAGAAACTAACTTCAAAGTGGAAGGTGAATCAACGACAACTACTGTGGACCACTCTTCCAAGTGCTCCTCGCTCTCAGTAACCAATTGAGACTAGGCGGAATCCTTCAAAGAGAGCAGTATTGCTACACGTATTTGCCTCCAAAAAGATTTGGCCACCGGTGATGGGCTTACAGCTGATAGGCGGTCTCGCCGTTTCCGCTGGTGGCTTTCGCGAGAATCTTCATTCGTCAGTTCGCAAAGCTCATGCAGTGCCACCTGCCTCATTCATCAACTTGTCCACCAGACCAGGTTTGTGTTCCTTCGAGAACTTTTGAAATCCAAGATCCTCTTGCCGCAAAGCCCTCGGTGCCGTGAAGTTGAGGCCGACAATTTTAGCCATCATAAGAATGTTGCGGAACTTGAAGTGCCTCTGAGTGTATGCTCCCTCATCCGTACACTTCTCGGAAACATCACGTCTTGAAATCTTTGACGCCATAACTTCATTCATCACTCAAAAATATGAGAGTCGCTCTTGTTATTGCCGCCTTGACGGCTTGTGTTGTGTCACTTCCGACAGCGCCGCATGCTGGCCATGGTTGGTTTCCAACATCCATCATACACACTTCTCAGGAAGCTAATTCTGTAGCTCAAACCAACGCTGACGAGTCTTATTTGCCAATGAAGGCTCGCGTCGAGACAAGCGCCGATGAGTCTTATCTGCCCATGAAGAGGTTCGAGACCAGTGCCGATGAGTCTTACGATCCGATGAAGAGGGCCGAAACCAGCGCGGACGAATCGTACCTACCCATGCGACGCACCGAGACGAGCGCAGATGAGTCCTATCTTCCGATGAAGAGGGCCGAAACCAGTGCTGATGAGTCGTACCTGCCCATGAAGAGAGCAGAGACGAGCGCGGATGAGTCTTACCTTCCGATGTAGACCCAATATCATTTTTGGAGAGAGCACAGCATGGGAAACTGTGAGAATGGGCTTCGTTAGATCTCATGTCCCGGGATTAATCCTCCTACTGTCTCCGACTGGCATTGAAATCATAAGGCGATCGGGGTAGCTCGGTAAAGGATACAACCGCGTACTCTGACCAACACAAATCAAACAGTTCGCCTGATGTAGTTCAGTTCATGTGCACTATGCCGCTTTTCAGAGGTGAAAGGCTGCGATCTTGATATACGTGTTGCAAAACTGCTTGCTTGTTGTCAAAGTAACTGCGACCTGAGGCTCAAATGTTGAACCTAAACCAACTTAAAGCTGAGGGCTGGCTGGAGCTCTGATGATCCACCACTAACACTTACCAGCACTCTATACGCAACTGAGACACGGTAATGATAATATCGTTCAGTGAAAAGGAAAACTCAATGTCTATTGCTAATGGCATGCAGGCTAATCTATGGATATGTAACATCGAGTAAATCTATGGCAATACCCGCTAAATCAGTGCAGAACTTCTCAAAACCACGCTTCAGTGCATCGGCACATTCTTCGTTACATGTGTGAGTCCCAATCTCGCCAAGGTCCTCCTTGAAAGCATCAATAGTTGCATGCACCTTCCTACTAGGCTCCATGTATAGCCTGTGGATCCGAACCTCGCTCTCGTCAAGCAGTGTTAAGTGGGAGTGGGAAAGGTCTTTCTTGCACCGTTCTTTCAGGGTTGTGAAAGCCTCTTTCAACCGCGCCTGCGTGGTTGCTATCGTTTCCAGCTCCGAGGAGTAATCGTCTGTGGCAACATCTGACAGGATGTCTACCATGCCATCTAGACCATCAGCAAACACCAACAAGGCATCCTCATACACGTACAAGGGCACCGGCCCACGACTTGCGTCAAAGGCCATGTTGTTGGTGAGTGCGTTTTGCATTCTTACTAGGGAATCCATCAGGCTTGCTGTAGCCGTCCTCGTCTTCTCGCCAGAATCCAGGGTGGTGGACAGACGCCCAATGGCATAGTTCTCGAGATATCCCCTGATCTCCTGGGCATGTGGACCACCATGCGTCTCGGCAAAACGTTCGTCGGCAACGGTGCCTGCCGACTCAAGGAGCGTTTTGGGTCCGCCCGGGTGCGTGGACAGGAAGGGCGTCATGTCATAGACTGTTCCTCCGATGGCGGTCCAGCACGAGTCGATGGAATTGTGGGCTGCAAGGGTTGAGGGGCTGATAATGGAGTTCTTCGGCCCTGTTGGGGACGAGGAAGATCTTTTCACCGTGGTGAAGAGATCTTGGTGGAGTTGGCTCCAATGCGGTGGAGGGGAAGGTAATTGTGTGTGGTTGTGATTGCAGGACTCGGTATTCCCATCTTGTGCTTGCTGTTGTTCTTCTTCTTCCAGTTTCTGCTGTTGCGGTCGGCCCAGTCCAAGACTGTTCATCACTGAAGACCCAAAGTCGGAGCTGCCGCAGACAAAAACGTGACAGTCCTTTTCCTTGACGAGCCGTTGAACAAAGTCTCGGTACTCGACCAAATGACGCGTGACACGCCGTTTCCCCTTGGGACCGGGTAGCTGAGACCATGTTCCACCACGGATCATGAGGTGTGTCTCTTGGCTGAGAGCCAAGACTATGGTCAATGGTAAAGCTTGGGTCAACTTCTCCAAGCTGTCGAGTGAACAAGGGACATGACGAAGTGTCCTGGCAGCGACGACGAGGAGCACCTCACCCACCTCACTGACGTCGTGTTGGCTGTCATTAAGCCGCTGTGCCCACGCTGCCCGGTCGTGCAGAAAGCCCAGCAAGGGGCCGACACCGCTGCTCTGACCGACCAGAACCAGTGGCAAAGTCAGATCTCGTGGTTGGCGAAAACGCGGAGAGGGCCAGGGACGTAAGCGCAGAGGCGTGCCTTGAGCGGCGTTGCTGAGGAATGAAGAGACCAGTCCCTCGGGCGAATGTTGACCGACTGTCAGAGTTATGGTCATACCCCCTCCTCCGTTTCCCGGGCCCGAGTCTGTCGCCCCATCAGCCACGTCTGGCATCACACGGGCGATAGAGTAGAATCTCGGCTCAGCTTCGTTATCACTCTTGCTTGGTGCCGTATCATCATCACTCTTGTCCGACGACACATCGTCATCTTCCGGGGAGAAGGCCCGCAATCGTCGTTGTTGTGAAGATGTTCTGTTCAACTTCTTTCTCTTCCTCGGTGGCCAGACTTGCACTCGATCACCCGGTTGGAGCGGCAACTTCGAATCCAACCTGACGGCCACCACGACGCTGCCCTGGTACACGCTCCGGGACTGCACATGCGCGTCCTGCCACAGCGGCCGTCCGCCGAGTCGAGACGCCATGCCCTTCTTCATTTGCATGCTTAGCATAGCCTCGGGTCGTACATTTGGCTTTCCTGGTCTCACGCAGTTGCCTTGATCGCTGCTCTTGACACCGCTACTCGTCGAGTGTCGTCCCGTGCCCAGGCTCACGCCCGTGATGCCAACAGCTTTGACGCGATGCCGCTCGAGGAACCAGACGTACATTTGTAGAAGACCGTCCCAGGCCGCCGAAAGGCGCTGGTACTGCAAATGCTCCTCTTCAGAGAGGAGATGGTGTGGCCGGTCACGGGCAGCTGCGACGTAATCCCTGACACTTCCGGCCTCATCACCAAGGGCATCCAAGAAGACGCGAATGTTGGCTGGCAGCGCGGCCCGTCGGTCGTTCTGCATCCCACTCAAGTCACCCTTGACATCCCGGCGGCCGATAAAGATGTCCAGCGCGTGGAACAGCGGTACATCGACGCCGCTGTTTCCCAGCTCGCCGGAAGTCACCGCCCGGCCCATGGCCGGATAAGTCTTGATCCAAATGACGGGATCAAAATGTGCCGTATCACGCGGGGTCATAGCATCGAGCACCTGGGCGCACTTTACGACACGCGCCGCCAGACTCTCCAGACAATGAGCGACCTGGCCGGGCTGGTCTGCCAGAACACTGCTCTGCGCGAGCGCCATGGTGGAGAGGGCAGGCGCAAAAACGGCCTCCATCGATCCCTGCAGTCCCGATGAGAGTCGTTCCTCGGGAAGGTCAAAATAAGTACTTCTGAGGCTGAACGAGCCGTTGCCCACGGCGTTGTTGAGCACGTCGTCGGCGGGCACCTATCGTGGGTCAGCTACTGTACTGCGTAGGTAGTATGTTTGGTACATACCCGCCCAGTAATGGGTCTTCCCATCTCCGCGCAAACCATCTCCCACGCATCAAGGACATGCCGCGGTAGTTTTGACCGTTCGCAGTCCTTCTCCTCTCCAAACATGTACGCGTGGGCCAGCGCGCTCAGCACCAGCGCCGCTCGAGCCAGATGGCGCTGCTCCAAGTCATTCCACAAATCTCTCCCTCCTACCGACAGGGCGTCGACAGCTTGGCGCACTCGTCCCGCTCGGAGTAACCGAGGCAGACTCCTGTGAACCACCTCCCATGCCTCTAGAGACGCTGGCAGACGTTGACCGGAGCATTCCGAGGTAACACTGCGGCTTTTCTGCGTTTCTGGACCTCCTAGGAAGCCCTTGATGCGATTAAAACACCCGTCAAGGCCAGCACCAAAACGGAGTGTTTGGTGTGACCCTAGATGCGGGAACTTGAACTCAGTCGTTGATGAGCCTCCGAATAGCTGAGTTGCCAGAGAGGCCTGGGCAAGCAGAAAGCTGGCCTTGGAAATAGGGCAGTCGATAACTGTCGTTGATGTTGTGCCTGTAGTGTGCTGTCTCTTCACCGGAGTGTCTGGTGGCGTGAGGAGGCCTGCAGCTGACTTTTGGGGCACATTGAGGAAGATGGATGGCGGTGATGTTGATCTTCTGTATTTGACCACATCTCGCCGTGGCTTCTTCCGCAAGGGAAAGGGTGCGGGTGATGCGGGAGGTGAAGGCGGTGTTAGAGGGCCTTCAAAGGCAGACATGGTAGTGAAAGAAGGTATCAACACGCAAAGTGGAAGTTATTTTGTTGTGTTGTTTGGCAACCTCGTTCTCGCTGAGGCAGAAGGTGTCCGCACCAGCAACTGTGATTGCTCTAAGACAAATGAGAAGGCGGTGTCCAGAGTTCCAAATCACCACTGATGAGGGGACGAATTGGCTTTGTTTATCATAAATATCATGTATCTGAGTTCTTGTTCCTGGCGGCTTCTGGCTGTGTAGTATGCACATCACGTCGCTTGGAAGCTTTTAGAAGACATAAATTAAACTGGAAACAACCTATTACTATCTTCGCACATTTGTTCCAATTTGGCAATGTCTTGGATTAGATGATCTGCCCGGAGAATAGGACGGAATCGGACATCACATAAAGCAGATCCCCACCGGACCGGTAGAAAGCCATTACGCGAGTTCTCCGGTGGATGGTTCGGCAGCGCCCCCGATAGCTGGCGGTCGTCCGAACATCCATATATGGCCGGTTTAGGTGCGCAAGACGACCATGCCGTGGCACGATGGATAATCCCTGCCATGGTTCCAGAAACTTGGTAATCAGTAACCGGAAAGTTTAAATCAGGGGAAAAATGAACGAACACGATGGTTCCACAGAATACACGTCGTCCGAGCGCTTGGCGAAGTCTCTCCTTCAGACTTTGAACTGTGCAGCGGCGAGTCGGGCCGGGTCTAGAGCATTTTGCCCGGCACCCGTTGCTTTTCGGCTACGTCACAACGCCCTCCGCGGACAATATGAATCACGGCATTCTCGGGCTCGGAGTCCGGCTGTCTCCCCGTACAATGGCTTATGATCGAGTTGCGAGGGAGGGAATCGGATTCCGACATGCTCGCTTTCGGCTTATTGGGCCTAGAACCCAAGTCTTTTCAGCTGAACTTATTCTTGCGGCTATCATGTTGAGAAGCCGGGACTACGATATGACGACACACCGTCTTCGTCACCTTTTCTCGTATTCGTCTTTGTACAAGAAGGATAATCGATACTAATAGGAACAAAAACGAAGAGCACCAAGTAGTCAAAAGTGAGAAAACAACCGGCAGCTCAACCAAGGACCCACATCACCACGGGCATAATGATTCTAGACATACCTTCCAACCTGCCGGATCTCCCGATGCTACTCTGGGCCATTTGCCCAGCCATCATCGGAGCTTTTGTGCTACGTACCATCTACTACCTGACTTTTCATCCCCTGGCGGGATACCCAGGCCCGCTGCTCGCACGCATCACCACCGTCACGTCGCTGTGGCACCGCGCCGATGGTTCCAACCACAGTTGGCCGCTGCTCCTCCACAAAAGGTACGGCCATGTTGTGCGCATCGGCCCAAACGAGCTGAGCTACACCCACCCTGACGCATGGCACGACATCTATGCCAAGGCGGGCGGTGGCGGTCACATGCCCAAGGACTTCGTCGGACTGGGACCGGACATGGCGGCGCCCGAGAAAGGCATTGTACGCGCTGACGACGTCAACCACCAGCGGCAGCGGCGCATCTTCTCGCATGCCTTTTCCGACCGCGCTGTGCTCAAGCAGGAGGGCCTCGTACAGGGCCATGTCCGCAACTTGATGCGCAAGCTGGCCGACGAGAACGCCGAGCCTGCTTCTTCAGCTCCCAATGGCCGCGTCGACCTCGTGACCTGGCTGGGCTACCTGGCCTTTGACATCATGGGCGACCTCATGTACGGAGAGCCGCTCGGTATGCTAGAGAGCGACCAGTCGGCGCGGAATTGGGTCCGCGACACATACTCGACCATCAAGACCGTCACGCTCGGCATGGCTATGATGGGATGGCATCCTCCTCTGGGGCCGCTGCTCCTCAAACACATTTGGGGCGGTAGTGCTAAGCGCCGCGCCCAGCACAACCGCTTCTCGATGGACCGCGTCGATAAACGCTTGGACCGTGGTGACGAGTCGGGCAGCGACATCTGGTCGATGATCATGCAGAATAGCGGCAGCGAGAAGCGGCCAGGTATCACGCGCGCCGAGATGTATTCCAACGCCGCGACATTCATGATCGGCGGCACCGAGACCACCACAGCAGCCACGTCGGCCCTTACCTATCTGCTGCTCACAAACCCGGCAAAGATGACTACGCTACGCGCCGAACTCGACGCCGCCATCCAGGACCCACAGGATGACATGACCTTCACCGGTTTACGCCAGCTACCATACCTCAATGCGTGCATCGAGGAAGCCATGCGCCTGTATCCGCCCGCGCCAACTCCCATGCCACGTATGGTACCCCGCGGAGGTCGTGTGGTCTGCGGAAGCTACGTGCCGGCAGGTACACGCGTTGATATCCCATTGTACGCGATGGCGCATCATCCGGACAATTTTGTTGATCCCGAGGAATTCGTGCCGGAGCGGTGGCTGGACGACGAGGATCGGCCCGCCAAGTATGCAGGGGACCAGAGAGAGTGCGTTAAGGTGTTTTCAGCGGGGCCGAGAGACTGCATCGGCAAGAAGTGAGTCGGCCTCTGTGTCCATCGTAGTAGTTACTGACCATCTTTTACGCAGCCTTGCATGGCCCGAGATGAGGCTCATAATAGCCAGCCTGTTGTACAATTTCGACCTTGAACTGGCTGACCCCGGCTTCAACTGGTTGAACCAGGACAGTTACGGGATCTGGGACAAGCACCCGCTTTGGGTTAAGTTGGTACCTCGCCAAGTTCAACAACCCATTTGAAGCACATTCACCCCTGTTAATCCAACTTATTTGATTGAGTAGGATGATATAGTTAAAACTATACAGAATATGATGCCTTGATTTGGAAGTGTGATAGTATGCCTTTGCATATGCCGACCACGGGTTCTGGTGTCATGTGTCTAAATCAAGGCGAGTCAGCGTGCTGCAGAAACCCTCAAGTTTCCAAACAGAGAAATCGGCCAGGAGCTCAGTTCTATCACACTAAAGCATGGGCATGTTTTTCGCGTTTATTTGCGCAAAGTCCGACGCGCGCCCCAATCGAGTTGATGGGCGGAACGATACGGCGGCGGCAGCGGCGGCATGGGGCCGAACAGGGTGGGACGGGGACGGACGGGGTGGGGCCGCGTAAAGTGGGTAAAAGGATATTAAAATAAGGTAAATCAGTAATTCTTACTAGTGTGGGTTTAGCGTACGTAGATTAAAAGAAAGTTTGTGGTGCCACGCATGTCATCTTAGTGCCCCGATGGATTTTGCCTTTCTCCAAAGCATCCGGAACGTCCGTCACTCCCGTCCAGCATCGGCATGATGTGATCGGAAGTTGGATTGCGTCGACAGATTCCCATGTCCGGACACTTTCCCGTACTTGAGCACACCTTCATTTCCCTGACCCTTGAGACTTCCAGCAAATTCAGATAGACTTTGTCATGGGGTTCTATTGCGCGTTGATGCGAGTTGCTGACTTTTGACAGACGGGCCGGAAAGTCTATCCGATTACTCGCATGCATTGCCTCCGGCTATTCGCACGTCATGTCCAGCCAAGTCCGCTTCTCGCCCCTTGAGAGCTGGTTCAATTATACCCCTGATGCTGGGCAAGAGAGAGGGGGTTTTGATGTCAATTCCCCTGCCTTGCCTTTACCATATCCACGATTCCACATGACAGTCCACTGCTACGCCTCAAGACTCAACTTCCATGTGAACACATCTTGTGCACATATCGCCGACCACGAAAAAGACGCGGCAGTGGTGACTGTGTATTGAATCTATTCTACGCTACTCAACGTACACCGGTCGATATCGCGTCTTAGCCGAACCTTTTTAATTTTTCCCCAGGGTTGATGTTGAACCAAGTGAATTGTTTCACACATTAGTATCAATAGCGAAACACACTTGCAACTTGGTCAGCAACCATGGCTCCCCCAATTCACAGCGACAACAGAGCAGATATCGGGCGGCCCATGTTGAGATCACGATCTTCGCGTCGTTCTCGCCCTCCCTCTTCCCTCGTCAGTTTTCCGGGCGTTGCCAGCGGCAGCCGGCCCAAATCCGTACACATCTCTGCAGATGAATACAAAGCCATCACCGACCTCGTCGAGCTCGCCAAATCCTTCCTCGAGAATCAACAAAACGGCGAAGCCTCGAGTTCATCAACGCCAACCCAGAGTGGCTCGCTTGACTACTCTAAGTCTCCGAAGCAGGATGGCCCCCTCGACCCCTTTGGCGCCAATTTCGACGCCCGGGAATGGGCCAAGTCCTTCTATCGTCTCCGTTCCGACAGCTGCGAGATGCGGAAGGCGGGCGTGGGTTATCGAAAGCTCAGCGTTTCGGGTTACGGGTCCGACACGGCGTTCCAGGCGACTGTGAGCAACGCGTGGTGGCTCAGCGCCGTGGCGGCAGTGCGTGGGCTGTTACGTATGAAGCGTCAACGGGTGCGCATCTTGCACGGCCTCGAAGGGGTGGTGAACGACGGCGAGATGCTGTGTGTGCTGGGCCCGCCAGGAAGCGGGTGTTCGACCTTCCTGCGGACGATGGCGGGGGACACGTACGGCACGCAGGTGTCGGAGAAGGCTCTTCTCAACTACCGCGGCGTGAGTGCGGACGAGATGAAGCGCTATTTCAAGGGAGACGCCATTTACACGGCCGAGGAGGACGTTCATTTCCCGGCTCTCTCGGTAGCAGACACCCTCTTCTTCGCCGCACGTGCGAGGACGCCCAGGACCCGGCCCGAGGGGCTCACACCTGACGAGTACGCGCGGCGGGTGCGCGACGTGACCATGGCCATGCTGGGAATCCAGCACACGATGCAGACGCCCGTCGGCGGCACGGACGGCGACACGGTACGCGGCGTGTCGGGCGGCGAACGCAAGCGTGTGAGCATCGCCGAGGCTGCGCTCAGCTTTGCGCCGATCCAGTGCTGGGACAACAGCACACGAGGCCTCGACAGCGCAGCGACGGTCGACCTCTGCAGAACCCTGCGCATTCAGAGCGACATCATGGGCATGGCGAGCGCTGTAGCCATATACCAGAGCCCACAGGAGGCCTACGAGTTGTTTGACAAGGTCCTGCTCCTCTACGAGGGACGACAAATCTACTTTGGCAAGACGACGGAAGCCAAAAGCTATTTTCAGCGGCTGGGCTTCGTTTGTCCGAGAAATCAGACGACGCCGGATTTCCTGACGTCCATGACCAGCCCGGCCGAGCGTGAGGGCATCATCAAGCGTGGCCATGAGAAAAGAGTCCCGCATACCGCTGACGAGTTTGCTGAGGCGTGGAGGACGAGCAGCCAACGCCGCCAGCTTAGCCAGGAAGTGGATGCTTACGCTACATCCTTTCGCCTGAGCGGCTCGCGCACTCACTTTGCCGACTTCCTGGCGAGCAAGAAAAGCGACCAGTCATGGATGCAGAGGTGGAAGTCGCCTTACACCATCTCATACCCAAGGCAGGTCACTCTGTGTCTGTGGCGCACCCTAGCCCTGCTCAAGGCTGCACCGCAGATGACGGTGACGATGCTCGTCATAAACCTGTTCCAAACGCTCATTGTGGCGAGTGTCTTCTTCCGACTGCGCGAAACAGCCGAGTCCATGAAGGCGCGCAGCACGCTCCTGTTTACAGCTGCGCTGGTCAACGCCTTTGGGTGCGTCCTCGAGGTGGCAGCCTTATATGCTAAGCGCGCTATCGTCGAGAAGCATGTGAGATATGCTCTGTATCACGCGTCGGCCGAGGCTATTGCGGATTTGGTCATGAGTTTGCCGTATAAGCTGCTCAACGCCATTACGGTCAATACTATCTTTTACTGGATGTGCAACTTGCGCAACGAACCCGGGGCCTTTTTATTCTTCGTATTGGTCCAATTCGCTATGACGCTCGCTGTGAGCTTGCTTTTCCGGCTCGTCGCATCTGTTACCAAGAGCCACGCGGCGGCCATGGCCCCGTCGACAATGGTCCTGCTCGCCCTGGCGTTGTACACGGGTTTTGCGGTCCCGCCCATGTACACCAAGTCGTATGCCGGGTGGATTTCCACGGTCAGCCCCGTGGCCTATGGGTTCGAGGCTCTTATGATCAACGAATTCGGCAATGGGCGGAGGTTTCCTTGCAAGACCTTCATTCCGTCCGGCCCGACCTACGATGCTGCGGCCATGATGGCGAAGACGCGCGTATGTGCCGCGCAGGGGGCTGTCGCAGGCGCCACGTTTGTTGATGGAAGCGCATACATCAGCAATGCGTTTGGGTATCTGGAACGACATCGGTGGCGGAATGTCGGTGTCATATTTGCGTTTGCGGTGGCCTACCTTCTGCTGCACCTCATTGCTGCGGAGCTGGTGAGCAGCACGAAGAGCAAACAGGAGATGCTTGTGTTTCCCAGGGGTAAAGTTCCAAAGGGGCGAGAAAGAGACGACGTGGAAAATCATGTCACCAAGGGAAGGACAGAAGCACATTATAGCAATGCGAGCATCCCGATGGCTTCCCTCCCCACCACACCCACCACACCCGTCTTCACGAAAAGGGGGTTTGCGGGTATGTATCCGTACACCGACGGAGGGTCTCCGACAGTAGCTAGAGGTGGGAAGATGTATGATACGGAGTACACCGACATGAGCCCGACGTCTCCTACCAAGCCCTGGAACTGGTCGCTGCAGGAGCGAGACAACTTCGACCATGACGACAACAGCGGCCTGGGAATCGACCGCCAGACAGCCATCTTCCACTGGAGCAACGTTTGCTACGACGTCAAGATCAAAAAGAAAGAGATGAAGCGCATTCTGGATCGTGTGGACGGGTGGTGTGAGCCGGGAACTCTTACTGCGCTCATGGGAGTCTCGGGCGCCGGCAAGACCACTCTTCTCGACGCCCTCGCTTCGCGCCTGTCCACTGGCGTTTTGACGGGCGAGATGTTGGTCGATGGGGCCCCGCGCGACGCCTCATTTCAGCAGAAGACGGGCTATGTCAAGCAGCAAGACCAGCATCTGCTCACATCGACGGTGCGTGAGGCTCTCACGTTCAGTGCCATTCTTCGCCAGCCCGCCCGGTATTCTCGCAAGCAGAAAATTGCATACGTTGATAAGGTTATAAATATTCTGGGTATGGAAGAATATGCAGACGCCGTCGTTGGCGTGCCTGGGGAGGGCCTGAACGTTGAACAGCGGAAGAAGCTGACTATTGGCGTTGAGCTGGCTGCTCGTCCTGCGCTTCTGCTGTTTCTGGATGAGCCTACCTCGGGCTTGGATTCGCAAACAAGTTTGTCGATTTGCACTTTGCTTGAGACGTTGAGGCAGAATGGGCAGGCTATTCTGTGCACGATCCATCAGCCATCAGCAATTGTAAGTACTTTCGTCACGAGCTGGGCCAACTTCCTTGTGCATTGCTAACGTAACACGCGCTCAAAAAACAGCTGTTTGAGCGGTTCGACAGGCTTCTTCTTCTTGCTCACGGTGGACGGACCGTCTACTTTGGCCAGATTGGACAGGGACGCAATGCTAACATCCTGATCGACTATTTTGTCCGCAATGGCGGGCCACGGCCCGCAAAGGGGCAAAACCCGGCTGAGTACATCCTCGAGCAAGTCAGCGCCGGCGGGAGCGGGAAAAACGGCGTGGACTGGCCCGACACGTGGCGACAGAGTCCCGAGTACGACGAGGTCCAGACCTACCTCACCCGACTGAGAGAAAACGGAAAGGGGGCGCACCAATATCCAACGCAACATCAGCAACAGAACGATCCCCCGTTCGCTGCTCCTTTGCCTGTTCAGCTCTCCGAAGTGACCAGGCGTTTGGCCGGACACTACTGGCGCAGCCCAGGCTACGTCTACGCTAAATTGCTGTTGACGTTCGGTTCGGCCCTCTTCATCGGCCTCTCGCTGCTCAACCTGCCCAACACGCAGTCGGGGATCACGATCCAGACCATCGCCATCTTCATGTTCCTCACGACACATCTGAACCTACTGCAACAGATCCTGCCTGTCTTCGTGGTGCAGCGCACGCTGTATGAGGGCCGCGAGCAACCTTCACGCACGTACTCGTGGACCGCGTTTATGGGAGCCCAAATCGTGGTTGAGATGGCCTACAATGCACTCATGGCGCCGCCAGCGTTCCTGGCCTGGTACTATCTCGTTGGACTGAACCGCAACGCGGCAGAGACGAACGACACCGCCTCACGTGGCGGACTGGCTTTTTTGTTCATGCTCGTTTTCTTCCTGCAGGCCAGCACTTTTGCGCACATGCTCGGGGCGATCTTCGATCTCGCCGACCAGGCTGCCGGCATCGGTACTCTTCTCTTCGTCGTGATGTTCATCTTCAACGGGATCCTCGCTACGCCGCCTAGCTTCTGGGTTTGGATCTACCGCGTCAATCCGTTCACCTACCTTGTCGAAGGCTTGTTGGGCACAGGGCTCGCGAATGCGGGCATACGATGCGCGAAGAATGAGTTTCTTCAAATGAACCCGCCTCCAGGGCAGACGTGCGGGCAGTACTTGCAGACCTACATCGCTCAGGCGGGTGGATATCTTGCTGATCCGACCGCCGCGGGAAATTGCAGTCTTTGCACGACAAGCAACACAAATGAGGTGCTGGCCGGGGTGCACGTCGAGTTTGGCAATCGCTGGCGCGACTTGGGCATCTTGTTTGCATTCGTTTTCTTCAACGCCGCCGCCGCTTTCGCCTTGTATTCGACCCGTGTGCCCAAGCCCAAGAAAGAAAAAGACGTTAAATCACCACGGCCCACCTCATCACCATCACCAGACCAAGACGATAGTGGCACAAAACCCCCTACCAAAGATTGGAAACATCTCGTCGTGAAGGGAAGACAAGGTGGTGCTGGTGAGGGTTCACCGAAACATCTCTTGGATGAGTACGAGGACCCAACGGACAAACCCTTTCGTGTTCCGAGATCTTTTTCGTCGTCCGTCAATGGTGGCAGTCAGGTGCTCAAGGACAGTGGCAAAAGGTATTGGGATGATGTCGTCGACGAGGAGAGTGAGGTGGAGGATTTGAGCCCGGGCGAAGAAAGGCCACCCGCGACTCCTCAATATTGGATTTGATAACAGGAGATTAATTTAGTTGATTGAAATTCAAAGTCACAATCTCTAGGGTAGCTATAGGAAAGCATCGTCAATTCTAAAGTATCTGTTGGAACATCGTCCGTAAACTTGTGTTGTAGATGAGTGCTTCGCCCGCCACATGGGACTACAGCGAAAGTCAGACAGAGGAAAAAATGAGTGCTGCCGAGTTGAGGAAGAGATACTACATTCAGTCTGGGTACTATTCTCATGAAATCTACAAATCCTCTTTCAACCGACACTCAATTACATTCCCTAGGCCACGACAAATCCAAACCTTGGAAACCTTCAAGCCAGCCGCCTCAACAACACTGGACAAGTCATGGAAAGTCCTCTGACGACCGTTTGGGCTGATTGTCAAGACGAAACCCGAGATGAGCCCCATGGCCTGCCACTCGCCATAATTCTTCAGCAATGGCGGCGGCGCATCGGGCAGCATGACGTCGCCACATGTCGGGTGTATCATGTACTCGCCGATGAGAAGACGCGACTTTCCGGGCGCCATGGCGTTCTTGATATGGGTGAACATTGTGGTTAAGTCGTCGTTCTGCCAGTCCACAATGACCGACCGGAACCAATACACATCCGCGCCCTTGACTGGGTTCTCGGTGAAGAAATCATGCGTGGTGAGCTTAACAGCCCCCGTGGCCAAAGCCTCTGGGTCCATCTTTTGCCAGTGGGCGGTGGCATGCTCGATCATACCAGGCTGGTCCTGGACGATGCCGACAAAATCGTTCTTGCGGTCCGGAAAATTAGTACGCAAGTCTTGAATCGAGCTACCGAGCCCGCCTCCAACGTCGACGACAACGGCACCATCCTGGAGGGTGAGTTCCCAGGGATACCCGCGTACGTCGGTCAGCCCGTGCAGGTACTCGCCCAGAGACGCGAGCCAGAAGTTGAAGCAATCGCGCCACTCGGGGTGCGCGTTCAGGTACTCGAACTGACCCATACCCTTGCCGATACTCTTGGCAAAGGCCGAGTCTCGCGGTGCGTAACTGGCGCAGAGAACCGGGTCTTTAAGGAGATTCGGAAGCACATCAGCCGTGGGGAAGAGAAAAGAGGCGTAGCGCACTGAGTTGGCGAGGCGTTCGTCAGTTGCAAGGGCGGTCGACGCCTCGTCGTTGGCGAAGACGTTGAGGCTTGTCTCGGCGAAGATGTGGTGCGCGCATAGCGTCCGTATCACAAACGCCAACTTGTTTGCGTCGACAATGCCTATCTTGGAGGCGAGGGCGTCGAGGTGCATGGGCCCGTTGGCCGCAAGTAGTTGGGGTATTTCCCACTCGACAGCCATGTGTAGGGCGCGAGACACAAAATAGCTGTGCGCCAAGTGGCCGAGACGCCACTGGGGAGTGAACACGGCCGCCTCGAGGGATGCCGCGGCGGCGATGATGCGCTTGCGGGCCTCCTCCGTCTTGGGATCCTTCGGGATGCGGACATCTGCAGGGCCAGGTGTGGCTCCGTTGCCGGCCGTGGAGAGTTCAGCGATGAGGTCATTCACCGACGTGGTTAGTATGCCTAAGAGGGAGCGGAGGTGAGTGATTTGTTGTTCTGCGGTAGCCATGTTGACTGATGATTACGAATTCTTCTCGCTCTCTCTCTGTCTCTTCCTTTCTTGCCGACGGTCCGTAGGCTGTGTGCCTCCGTTTTTCTATCTTTCTTCACTTGTTGGACTGCCTCCCGACGTTGCCGAGATTTTGGCCATTGGGACTATCAGCGGTTATCCTGGTCTTGGCTGGTGTAAGTAATCACAAATTTGGATTGATTTGAGGGCATGTGATGGCGGAAATGGGGGTGTTCTTCGCATTTCGCACTCGCGGAAGTCTCGGATCTGCTCGTACTCGCGGGAGTCCCGGGCTTGAGTGATGTAAATGCAGGTAGCTTTGAAGTTTAGATAGACAAGATGGTTTGTGATGGTGGAGATGACCAAGTTCTTGGTGTTCCGTGTTCGTGCTCGGAGTCACGGCAACAGTGTTCAAGGGTTTTCCGATTACCATGTTATAATACGCAATATGTGTAATAAGAGATAAAGTATTAGAAGTTCCCTGACCTGTACGAGTTCCTGACGAAGCATTGTCGTTAAGGTTTAGTCCCGTGAACTTTCAACTTTACAAGCGCGGTAAACCTTAGTTCTCCCACCAGTTCGCCAAGAAAACCCCAACGGGAGTCCGCATGAACTACATCCATGATGATGGGTATTTTAGACTTCGAGCCCAGCCCTATCAGGCCATGCTCTCGAGGCGAACACCCGTTATGTAAATTTGTTTCACATGTCAAGAAAAGCCCTGTCCACTTGACCTCAATATCAGTTGTGAGTTTGGCTGACCCGCACTGTGTACATCCTCGCTTTCCCAAAACCACCTAGCTCTGGAAATCATTATTTCATTTCGTTTTGGGGCGATTCTCAAGCCTTCGCAATACCGGCCGTACGCAAGAGTCGTTTTGTGTGCCACAACTCAGTAAAAGTCCAAAGGGGCAACTCATTCCGAACCGCAGCACCTGGAAGCAGCAGAGACTTTGGTACACTCCACCTTAGATCACATTGGGTCGGCAAAGACGAGAAGCAGATATCGAAGCCGCAACAGATTCCATGACCACCAGTATCAGTTGAGCCGGAAAGACAGCGAGAATACCAGTATGGGCACCATTAACCCCACTACGGAAGATCACCACTCAACAACTGCCCCTCACGATCAAGGCACCAGGGAGAAAAATATCTACAACGAAGTCGACGTTTCGACCTCTTCTAAAGGCAAAGGGGGTCCTCTAGCCTCCTCATGGCTCCCCACCTTTCACAGCACCCTATCTTCCCTTCTACGATGGACAGGCTCCTACCCGGGCCACATCCAGGACTCTCATCTCACATTTGTGCGTGAGGCCGTCGTCCCCTGCCTCAAACAGCCTCCCACCACCGCTGACAGGCTGCGCTACATTCTGACGCATAACCACTCGCCGTACGAAGCAAGCGTCGCTTTTGCGTCTCACCAGACGCCAAAAGTGCGGTTCACGGTGCAGCCGCTGACGGATCCTGGCGACGATGACCCCTTGGGGCAAAAGGGACTGCGCCAGAAACTGGAGGGTCTGGCGTTTGCTTCTGATGCAGACCGTACCTGGCTGACTGCCTTTATCGATTCTGTCTTCCTGACTGCCGAGGAGGAGATAGGCTTGATTGAAAAGGAGATTAGTTACGGCAGGGCTGTGCCGCAGCAAGTATGCTACGCCGGGTTTGATCTCGAATTCGACGAGGACACGAATGGGAAAGCGGCTATTGGTATGAAGGCATACCTGTTTCCGCAACTGCGAGCTCTCGCAACGGGCCGGCAGCCAGTGAATATCACTGAGTCTGTCGTGAAACGACTTGCCGGGGGCGAAGAGGGGATGCTGGCAGCCTGGGAGTTGCTCAAAGACTTTCTCGTCTCCTACGGCGAGGACAACATCAACGTTTACTTCCTCGCCATTGACTGCCTGGCGCCACACATGGAGCCGAAGCCTCGCTTCAAGGTGTACACCCACACACACGCCAACTCCCTCGCCTTAGCCCGTCATATCTTCACTCTGGGTGGCCGTCTTTCTTCTTCGTCTGCAGACTTTCTACCGCAAGTGTGGCCCCTCCTTATGGACATGGAGGATGTTGCCCGGGCTGACATGGACGGCCTGGAAAAGCCGCTCAATGAGCCGCAGAGCAAGTATTGCGGGCTCTGTTTCTCCTTTGAGATGATTCCGGGTGATGCAGTACCGCAAGTCAAAATGTACGTGCCTATATGGCAATACGCTCGTTGCGAAGCCGGCGTTGTGGAGCGTTACGAGCGCATACTCCAGACGCAGGGGATGATGATGGGGGATAACGACTTCAAAACTGCTGTCCAAAACACCTTGTGAGTATGATTCTTACCGCGGAAGTGCTTTTGACGACGCTGTTGCTAACCTGTACTTTCTTTTTCTAACAAAAAGTGGAAATGAAACAGACACGGGTTTGTACACCATGGCGTCGATTTCCTCTTCTAAAAAGGGTGTAGGGTTTAGTGCCTATTTCGGGCCAAGGTTTTGGGAATGAGCGTTGTTTGTTATTGTCATACTATCACTCAAAGTCGTAGCACAATAAGCCTACTAATATTACAAGCCGTCTCTAGCGTGCTGTCGAGAAGGAGTCTGATTTTGTGTTCCTTGAGAGCGTACTCTCGCTTGCGCCCACTTTGCCTTGATCCAGATACTCTGTAACTGCATCATTCGCCTGATTTAAGCCATCCACATGCAACAGCACATGATGGTCTGGTCGGACAACTATGCCTCTTCCAGCCTTGATTTCCGGGACCGCGTCATACCAGGTCTCGGGCAGACCAAGGCTCGCCACATCAACGCCCCAGTCGCAGGATGCGAACGAAGGATTGGCGTAGTGCAGTACGGTAAATCGATCATAGGGCAAAAGGTCTAAGAGAGAAAGCCCGTTGCTGGTGATGCTGTGTGGCAGCCTTGCCCCAGGACACGCTCGTGGCACATACATCGTCGGGTTGTCAAGAAGAGCTTTCGTATGTAATGGGTCGTCGTAGATGAATCCGAGCTGGAGGGCTAAGGAGTCAAAGTGCTTGCTCGCCTCCGTGACTGCACTTGCTGCCGCAGCTGAAATTGCGGGCCGTTGAAGGAATGCATCCATGGCGAGATCCGGCTCTTGTGCTTCTTTATACTGAATGGCGAGGCCAACCAGCGTGGTACTGACGGAGTAGAAAGCAGCCTCGCTGGCCTTAGAGTACTCGAGATTCGCGAGTGCAACGGGCTTGCGCTCACGGGAAAAGCTGGCGAGAAGGTTCGGGGTGCCTTTCCCCCGGATGATGGCAACCAGCTTCCAAACCAGGTTGTGTGCATCGGCGATGCCCGTGTTGAGACCCAAGCCACCCTGGGGCGGCAGACTGTGGGCAGCGTCTCCCACGACGAACACGCGGTGTTTTGGGTCACTGTAGGAGGATGCCACACGCGGGGCCGTCTCCCAGATGGTACGAAGAACTTCTGAGTACTGCAATCCCGGGAGGCAGGCCTCGACTGGAGGCGCCTTGCGTTGGCCGCCGGTTGACGCCGAGTCCATGACGGGCGTGACGTGCACGAAAGAGGAATCAAGATTGTGTGCAATGAACTCGCTGGGGTGCTCGGGGTGAAAGCAGAAGTAGAGCATGGCATCGTGGCCCTGCGGAAGCGCTGCGCGCAGACTACCTTTGCAGACAATTGACTGGTAGGCATGGCCGGGTCCCATAGATTCAAACTCGATGCCTGTCGTCTTTTCCCGTACAGTGGAACTAACGCCATCGGCGCCAATAACGAAGTCGGCCTGGATACTGTGCGCGTCGTGGCTTTGTCCTATGGAACTGCACGAGATGATGCAGCCAGCTTCCGTGATGTCGGTTGTATCAACCTGCCAGCCCCTCCTGACTTGGGCGAGGCCTGTCTCGCCAACTGTCCTCTCAAGAAGGCGTTCTAGCTCTGGTTGAGGCCAGTTCAACAATGGCTCGGATGTCACGGTGCGCACATTGTCGTCCTGACGTTCGTATGGGAAACAACCGATCTCGGCGTCGGCCAGGCCATAGACAAGACGCACCAGGCCGGCATCTTTGGCTGTGGCTGCATGTTGTCGCATGTAGGCAACATCCAAGCCAGCTTGGCGGAAGATCTCCAGCGTCATCGGGTTGAGGGTGTGGGCTTTGGGGTGGTTCGAAACGCCGTGGCGCCTCTCCAAGACGATGCACTCGATGTTCTGGCGGGCGAGGAGAAGAGCCGTGAACAGCCCAACCGGTCCCGCGCCAACTATAACGACACGTGTCTTTTCCATTGGTGTTGATATCAAAGTAGGTTGATTGTTAGATGCTGGGCTCACAGGCGGAAAATTTCAAGTATTTGTTGTTGTGGCGTTGTCGAGACGTTAGCTTTCTTAAGTTCACCTTAAGTAAGCCTTCCGCGTCATATCCCGTCGCACGGGGCCAGTCACACATTTTCAAACTTTTCCCCTCTTATAACAGGCATCATAATGAAGTCCACACAAGGCTGCTGGACATGCAAAAGTGAGAAAACCCTGTCCGATCGCACAACATAGTTCTTTAAAACTAACTTCCTGCCAGATCGAAAGATCGGGTGCGATAAGACCATTCCTGCTTGTGATAATTGCGTGCGAACGGGGCGGCCATGTGCTGGCTACGAGGTGCGCCTCATATGGCCTGACCAGCTTCGTACTAGGCGCAAAGTTTTCATCGCAAACCAAGCTACGGAAGTAGTGGACGTTCGGACGTACCCTCCGGGTCAGAAACGCAGATTCTTGAATTACACTTCCGAAGAATTCGTGCTCGCAAAAGGACGCCTTTCTTGGCAATGTCTAATGGAGACAGTCCCTACCCGCCCGACTCCGTTTCCCTCCCTCCATTCACCCGTCGTTGGTGACGAAGCCATGCTCATGGCTTACTGTCCGTCTCTCATCGCTTAAAACCCATTTCGGCGCTGACGCACTCCAGATGAGCAGGTTGTGGCGCCAATGTGTTCAACAACTCGTGTGCTCAACGGTTTTGAATGCCACATTTTGCCGATGGCATTATCGCGCCGTGAGACGATAACAGAAGCCTTGAGCAGCTCGATGCTGGCTATTTCTGCACATCATCGCCATGGATCAGGGGCTGCATTGCGCTACAGGATTAAGGCAATTCGAGGTCTTTCTGCATCTCTTGCGACATCATCAAACGACACTTCAGATCGCGAAATGGCGCTGCAGGTTGCTACTAGTATGATGCTTTGCATGTATTGTGTAGGCGCTTGATGCCTGTTTGTTCTTTCATTGGGGCTTACCACTAATAGCAAACAGGTCTTTGATGAACAAGAGGCTCAATTCCATTTGCACTTAGACGGCACCAAAAAGATCTTGAATAACTGGCATCACCGATATCGTCAAGATTCGGTCTCTGTTTTCCTAGCACTTTGGGTGTCGTACTATGAGGTTCTGGGCGGGTTTGCCCGACATTCTCGGAGGTCTCAAGGTGACCTGATCACACAAATTTGCCCAAGTGAAGTGCGAATGTCGACTGAGGTAAGTGAAATCCCTATTAAAATAGAAATTGCTGACACTTTCTAAGATAATTGGCCTTCTTGGTTGTTCTGGCTTGGTGTTTGAAATTATTTCTTCTATCAACAAAATGCACCCACCACCCCCAAATCGCGTCTGCCACGATCCGGGCGAAGACCCCCTCGACCAGCGAGTCATTTTAGAACAAAAGTTGCAAAAGGCCTCACAGTGGCTGAGCCCTGATGAGTTCGCTTCTTCTACGGAGGTGGAGATCAAGTGTGCATTAGCAACGGCGGAACTGTACCGATTAGCAACCTTATTGTACCTGCAGCGGGTGGTTCCCGCCGAAGGCGATGACACGAGAAGAATTACATACTTACAGCAGGCGTTTGCAGCTCTGGCAGAAGTTCGAGTAGCAACGAGCCCTTGGCCAGTTTTCGTAGTGGCCTGCGAGTCGCGCACTGACGAGGAGCGCATTCACATCTTGGAAATTCTTGATCGGATGGACAGGCTTCGAAATGTTGGGAATGTGCGTGTCATGCGCACCGTCGTTGAGATGACGTGGAAACAACAGGACCTCCGCAACCTTTCCGACACGCTGCAGCCCATGCAGTGGTGGCTTTGTTTAGAAAGTAGCATCACGATTCCCTGTTTCGTATAACGTAATGATAATGATTCACGTTGCCGGAACCACGAGCATGACTTATTTGAATTGGTTTATAACTGCGCTTCTTCCGATGCCAGCACAGCTTGTGATCGCATTTGCCTTCCCTGACTGTGAGCCATGTGGGTCAAAGGTGAAGACCGAGCACTGGGCTATGCGGGGTATTGAAGTATTATGGGGTCAAACGGTCATTCTTTCCCGCATCGGGCTGTGTTCTTCGCAAATAAATGCCGACATTTTAAATGTTAAGGACTACCTCGCTCGTTGACATTCATCAGCAGCATTTAAGACGTCGCAGCAGAGATTCCACTCATGATAACTTAAATACAACTGATGTATGGCATTCAACCTGGGTTTTAAACAAGCCAGTTGATCATTCAAGCTACCTTCTATCTTTACTATTTTCCCTCTTCGCTGCTACACACTTTCAAAGAGAGCCATGTCGACACTCTAGATCATCAATACCCCGGAGCATATCCTCCAGCTGTTATCCGAGCTTCATAAAAAGTCTTTGGAACAAGAGGCTGCCATTTCGAAAACACGAAAGATTATATCTTGCAAGGTGCTCGGTGATCTGGAAGACCAGCACTCGCGTGAGAATGCTGCGGAAGAGTTTGACAAGCTGATGCTGGATTAGTTCATTGCCTTGGACGAAGACAAGTGCCACTTCACCTACCAGCTTGTCAACGCCATGGGTGCTACCAACATCATTGAAGCAGGCACGAGCTTTGGTGTCAGCACCATATACCTTGCTCTTGCTGTTGGCAAAACGACGGCTGCAACTGGGAAGTCCGGGATTGTCATCGCGACCGAAAAGGAGCCTGAGAAGGCATTGATGGCTCGTAAGTATTGGGCGCAGTGTGGTGCGTCGGTTGAGCAACGCATAGACCTCAGGGTGGGAGATCTACTGGAAACTCTCAACTAGCGTTTGCCGGAGATCGATCTCCTACTACTTGACAGTGAGTTTTATACATTACCTATGTAATTTTCATTCACCAACAGTTCGAATAGTCTGGTCAGTTCTTGCTCTTCCGACCCTCAAGACCGTCCTTCCCCATCTGCGACACGGCGCAGTCGTTCTGACGGACAACACGATATCCGGCGCCGAGGGCTATAAGGACCTGTTGGCGTACTTGCGGGAGCCTCGGAATGGGTTCCAAAACATGACTCTGCCTTTTACCAATGGGTTCGAGATGAGCGTTTATCTGCCGAAGAACTAAGGGTTGCAATGTCGGGCTACCACAAATGTTGAGAGGGCAGTGGCTGTGGCGAGCCATAGTTCTTCTGTGGCTATTGTACGACGGTCGAAATTGGATGTTAAATCAAATTATTCGTTTCTCAATTTAAATATGATTTGTCTGTACTTCTCCTTTCCCGCAGGGTTGGCCTTTCGACTTCTATCAGGGGCACCAGAGTCATTACAGTATTGCCAGGGTTATCCTCAAACAACGGGAATTGTAGATACTGTCGATCTCTAAACGCAGAAACTCTCACTTGATTCCTAGAACATGAAATAGAGGCGCTAGATATGTTTCTTTTTGCAGTTTTGTACTCTTACGTTCTTAATGCTCTGGAGTAAAGTGCTCTTTAGTATTCTGCACCTAATTCACCTGACCTGCTGTATAAACTAATGTAACTTCACTCGAAAAACTGGACATAGCAGGCCACGTTGACAAGTCATACTGCTTGAATACACGTGGAAGGAATCTGCGTGAAAGCTTTTCCTCATAATGAAGCTTTTCAAATGATTGAGTCTACGCCAAGACCGTTTTGAGGCAGGACCCACTTGACACTGTAAATAGGAAGTCATTTGCGATCAGGGGCGCTCCATGTCTTCCATACCTCGTTCCGTTGTCCAACTTATATAAACTCTTTGTCATCTGAACTTCGAATGCTTCCGGTGCACACTGCAGCTCCGATCCTGCGTTCTCACCATGTCATTCCCACCGCCTCCTGTTTCTTCGGTGTTAGATGCCATTGGCAACACACCGGTCGTTCAGCTCAAGCACATTGTCCCGAAAGACAGCGCCGATGTGTTCGTCAAACTCGAATACATGAGTCCCACGGGGTCTTACAAGGATCGAATGGCTCGATCTATGATAGAAGAAGCTGAGCGCCGTCTGGACCTTACGCCCGACATGACAGTTGTCGAAGCCACCGGCGGCAGCACTGGATCTTCGCTGGCCTTTGTCTGCGCCGTCAAGGGCTACAAGTTCATGGCACTCTCTTCCGATGCGTATGCAAAAGAGAAACTACGAACAATGGCTGCGTTTGGCGCAGCTGTCGATATCACGCATAGCCCTACGGGCAAAGCAACAGCGGATCTTATGGCATCAATGAAGTCTCGGGCCACAGATCTGGGGTCAAACGACAAGTATTTCCACACCGATCAGTTCAGCAACTGCGATGCACTTGTGGGATATGCAAAGATTGGCCAAGAGCTTTTGAGCCAATTCCCAGAGGGCTTCGAAGTGTTCTGTGGCGCCTTCGGCACGGCTGGTATGATGATGAGTGTTTCCAGCGTCATCAAAGCCACCAACCCAAACATTCGAGTTGTCCTCCTGGAACCGGAGTCCGCAGCCCTGTTAGCTCACAGTCGGAGAGGCTCCCATGCTGTTGATGGCATTGCACCCGGCTTTATCTCGACTCACGTTGACGAAACGTTGTATGACGAAGTCCGTACCGTTCATGAGCACGAAGCGCGTGATATGTGCCGTCGGTTGGCTAAAGAAGAGGGTCTTTTGGTCGGCACATCATCCGGTCTTAATATTTCAGCAGCAGTCAGACTTGCTAAGGAGCTTGGACCGGGGAAGAAGGTTGTCACTGTGGCTTGCGATACGGGTTTGAAATATCTGGCGGGTGATCTTTTCCAATAAAACCGAGAGGTCCAATAGATTTATCACTGTGAATGCACGATTCTGTGCTGCTTGAGGGCAAAATGACCTAAAATCTAAAACTTAGATATTCGGTAGGGACCGGATCTCTGAAAATGCACCATGAGCTTAAGTTGATAGCCGATCTATCACCTACAGTCTAAACATTTGGTTTGAGAACGCGTTTGGGTTTTGAGACAGGTCACAGAAGAATGCCTCAGCAGAAACCTCGGCATTTCGGTTTGGAGAATCCTGACGATGACGACTATTATCTTAAACAGATATTTAATTCTGAATTAGCTCTTTTCCGATCATGCTGGTTTGGTCTTTCGATTGGAGATATCACGTACGTTATGCGTCAAGCCTTATCGGTTGTACCGTCCAACCGTACACTGATGATCGCAAACTCCTGCCTCGACAGTAATGCAGGTGGAGATCCAACTTCCAGGCAATCTCCACATCAACAGTATACATGAGCAACCCTGTTTTGGCTCGTACTTTGTATTATATAAAGTCCTGGAGCCTGCACATTCCATAGAAGCGAGTAGTATTACAAAGTCTGATTACATGTCCTACATAGCACCCTTAACCATGACTGCATCAAGCCTAGGCGGCCATCAACCTCAACTCAATCAATCAAAATGGTCAGTCAGTCCACAATAGGCTCCCAGCAGCACGTCTCGACAAAGCTAATGATTGTATTAGGCAATGTGCCCTAGTTATTCTAGGGGCATTCATGATCAACTTTACTACCTGCGGGGTCATCTTCAGTTTCGGGGTTTATCAGGAGCATTATGAGACTATGGTACTCCACGATGACAATCCTTTCACTGGCGCATCGGCAGCCTCTATCGACCTCATTGGCACCCTTTCCGCGTCTCTGATGACAATATCAGCTCCATTTGTGATGGCGTGGACAAAGTACTTCAGGCCTAAGTACGTTATATGGACTGGCGGAATACTCTTTGGTGTCGCGGGCATTCTGGCGAGCTTCGGTAAAGCACTTTGGCACTTCCAGCTGGCTCAGGGAATGCTGTTTGGAATTGCTGCGGGGCTTTCGTTCATTCCATCCATGACTATTGCCCCTACATGGTTTGATGGCCAAAGGGGCGTCGTCATGGGCGTGATATCAGCAGGCACCGGCATCGGTGGATTGGTTTGGGCACCAGCAACGTCGGCCTGCATCAGCGAATTCGGCTTCCGAAACACTCTTCGACTGGTGGCTTCCTTTAAACTGCCTCCATTTGTGTTTCAGGACTTCCTCTATCTTGGGAGCCGTGCATAGCAAACGACTTCTCCGCCCGGAACCAGAATATCTCACCTAGTGCGGTACTGTTCAGAATCCCACTCCCCAACCTCGAGACGATCAAAAGCCGAAGATTCATCTTACAAGCTGTTGCTGCGGTACTGCAGAGCGCCTCCTACTATACGCCAGTCTTCTTCATAGTCTTGTACAGCAAGGCTTTGGGGTACAATGAGAAGGATGGCGCAAATCTGACCGCGCTCAGTAATGCCTGCAACGCCATCGGGAAGGTTTCCGCAGGACTTTTAGGAGATCGTTTGGGAAGGCTCAACTCGTACTTCCTAACGACCTTCATCACGGCAGTCATCATCATAGGCTTATGGCTCCCGAGCACGAGCGTTGGGAACGGGAATGAAGCAATGAGCCGGCAGCTTTTTATTGCCTTCACCATTCTATATGGTCTTTTCGCGAGCGCGTTCATCAGTCTATTCCCTGTGGCCCTGGTAGAGCTCTTTGGTGTCGATATGCTCCCTCGTTTGGCTGGAGTCATGTACATGCTCCAAGGCTTAGGCACTCTTGTGGGCACGCCCAGTGCTGCGGTCTTGATCTCCAGCTACAATGGCTCTGTAGAGCCCAGCAGCTACACCCCTGTGGCAGCCTTTGTGGGTGCCCTCATGGTAGCAACTACCGTGGCGGTGGCTGGAATCCGCTTTGGATGTTAGTTATACTGAGATTAGTATCTGGAGATGAAAGCGAATCAAGTAGAGTGTGGTTATTTCAAGGCTAAACGTGAAATGAAAGACCCTTTGCGTCTTTTGACACATATCATTCACAGACGGCATACCTCTCATCTGCCCGGGTGCCCACATCGGCCACGGCGCGGCCCCACAAGCTCCGTTTGTGGCGGTGCATTATGCCATCGGCTTCGCCGATAAGGCAGCCAGATGAGGAGATCCAATGCATTTGCAGTAGACGCTTTCAACTTTGAGGGCAGCATGGATCTCAGTACTCGGTAGTAGTCTAAGAACCTGCGTCTGCTACACTCTAAGGGCAACTTCCAGTGATTACTGGTCCGCAGCCAGGAGGCAAGGATGACTGCAGAAAGCGCAGAGTTCTAAGCGGTCTTGACAACTGGCTCTTATCGCCCTAAGGTTTCTACGCTCCCTGCAAAGCCTCTGCATCGCCTGATTCAGTCGTAGTTCACGCTGCCTCGTGGTTTTGTTCCCAGTCTGGCTCCAAAACGAGACCTCAGACTTGAACACTTTCCAAAAAACCACTGAATTGCCGCTGCTCACGACTTTAGAAAGACACGACCGAATTGATTATAAATATAAAAGGTAAAGGTAGTAGCAATGTGGATGGTGGCAGTCGTGTGCTCAACTCAGACGAGGTCTGAACTTGAGAGAGGTGCCAAGTTGCATGCCAGCTCCTGGGGGCTTTTCCCGCCAGAACGCAACGACTAACAGATGGTCCAGAGATGGCGCTATTGTATAAGTTTACAAGCTTCTCAACAGACTTTCCGCTCATGCCCAAGCTTCACGGGCCGCAGCGGGACATGAATGCTTAAGGCAAAGGCCAGGGATAAAGCTTTCGGACAGCCGATTGTCAGGGCCTCGGGGCATCTTGTAGCTGGGTGGGATTTTGGGAAGAAATTAATTGACATGGCCGTGCTCGGGAAGACCCCAAAAATAGGGCTCTCCGAAGTTACCGAGGCAGTAGACTCTTGTCATGGCCATGATTACTTTCAATAATCGTGTCATTGGCCAGGAAAAACCTGAAAAGGGGTCTTCGCGGCCCCGCTATCAGGATCTCATCGGCATATCCCCTGATTTGGCATGTTGCCCCTCACAAGGACCCCTGCATTGACAATCCAGGGGTGACCGGTAATTTAACATCAGGTATTGTTGCCTTGCATTTGTGACTACAGACGGCTCTGCATACAGATGGGGAATCGTGTCGCTTCGGCCGGCTTCTCAGTCCGTTGACAGCCTCAGTGGGTCGATCCTGCGAACGGCAATGACTCGGATTGAGGATGGGACTTTATCTATCCCTCGACGTGCTGCTCTAGGAGTGGAAGTTCTTCTCTCCATCAGTGTGCTCAGCCGTGTCTCTCGTTCTCCATCCTGGCTTGCCTGTCCCTTCTTTAATCATTGACTTCAAAATGCTTTTCAAGACTGCTCTCGTCTTCTCCGCTGCCCTGACTGCCGACGCTTTTGCTGTCGTCAGACGGGATGCGAACGATTGGGCCGCTCCTACCGCTGCTGACCGTAAGTCGGATCAATGAAGATGACTTCTGAATTGGGATACTAAACTGACACTTGTAACAACAGGCCGCAGCCCATGCCCTATGGTTAACACTCTTGCCAACCACGGCTACCTCCCTCGCAACGGATTGAACGTGTCTCTCGCAGACCTTATCGCCGGTTTCACGGCAGCGGTTAACCTCGATCCGGCCGCAACGACTCTCGTTGGACAGAAGGCGCTGCTGACCTCTACGACTGGCAACAACGCTACCTTCAACTTGGACGACCTGAACACCCACGGCAGTAAGCGGATCATGGGTTATCAGGTATCTCAGCCTGTGATGTGCTGACATCTCTTAGTCATTGAACACGATGGCAGCCTGAGCCGAAATGACATCTACTTTGGTGACAACCATAGCTTCGATGACGAAATCTGGCAATCTGTGGCGTCGTACTTCGTGAATGCGACCATTTCTATTCCTACCGCAGCTGCAGCCAGATCTGCACGTCTGCAAGCTGCCGCCGCTTCGAACCCCGATTTTAGCCTGACTGCCGATGGGGCTCAATTCAGCTTCATTGAGACTGCATTGTATCTTTCCATTTTCGGTAATTTAGACGATGGAAACGCCAACACTGAATGGGTCAAGGTCCTCTTCCGTAAGTGCTTGCCTTTGAACGCGTGACGCAGCTGCTGACTTGACATTCAGAGGAGGAACGTCTTCCGTTCGCCGAAGGCTTCACTAGGTCTGAGACACCAGTCACTGCTGCTGGAATTCTCGGATTGGTTAGCAAGGTTGCGGCGGCAAGCTCATAGATCCATGAGATAGCAGTTCAATGATGTGTTTAGACTGTAGACCGTAATTGAGGAAAAGTGTATCATGCAACAAGATTTACTGGAATTATTATATGTAACTCAGCACACGACTCTTTCCACCACAACCGGCGACAATTAGGTTGGCGTAACAGAAACTCTCCATGTGTGATATGCCGCACAGGATGTTCGAATGCATCACTTCGGAAGAAAAAAATCCGAAGCATTTGATTTAATGTTTATATCTGGACACACTTACGAAGATGGAATCTCGGTTGAGTGTCACGGAATCAGGGATTACCAGAGTATTTGAACTTTCCGAAAGGCGTCTTCCTGACTGGTGGAGAGATAACGTTCCACGATGGCATCGCTGAACTTCACAGGCATTTTCTATGTCTCTTCCAAAATCCAATGATGTGACAGGCGCTCATTTGTCTGTCTTGCTGCGAGGTGACGGCCGCACCGGACTGTACCTCCGTCTTTCGTGGGATTTGTCCTAAACTTGAAAGCCACAATCCATGGCGCACGAATGAGGGAATTCGTCACCTTCGCTAGTGCTCTCATCGTCACACTGTTCTTCGTACCTACGTGAAAGAATTTGACGACATCGCCATTGTGGGTTTTGCGTGTTGTTCAAATCGGTTGCATACGTAAGCAACGCATTTCGATCTCAAGATTTGATAGGCCCAGGCAGATCAGATCGTCGGGTTGGGACGTCAATTCGTGATGCGCTCTAGAAGATTCCGTTGTCTCAAGGTAACCTGGTCCTTGATCGCTCCACCTGAATTCATGCTTACATGTAACCATCAGGTGAGTCTAGTTGACCGAGGTACCGCTCCAACATGAGATCGCCTTCATTCTCCTCAACTTCGTCGTTTGCATTTGGCGCAACGAGAGAATCGGACAAGCATGTGAATGTTTCGAAGACCATACGCAAAATCACAGTCATACAATGGGGAAGGCCAACATCGAAATTGGAAGTTGCATGTATTGTTGTCTTAGCCTGAACCGAGTAGCTCCGAACTACACGCGTCCAGCGATCGGAGCCACGTCTCTGCTATTAGACGCCCTATATTGATCTGGCAACAACCCGACTGGCTACGACGTTTCTGAGCATGGAGAATAGCCCAGGTCTTTGAATAGTTCGCCTCTTCCTCGGCCGAGTGAGACTCTTCGTAGAAACATGTTTTCATCTGATGTTGACTGTCGCGGCTATGCGAGTGCGAATGCCTCGGTGGCTTCGCTGGCTTGAAACAGTCACTCGCACGTCTAGGGTTCAAGGGACGTTCCCTGATAGCTGACAGCAAACTTAATCCGCTCAGATGAAGTGGCATGAAAGCCGCCAGAGTGCGCAACCCATCAGCGATGCTGACGTATTGTCCGAGCTTAACAGCCCCCAGAAGCACAACACGTGAATATCGTGGTGCCGAGGAGTACGATCGGAGCACGATCGGACGAAAGTATAAAGCAAGGCGGCTGTCATCTCGACTTCCCAATCATAGACCTTGCAATTCTAAATACCATTTCACGCTGTTCTTTCTTCGCCTTGGGATTTCTTCGTAAACGCAGCAAGCAATACTTTTTGAAAATTATCCACGGACTCGTTATCACTTCACACCATGATCGAAAGCAAAGATCCTATGAAATCCACGTGGCGCCTTGGCGACAGGCGACTCTGGAGATATTACCATTGGATCATCGAGAAGCTTGGTTTGCAACATGTCAACCTCAACCAAGAAGTGCCGGTACACCAAAAGGGGGATCCAGTGCCATACGTTCCCCATTGGCAATTTCACCGATGGATACTCGTGCACGCTTGTGTGCCACTCATTCTTCACCAAACCTTCGTGTCATACACGGGATTCCGACTTCACCCGGTGGCTGCGTTCGTCTTTTACAGCGCAGCCATCAAATTCATCGCCATCCACCAGATCAACATCATGCGAGATCTCGGACACTTGCACGGCTTCCTCGATGGCGACAAGCACGAACGCGATGGTGTACCCGACACCAGCGTGAAGAAGGTGCTGCATTCACTGATCTCCACGGCAACCTTCCGGTCGATGCTCGCAGTTATGCTAGCCTATCGAAGCTCCGAGGCACCAAGCTCGATCAATTGGATGTTGGCGCCCCTCGAAGTCGGCCTCTACGGGGTTGTGCTGGACTTCTGGTTCTATTGGTACCATAGACTCATGCACGAAGTCGACTTCTTGTGGAAGTACCACCGCACCCACCATCTGACCAAGCACCCAAACCCTCTTCTTACCTTGTTTGCGGACACCGAACAAGAGATTTGGGATATTGCCGGCATCCCGATCTTAACATACGCCACGTTGAAGCTTTTCGGATTTCCCATGGGTTTCTATGAATGGTGGCTTTGCCAGCAGTACGTTATCTTCACCGAGCTTAGCGGACATAGTGGTCTTCGCATTTACGCTACGACACCGACGCCATTTGCATGGCCTCTGAGACTTTTCAACTGTGATCTTGTCTTGGAAGATCACGATTTACACCACCGAAAAGGATGGAAGAAGAGTGGCAACTATGGCAAGCACACCCGCTTGTGGGACCGTATTTTCGGAACATGCATGGAACGACTGGAATGTCCTGACGACAAGATTGACTATGTCAATACCGTGGTGTATCCGCTTATACGCGGATGATATGAGAGCTGAGACTCATGGGTCCGCCAATTGTGCAGTTTTGGGCGAGGATAACACGGTTAAATCGAGGGCTGGAAGGCTAGCGGAGATTGACGGGACTCTGTCAGTCCTGGTACAGCTGCACTGTTACTTGCAAGAATGGCATACAATACACAAGAGACCGAGTGCTATGCGCCAAATAGCAGGTAGCTCGGCCACATCATAGTTTCCATATTGAATTGAAAGGCTTTATGTTGACATGAGTGCCATATCATTTTATCGCAGCAATGATTCCCCGCATCAGGTTAGAGTACACAGCTTCAACGTAACTACCTGGTGGTGTTCAGTATACAATGAGTGGCTGAACTCTGTTGTTTGCTGAGGCGTAAATGATGGTTAGCATCGTCTTCATGCTTTTGAGGCATTAGCAAGTACCTCGTTTTGTCCATTGTAGCCATGTCAAACCAGGTTCTTGGTCGCGAATCTGCCAAATAATTTCCAGGTAGTGCTCCAGCCTTGGGGAGTGCATCTCAGCGTACATGCCGCACAGCCCCAGCCTCCGCTTGATTGTTTCGCGCAGACTGGAATCCACAGCTTCGCATCCGGCAACAAAGAGCGGAAATGCAAGTGCTCGGCCGGCAATAGAGTCAGTGCCAACACATTCGGCTTCCCGTTGAATCTTTGCAACGTGCCGTCTGACAAGTGGTGCCGTAAATGCCAAGTCCCTCAGTCTCGTGTAGAACATGATACACGAAGCCAAATGCATGGCTTCATTAACGTGCAAAAGATCTTCAGGATCTCCAGGCACTCCTGCAACCGCATCAGTGTCTATGCTGTACGCGAGAAGAAGATTTTGTTCCAAGTTAAAGGCTTCAGCTTCCATGTCCATGGACCAAGTTTGCATCAAACGCCGGGTCTGAACCAGCTTTCCCAGTCTCAAAAGAGGACCAATCAGACGATGGGAGAAGCCATAAACTGGGTGTGTGATCCAGATGGATAAGTCGTCCACTAAGCTCCAGTGTTGTCCGACAATGTCGCCTGAGAGAAAAGAAATATGTTTGTCGGAAGGAAAGGGCAGGTGAACATATGGAGATAATGAGTTATACGTGCATATGTCGGTCCAAGTAAGGAGAGCAAGCAGCATTGGAAGTCGGCTGTCCTGTTCGTAGTCCCGCAAAAGACTTTGCGCTATGTAGGATGCAGCGCTCCTGGCAAGCAAAAATAGGCTATCGCGTGATGACTTGTCTGCTTCTGTTACTCGACACAGCAGCAGCGACGCAGCTAACGAACTAATGAATGATTCCGGGTTGGGCGACACATTCGAGTTGGTTGCAATTAAGGCCGTTACCGCATCAAAGAAAAGCCTACTAACGTTGACATTTGGCACTCCAGACGGGCAGGATCTCCGATAACGTGACGCAGAAAATGCCAGAGCAGCAGCTCGCAAAACCGAATCGGTTGCCGCCATAAGAGGTAGTAGGGTTGAGAAAGGGTCGTGGAAACCTGTTGTTGTTACATTCGTATTCCAACAAATAAACTGGTGACTGGAAACAGTGACGAAATGTTGCCAAATCATCATCCTTTCTTGAGATTCTTGAATATCCATCGGCAATGTTGAAAGCGTCGGTAAAAGGCTTTGTCCGTGGACAGCAGACCTTCTGATTGTCAACTCAGATGAATACTGTCCTGGAGTTTTGTCTACATGGCTCTCCTGAGGGCCCTTGCCGGACTGGGGCATCGAGTTGTCGTTGCAAATAAGAACAGTCGCCAGTTTTACCTCGAAGCAGGGCTCCTCGGGCGATGTTAAGGGTAACAGTCTTTCAGGACGTGATTGTTTGTCTGTCTGTTTCTGAACTTCCGGCTGCAAATTTTGAACTGATTCGATAGTGAGTGACAAGGGCCAGTAAATGTCGGTTTTATGATCGATTACCTCCTGTTTGTGGCTGCGTCGCTCCATTTTGACCGGGTCTCCACAGTCTGAAGTCTTGCCCGTCACAATCGACACCCCGTTTAGCACAGCGCGTGCATGACGGCTTCTTCTGATCGCACTTGGAAGTTTGTCAGTAATGATCGAAGAATTGAATTCCAACGCCAGCGAGGTGCCAGTGCGAGCCAAACCTTTCTCTTGCTCTAAGAGCATTGCAGACATGCCGCCCCAGGGGTTCGCATGCTTGCTAACTGATGAGAACAGCTCACAACGACTGATGATATGAGATGGTCTGTTGAGAGTGCCAGAACCAGAGTCAGGATTCAAGATTGTGAGATACAGCAGATGGGCAATTGACGAGAATCTCCGTTATATGACGATTAATGTATGACAGCCTCAGTGGCCGACGTCGAAGGCCCAAAACAAAGCGTGAGGGGTTAATTACGGCAACATCCAAAGTACAGTGATCTAGGCCGTGCGGAAGAATTCCGGCACTATGCGACAGGGAATTGCATCTTATTGCATCAATACCGGGATGGGACAAATGCGTATCTTTAGGGCATAGACTACTCATGCGGAACGGGTGCGCCGACTTGTTACACATGAAAACTAATGCAACAACAAATTTCAACTGTAAACTGGAAACTGCGCGTACGATTTCAGTTTCTAAAATCCATATCTTAGAAGACTCGACATGCTTTCATTCTGCATTTGTGCCTGGAGAGAACGGTAGACTGGCAGTGTTGGAGTCACTCTTACGGGGTTGAGTGAAGAAAATGCGTTGATGTCTTGAATAACATTGATGAAACGCAATGCCTCTTCACCCTTCTCCCCGAAAGATGAGTTTTACCTTGCAACACAGTCCGCGAGGACGTGAAGTCAACACTTGATCATCCATCTCCATGCTTGAGTTCATGTCGGCAGCGGGTCTCGTTTTGTATTTTGAGTAAATCGCCCCCAAGCATGCTCTCATTTCGGCCACAGCCAAGCTTCATGTAACGCTTTGGTTAGCCATTCGACTCGATAGAATCTGAGTCAATAAACTTACTGTTTTCCAATACACGTACGAGGCCCGAGCCCAAAGGCAAAGAACAAGCGTTGTCTTTCGGCAGCGCCTTCGGAGTTCAGCCATCTTTCAGGCACGAAACTATCTGGGTCTGGGAAAACGCTTTCGTCAAGGCGATGCATGCTGTATGAAGTTGATCCAACGATCGTATTCCCCGGAACATGATATCCGTCGATTTGAGCGCCCTCCTTTGGAGTGTACCGCGGAAGAGGTTGAGTCCCGGGGGCCCAGAGACGAAGAGCCTCCTGGATGACAGCACCGAGATATGGCAAGTTTTCCAATTTCTGTCCAGGGTCCGCATTGATGAGTTCTTCGTGCAACTTGTCGACGTGCTCATGCGATCTCGGCTGGGACAGCTCCCAAATCAACCAGCAAAGGGTATCTCCTGTTGTCTCAACGCCTGCCCCAATATGATCAAGGCACTCGGCTTCTATCAACGACTTGCTAAAAGCTTCAAGTCTATTGAGACGGTTTGCCAGCGTAAAGCTGGAGTGACTCCCGCTAGACAGTGATCGGCGCACGAAGCTGCGAATCAAGTTGTCGCCGTTTGCGGTGTTGGTAAATCTGGATAGAACAGCTTCACATAACTTGCCAAAGGTTGGGAAATAATGGGAGAGAAGTAGCGCTGAGATATGAGTTAGCAGCCAATTCCCCTCAACGAAATACTGACTTACTCGCACGCATGCTGGAATAGGACAAGAAACGGATCATCTCCATGTCCCCATCATCGCGGAGTGAGTTTGCTCCAAAAGGATGAAACAGCATTATGGTGACGCAGTCCAGGGCATACGCATGTAGATAGAGCTAAAAGCTGTCAGTTTCAACTGTCCCGCAGGCAACCAAATGTTTCTCAATACATAGATATCAGCTGACTGTCCTTCTGCGCACACTTGGACAAGTGTTTCGGCACGTTCAGCTAGGAATTCAACCATCCCTGATCTCAGGATTAAAGAGTTGGAATACGTGTCGGCGAGTTGCCTCCGTATCTGGCTATGCTGAATCCGCTTCACGTCAGCCGCACAACTTGGAGTTTGGTACAGCTGAAAGCGGTACCCTTTTGTCATCAAGAGCCGTAAACAGATTTCTAAACAAGTCAATATCTGTAAATATTTAATAAGACATCCTCAACACGACTTACATCTGACCGTCCTGCTCGAATAAGCTGTACAACTCCGTCTTTCGAAACTCCCTGTGACCAGAGGTATATATCTGCCGGCTGCTGTGGAACTCGCAAATGATACTTCATTCCGTCCTATCTGCACAACTGGGCCGTAGTTCAGATGGAGTTGATGTACCCATCTTCTCTTCGTACCTGAGAATTCGTGGTACTTGACAAAGGCGGTGGTGAACTTCGAGTACCATGGTCCAGGAATCTTGCTCATGGCTGCGAGTTTCAGATGACGTATCCATAATATCAAAAGCACAAGAAGAAAGATTTGTGCAAACAATGTCAAATGGTCCGATTGCAGCCCTAAGAAGACTGAAAGCCCGCTGTGTCGGTTCATGGCAACGTGATATCTAGTGGCTGCTCTTAGATATCATGTCAAGAAAGAGTAGCGGAAAAAGGGAGTTTGGAATGGAAGAAGATCTTTCAACCAAGCTCTGGGGTCAATGCCAGTTTAAATGGTGGCAGGACCCATTTACAAATAGCTACAACCTGAACGGCGCAGAAGACATTCAGTTTAGGCTGGAGACGTGGCAACCTCACTAAAGGCAGCAATTTTAATGGACTAATCATATTTCCTCAAGTACTATGAGCGGAAAAGCTGAAACGTGACAGTCACAAAACTTCGTGGCTCTATTCTGTGCAATTCCAGTAATTATACCGCACGATTGTCAGCTTGATGGGGTTTATGAAATTGACTCTCAACTTGGTAAAGCTAGCTGAAAAGAGTAATTATACCGCAGTCCGTGCCAAGCTCCCATGGCCATGTTTATGTTCCCGCACCAATCAAGAGCTGCCATCCCAGCTAGTATTTGCTTCCCAACTTGGCACAGCTTTTGAGGCGGGCTCATCACTGCTTAAGTTGCATATCGAACAGTGATTCTCTTGAAGAATGTATTACAGTGCAAACATTGTATAGGTCAGGTAGATTGAAAGTTGAACTAAAATAAGCATCGCTTGTAGTCGCTTATCCGCTTGAGCTCTTCACTAACAGTTTTAATGCTGCTATGTCTGCGATTCATAGCTGAAGACTACCCACGAGGAACGAATAAGTCCAATTGAGGGAAGGATGAAACCTTTGACCTGAATCTTAAAATTGGATTCATGCTGCACAATGCAGCGTCAGCCTTCCTCTTCATCGGTGCCCAGCGGAAACCACATGTGTAGCTTCCAGGTAAGGAGACACAGGGCGGGATGAGAGAAGACGACTTGGTTCTGTTTAATAAACCAACCTACGGGGGACAAATTCGGGCGCACGGACCATTTCCTTCTCCGCCACAGCAGCGGCAGCGAGGTGGACGCTGATTCCAGATGTCACAGACCGGAGTGCCTGAATGACTCGCAGCATTCTGTAACAAAACAGATGCACAATAGTGAATTAGGTTGAGTACGGTTACTGACATGCTGTTCAATATTCGGGGCCACTGAGCCGGCAAGAATATGCCGGACTCTTACGTGACTAGTCGTGAAACCAACGACAGTCAGGCCCCGGGGGCCGTGGTCAGAAAAACTCGGTACGGAGTGCGACACTCCAATTGGCCTCAACCCCCGATGTTACCCCAAAAACTGAGGACTCAAATCCACTAAGAAAGGGAGTGGCGGCATTCAAGCTGACGACATCAGTCGTGACTGGAGTCATGCCGTTTTTCTTAGCAATGGGAAACGCCATCTGTGTGGCCTCATCCACGTGACTGCTGGTTTTCGCTGGGAAGTGGGCTTGTCTCTTTTCTTTATCCCCTGCGCTGACCTCCGATTCCTCCGACCTTCCGTATCATAACTCCGAGCAAGCAATCCGAGGGCACATCAACGAAGTCGATGTCTCAATCTATAAGTGCTCAGAAGGCCGCACGACATTCACAGTCATTGAAAAAGCCTCCATCACAATTCAACTGAGTGGCAGTCAAGTTCACCATGTCGTCCGAAACAGAGTCCTGGCTGTCAAAGCTTGGCGCCGAAAGTGGCTTTACCACCATCCTTCGATCTTGCCGCGACACCAAAGTTCTATGCTTGCAACGCTTCGTGCGACTCTTTGCCTACGGCGCATCTTTTCTCATCCTTGTTCATTTTCTGTCAAGCCTTGGATTCTCTGATGAACGCATCGGATTGTTCATGACTTTGACACTTCTTGGAGATGTTGTCATCAGCTTTCTGCTCACCACGATTACCGACCAAGTTGGCAGACGGAAGATTCTGGCAGCAGGGGCTGCATTGATGGTCATGAGTGGCTTCGTCTTTGCATACTTCGGCAACTACTGGGTTCTGGTTGCTGCCAGTATCGTTGGCGTAATCAGCCCGAGTGGAAACGAAATTGGGCCTTTTCGTGCTGTTGAAGAGTCTGTCCTTGCCCAACTCACAGACAGAGAGCATCGAAGTGACATCTTCGCATGGTATACTCTCTTCGGAAGTGCAGGCGCCGCTCTAGGTACGCTGACTTGCGGTTGGGTTGTGCAAGTCCTCGAAGAAAACGACTCTTGGACAACGGACGAGGCATACCGAGTTGTTTTCATCATTTACGCGGCTCTTGGCGTCGTCAAGCTGATCCTCATATTTGGTCTCAGCTCTGCTGTTGAGGTCGGCCCGCCGAAGTCAAGTAACGACGTGACGCGGCCACTTTTATCGGCAGACTCGAGCAACTCCGAAGATGGGAATAATCCTCAAAGTCCGGCGCCAACAGCACTTCAGCGCTTACGATCCTTATTCCCGTACATCTCACCTCTGTCACGATCAATTCTCTTCCGACTACTTATCCTCTTTTGCTTGGACTCTTTTGCGTCTGGAGTAGCGTCACCATCCTGGCTTACGTACTTCTTCACCACGGTACACTCTCTCCAACCGGGATCATTGGGCACGCTCTTTCTGGTCACGAACCTTCTGGCCACTGTCTCGAACCTCGTTGCTCTTCCTCTGGCACGCCGGCTCGGGCCTCTCAAGACAATGGTATTCACACACCTGCCTTCGGCTGTCTTTTTGTCACTCATACCTCTTCCTGGTCCTGGTCCCTCGGGAACCTGGATTGCTATGGCACTTCTGGCCTTGAGGGCTTGCACGCAAAGCATGGACCAGGCGCCTAGGCAGGCTTTCCTAGCTGCTGCAGTGCTTCCTAATGAAAGAACTGCGGTTTTGGGGGTCGTTAACATCGTCAAGACGTTAGCACAGGCTGGCGGCATTGGTGCAGTGGGTGTCTTGTCTGGCAAGAATCTTTGGATTCTTGCTTTGAGTGGTGCGGGTGTTATGAAGGCTTGCTATGACTTCTTGATGCTGGGGATGTTTTTGGGCTTGAAGGATCGAGAAGAGGGTAGCGGGAAGTCGCGATCTCGAGATGAAGAAGAGTCATAAGTCGCGCAAACTTACTTAATAAGTCAATGCTCAGATGTTTGGGCGCAACTTTAGGTTACTGGTAGAATACATATCTACATAGATCTGTAATACAGAGGTGTCTATTCGACTTTCTTCACACCTTCTCTACGAACAATCGCCTCCAACTTAGACAACTCAAATGTTCTATAAGCGAGTTCGTCAAGCAACCATTCGCCGAATAGAAACCTGCAAATCTTCACGGAAGCCGCCATTCCGCCGGCCCAGAACCAGTTTGTCGCGCCGCCGAGCCATCCACCAAGCCAACCTTCTCCCTTCAAGGCTTCAGCAACAAGTTGTCGTGCGAAGTCCTCGGTGCTGACGGTAGCGTTATTCTGAGAGAATTTGAGACGTTTGGCATAGATCTCTTTAACGCAGGCGTAGAGGGAATTGGGTGGTAGCTCGCGGTTAAGCTTGGCAATCTGGCTCTTCACCGTGCCGGTCATGGACACCATGACGCGAACGCCGAAGGGTCGGAGTTCTTGGCGAAGAGTACGGCTGTAAGAGTTCAGAGCACCCTTGGTCGCCGTATAGACTGAGCCGAAGACGTATGGGGAGATTGAAGAGAGGCTGCTGATCATAATAATTAAGCCTCGGGCTGGGATCAGGAGGTCGACGAAAGCCTGGACCATGGCCATCACGCCAAACACGTTCGTCTCAAATGTCTGCCGAACCTCATCCATGTCAATGTCAGTCGCAGGGACAGTGTGGGTAAGGCCTCTGGAACAAAGTTAGATGCTACACAAGGTTTGGGGTGAGAAGAACATGAGCGAGCAGCTTGTCATCGTCGGTTGAATGGCGGAGGGATGCATCGACTGCGAATGGGGAACTCTTACGCGTTATTCACAAGGAAGTCAAGACGTCCGCCGGTTAACTCGGTGACTTCCTGTTTGCACGCAGCAATGCTCTCGGCTTTGGTGACATCGAGAGCAATCGTCGTCATACCCACGTCGGCAAGGTCCTTCAAGACTTCAGGGCGCCGAGCAGTTGCAATGACATGAAGCCCTATTGGAGATCTATGTCAGCCAAGCATTTCAATTAGACATCCACCCCGCGATTGGGAAAATTTGGGAGTTCACATTCCACCCACCTTTCGCATGAAACTCTCTGGCCAGCGCATGGCCTATTCCTCCCGGGGTGCAACTACGGCATGCGCGTCAGCACTAGAGTCTCCCTTCAGCGATCGATGTAGCGAGTCAGGGGCACTATTAGTGAAAGGTTCCATCGGCCATACCCGGTGATGAGAACAGTCTTCTGGTTCGCTGGGATGCCCATCTTGACGGTCTTGTCGTTGGTTGTTGAGCGATTCGTTGATGTAAACTTGACACTTGGAATAAGACTACGACCAGAGTGCTTTGCTGCTCAGGGGACGAGAGAAAAATCAGGGTCACAGAGGCTTCCTTGAGGCCGAGGTACGTCAGAAATGGGGCTTTGTGGAAAATAACATGTGGGTCATGGAATCCGCGCCCATGTCCGCGGATTCCCGCTCGAAATGTGTTTGTTTGTTATTAGTAATCACCAAATGGGAAATGTTTCTTCTTCTCACTCAGGTCAAAGCATCGGGGTCTCATCAATGTTTCGACTCATAATGAGGATAGCAGGTAACAAAGCCAACTCAACCACACAGCGCGTGGAGTACGTCAGATGTTTCAATCGGTTTCGTGAGCCGGGCCCACCCCAACGGACCGAAACTGCAAACTCCGCATCCGTAGCTTTCGGCCGAGTGAGGTATTAAGGAAGAAAATGGGGCCATGAGAGGCTTGCTTCCCGGAGCTCAGTTACTGAACGTCTTGGAGGGCAACAAATTCAGTCGCACCCTGTCCCGGCAAGTCAATAAACTAGTATCGCTATTATGATCATTTTCGTTGGTGTTTTCCTTACTAGCGTCGTGGTCTTTATTGGTGTTATTACTGTCATTCTCATTGCTTTTGCTCGGCGTCGCTGTTGCTATTCGCGTTGTTATCGCTGATGGTGCTGTCGTCCGTCGTCGTCGTCGTCGTGGTATTGGGTGGGCATTTAACCTTATATTATCATGAATTAAAGCACAGGGGTGTCGACCTTCGCTAGGAGGTGCGCGATCTATGACCTTGACCTATCTTGATTGAAGCCAGCCTCGGATATCCCGCGGAGGTCTCAGTAGGCTCACCGTTTAGGGAGAATACGAAGTACCTGAGTAGGCCGGGGACTGTCGGCCCCAATGGCCGCCCAAACACCTTCTGCTCTTGTTGTCTTGAACCAACAAGCCCGTAAACGCGTATTTCTCATCGATACGACACAGTTCAGCTGCAGTCACATCGTAAACCTGTTATGATCGCGTCATATGTCATCCGCCTGCATGGCTCCCCGCACATCACAATGCGGAGAAGCTGGGGAAATGCCGCTGGGCTGGGCCATTCCCAACTACCGACAACTCAGTTTGCGGGGTTGCCATGCACCCAAACTATTTGGCCAGGTCATACTCAGAAGAATGGTTCGTCCCATTACCTTGATTTTTAATTAAGGCTGTTTTCGCTAAAGGCTTCTTTTCATTAGGTAGCCAAAACATTCGTCCGATGGGATCACATGAAGTTCGCGAGGTGTTTTTTATAGCTGGGCTTTTGAGTAACTAGATGGGATGTCTGAGTCAAGTACCTTATTGAAATCATCCCAGCCGAGCGGATTTCCATAGAATCACGCGAACGTCGTCCCACCTCCATTGGCACCCTGATCAACCCGGATATCCCGACCGCAAGTCTTGACCGCCCCGGAGATCATCAGCCGCCTAAGCATATCGCCCCGTGGGGTTGGAGATCCCACCTTGTTCGTATGGGGACCCCGCAAGCTAAACGGCCCGATCACTAGATCTCGGACAGTGAATGACGAGCTTGACGGGTCAGACGCTCGTCGACGGCATAGCTCCCGCCGAATATAGCTGCCGTGAACCTCAGCCGGCTTGACGAAATGGAACTTGCCACAGAAACTGCTAACAAGGCACGGGTCAATGGGGCCCGAACGACCTCGGTGCATAGAGGGCGAGCTGTCTTTGATATTTTCCCTATAACTATCGACCAGCTCGTCATGATCCTTCTCAATTAAAGTCCCGTTCAGCTTCTCTCGGCTTAACGCTCCTCTTGCCCAGATCTCTGCGACACAATGGCTGTCTCGATCTCCCAGCTATCTTTTGAGCACCATCGATCAGCTCTCGGGATCGCCGAGTCAGAGCCTCGCATCTCTTGGCGATTCGGAGGCAATGCTGTCGACTGGCAACAAAGCGGATACGACATTGAAATTGTCAGAGGCTCAGAGGGATCTTCGAATATCCACAATGTGAACTCTTCTGACTCTCTCTTTGTGCCATGGCCCGAGGTGCCCCTTGCCACGGCCGAATCAGCTACTGTCAGAGCCCGAGCTCATGGACAGCCTGGCCAAGCGTCGACTCCATGGTCTGACTGGGTCACCGTTGAAACTGGCCTGCTCAACAGCTCCGACTGGGCTGGTGCGGTCCCCATTGCGGCCGATAGAGATACCGAGATCGATGCTCCAAAGCGTCCCATTTATTTCAGGAAACCGTTTTCCATATCGGCCAACGTGTCCAGTGCCCGACTCTATATCACCGCCCTGGGATTGTATGAAGCCGAGATCAACGGGAACAGGGTTGGCGATCTGGTCTTAGCCCCTGGATGGCAGTCATACAACTACCGACATGTGTACGATACGTACGATGTCACCGAATTACTCAACACCGGAGATAACGCCATCGGCGTAGTCGTCGGCGAGGGTTGGTTTTCTGGCCGCTTGAGCTACGGAGGCGGTGTGCGAAACAACTACGGAGATACCGTTGGTCTGATCTCTCTCATCGTCGCTACCTTGGATGACGGCAGCACAATCGAGGTTCCTACGGATACAACTTGGCAGGCGAACACCGGCGCGATCCTATCATCGGAGATATACAATGGTGAGAAGTATGATTCGCGACTTGAAGCAGGATTGGCGGGTTGGTCCTCCGCTGCGTTTGAGGCCAATGACTGGCTTGGTGTCAAGGAGTTGCCAGCACCCAAGGGCGAGCTGGCTCCTCCAGACGGGCCTCCGGTTAGACGCGTTGAGGAGAGACGACCTCAGGAGATATTCCAGTCACCCTCTGGAAAGACTCTCATCGATTTTGGCCAAAACCTTGTCGGATGGTTGAGACTTACAGTCTCTGGGCCAAGCGGAACTAACATCACCCTCCATCATGCCGAAGTATTGGAGGATGGTGAACTAGCCTTGCGTCCTCTCCGGGTTGCGACTGCCGCGGACTCTCTCATCCTACACGGAAATGGAAATCAGACATGGGAGCCTCGATTTACTTTCCATGGCTTTCGTTACGCCCAGATTGACGGATGGCCTGAAGAAACCCCTCTGACTCCTGAATCTGTGGTTGCGGTCGTGGTGCACAGCGATATGGAGGAGACGGGCTGGTTCGAGTGCTCAAACCCGCTTCTCAACAAGTTTCACCAGAACGTACGGTGGTCCATGAAGGGCAACTTTCTTTCCATCCCAACCGACTGTCCGCAGCGTGACGAACGTCTGGGGTGGACCGGGGATGCCCACGCCTTTGCTCCGACTGCGAACTATCTGTACAACGCGGCCGGCTTCTTCAAGGGATGGCACAAGGACATCTGGTCGGAAATGCAGCGGAACGATTCAATGGTCGTCCCTTTTACCATTCCTACGATACCGCCTGAGGCTCCTGCCGCGCCAGCTGCTGTGTGGGGCGACGTTGCTGTCGCCAACCCCTTTAATATTTACCAAGCTTACGGAGATCTCGGGCTGTTGGAAGAACAGTACCCGCAGGCCCAGGCTTGGATTGACAAAGGAATAAGCCGAAACGAAGTTGGTCTTTGGAACCGAAGTTCTTTTCAGGTATGTATTTAGGGTGCACCTTCCCTTGTCATGTGTTGGTTGTGGCGTCCTTAACATCTGCGACTTGGGGTTCAGAGGCGCACACATATCGCGACCACAACAATCGAGATGAACAAGATCACCAGCTAATTCATTTAAACTGAAAAAGTTTGCGGATTGGTTAGATCCTTCATCCCCCTCTGATGCTCCTGGCAATGCTACGACCGCAAAGCATCTCGTTGCGGATGCCTATCTCATCCACATGACGGAGTTCCTCGCCAACCTCTCAACAGCCCTCGGTCGCAACGATGCTGCGGAGGAATACAACCAACAACGCATAAATCTGACAGACGAGTTTCACAATGCCTGGATTCAAGAGGGCGCGCTTGCGAATCGGACTCAGACGGCGTACGCCATGGCTCTGGACTTCGACCTGTATACCAACGACGAAGAGCGGTCTGCCGCTGCTGAAACTCTGCGAGAGATCGTGGCAGACAACGACTACCTCGTTGGAACTGGTTTTGCCGGCACACCCCCTCTCGGTTTTGCGCTCCGCAAATTCGGGGCTACGGAGGATTTCTATCGCATGCTGCTCCAGACTCGGGTACCCTCGTGGCTGTATCAGGTGGTTCAGAACGGAACAACCACATGGGAACGCTGGGACAGCCTGTTATCCAACGGAAGTGTCAACCCGGGGGAGATGACTAGCTTCAACCACTACGCGTTCGGCTCAGTTGCCAACTGGATACATCAAGTCATTGGCGGTATTGCGCCTGCCGAACCCGGCTGGAAGCGAATCACGGTTGCACCTGTTCCTGGCGGTAACATCACAAGTTCGGAAGCCAAATTTGTAAGCCCATACGGCGAGGTCAAGGTTCAGTGGTGGTTTGAGAACAACACTGAGGACAACGCTGTTCATCGCAATGGCTTCCACCTGAACGTGCAAATTCCACCGAACACTAGGGCGGACATCACGTTGCCAAATGGGGGAGGGACTTCTGAGGTTGGGTCTGGTTATTATGAGTTCCATAATCCAAGTTACAAATTGGCTTAGAGTACTAAAACGATAACGAATGAGACCAGCTGTTTCATTCTGCTTTTCAACTAATAAGCTCAAAGTGATCCCTAAGTCCCTATTATCCTCAGTCGGCTTAGATATATTATCTATCCCAGTATAAGTGCCCTAACATACCTTCCACGACGGACTCTAGTAGAGTCCATTGAAAACCACACGTTAAAAAAAGTGGAGTCAATGAAGACATGGGGTAGAGTCTATTGAAATAATAGGGGGTAGAGTCCGTTGAGGTTTTCTATAGTAAAATTAGTTAAACCAGTATGTAATAAAAGCTGAGAGTTAGGCTAATTTAGATATCTATTTATCTTCTCTATACTACCTTATTTCAGCATTATCTACT